ACCTTCTCTTCTCATTCCAACATGTTGCCTAACCGAACTACATGGCTGCCGTTACAAATTCTCTATATACATATTTGTTAGCACTCTACCTACTCCGCACCTGTCTTCCTTCCCCCATTCCCGACTGCCTACCCCTGTGCCTGACTGCCTCATCCGCAAGCTTAACAATTTCTGTAAAGTGTCTGCTGTGTCTCCAGAGAATCAAAATCCTTTTTGATGTCACAGGAGAATCTCAGGAGACCCGGGAGACTGTTGGGAGACTCATGAATATGTACAATCTTGCTGATACTACCCCAGTATCTGACTGCCTGCCTGACTGCTTGCTCGACTGCCTGCTTTACTGCCTGCCTGACTGCTTGCTCGACTGCCTGCTTTACTGCCCGCCTGACTGCTTGCTCAACTGCCTGCTTTACTGCCTGCCTGACTACCTACTTGCCTGCATGCCAATTGGGAGCTCAATCAACGTGGACTGGATGCACCCTCAGTCGTCAATTCGGTGTAGATCTAAGTATAGATGTGATGCTGATTTAGGTGTCAACTTAGCGCAGTTAGTCGATGTCTTGGTGTCATTTTGGGCATCAATTTGCTGCTGATTTGATGCAATTCTATGATGATTTGGCGTCATTGAGCAGTCTGTAGCGGTGTCAGCCACTGGCGGGTGTCAAAATGCAGAAGTAGGTAAATACGTATTCAGGTGTCATTGCTGGTAGGAGGTAGGCGTCGAGGTGGGTATTGCTGCTGCTAGAAAGTGAGCATCTTTGCTGAGAGGAGGTAGGTGTCGATGCTGGAAGAAGGTAGGTGTTGTGATAGGTGTTGAGAGGAAGATAGGTATATAGGCAGGAAGGCAGCAGGTAAAAAGCTAGGCAGGTAGGTAAGCAGGTGGGGATACACGAGACGTCAAACCTGATCTCATTTGCTAGCACTGTTGGTGCTAGTGCCAGGATTTAGACAGATTTGCCATGCTGGGTCATGCTTGGGGAGGCGGTGGGGCTTCAAGATGCGAGGTGTCATAATTGGGATGTCTACTAGGCATTAAAATGTGAGAGATCATACTTTGGACATCTAATAGGCGTTAAAAGATAGCGTATCACATTGTGAATTCTTACTACACACCACAAAATGATGTGTCAAATTTTGATGGCAGCGGGATGGCGTTTTGTGGGCGATAAACGAGATTTTGGCCGCGAAAGACAAATTTAGACATCTGGATGTGCGGATTCGTCCTGGCGAAAACAGTTTTTTGCTGATTTGCTCCTACTTCCTTACTAATGTCCGACTTTTGCCTCTTAGTAGAAGGGAAGCAATATTATTGTTACCCCAATTCTCTCTAAGCGTTAGCGAATGCTCCCAGTTCTGAAGGCAACCATCATTAGTCAAAGCTTTAATAACACCTTGTAACGGGGGTGCTATGATGGGGCACGACCGTGACTTCGATCAGGTAGCAATGATAAAGAGAGCGAGCGAGTTATGATGGGACTCGTTCAACAGAAAGATAGAGTTTGTTTTTGTTTGATCGTTATTTGTAGTCTAGAAACTTAATAACTTTAAGGGGTCTTCTCGCTAGTAAAGATCCGATGATTGTGAGAGGCCAACCGGGGGCTTTACCAGGTTCTTTATAGAAGTTCGGTGCCCTTGTTCAGGTTCTTTGTTTCTGACGGCAATCTGCCTGTCAATAGTCGGGGCACAGCGACTATTTCCTATGAGGGGTGAGTAAGGTTGCTACCACACCTCGGACGAACTTCCGCCCGAGTCAAATCACGCAATCTCTGCCAAGAGCTGGTCGGGATCCTAAGAACTAGCGGAAACAACCGACCAGATAGCAATTGCTTATTCAATTTGTTTTTAGAATAGATTTGGTGTTTTGTAAAGCGAGGTTTGCTTTTAGTAGCTTGGGTTGTACTCATACTCCCCAAAGATGCACCGGGCTAAAACAGGAGGCTTCCGGCGGTTCGACGCTCCGGGGGTTATTTTTGGGGTCTAAAACGTGTTTATTTTGCAGCGTTTCCGCAACTCTACAACGGGTTCATTAGATTAGCCCAGATTGACCCGAGCGCCACCAGGATTCTTTCTGACATGCTAAAGCATGCTCAATATGCTAAAACATATTTTCCGGACATCGGTTGCAAAATTATTGCACCTCGAAGGTCGACCACCAAGGTAGGGTAACTTATGTTAGGGGTTACCCTTTCTGTTTGGCATGCTTGTCCTTCTGTTCTAGTTTTTATCCAATCGCATGGCTTGACTCATGAGGCTAATTGCTCACTAAAATCTCTACTCTCCATACCAAAAAAGGTAGGGGCTCACCTGCCCTTGTCTTCACCCGTCGATGAAGAACAAGCTGCGGTTACCTTAGGGTCGTATGGCTCTTACTGGTAGAACAGGTACTATTATAACGGTCTGGTAATAGCCCCGTTATACACCTGCAGCTTTAGTTGTCACACAACCAGGCCTGCATGAATGAGTTGTCATTCAGATGTAAGCTTAATCATTGCTGTAGAGCTCTCGCTTATTATAGACATCCCAGGCATATTCCCTGCCACTGCTGGTGAACTTACAATTCTCAGAGAATATAGAGGATTGCTAAGTACTCAGAACTTAACTTTGGCCAGTCTACAAATCATTGACCAAGCATAAACTCGTCAGTCACTAGAATTACTCCCATGAATAGATACTCTTCCTAGCGCTCAGAATGTAGTTACTCTGACAGCTGGTAGCTAACCACACTTCTGGTACTTGCATGTCACTGTGCAACTGTTCTCTATCAATAACTCTCGGCATGTAACCGGGGCCTGTGTGTACTCATACACCAGACAGTTGAAATGGCTCCGTTACAGGTTGGTTGTCTTCGGAGCTAAAAGCATTCGCCAACACTTGGAGAGAATTGAGGTAGTGATTGTATTACTTCCCTTCCACCAGAAGGTATCACCAGAACTTAGTAAGGAGTTACATCAACAAGATAACATATGTGTCAAAAGTTTCCCAATAGGCTCCCAAGTGTACTGAAGGTGTCCTGACACTCAAAAATGGATTTTAATTCTCTTGATACTTCAGAGACAGATGAAATCTTGCTGATGCTAGTGTAGGAGTAGAGAATGGAGTCCTTGGTAGTATACATACTCAGGACCCTTGCTGTCTACCTATCCTAATTCTCTGGTCTTTATTAGATAATTATCAAATATTCTTTTGGGTAGCAGAGCTTTAAAAGATTATTGAATACAAGTTCTAGTGATAGTATCTTTGAATAACTTGAATCTGCAACATGATTTCTATTTTGGACAGCCAAAACATTCTATTAGATTCTAGCGATTAATAGAAAGACTGTTCTCATTACATTCCAGCTGCTTTATGGATGGGGTGGTCTGGCACTCATTTTAACCATTTTAATCAAATTGCCTGCATTTATTCCTTATTATTGAATCTAGTATGCTCTGTGAGTATCATATCGTTTTCGACCTCAATTGTGGCTGTAAAGTGGGGCAGGTATTTTTCACCCCAAACAAATTTTCTGTACGTATAGATTTAGGGTTCATTTGGACAACCCAATAATCTAGATTATTGGCGATAATCTGATGGGTTATTGACTTTTGGATGATTACAATAATCTATCCTATTCGTGCAATTGAATAATCCAACATTCGGAACTTCTGATTATCTCAATAATCCGCCAAGAACACAAGCACTTTCGGAGGTAATTATTCCCATACAATACAGATATCCTGAGAGATAATATTATCCGAACATATAGTTCATTATCCACTTATTCAAATTATGAGTATTATGATTACCACTTCAAGTTCCACTACCTGATAATCCAGTCTGTACAACTTGAATAACCCGAAGAAATAATCTAAGGTTGTGTGAATGGGTCCTTAATATGTTCAATTAATCACACTCTGATTTCCCATATTGTATTCTAAATTTCACGCGTGCGAATATATTTTAATTCCACATTCAAGTTGTTGAACCAAATTTGAAGTTAGAAACCAGAAAGTGCAGGATAATATGTATTTGGGGAATACAATCCGGAAAATTTGGAGTGAAACAAATATCGAAGAGGAACTACCGTGGCATCTGGCATGAAATCGATCTGATGCATTATCGATTCAGGTGACTAAGCCCTCGGTGGTCAACATATCATTTTTCGTTTTACCTAAGGTTTTAGCTATATGATATGTTAAGGGCCCATTCGAACAAACTTAGATTATTTCTTCAGGTTATTAAACAGACTGGATTATCAGATAGTGGAAGTGATAATCATAATACTCATAATAAATGGATAATCTACATGTCCGGATAATGTTAGCTCTCACTATATCTGTGTTGTGTGGGAATAATTACCTCCGAAGGTGATTGTGTTCTTGGCGGATTATTGGGATAATCACGAGTTCCGAATGTTGGATTATTCAATTGCACGAACAGCATAGATTATTGTGATAATGCAAAAGCCTATAATCCGTCAGATTATTGGGTTGTTCGAACGGGCCCTAAATGTTATACATATATGGTACTATTAGAGCTTCAAAATAATGCTAACAAATACCGGGCTCAAGATAGGTGAGCCTTCACTAATTAGTTTCTTTCCCTCGTGATTTCTCTAGTACAATGCGATATCAACAACAAATTGGCCCAAGGCAATGAAAGTAAACGGGATAGATTTTGATTGCCCCTACCGCACAGGGTCCCACCACTACTGAACGGGGCCCGCCATCCGCGTGCGAGCGATTGCATTACCGTATATATATAGATATCGTGGACTATATAGAGTAGTTTTATGTCAATAAGACCTACAAGGTTCTGTTTTCTTTAGTTGATATTCTCTTGAAATGTAGACCCCAAGCTAGCGCTCACTGACGCGCTGCACCATGAGCTTAATAAAAGCCCTCGATCTTCCTCCCAGTCACACTACAACTTACACCGACCATAACCCTAGATCTCCGAGGCCCGCATAAATAATCCTCAGTAGTGATATAATTTATCATTACTACCTACCCTTCCCACCGCTACCAATCCACAACCCACTCCCCCCCCTCCAATCCCCCACCCTCAACCCACTCGTCCCTCATCTCCACATACGCCGTCCTCCCGCTCCCACCCACGCTCCCCACCGCCCCCACCTCCTCCCCCACCCTCACCACCTCCCTCGAAAACGTAACCTCGCACCTCCTTTCCCCGGTCCACTCACCCAGATACGCCGCCTTGCCGACGACGCTCGTGGCATCTCGAGAAACGCCTTCGACGGCGGGAAAGAGCGACGTGGTGAATGTGTGTGTTTCGGCATAGCCGAACCAGACGGGCGTGGAAGAGGACTCGGGGTGTAGGAGGATGAAGATCTGTAATGGGGCGATGCGGAGCGGTTGGGCGGTGTCGGTGAGGTTGTCGCAGGATACTAAGGTGTGTTAGTGTTAGGTAGGCAGGGTATGTTGTGGAGTGGAGTTTTACTGATTGTGAGGGGCTCTTTAAGGCGCCAGACACAGGTTTGGGAGGCGAGTTCTGGGGGAGGCGGCGGTGGCGGCGGCATGGTGATGTAGGTGTAGGTTTGTGGAGATATATTGTATTTTTATGCAGTCTCTGCAAGAAGCTGCAGCATGTGTGAAGCTTAAACCCCGCCAAGGCATTGATAGTGCTTTCTTGGCAGACGCATACATACGAAAAAAAGGTTCATGGGACATCACTCGCTCACATGTTATTCCCGTCGTCATTATCATTACCCCCCCTCCAGACCCTCAAAAAATAATCATCCAAAAACAGAGGAAAGACACCAGTATCTATATAGCCGACCCACCATATGTCTCAAACTGCAAACAGCACGTCAAAACCCCACAAAGCAGCCACAGCCCCGCACTGACATATATCGGCACAGTTGTGAATCCCGTGTTCGCCGAGATGATCCTAGTATGAACCAGTCGTATCAGTATAGCTACCTTTATCATTACATCACCAAGCGAAGGAGAAACCTACGGCGCGAATACCCCCATAATTCGTACTAGGCACGACGCGATGCCATTACCCGTGCCCCGGTGCGGTGCTGGTAATGATTCGGCAGTGTACGTGTATAATATGCTGGATAACGTTAATATATCTTGTTTCTCCACATAAGCAAATAAAACTCACGCGTAGCTGAAGTTTCCTAGTATGGAGACTGCGCATTGAAACCCCAGGTCGGCTGCCTCACTGGCGGCCCTCGTGTACAAGAATAGAAACACTCCAGAAACCGTGAAGGCTAATGCCATTGCCCATCTCCGGCCTAGGCGGGTCTCAATTAGATAGCCCGCGATGAACGGGCCTGTGAGGCCGACGATAGAGACAATGAAGTAGTTTTTGTAGACGTCATTTTGGGTGTTTGTTGTCTAGAAACTCGTCAGTCCGTGTGGAAGTTAAGAGGAGTCGCGGGCAGGTCTACCGTGAATCGTGCGGCGAGATAACTCGGCAGAAAGCTAAAGTATAACGGCTAAAATGCGTGCGGATTTGTTAGTACCTTGTATTCCGACTCAAGAATCGAGGTGGGGTCCCTCACGAAACTGATCCCAACAGCCGCCCAAATAGTCCACAAAACAGTACAGTGAATCCCCATCTTCCTCGTCGAAAAGAGCGCCCTAATATGTTTCCCCCGATAGTCCTTCACCGACGCCACCACCACACCTAGCACACTCCTCTTCTTTTTTTCAGCTTCCACAGAGCTAGTCATTCCCATGCGTCTATCCACAGCTTCAAAGTCCGCAACCGTCAAAGGCGAAACCTTTTCATTCTTCCGCGCAACGTAGTCCACCGACGCTACCGCACCTGCATCATCCCCAACGGCGATCAGATACCGCGGCGACTCTGGAATACCGAAGACCGCAATACGGATTACCGCGAAAAGAAGCGTAAGCCCGCCGAGTGTGATCAACATATAGCGCCTACGCAAAAAAATCACCGCATCAGCAACCCGCGCGCACATAAATCAGTTATAGCTAGCTGGCCGAAACAGAATCCGCATACCAGCCCATATTGTCCTCCCATCTGCATCCACCCTCCTCACCTGCCGCGCACGAAAAGTGAAGAAGCAACCCCCATCCCACCACCGCGGCGATAATCTGCCCAACACACCACATGGCCGATAAGAGCGTGAGCAGCCACTGCTGCCCTGGCGGGACAAACTCCAGAAAGATGAGCAAGTCCACCGGCACGCCGCCGCCCGCGCCAATCCCCGCGAGCGCCCAGAGTGCGCAGCATGTTCCAAAATTTGGCGATGCGGCGGCCGCGCAGCAGAAGATTCCGGATATGAACAGGGTTATGTTGAAGGCCGGGCTAGGTAGAGGTTTTAGAACAAACCATGCATGGGGAACTACTAGAGTGGGTAGCAGCAGGCTTACCGTCGCCCTATTATGTCGCAATTGACGCCCCAGATTGTGGCCCCGATAGTAAGCCCAACGTAAAAGCTACGAGAAGGTGTCAGTGGCTATACTGAATAACTATGGCCTAGGACGGGAGCCATACGCTACAACGAGATAGCTGACTCGGGCTGGGTTGAACTCAAGGGCTACGGGTGTCAGTGATAGGGATAGCCCTTGTATTAACATATTGTCTGTAGCCCATCTAAAGCGCGCACCTCTAATAAGCCTAGATCAACCAAATTTACGCGGACAAATACTTACCCAAACCCAGTAACGAGTAATAACTGCCATTGATATCGCCCAATACCCATCTCTGAGAACGCTTTGCTAACCAGTTCGGATTTAAGACGATAGGTATCGCTTACAGTGCTGTCGCGATCGCGCTCCGGCGTCGCAATACATGGTTCTTGGGTAGTGGGAGCGCTACTCACGTCGGTGGATGCCTGAGCTGGTTTTTCCGCCATTGTAGACCAGAGGGAGCGTAAGGGAATCAAAATGGGTGGAACGCTTCTTATAAAGTCTTTCTCAGAGAGAAAAAATGCACCCAAGATGCGTTTCGATCTCTCCACGTGCGGCGGTATCTCAGAAAGAGGCTACACTCCCGGAGCGGGACGGCATGCAAGGAAGATTACCAGCCATTCATATGAGGTTTCAGCTCGGGCTTGTGTTACTTATTTCGAATAGGGCAGGTAGATATGATAGGATCTACGGAGATCCGCCCAGGATGCGCATTTGGGAGACCGAGAGAGAGTTCACGATCTCGTTGCATACAGCTGCCATCCTCCGCCGATAGCCTGAGATAGGCATTCTGATCTATCTCGGTTGTTCTTGTTACCAGCCGGACCTTGCAAGGACCACATCGAATCATCTTAACTGTGTACGTACGTACTACCCCCGCAACTATGGAAGTACGAAAACTCTAAGGTAGATAAGGTACATAGACGACCGGCCATGTAGCTAGGCAATCATCAGCTCCGAAAGAATTCTCCGGAAATCCACATAGGCTAAATATCTAACCAGAAACACTATCTATTCGCACGCATTTGCCAGCCGCAGGTACCAAATTAAATACCTGGAGGCGATCAGCACTAGAACGGCAGGTTGAAGCTTTTGTTTTCGGCCATGCTAACTAAAATGGGCCTCTTTAGTAGCTTTTACTAGCCTGTGGCAGAATAGTAACAATGACTAATAGCTCTTGGCATCAGCTGAATTATTAGAGCCAATGACGAGGTACGTAGTATTTAGGTGCAAACTCAAGTATTCCGGATTAGATACCGTCCAATATAAAGGTACTTCGCGTGGTTCTTGAAACATGTGCTCTTAATAGAATTCCTTAGGTAGCTTGCTCATTACCAGTCGATTCTTGGCGCAGCTTTGTCGACGTTCATCTAAGCAGACTTTAAACCGTATGAAGTCTTGGGTCAGGTTACATGAATTATTAGCTATCGACGAATGTCCTGGTTTGGGGGAAATGCCTACCACTTGCTCGAATATCGACTGAGGCTGCGGCCAATGAAGTGAGTACAACCAGGTAGAAAAGAGAAAACCTATATGTAGTCGGTTGATACCAACATATATACGCATACATCAGAGCTAAAATATCTCATCACTCAAGTGAAATCTCTACCAGATCATCCTCTCTTATTAGCAATAAGAGAGTCTAACAAGCAGAACTTTGAGCTTCGATGCGGCCCTCTAATCATAGGAGGAATCCGAGGATGATTAGATAGATGCAGTATAATTAAAAAGGAAACCAAAATATGATAGCACCAGAGCACTAGTTAGTACATAATGTGCCCCAGCTCAATTAATCTCCTGGACCTCGAAACCCATATTACCTCCCCGCTCTATAGCGATGAACTATTCGGGGATGATTAGCAGTGACCGAATTTACATGTCTTTCCACAATTTCCGGTGTAACAGAACTTCATAGGCGGCGCGTCCAACTGAGATAGATTGCGGGTAATAGATATTGGCTACAGGTCATTCTGCGGCTGTGACTGCGATGATGTAGGTTTGGTCTATTAATCCCTTGGATCGGTGGTTAGTCCGCTAATCTCGGTCCTCCTCTGTTCACATAGACTGAATGAGGCTGTAACGTTCGCGTATATAACTAGAACCCACCGTCCGTCACGCTTTATTATAAGTTACTTGAACTGACTTCATAACCCTTACCAAACACTCTAGATCTATTTGCATCTTCTTGGTTCAGGGAAGGAAGGGTGGCCATATTCCTCGATTTCAGACCTGGAACCTTTCTTTGAATTATATGCTTCACGGGAGAGCGCAAATCGCATAATTCATTAACTCATGCGGTTCATGTTCTAACCACTGAGCATTAGAGAAATATAGGCCAATCGTACCATATAAAGGCATCGGATAAGATGATGGATTTCAACCTTAAAACGTATAAAACCAAGATTAGGGCAGGCGGCACTTGCGTATAAGTTTTATGCTCCCAGAACAGTATTATTCCATGCCTTCAAACTGTATATCTATCCATATATGAATCTCATCATATGATCGTTTGCGAACGGTGAACACACCGTAACTACGCCAGCATCCATACTTGAGATAGACGACTGATTGACCTACTATCTGGCAAACCCGGAGGTGGCTCATTCGTCAGTGAATAAAAGCGTATCTGAATATATATTTAGAAGTCTTCTTAATTAAGAGTACTTTCTAAATATGAACGAACTAGTCCTGATTGAAGCTGTCATAGAGTTTTAACTGATTAGAAAACTTGAGGTTGTACGAGATTGGTTCTATTTGCAGGTAATGCCTTGAGGTGAAGTCATGGTATATAAATCTCACGCTGTACCTATTCTATTAGGAACCCAACCCCGTTAGGAACAGGACTCAAGCTCAATAATACACAGACCAGGGATGTGTACGGACTCCAAATGTTATTAATCCGACGGTAGGATTCTGGGTATTCTATTAGGTTTTTGCTATTTGAGATTGCCAGTCACTGCTGGGGCTTACATCTCCCTTATCACATCTCCTAGCAGGTACCATTTATTATCACGCTGATAATAGCCCAATACAAAAGGCTTTAAAGGCTTCTGTTTTCTGTTCGAGACTCATCTTAGAAACCTGTGCTCAAAATTATGTTTGAGATTTGTTATGAATACAATTGTGATCCTCTTAAACAGCCCCCATGTTTTTTTTATTGTGAATATAGTAAATCACCGCCAATGATATGGATCCTATTCTCCTAGACATATAAGTTGAAATATTAATGAAGTTCTGTGAATAATGTGTTTGGGGGGGGGGGGAAGTAAAGATATTTGATTGATTAATGCATAGTATGCCAGACGCCTATATATATAACCATATCATATTTTCTATATCAGGTTCCCTGAACTGAGCCTCGAGTGAGAATAAATGACGCGGTCGAAAACGTTGGCATTTTTCTTTTCGCTCTTGAACCTGATCTACGGACTCTTCGGGGGCAGAACAGAATTCTGCTGTAACATACCACGTTTATAGATAGTGATATTATGATTAACTCCGCGGCCGCTTCAGACCTGATTTCCAGTTGTAGATAATACTCGAGCTCCGATTCTCATTAGCCTGCAGTATTGTGAATTGAATTAATAACAACCCCATATATATCTTGATGCCATAAGTATATAAGAACCTTAATAGACTCATATATAATCGTTAAGTTATATAAAATACGCTACCTCCTAGCCTAATACATGTGAGAGTACTACGTATATCTGTGATTCCTATCCGAGCCAGACTTGTACTAAAGAAAAAGAGATTAGCGGTCAAATGCCCTGGCATAGGTACGTCGATCAACTCTGTTGTTTAGTCTTAAGAGCCGCCGTGGGCCGTACGCGTCTCGTCCCATAAGGTTCCGTTTGCAGGGCTGTAGGAAAGGGAAAGGAGCTGAAATAGATTTCCACACGATCTACAATAGTGTATTAGATCAGTAAGACGCCATGTTCCCTGAATATTAATCTATGATGACGCGGGAGATCTAGCAAAGCTATTCTACTCTGTGACCTAGCTAGTTGTACGACACGGGTAGGGTAACCGAAATCTTGTTCCCGTCTTGCATGGACTATCACTCGATGCATAAATATAGATGCTGAAGATCCGGATATCCCGAGATCGCCAAAACTAAAGGTTAAAGGGAAAAGATCTCCCGCAAAATACTTACTCCGTTCCGGTTCAACATATATTCATGCTGTAGGCTTGAAGCGACCTCTAAGGGATATTTAATAGTAATTGAATTTGTACCCGTTAAGTGCCTGTACACATATAAATACATATATACTATATAGTTGACTAATCAACAACATATACCTGTTTGCAGACGTTAACACTTTTCGGCAAGTAGCAGATCAAACATTTACCATATTATCCCGTTGCCAGGGCCCATCACCCTAACATTTTTTGAAATTCTTGAATGAACTAGGTGCATACATGTAGGGTCTTCTTTCTAGGATGAATCCCGATACCGCGATGATTATGATATCACAAATTGTAGATGAGTGATCGCTTCTGAGCCGTGTTTTCGTGGGCCTAATGAGGTTCTAGTGGTACTAGTTTAAGCAAGCTGTAAGCCGCTCAATCAAGCAAGGGTCGATCCGGTCTCGAACGCATCCGGCATCGTGGAGGAACATCGGAGAGATGATCCTCCCCCCACCCTTCCGGGCTGCAGGTCCGCATCTGATGGAGAAGGGGACCTAGCCAGCTGGTGAAAACACAGTTGCTTCCACACCCCAACCGTCCCGAAGGCTCGGATCACACCACAAACACATGTCCTTTTGACACCGGGCGTCTGGCTGTGGGGCTAGCCCGACATTGGTAGCTGGGAGATCTTCGAAATCGGGTGCTGAGCCCGTGGGTATGTACTGATTCTTTATCGGCATGTCCGGGCGGTTGAGCATACGTATACATATACAATATAGGCAATCTCCGATTCCATTATCGTTCAATATTAGCCCTAAATAATGATTCGAGTTAAGCAAAGACATCTGCATCGAGTTGCCTTTTCTTTGATACTCCGGCTTGCGGACATTTTCCTAAGAAACATACATCCGAGAGTTCATACTGTTATATTGTTATTTACCACACTTTGTTATGAATTGGATTAAGAGAAAAATATACTCCCAATATCCGGAAAATAGTGGCCTGATAATAGGTTGATTCATTAACTGCATACGGTTAGCGAATCGGATACACAAGCAATGGTCGCCAAGTAAGGGAAGCTTCGAAGCGCACGTGCTTTTTTTTCTTGAGTTATAGTCGAGTTTCCGCAGAATTCCATGCGAGATCAATCTTAATACGCCCAAAGAGCTCCCTATCCTGGATGGCCTGCGTTATTTGGTAGATAGCTGATGTAGCTTGATTGGGGTCCCAGCACCTCTTTCCCCACGCTGTCAAGTTCCGAATATTACATGTTCACCCTAGAACGCCTTCCTTACCGCTGATTAAACTTAAACTTAAGAATTTTAGATCTTAGTTTAAGTATTTGGGCCCGGACCTAGGGAAATAACGAGCAAGTTTAGCTACTCAAATTCAGGAGTATTGGTATGCGGTGGTAGCGCCGTACGCGTACGAAGATGTCTTTCCTAGATTATAGGCCCTTATTCCTGCACCGAGTACCCGCAATTTGCTGGTTTTCGACCTTGTAAGTAAAAAGCGATGTAGGTTGTCAGCGAGTGTATTCGACCCTGTATATTATCACCTGCCTGATAGAGAACACGATCCATGAGCCATCATTCCCACAACACAGAAGACATGTAAAGAATACGGGAGCTATGTATTCTTTCGCCCAAATCAATGTTGCGGCTGTAACCTAGCACCAGGGACGTTCAGAAGCGTTGATGAAGCCCAGCTAACCGCAATATAACGTGTGGAGTAAGATTGCAATTGTATCTTTATTATGATATATTGTTAGTGCAAGCTTATTAAGAGTATATACGTACATGTATCCAGCTTGGATACATGTATAGATATAAGACTTTGACTCGAAATATACTTACCGCCTGAAATCGAGATATGCAACACTTGCGTATCGTAATATTGAAGCGAATATATAGATCAAGTTCCTAGGTGCAATATATATATCTCGATTTTCCGGCCCAGTACTTGGCTGCTGTCAAATATTTGGCGATATATGCACTCCTCTAAATGGTCCAATTCAAGCGGTGATAATAGTTGGTAGGTATCATGGGTACATATACACATGTTATTGCTAGAGGGTGGATGCTAATTGTATCGGCAGACTGATGAACGAATAAGACACGGTTAATTTAACGAATATATAAGGTTCTTGGAGGACATATTACGCATGTGTACATGTAGGTACATGCAGTTAGGTAAGTACGCTGTGGCACAGACGGTGGCTGGGGAGGCTTGCAAGTTACGACAAAAACACGCCACATGAATCAAGCTCGAGTGTCAAGACACACACGCATCACACAACACTCGAGTAACCATGATTCATCTCAAAATAATCAAGTTTCTGCTTTCGCTAGCAAAGCAAAGCTTCAATGAAAAACTTTGAACCAGCAATACTACATATCTGCAGCGCAAAGTGGATATGCACGTAGGTACTCTCCAGACACCGATGAGGCGGTCACTACTCCCACCTCAGATCCAAGGATTAGGTTTCCTTCTCATGAGAATTGAATGGGTACAGCTGTAAGTATGTCCTTGACTGTACATGTTTTGATGAGAATATATACATGTAATTAACTAAAATTGTAGCTAGCTTGTTAGTATTTTGAGTTCGTTAACAACGTACATACACGTAATTTAGATTACCGGATAGAGAGGAGGCATTCTCTAAACTCTAGATTGGGGATGAATGTGCTCTCATTCTACAGGCAATCTTACATCTTCGTAACGGTGAAAACCCTTAAATAATACGAGCGTAGAATATGCGTTATTATCGAACCTTGTCATGATCAGTACGGTATCTAACATAGATAAAGGACTACAGCGAAAGCTTGCTATAACGGTACGCTCGGGACCGGAATTTGGTACCGTTATAGAGAGATTACCCTTATATAGGAGGTGCTGGTGCTGAAAGCCAGGCAAAAAGGACCGAGAAGTGCTACCGTTGTAGAGAGATTACTCTTATAGAAAGTACCGTTATAGCAAGCTTTCGCTGTACCTATCAATTGTAAGGGTGAGTGCTAATTCATTAAGGCCCGGGCTATCCCGTATTTAATAAATACATGCACGTGCACAGGTATCCCTTAACGTGTTGATGCTGACCCCCCTATAACAGAGGAATTAGATTTGTATGAGAGATCTATTATCTGATAAGAGAGATAACGGGATCTGTTAGTAAAGCCACACCAAATTTGCTTTTTTTTTTTGGTGGGTCAGCATTTTCGCGACAGCTTAAGGGATAGCTATATAGAGCTTATACCGGAACTTAAACGAGTGTACTAATCTAACCTCTCACATTACAGCACGTATCTACTATACTTCGGGCTATTCCTTCTACTCTTCCATAATATATTTCAAGAACCAATAGTCTTCGTTCGGGGGTGAGCCTTACTTAGACAAAAAGCCGGGTGCCAAGGAGATCACGTGGAACTTCCGCAAAGGTTCCTCCGAAGTAATGCCGAAGTGTGACCGAACAACCGTCAGAATGTTCTTCCGTGCTGGGAGAAACATAGGGATCCCCCGGCATTCCGGCTTTAGAATGAAAGTGATAACAGTGGAAAGTACAGCGGGGCAATACAGTGCGAGGGCCTCACGTGAGAAAGTCGTTGGCTATATCGCAATGGGCCAGGAATTGGAGAAGAGAAATTCCACACAGTATAAGAAGAAGAAGCCGCGGCTTTCTAGTCCTGTTAACCGGAAACAAAACCCACGAACCCGCGGACCGACATCAAATGTTTTCACGACTACTAACGTCAAACACCTACAGCGAGCTTCTGAGAAGCGTAAATAAGATGATTATGAGGACAGGCACCAAAGCCTTAGACAGTGACCCGCATCGTGCGTGGTGGAAAGAGGCCTCGGTGTATCAGATTTACCCATCGTCTTTCAAGGACTCAAATGGTGACGGATTAGGAGATATTCCGGGTATAATAGAAAAATTAGACTACATGAAGTGTCTCGGGATTGACGTTGTGTGGCTTTCACCAGGTCAGTAATACAGCTACCGTTTCTTACAATTACTAATACACTCTTAATATGCGGAACTTATATGCCCATACTCACAGCGCATAGTATACAAATCGCCGCAGGTAGACATGGGGTATGATATTTCCGACTACTACAATATCGATCCCCGATACGGGACCGTAAAAGACATAGAGACATTGATCAATGGTTTGCATTGCCGCGGCATGAAGTTGGTTATGGACCTTGTGGTGAACCATACTTCGGATCAAGTCGGTTAAATTACAGCCATCTTTGAATATGTGTGCTCTATAGTTGAACTTATTCTAATATTAATCCAATAGCATGACTGGTTTGTTGAATCGAAGGCTTCCAAAAACTCTCCAAAAAGGGATTGGTACATTTGGAGACCCGCAAAATATGATGCAGGTGGAGCTAGGAGACCTCCGAATAATTGGAGTTCAATTTTTGGTGGTATGTAATATCACCACACCCTCATTTATTTCAATACTTAAAGATTTGTTTCATACTTCTGTAGGGAGCGCTTGGAGATGGGACGAGCACACACAGGAATATTACCTCCACCTCTTTTGTCCAGAGCAGCCAGATCTTAATTGGGAGAATCCGGCCGTCCGCGCTGCCGTATATGATGCTATGTCCTTCTGGCTGAACAAAGGCGTCGATGGTTTTCGTATGGACGTTATCAACCTCATCAGCAAAGTTCCTAGTCTCCCGGATGCGCCGGTGACACTACCAGGCGAGCCATGGCAGCCGGGGACGCAATATTATGCAAATGGGCCGCGTATGCATGAATTTTTGCATGAGATGAGAAAGGAGGTATTGGATAAATATGACACAATGACAGTGGGTGAGATGCCATGGATTAAAGAGCCAGAAGAGGTGTTGAAAGCTATCGGGAGAGATCGGGAAGAGTTGGATATGGTTTTCCAGTTCGATATGTACGGAATCTAAAGATCGACGGCTCATCGTATCACGGCTGGGCTAACTGAGGGACAGCGTTGATATGGATCTTGGTGCGTCGGGAAAATTCACAAAGCACGACTGGGATCTAAAGGAGCTAAAGGGTATTGTTAACACATGGCAAACCTTCATGCAAGAACACGACGGATGGAATGCACTTTTCCTGGAGAACCACGATCAGCCGCGCTCGGTCAGTCGCTTTGTGACTGATAAGCCCGAATTACGAGGGTATGCGGCAAAGATGCTAGCCACATTTTATGCGTTACAAAGAGGGACCCTATATTTGTATCAAGGGCAGGAGTTGGGGATGTCTAACCTACCAAAAGAATGGGGAATTACGGAGTATAAAGATGTTGAAACTCTTAATCATTGGAATCAGTATGTTGACCTATATTACATGTGTTGATTATCATGCTAAGTGTGCTTTCTCAAAGGGTTCTCGAAGAGAGAGGCGGCAATGAGGTAAATATGGATGATGTGATGGAAATGATTCAATTTCGAGCTCGTGATAATAGTCGAACTCCTATACAAGTGAGTTAATGTGAACACATATATCTCAATTGTTCTTAAATAGAACTGACAGGTCACTAGTGGGATGATTCCGCCAATGCCGGGTTTACCACCGGAAACCCATGGATGCGTGTCAACGACGACTACAAATCCTGGAATGCAGCTCAGCAAATATCCGATAAAAACAGCGTGTATAACTATTGGCGTTCAGTTCTAGAGCTTCGCAAAGGTTACAAAAAATTATTCATATATGGTCATTTTAAGATGCTTACCTTAGATAACCAAATGGTATTCGCATATCAAAGAACCTTTGGGGGTGTAAGGGCTGTAATTGTTTCAAACTTTTCTGCGGAGGCAATTTCCTGGTCAACGGAGGATGAGGGATTAGACTTAAAGACCGCCGAGCGAATTATGGGAAACTACGATGACTCTCAGATCAATGATGGGGTTCTGCTTCTGAGACCACTGGAATGTGCGGTATTTATCTTTTAAACCACGTGCAGTTTTCAGGACCTTGCGAGATGGTATATTTGCTTCTCCAGTCGGCTCGGGGAGTCCGGGGAGGGTTGGATTACGGCTTTTTCTTTTCTTTTTACGATTGACGTTTCAGTGGTACGGCTTTTCTTCTAGTTTCATGTAGCCATCCGTTATACATTATAACGCAATACACATCAAAGTTATGAGAAATTCAGACGAACATATGTTTTTGATTGTCATAAATCCTGAACATGGCCCTGTAAGGTCCCTTCAAACAGTTTCGTTGGGCCTGCATAAAGCTACATGCAGGGGGAAAGTCTATTTCAACCGCAGTTTACCAATAAGTTGCTTTTTTGGACTGGTTTACTTGGCACGGAGAAGCATCATACACAATCAGAAGCCATCACAAGCAAGCCATTATTAGCCTACTGTCGTAGATCCCGCACTGGAGTTCTAGAAGAATGGAATTCCATACTTGTGACAGATCAGACAACTTGGCTTGGTAGCGAGAACGCTGTGGATTCGACGTGTGTGCGAACTCTATTGACAGCTAGCCAGCCGTGGACGACTAAAGGGAGAAGTTTCTAAAGTCCTTATTTTAATGGGGTGGCGGACCAGAGCCTTACTCAGAAGGCCTAGATAAAGCAGGTGGATACCTACTGCACCTAACCACTCAACGCTCACCAATCTCAAGTAAAGGAGAAAGGGAATACGGCCAGTATGCATGCATTCGTACAGAACTTGTACCTACATGAACTTAGGCTAATAATCTCCATGCAGCCACCTCTGTTTTGAAAGATCCCGGCATGGATCAGCTGAAGCTGGCTTAACCACGAATGCATTGGCTGCATAGACCCCTTATGTAACTGGTGCATTTTACCCCGGAGTAGACTTACGCATCCCCAGTTGACTCTCATCACTCAAAGAAGCATCTATCTTGCGGGGTAAAGCTGTAAGCCGTATTATTACAGGGGTCCCATTACACCTATTCACTCTCTGCCCCTGGTTTTCCCTACAAGATAATTTCCCCGCGTCAAAGAATTCCAAGTCGTCATCGATACTATACGATACAATACCACTCAGCTCCATTGTTCTGCTTTCGCCCTCTTCCCGAAAACAAAAAAAAGGTTCTTACTGCTTCCCAAGCTCCCCATACCATGCAGTCGAGTGGCTCCCACAATGTAACAGTTCTAAGACCGGAGCACTAACAATGTTCCCGTTCCCGTAGGCATCTGCTGTTAGTGTAGAGGCAAGGCCGACAACTACATACCTCCCTTCCCCCGAGAGCCCCAACAGCATCCGAGACGATCTTTTATGGAAAGATATGTCGGCATTTACAATACCCACCACCAACAATCGAGCCTGTGATTGCTGTAATAGACGGAAGGTCAAATGCGATAGGGGGCAGCCTTGTCAAAGCTGCTTTCGGGCAGAATTGGCTTGCACCTACGCCACAATACCTCGAAAAAGAGGCCCGAAAGGACCCGCGGCGAAGAGAATATATGCCATCAAGCAGGATCAACTACAGACAAGGGAGACAGCAGCGAGAGCCACACTAGAGGAGGCGGGCAAACCGAGAAACTACTCGCGTTCTCCAAGCTCTGATGCTGATGAGCAGGTGAATACCACCGATTCACTCCTCCTTCCGTTCATCCCACCTGGCTCGGGTGTTGGTGATGTCCAGTTTGATCCTACTTCTCTCTTTACGTCCTTTTTACGGTTTAATCATGCACCGAACATCCACTCAGGGATCTTTGAACCGCATCCGATGCTTGCGCGCTCGTCAATCGATGGATGCTTAGAGTTATTTTTCAAAAACATGTACCCAATCATGCCCATCCTTCATAGAGAATCCTTCGCCGTGCGACTTGCGAACTACCAGTCCGAACCAGAACTATATGCACTTGTATGCTCCCTGTGCGCCATGACGATGATCCAGCTATTCACCACTCCCGGCAACCATAGCGACCTACTATCGCCAATCTGCGAAGCACTAATTTCAGAATCATTAAGAGCAAGGAAATATTGCGACTACATCGGATCAACCTCTACCGAAACTGTCCTAACCTCTTTCTTCCTCTTTTGTTCATACGGGAACCTTGAAAAGAATAACCATGCCTGGTATTATCTCAGGGAATCTATATCTTTTGCGCAATCTATCGGGATGGATGACGAAAAGGGCTACATAAATCTTGACGTGGTGGAAGGCCAGCAACATCGGCGCATATTTTGGCTTTTATTCATTACCGAAAGGTGTGTCTTAACCCTACCTATTTACCTGCTTATTTAATCGTATGATGTTTCTTTTCTCGGTAAATACCCCAAACTAATCCAAACTCCTCACCCCTACAGAGCTTATGCGCTGCAGCGCCACCGGCCCCTCGGCTTGAGAAAAACTATATCCCTCCCTTCGCCCGACGATTCCCGCGTCGATCCAACTCTACTCAATAACTTCATCACCCTTGCAATGCTATTTCAAAACGTCGATCATTCTTTCCTCGATCTATGGAACGAGGGGGACGATAGTGAGTTTTCGGATAGCATGACCCTCAAACTTCATCAACAGTTACGGTCTACGATACCACCCGTAACTGATGCAATCAGGATTCAGAAAGCAGATATACTTGTAAGCCAGCAATGGCTACATCTGCTTGTATGGCAGTTGAGTCTGATTAAAGGATGTTTGTCGAGTATGGCACTAGTCGAAACCATGAGGTTACAATTTCCGGTTACAATTGCGAAGAGTGTTTTGGATGTTACATCGCGAGTGTCTGTAAGTGATTTGGAAGCACATGGCATTGGAATGGTACGTAGAATTAATCTTTCTAATAAATTAATTAGATCGCACCATATTAATCTAACTATTCACATGCACAAGTAATAAACGAAGTAAATACAAATGCTGACTTCACGCAGCAGGAGAAGCTATTCGATGTCGGATGCGCTCTCTCGGATGTTATAGTCTGTGTTCCAGACCTTGCTACTATATCAGCATTCGAAGTGAGCCCTAAAGATTGCCTTCATGAACTAATAGCCACCCTTGCAAATCTACGCGGAGGTCATTCCCGTTATTTGAATGCGTTGATCACGAAAGCAGATGGTGTCCTGCAACTAAATTCGCCATCGGCTACAACCTTCCAACCCTATCTAATGGAAACCAATGATGACCAAGACAGTTCCGAGAATGAGAGGTCCAGAACCATCTCACCGTCTGACTCCGATAACCTGACGGAGCTCCTGTATGTATAACGGTCGATCTGTTTGCACGGGCAATCTTTTATCCGGCTCTGAGCCTCAGGAGGTCTGCATGGAAATACTCCCCGCTATGGATCCTGGAAATTTTGTGTTGTGCCTTTTCTGTTCTGCTCTCAGATTAACGAGGAGGGCATACTCTTTTGATGTCAATGATGTTGTTGTATCACTATTTTCATAAATTTGTCATTCAGTAATCTTGATTCTACTGTTGATGAGGGAAGATGGCATCGGCAAATGGTATTTCGGGCAGACTAAATGGAGCAGATGTACCAAGATCTGGGACGGGGATTACAGATTTGTGATCAAAAAACAACGGCTACTACCAAATCTACGCTCTCTTCGGGGCGGGTGGGACACGCCATTTAGAGGTAATACTGACTGGGTACTATATCTGATACTGTAGAAGAAGCTTTGGATAACGCAATGCATTGTGGCGGCATAATCTATCCATCAAAAATTCAAAGTTTAGAAATCTATGAATAGAAACATCTCTCTTGAACAACTCTGCCAAGTCGCTTGAACCCCCCAAAGAAGAAAATCGAACGCTCTACTATTGGATCTTACAAAATAATCAACACACTAGCTCTATGTTTTCTTAGTCATCCAGCTCCGAGTGACTTTTGATGAAAAACGACCTGGTTACTGCAGATCACTTGAAGCAAATAACCAGGAACACGGATCCTAACAGAGTTTTTGGTGCTAATAATCGAAACGCGTGGGTATCAATTATCCCGCCTATGGCAAGCATGGGCGCACACTTCTCCGCCCGGGCCCAGCTCTGACCGAAATCCACAACGCTTGCTGCATTTCTTCAGACGTGGCATTTTTCCCAATGAAGCGCCGCGCTCGGCAGTTGCTAAATGACTGATGATGAATGAGAATGCTGTACACTTCATCACTTCCCCCATTTCCCCCTGCTCTGCTTGCTGCCTTGTAAAAGGAAGACAAAAAAGCAATTTCCTTTTTTTTTTTTTTTTTTTTCCTTTTCCCATCCTTTTTTCCATTGCTAACATATGTAGATGCAACTACCGCCTTTCATCAGTACAGCTTACCCTCAAAAGAACCAGAAAATGCAAGTAACGGAAACAGGGATTATTTATATAAAAGAACGACGCCACTCCATACAAATTATCCTTGCCCTGAGCAACTGCATTTTCTGGTTCTTACGCTGGTAAGCGTGTACATACACTGCTTCAAGATCCCGGGTACAGGCCAAACGTACATATGTGTAGTTTATAACGGCTGTGCAAAGACAGGTGGCGCATAAAAAACGAGTCCTTCTCATTCTCATTGGCTTTGTCCATGTATTTGTTACCGCTGCCAGATTAGGCTTGCAACAAGGATACCTTGGCGCCTCCTTTGCATTGAATGCACGCTTGGTTTGAACCCGGGATTTTTCTTCGATATCATGGACCGGGGCGTTCGGCGGAGTATTGAAAGCTCTCGGATAGCCAAGCCGTTAAAATGATGACCATCCTAGTCATATGAATTGAGACCAGCTGAGAATAACTTCTGGTAAGTTGATCTGATAGATACCGCAACACAGGGCTGCCACGCACAGGCTCTAATGGGGATGGGGTCTCTTTTCAGTCAAGGGTGGAGATATCAACTGATCAACTGGGGATGAGGAGAGATCTGAGACAAGGATTCTCCGTCCCAGTAGCAAACAAGAGTAACAATTATAGTTACCGAATTTGTCTCCCGTCAGAATTGGTCACACAATTTCCGAGGGTGATAAGTAATCTATATATCCCTTTCGACGTGTGGAGTAAAATCCGTGTATCTTTGAACTACTGACTCCACTATCTCCGTTCGTTTCAAGGGTGTATTGTTACCAGCCCCGATATATTGAGTACAGATAGAGTCCAAAATGAGGCCTGTGGGGTTGAATGGTACCTTACGAATATTGCGGACGGAATGGTCAAACAATAGCGGAGACCCCGTTTCGAGAAGCCTCCCTAGATACCCGCTATTAGATAAGCTCTGCGCATGTCTGCAAAATGCGGCTGAATTAAGACATACTCCGTGAGAGAACCAGGCAAGTAGAGCATTGGCGTTGAGCACGGACAAGTGAAGATTAAGTCAGATATTTCAAAACAATGGTAGGTATCGATCCTACCTGACTAGACTAACATTTGGAATTTAGCCGAGAGACCCCATGCCCTTGAGACATGCATTGCAGTACATACGTCTCTGCCGCAGGCGTTGTGATTAGAAAAAGAGGAACCACACAAACAACGGCTTGCTCATCAAAAAATGATAGCCCTTTTTTTTCTCGTCAGCCCTACTCCACGGTGAACAAGCAGCCCTGCCCTGCAATGATACGATTATTTTGGCCTGGTAAATAATTAAAACCATTCAGGTCTAGCAACATTATAAATCCTCGAAGATCTGGACGTTACCGAGATAGTGACCCGAATACTAGAAATATCATATCATGTGCCTCATCCTCGCAGAGAACATTCTGTTTTGATGTGACTACAAAGTTAGTTCCTGCATCGCGCTGTTAAGTATGCATACATACAGGAACTATGGCTACATACATCACACCTCTACATGTTATAGTTACGTGGAGTACCACCCATGTTCAACGAACGATCGAATTATAGGAATGATAATAAATTTAGGCTACATAAAGTCAGTCAGTTCGAGTGCTTGATGATGATCCTCATACATTACAATCAGTTTACAAGGTCCATCAGATAAATCGCTCACAATTCGAGCCCCCGTACAACCAGAATCCTAATAGGGAAATGTTAACCGGAGGAATGTCTTACATGATCGCCAGATGGTATGGCATGACGTCCGCGGCCGACGTTACCCGTGTAGAATCTACCTTACAGCATCTCTAGAAGGTTGGTACAGAGACAGAGTAGATTTTGAGCATAGACTTTTTTGCTCCACCCCGGATCCCAGGGAACAATGTGCCTAGCTAACTTTGTGTGGAGAAATTACAGCTGTATATGATTGACAGACTGAAGACAGAAAACGGTCAGCTAGGTATGTGTGTACTCCACTTGAGTTAGCTTATCAATAAGAATGGGGTACTAACTACTGTAGTATACCGTCAATATTTCAGGCATGCATTACTCGAAAAATTTAAAAGCCTTCTGAAATGGGACTTTTGTTCCAAATACGCGGACGCTCGGACCTCCTCTTCCCCTTCTTTCGCCCGCTTAGCTAGTATTTTCCTGATCGTATCTAACCCCCACGACAAGACAAGAAAGGAACAGGTCAATCATTCTGAATTCGGAGGCAAAGGAAAGTAATAATTGTTAATCAGGGGGTCTAGACGGTTTCCCGAAAAGCCCCGACTACTCCGCACCTAATTACCTTACCTGCATTCGCAACAGCTGTCTCACGAGCAACGATAATAATAAACACCAAATAAACAAATAATCGACACATACAAGGACATAGGCTCTAATTTGTTAGCAGCTTGCTAGCAGTACTCGCTGCGCCTCTCCCTGTCCATTCTGCCGAGAAGCTTCGTCACAAATCTGCACATCGGGCCAGGGAGAGAGAGTGATTTACAACTAGTACATATTACTATAGCTACTTTACATATTTAGGACATATATTTGTCCAAAACGAGGAGTGCTGACCCTCACCAATCGAACAATACCTAACTGTTTAATTGACGATGCGGCTACGGCATCTGCGGTCCAATAAGTGTACCCTGCTGGTATAAAGTACTTGCAGCCCGGGATGCCTGCCGTGGGTACTAACTGAACCTCATATAGAGTGCAGTATACAACTACATACAGTACGCAAAGAATATCCTCCCTTCCATCTACAGGTAGCCAAGTAGGGGAGTGCATCTGCGGGACAATCCTGGACATCTGCGGTACCGCATGATCATGATCTACCTACCAAGAAAACCATCCATCTTCACTCGGGATCTTATCGTCCGGCCCTAGCATACTCTACCTAGTGGTGCACCGGTGGCTGAAGTCTTAATCCCAGTGCGTGAAACGGAAATACTCACGCCCACAGACGTATGTCGTACCGTGGCGCCAGTAGATTTGGAGACCCAAGTTCTGAGATCTCGTTCAAACAGGCCAATTGACCCTTGGCTTGGGCATTGCGAACGTGCGGTACATGTTGAAGGGCCGAACCCCTTCCCGCTTTTCCGGGGTGGGGGGGATATGCCGGATCGGTTTTCGCCTCGGGGGTCTAACATTGGTCTTCCTCCACCAACTAACCAGTACCCGCCACACACCTAGACCCGTAGTGAGTCGAGTCGGCCGGTGAGAAAAGGCTTAATTGGACTAGTGCGAGCAAAGTTATACAACAAATACGCCAAACTTCTACTGGCTACATTTGATCGTTAGACCAATGACTAGAGCACTCTACAACGCAAAAGAAAAAAAAAAGGAAAGCAAGAACCCACTTCGGAAATCTCGATCTCAAAAGAAGGTTTTTGACATACACGCGGTGGAAGGGATGTAGAATGAGACATGTAGGCGCCGTAGCGTTAGACTCTCGTTCCCCGTACGTCCACACGTGAATATTATGAGACAGCTAATTTTACACGGCCAATAGATCCTCCTCACTCACGCTAGAACCGTTCTTGTCTTTAGCATCGGACAACCCGTAACTACGTACATGTAGGTACTCACTTGTCAAGAGGTACCGATAATCATAGAGCAGTTTATGCGCTAACTGCAACTGCAAGACATGGGGGGGGGGGGGGGGCCTTTCCTCAATACGGTTGAGATGTTTTGAAACCTCCTCTGGGCATGATATGATGTTGACACATTATTAGTAGCGCCCTGGTAGTACCTATGTAGGTACATCAAATAACTACAATTAATAGACCAGGTTGCATATTTGCCAATTTCCTTCCATTGGTCGCAGCAGAAGATCTCTTCATCGCCGTGGTTGATTTGCGGGACTAATCCTGACTAGCTGCCGAGTGCCGTCGTGGTTGATGATAGCAGCATGGCTTTGAACGGGGAACTTCCCTACAGTGGAACATGAAGAAGTCAGAACCCCGTCACATCATATCATATCATATCCATCAATCAATCTGCTGTACTCCACAAAAGACGCAATAAATATAATATATCAGGCAACACTTATAGAATTGTTTTTCGCAATCTTTATACTATATTAGCTAGCAATGAAATATCTCATGGCCCGTGGTGGGAGCAATAATAGATCGTTGTTGTTATTAGTTTAACGGCCCCCAAGAAGAGAAATAATGCCCGACATGCGGAAGCTGTGGCTTTATTCCTGCGTGGCGCTTACCACATTCATCGAAAATAACCCGTACTTACCCACAGCTGTACCTGTAACCTAACTCTTTATGTGAGCATAAATTAAAATCGATATCCACAGTACAATCGCAGGAAACAATGCAAGCAACATGTACAAATATTACGGGGAACCTTCCCCCCTAATATTAATAAGCTCTATGTAAGTAAGTAAAAAAGAGTGTCTCGGTCAGTAATCCGAACGAGCAAAACACAATTAACAGACCGGAGAAAAGGGAGATACCTACTAACAGGAAAGAAGATGGTTGCCCTATAATTTAATACGAATCCAGAAGATTGCACCGAACGGAGTACCGGTGGTCTGGTTGAGGGTCATGAAGGGAAAGTATTAACCCCCATCCTGAAACTCCCGACTAGTAGAAGCTAAGCCAGTAGATCACCCCTCCCCCCCCCTCCCCCCCCTCCCCTCCCCTCCCCTCTGTCCTTCCATCCAGCCATCAACCCCCGCCTCATCAATCCGGTAATTCTTCGCCTTTTTGTGAGGTGTGCGCGTTGCAGTGTGCGTGGTTCCTCGTCACAACAGAATTAGATACCCGCCCTGCCCTAAGTGGCTTTTTTAACGAGAATTACTGTCTGAGCTCTCCCTGTCTCACGTTCTGTCAAGTATGTCAAGATTTTAACATGTAGCTAGTGTTGTTTAGTTGATAGCCACTAAGGTCAGGTTCAGACAGTCAAAGAGAGAGGGCCTATGTATGTAAGAAATGTAGCCCCCATATAGTGCAAAGCTAGAGCTTAGACCTATAGATCTTCCCCTTCCCAGCTTCACATGCCAGTTACTCACCGCAAGTTTGTCACACAAGGGAAGGATCGCAGGTAAGGAAGGATATTTGTGGGCTGATACTGACTGCCTTGGCGGAGGGAGTGGAACTTTGGTGAGCTAAGCCTTCGATATAGTATACAATCCAGGTCACTGGTACAGTACAGTACATAATGTACTCTAGGTACGGGTCAAGTTGATTACAGAGGACTTGCACATTGTTCGTTCGTTATATAGCAACTGGACGGACCCGCATGAAAAATTTTATAATCGCACGCCTGTGATTTGGAGCAAGGGTTGGAGTATATTGATATATCATCTCTCGATCCTCCTTTCCACAACCTAAATCTTTTTCAAGATTATTCTATCACGCACACGGCATCACACAACTTGAAAATCCCACATTATCATCGACAATCATCGACATCATCATCATCATCAGCATCACCGTCTCCAACACCACCGCTAACACAATGTATTCCCCGCCAAACTCGAGCTCGACCAGGCGGAGCATAGCAACAAGACAGAGAGTCTCTCGTGCGTGCGATCGATGCAATCATCTTCGCGTAAAGTGTGATGGTCAGAGGCCCTGCGAGCACTGTCTGGGTGAGTTGTTCATTTCCGCCACCCCTTCATCCTTCAACAATACCTGTAGGCTCGTATACTAACAGCCATGACTGTGGTATCAGTATATGGACTAGAGTGTAAATACGAGCGGAGGCAGAAGAAGCGTGGCAAAGGTTCCTTGAGAATTAACTCTGGTGAAAACTCAAGCACGAACCCAAACGAACCGATGACACCCACCACCAGCGTAAACTCACCATCATCAAGCCCTACCGCCTTCCATCTCTCAATACCTTCAACACATCTATTCTGCCCCGAAGACAAAGACGGCTATCACAACGAGTTTGTTAGCGTTGCTTCGAGTGAACAATCATCGCAGCACTGCACACCAGAACCCCCGTTCTCCTCGTTATATAAAGCCGATCCGGAGACTACTGTATATACGAATGGAAGATCCCGTGGCAGTGGAGGTTTACAGCAACAGCATAAACATTGTTTCGAAATCCCAGAACCAATCAGCTATGCCCCTCAGCTATTGAACCGGACACACCCCGGACCCTTCGACCCGGCCAAATGTACGACTCCGACTCCTCCCTCAAACCCGGTGCCTATGACCCCGCCTGAAGGCTATCAGATGCTTCCGTATATGCCTCTTTGTGCCAACTGTCACTGTAATCCCTCGGTACGGCTATATCCTGGGTCAATCTTGTGGCTACCAGTGGCACAGTCACAGCTGGGCGACGGGTCGGAGTACAGCGGATTAACGATGTGTGAGGGTGGCACATACTGCTTCCCAGACCAGCAGAAGCCTATCATACGGGAGTCATGAGGTTGGATTCATTATGTGTTGGGGGTAGAACTTAGTTAGGGCTTGGGGAAATGCATTATTTCGTTTGTTTTTGGTTATTGGGTGGGAGTTGAAAAAGTGATTTGTCGGGCGGTTGGGGTTGCATCTGTATCTGGTCCGAGTTGGGTGGCTCTCAGGAGAGATTTTTTTTTTATCGAATTTCATGTATGTGTGGGGGTTTAATTCTGCTGGACAGGAGCAAGGCTTGTTCAGGAGCTGCATGTAGAAATTTCTGTTTGGCCTACTACTATGCCGTATATATTGGGGACGTTTTCTTTCCTTTTGATATTGATAATAGTGGAGTGGAATATATTATATTTACCCATAAAAGATATTTGACCTCAAGCCTGTGAGTTTTTGGTTTCACCATTAACTCGTTCTTCACTCGTTGTCACTCGGCACTCTATACTCACTCTGTACTCACTCTTTACCTTACTTCTGACCTACAACACGACGCCATTGATAAGTCAGTGTCAACTTCTCTTCACGATGTCTCCAATTTTTGCGGAGAAGAGTAAAACAAAGAAATTATAAGCCATGGCTAATCCCCATTACCTCAATACGAATGACTTGATAAACCCACTGAAACACTTTTTGAGACAATGATCTGTATCACGACGGTCGACGGCGTTGAGCGGCGTGGGGGTTGCCGAAAAAATCACCGCGGACCCGCGCGTCCGGCCCACTTATAATTCAAAGGTCGAACGGAAAATCGTAATGTGAATCACCTGCTTAACCATCGCGAACCGCGTGTTAGTCAAGTGCATGTAGTAGGGAAAACTCTCCGGTATCATAATCATGGGGCTCAAATTTGTCTCTAACAAGTTGCAGCTGGACCTTCGCTAAATCATTGCCGCGCCGAGAGGCACGACGGAACTTTCCATCAACGGTGATCCAACATGTCTAATTGTCCTCGGAATGCCTGTCAGACTAGATGAAGATAGATGCCTCTGCATACATACATACATACATTCATACATACCTCGGAGTGAACGCGCGGGGTTTTGTGCCTGCTTCTAGAAATTGAGAAGGGAAGGGCGTTTATTAGCCTTATGTCCAATGAAAAAGATCTCAGGAAAGGGTCCAAATGGCATGTAGTAACGACCTTTTTCACATGTCCAAGTTCCCCTCTCCATATGGCCTAGTCATCGGCTTTCCCCGGGGCTATTCTTGAGCAGGTAACGACGCGTGAACGATCTACGTGTACTGTTGCATCAAGCACCGATTTAAAGTTAAGGAGGCTCCGAACGGTTTGTTGCACTGAATTCGGCTACTGGGATCGCTTTTTACGTACAGCAATGATACCGAACGTGGCCGAGGTCGTAATTGGCAATTCGCATCCAGATTCTGATGTTTTGACCCCTGATGCTTTTATCAGAGGCTTGTCTCATGTTCTTCAACGTCCTTGATGCATATGAAGATCATTCAACGAGATTCTCGGCCTCGGCCACGGGATGTGTATGTGGCCCCTGTGATGAACGCACGTGCGTTTAAAGCTTCTTCTTTCCTTATTCCTCCATCTTAGCAAGGATACTCTCCATAAGGATAACGGGCCAGTGTTGCAATGCTGCCAAGTTGCATCAAATCCATCGCCACATACCGATCAGGCTTGATCAAATCGATAATTATGGAGACCAACAATATCGAGGCCGAGGCAGAAAAAGAAAGGATGCATCATGGGACAGATTGGAAGAGGAAGATCCTGGCCCAGGTTAGTAGTCCTCACGTTGTAGTAGCATATGGCTTGGCCTTAGCCTTATCAAATTACATAACCTTATTACCCCCACAACATATTCTCCAGGATGACCCCTCGAGGGGACAATAGTAGAAGGCTGTTATTCGACTCGATCAATGCATGGTGACGGTGGCGGTGCACATCTCTCTCAAAAAGGTTGACTGTTCCTTGAGGCCGTTTTATTTACACTAGTTATTTCGGGTCTTGGTGTATCAAGTGACTATGTGATCGTTCTTTTTAGTTATATCTATAGAAACTGGAAATCTACCGAAGGGTGGTTCCATGTACGATACCTATGATAATGCGTTGGAACGGGCAGAGCACCGATTTCAGATGTGAACCCTTACAGTTGTGCATTGAGAGCGTTACCAACGGCTCTGTACAACTACCTGAAGTCACATATACATTTTGATGTAGATGTACGTTTCATCACATGATACATACCGTGCCGGCCAAAACGTGAATTTGACGAGTTGTTGCAGGTTCCTCAAAGCTAGGATAACGCTTGAAAACTGGGGTACGCAGCTAAGCTTTCTTACGACATGATAACCGACCTCGTTATCAGTTAAATAAGCGTGAAACCGCATGAGAATACATACGCATTGTCTTGAAAGTCAAGCCACGAGACCCGCCTTAAAACTGTGTTGCCCTGAATGATATGCATGGGAGCACATATCACTTCAGGCAGAGCAGAAAGTTGAATGCGCAACCTTCGAAAAGAAATCGCTATCTTGATGTTTCATGTGTCATCCACATCCAGTCTTCATAGTTCTAAAATTTTGATACCTAGTCAAATCAGCAACAGTTATAATAGCTCGTTAGAATCATTCACCTTTTCCGCGGAGTCAATATAGAAAGAGAGGGCTGGATCTATACAACGTTCAGCTAGTATGTCCCCTCTTCCATCCAACAATCGGTCCTGCAGTCACCAACAAAGCCTAATAACTATTGGGACATTGTTATTCCCTGGAAAAAGATTTGGCTGGGAACCTTCCGGCAGCTACGACTGCAGATATGGTACTCAACACTCTTTATTCAGGGTTTGTACTATCAACGCATGTAAGCCATTTCTCTCAGTCTGTGATATCATAAAGCATCACTCGGTCTTGGCAATATCAACAAACCATCTTTATCGTTCGTAACTTATCATAGAGTTTGCTCTTTCAATAGGCAATTATCATCATTATAGACACATTCCTTTAAGTGCCATCCACTCCATATTATGGAATCCCCGTCCGATCCCTCTGCCGCATGGAAGTGTTGAAACCCTACTGGCTTGGCTGAATGCCCTCAAGGTAAACAAAGCTAGCTTATATACTGTCTGTAGTAGGTGGATTTGAGTGGTTTAAGACTGAAAATAAATGGTTGTTTAGGAATGGAGCGAAGAAGACCTGAAAACACAGGGGGGTAGAAGGAGTTCGTGTTTTACTTAGCCAGACGGTTTCAAAGTCTGGTCTTACCGACATCTGGGATCCAAACATTAGTTCTAGTAGAATCAACGATGAAACATTTCTTGTTGCAGAAGAGTTGAATTTTAGCGCTATTTATAGCCCGCGTTTCACAGCTTAGTCCTGGTCTCCAAGGTCACGAGGGTTAGGGTTAATAATAGTGTCCTCCACTATTGATTGGTTATCTCGATAAACAACTAATAGCCCGAGATTAGACACCTTTCCTCTTGGTAGCGACCTTGAAGTGGTAGATATTGGTTAATGCTAGCAGCATCGAAATCACCAGTAACAAAATTGCTCACAAAATCTCCAGGATGTCAGTGGTAGACTGCATGAGAGATGATCAACAAACCAGGTTCTACATATACACTTCGAGATAAGTGTATCATTTTCAGCCGGCCGATAATGGAGCATCAAACCCAAGAACATCTTTCTGGAGGGTTTTTAGGACTAGACTCACAAACACTCACTCGATTAATGTTTCCGAGCAAGACAAACCAGAACCTACCCCCCCCCCCCCCCCCCCCAGCTCCCCCTGCGAGACGAGGCGATATCAGGTTCTGGTCCCCCGGAAAGCTATATCGCTGGATAAATGAGTTGATCAAACATTGTAAAGATGTATGTGGACCTAGGACTGTCAGTCATGCAAAAAAGGGTGCCTGAGTGATCAAACTGAATAGAAGCTTTGGGAAGGCGGTCCAAGCTCAGGATACGGTCGATTAAGAAGAGATGGCAAAACCGATCGGACGGCGATCGAACAAGAAGGACCTTTGTTTGTCAATACAACGGCGCTTAGGTTGTAGAGCAATCAGTTGCTCGCTTGAAAATATGTGTGTTTCCGTCGGTTCATAGTTACCCCCAGGTTAACTGTAGATATGGCTGGAGGATAGGGCAATATAGATCGTACGTATATCAATGAAATCCTCTGGGAGATGATTCGGCAACCTTGGAAATTAGCCAGTGTGCTACCGATGTAGTCTTATGCCCGTCATCGAGGGAAGAGGCCTACTAACGATGGTGCTGACGGAATAGTAAAGTCGCTTCAATACGCGCTACAGAGGGAAACTTGTTGATAAAGGCGCCGCTATAGAGACTAGAGTTCTGTTAGAAACAGTCATTGTAGGACTCCGCTCGGGATATTTATACTTTCTAGACTTACAGGAAGTAATGACAAGGTTTCGTCTCCTTGTACGGACACCGACGATATAGATGCTGAGAACCTATTCCTGAACAGCGGTGATCTCAAGCCGTCGGTATCGTGCAGTGATGTTCATGACAGAATACTGCCCCTTGATAATTTGGTCAAGCTGCAGATGCATGTATGGAGGAAAATCAGTTGGAGAAATGGGCACGATCCTATCCCCTGCTGGTCGGTGAGCACCAAGCTGTAGTAGAGGTTGGGCACGAGACTAGGAGATGAGCAGGTCTGGAAGGGAGACTGGAGATGACGTAGGCCACACACTTACCCGATGTTTGCTTGTCGTTTAGACTGGTCTAGGCCAAGACATTCCAGCACCTTCCCTTTTCACCTTCCGTCAACCTTCTCCAAGGTCTATAAGATGAGTATTGGCTCTGGGCCGGATTAATTCACCAAGATGATGGCTTGTATCGATTACTATTCTAAATCCCCACTGGAGCGCTATACCTGGAAATAATAAGGTTAAGTGTAAAAATATTTGACATGTGTGTCATGCTTTATCTTGCCGCTGCACGTTAGTAGCGTCTCTTCGTTGGTATGGACTCTCGTTTCCCTACAACTTAGAAGTTGAGTGCATCGGTAGCCATTTGCTATGTTTGAAGGATCTAAAGTTTGGCGGAAGAAGTTCTCCTGTAATATCGGAGGTAACGTGGTCCTCGAGCCGGCTTGGGATTGAAATGGAAAAGGGTTGTCCGGCCTGTGAAAAGCGAAAGTCCTCGATCTTGTCTCGAACTGAAAGAATATCTACTGCAACTTGTTTTTATGACGTATACAACTATTCTCAGTTCCCTCCTGAAGGACTGAAATCTAACTGTTCGATCCTCTTCTCTACCTCAACCATTTCACCCCCCATAAACTCCGAGTTTTCGTATTAGGACAGACAAGGACAGACAAGTCCCTGTGAAATCTAAGCATAGGGATATACAAGTGCTATATCAACGTCTTAAGCCGACTCAAGTCGCATTTCAAACGAGCTCAAGGTCTTCCCGACTTGTGAAAAACCGAGCCAATAGTTCAAGCCCAGTCCTCGAGTCCGCTTGTCTCGTGGACCACACTAACCCGGGCACCATATACACAGAATTCAGCGTTCTGAGACTTTTGGCGTGTCTTTTGTGTGGGAGGGTCGCGTATACTGCCCGGCCGCGGGAGTTGGGTTTCAGTATGTAACATGTGTAATACGTGTATATTTGAAGAGTGCGACTTTCATGATCATAGTTGATTTTTGATTCTTGCACGGTGCAGTTAAAGGTTAGAAAATCCCTGTGCTTTTCTATCGTTTTTCGCGTCTAATCATAAACTCATCCAAATTTAAAAACAGCCACCGCTCAGATAGGAAACCCACACCGCAACAAACAAAAGCGACGAATCAAGTCTAGCACCATTCAGCGTTCTACACCTTGTAACCATAGCTCCCTCCTTAGTACCCGCCAAGAACACAAGCCACTACTGTATCTCTCAGCACTAGCCAAATCCGCTAAAATCCAATTATCACCACCTATCACTCGGCCTTGGCAACACTTCCTTCTTTCTTCGCCCCTTCATTTACTTTGTACGTACACCCAGTGTTTCCCTCCTCCATGTCTCAACTTCTCCTGATCTTGCATTCTTTAAGACCCAATCTTTGAGGCACCTCTCCCCGTGCGGCCAAGGTATCTTCCCGCCATCAACCAAACATATCTTTCCGCGCCGCGTCCGAATCACGCCAAGCTTGAATGCGGCGGTGAGATCTGTACATGTTGCTTTACGATGGCCAGGGAGGCCGCACCAAGTACAGTAATGCCGCTTTTTTGGCGGTGTGGTGGGAGAAGATGTAGGAGAGGGCACGGAAGAGGGCGTGGATGAGGGCGCGGAAGGGATATTAGGCGAGGGGATGGTAGTGAGGATGCTGAGGATTTCGGGGAGAGTGTAGATTCGTGTGGGTAGGTGCGCCATTTGAGATGGTATGTGTACTTTAGGTTGTTGACAATGTTGAGGGTATATACCGATCTCTAAGCATATAACTTCAGCGGGATTAGAAAGTAATCAACAAAGCACGTCATTTATACCGGTGCCCAACACTTACCTCTAAAACGCAACTAGTCCAGAAGTTCCAGTTGATTTTGAAATAAGGATGAATGTGGGGTTCAGGGCGACTTTATCTATAATCCCCAGTGCCCTCACAATGTTATAATTAGTGAAGATCAACATCTAGGGTGCCAAGATCCTAGGTTTTAAGTAAACAACACAAGGTAACTTTGGCGGAGCATCGGGATGCTAGTGGATTGTTTAATTTCAAAATTAGGACGATCATATTACTCTATTCAGCGCGCCAAGTATCGATCCCTATGATATTCAGCAAAGATAAACTGTAGTAAGATCAATCATTTCCCTTTCGTGGCCTAACATGCCAATTTTAAGTTTTTCCCCGGACCGAGGAACCGGAAGATCCAAGATACAACTCTTGCAAACGAGGATAAGGTTAATCGGCATCCATGTCGGTGTTGGGTGGCCCCCGGATAATAGGGGAATTTAGCTGCATCAGATAGAGTAAATTGCAGATCTGTGGGGGAGGCCGAAGGTTAAGAGGTTCAAGAGTAGAAGTTGATAATATAATCCTTGTAGAGAAACGTCACGATTCCTGGTTGACGTTTCAGGTTGTTGGGAGGGTGTACCGAACCATGGCTTGCAGCGGGCGGGTCTGTGTGACGTGCTTTCTGACGACAGCGCTGCGTGTTGGATGTAGGCGATGTGGTCATTGTGTCCGACTGAGCAGCATATCGTCGAGATTTTAACTACATGTAGTCTGTATCTGCTTTTAATTCGATCTTTGGTCATGAAACCCCAGGATTTCTTTCAACCCGATGAAAAATAAGAATTTCGGGTTACGAATTAATCGTACTCTCTTATCCCTAGGAATGTAGTAGCGAGAGATATTCCGGGTTTCATTAATCTAATGATCAACTCTTTCATGCCGGTCCACCCTTAATATAAATATCATTATTACATACCGTACTACTGGCTATCTCTGTCTAGGGATTACTACTTGAGTGATTGGTTGAATGGCATCGATCTGCTTTAGAAATTTCTCATACAAGAAATTTTGATCTAGCTAACTTTTCGAGTTATGGCGGTATATCTTTGGTACGGTTTTGGTCAAGCAAATATGATCTGCTGATATGTAACTACATGTACATAGTGTAGCGACTCCTCGAGATGGGATTTCAGCTCCAAGCGCCAATTTTCCAGTATATACAGGCGTGTTTCAGAAGAGGAACAATCGTATGGAATCCTCGGGCATCAGTAACTTGAACGACAATGATGATTTTACTACTAGTCATTATTTCCTGCTCTCGAGAACGAAAGAATTACATATTCACTGTCAAGCAAGGCTTGATTTTAATCTCACAGATCGCGTGCCTATTTGAACAAGTACTGGTTTTGATACAATGTAGAATATAGTACCTCTTCGGGACTTTGCATGGCACTAACTACATGTATCGTAGGTACATGTATGTAGGTACAAATACGGCGCTTCAGTAAGGCATCCAACTATTAAGGCCCACCCCCTGTTTAGGTTAGTCCAGTACATGTAGGGCCAAATATTCTATTGGCTAGGATTTGCTTACATGTATTAGACCGCACGCACCCGCAGCAGGTATTAATACCCAAAAATACTGCTGTCGCAAGAAGAAGCACAGTCTACCTTGTCCGCTATACCGAATGCCAATAAAGCCACAAACCTGCCATTACGAACAGGTTTTGGTGATCCGAATTTCAACTTCACATAGAAAATGATGGAACTTTATCTACTGTACCGAATAATCTGCTGTATCAAACAAGAAATTTTGGAATATGCAGGTTCATTATAGCGGAGGGAGACTGCACTTAGTTCTTCGCTTTTTCAATATGCGCACATGCACTATTAATTGGATGCAAACACACACAGGGCTATTTTTCATTGAGTCAATTACGTCCCTTATTCAGGCATCCATTTAACAAAAGAAAGTTTGGTTAAGAGCAGTTTGCTTCCATCTATCCTTACCCTCTTGCCCCAACTTTTACTCTAGTTCTCAAACACAGACGCCTCATATAGAAATTCTATACCAATTCCCTTCGATATACCGGCCACACATCTCATTACTCTCGCCACCAATCAAATTTCTTTCGAAACAAAATCTGCTAATCCTGTCTATTCCTTAGATCTTTGACATCATGTCTTTCTCCTCCTTTGGTACGCCTAACCGGAGGAAGAATACTAGTGTTTGCAAATTCTTCGGGAACGGTGGCTGCAGAAAAGGCGAAAGATGTGAATTTAAACACGAAGGGGGAGGTGTGCCGGCCAACTCCTCTACCTCGTGGCGTTCCGGGGATAGCCGTGGAAACCGGGGTATGAGCTGGGGTCCTGGAAGAGGAAGAGGACAGAGCTTTCAATCTGATCGTGGAGGGGGATCGAACCGTGGAGGGGGGTCGAATCGTGGAAGGGAATGGGATCGTGGAGGAGTTTCTCTTGGATCAGAACCATCTTCATCTGGGAAAAGAGTATCCGAGTTAAGCATCCGGCCTTCTCGACCGACCCAGAACGGAGAGGGCTGGGTAAGATATGGAGATTGGGAAGATAGGTTTGGTATGCATACGAAGCAAAGTGCCTCCACAATGAGATGCTTTTGGGAAGAGGCGTTGGAAATTGTGGAAGGATCGGATCCCAATCTTATCCAAAAGGTTGTAGGGCGGTTGATTGCAAAGGATAACATCGGTCGACAATTGATAGAGCAGGTAGTGAAGAATGGTTATTCGGGCTCTCGACCTGTCCTTGATTATCTATTAATCTCAGTTCCTTTCCTTCTCGTACTCACTCACCCGGATCTCATCAATTCCCTTTCAATAGATCGCCAGGTCGGGACAATCTACAACTATCTATATGGAACTGATGGAAGCACCTGCCTCACCTTTTTTAGAAACCTTGCTACACAGCTCGAAAACGAGGCGGCGATCGATGCCCGAAAAAGCGCCATATGGAAATCTGCTGATGTCGGGAAACCCATGAGCTTCTCAAAGGCACTTGCTTGCATTGTAGAGGGGCTTCGACACACTCTGAAGCGTAACGTTCATGCCGGGTTCAATGAGGACTATAAAACCCTTGCTGAATCTTACTGTGCTCTGGCACGTCTCGTCACTCAAAATGACGAGTTTTATCCATCTATCAATAGCTCTTTGACAGAAATCATCGGTATTCATCGAAGAGCCAATTTGATTATCGTACTTCCTACAGCAACACCCACGAAAGACGAAGAGGGGAGAGTTGTTGTATCCTCTTTTCCAGTGGAGGTCGATTACCCGGGATATTTATCAACGCAGGGTCGCAGACACGATAACGATCTTGTGTCCATTCGTCAAATCCAGATTCTACCCACCCTCGAAGAGATACTTAGCCCGAGAATGGGGTATCTTCCCTACAAGAACACTTCTTACCCGCACTTCCTGGATGGTGTTGACCGACTTTTTGATACTCATTTTCGCCTCCTCCGCCATGATAACGTTGCAGGCCTGAGAGATGCTGTTGGCAAGGTTTTCAACATACTTCAACTCCCACCTCAAGAAAGGGCCACTGCAATGAAGAAGGCAAGTCTTGGAAATATGCAGGGGCATCTCTATACCGATGCATCTGTCGCTTTTGCAAAATTTGACCAGCGTCAAGGTCTCGAGCTAGTATTGAAGTTTCAACAACCACCAGCCGCAGCCCAAAAAACACCTGAGGGGCAAATGGAGTGGTGGGATAACCAGAAATCACGGTTTGACCGAGGGACTCTGGCATGTCTTGTAACCAAGGGGCCCAATGATTTTTGCCGTATTACATTCTTCACCATCTCTAAGAAGGAAACCAACCCGTCAAAGGATGATGGACTTGCGACTGGGAGATATGGCCACATATCCGCCCAGCTAGTCCGCTCAAAGAAGGAAGGGGGTCGCGATTGCAAGGATATTGAGGATTCCGATATGGATTTTATTCTCGGACGATTATCAAGACACGCAGTACCTATGACTAGCGTTTTAGTTAACTTCCCTAAAATTATTCCAGCTACGTTTCTTCCGGTTCTGGATAATCTTCAGCAACTCAGTGCACAGGGCAATCTTCCATTATCCCAATGGATTACCCCTAGTTCTGAAACGATGCTGATAGGCTCTGATTTCTCCCAGGATAACCTGCCTCCAGCATATTCGCGAGCCACCACTTTTCGTTGGGATCTCGGCCCTATCTTGAAAGACCAGTTGAATGATCTCTCTTTATCTCCAACTACCCAACCTGATGACCAAATGGTTTTGAAAACTCTGGAGGAAATGACGACATTGGATAGTGGGCAGTGCAAGGCTCTTATTACGGGATTGACGAAAGAAATGTCTCTCATCCAAGGTCCTCCAGGAACTGGTAAGAGTTATGTCGGAGTTCAGATTGTCATGGTTCTGCTTCACAATAAGCAATGGTCAAATATTGGACCAATCGTATGTGTGTATGTATCTTCCGTGATCACCCATCACGCATGTTTTGAAATATATATTCTAATCTTAAAACGACGACTTTCTAGTTGCTACACAAACCACGCCTTAGATCAGTTCCTCGAGGAGTTAAAAGAGAAGGGCATCAAAAAGATAATCAGGGTTGGCGGTCAATCAAAATCGGATGAAATCGCAGGATTCAATCTGAAAAACGTTTCTAAGGCGGCGGAGAAAACACGGAACGAAAAGGATAGTATATACGGGCATCATCAAAACCTGGAAGCTATTTCGGAGCAAGCCCAAATGCTTTGCAGAGAAATTCGCAAAAATCCTGATTCATGGGACGCCATATCTCCGATCCTAACGAGAGAATTCCCCAATCTTCGCTATCAACTTTTAAATAACGAGGGTGAATTTTACATTAAAGCTCAGGAGCAGGCGTGGGCTGAAAAAATTGAAGAAAGAAAGGAGGAGATTGAGATCAAAGGCGAAAACAGGTGGGTAGCTCCAACTGAGAATCCATGGCAAAATGTCAGTGACGACGCCTGTATTTGGGATGCATGGAGAGGCCTGAAGAGTGGTCCAGTCTGGCAATATCGAAATAGAAATATTACTAGTGCTGTTTATCCTCTACGCACACTTGAATCAATTGTCAGTTGTACAGATATTTGGTCTCTGCCTTTTGAAGAGAGACGTATATTAGTAGAACACCTTTCCAAAAGAGCAGCAGAATCTAAAATACGCCGTCTTTCCACCCAAGCTCAAGGATTTACGATCGAAGCGGACGAGTTGCATGCACAATATAACGAAGTGGACCGCCGTTGCCTCGAGCAAGCAGATATAATCGGTATCACGACTACTGGCCTAGCAAAACAGGGTGCACTTCTAAGAAGATTGCAATCGAAAGTTGTTATTTGTGAGGAGGCCGGTGAAGTCTTGGAGGGACATCTCATCAATGCTATTCTCCCCACATGCCAACATCTTATTCAAATCGGAGATCATCAGCAGCTACGACCCCAAATTAATTGTTTTCAAGACCTTTCGTTAGAAAGTAGAGATGGTACACCCTACAGCCTTGACGAAAGCATGTTTGAAAGATTGGTACGAGAAAGACCTGATCTGGCACCCGCACAGCTTAACATCCAGCGACGCATGCGTCCCGAGATCTCGAGACTCATTAGAAATACCTTATATCCAGATCTTCAGGATTTTCGGAATGTCAGCGAATACCCTGACGTCGTTGGGATGAGGAAAAACGTTTTCTGGCTGGACCATATTCACCCAGAAGAAGAGAGTGATGATTTTGGCGTTAAAATGGGATCACACAGTAATCACTGGGAGGTTGAAATGACCCATGGGCTTGTGCGGCATCTTGTTCGGCAATCCCACTACTCCACCAAGGATATCGCAGTCTTGACGCCATACACGGGGCAGCTCCAAAAGCTTCGCCGGGCACTTGGAGCGAGTTTTGAGGTTGTCTTGAGTGAAAAAGACAAGGATGCTTTGATCCGAGATGGCCTGGACGAAAGCGATAAGCCAAAAAGGGATTCGAATGGTATATCTGTAAAGCAGGCTACTCTTCTGGAGGCGATTCGCATTGCTACGGTGTAAGCTATTTCTGACCCATTAGAAATTAAACTTACTGACATGCCGAACTGAAAACTTGTAGTGATAACTTCCAAGGTGAAGAAGCCAAGATCATCATTATATCCTTGGTTAGAAGTAACGAGAAACGAAAAGTTGGTTTTCTTAGAACTACAAACCGTATCAACGTTCTCCTAAGGTATATCTATCTATATATACTAGCACCCTTCGGTTTCTGATACTTTGGATATTTATAGTCGAGCAAAACATGGAATGTACCTTATCGGAAACGCAGAAAGTGCGGGATCAATAGCCATGTGGCGGGACGTTTGTCAAATGCTCCGCGATACCGAGGCCATTGGAAAAAAAATCCCTCTTCTTTGTCCCCGTCATCAAGAGACGCCGATAGAGGTTGAGGAACCCCAAGACTTTTTACGGTTATCCCCTGAGGGCGGTTGTGATCTGACTTGCGACAAACGACTCGACAACTGTGGTCACCGTTGCTACAGCAAATGTCACTCAGATGGAATGCACAATACTGTTTCTTGTGCACAGCAATGCAATAGGCTCCATGAGACCTGCCAACACCCGTGTCAACGGCTTTGTAGTGAGGATTGCGGACGATGCGAGACGCTAGTATACAATTTTAGGATCCCCTGTGGCCATCTCGAAAAGAAAATTGACTGCTGGAGGACGCTAACTCCAGAAGATATCACTTGCATAAAACTTGTGAAAAAGATTGTCCCACGATGCGGTCATTCAGTCGAAGTGCGATGTTTTATTGATGTTACCTCGGATACTTATAAGTGCCCGATAGACTGCACCCATATTCTTCGATGTGGCCACAAATGTGCAGGGACATGTGGGTTGTGCAATACAGTTACTGAAGAGAGAAAGGTTACCAAGCATGGCAGCTGTAGGAAAATTTGCGGTAGAGGATTCACATCATGCAACCATAGGTGCCGGAAGACCTGCCATGATGGATCAGCTTGTGGTCTTTGCAACGCGCAGTGTGATGTATACTCCCCCCTTCCTAGCAATCCCCTACATCATTACAGTGCTAATTGCAAAAATAAAATAACAAATAGGTTAAATGCGACCACTCTAGATGTACAATGAAATGTCAAGAGTCGTGTGCTCCTTGTGCAGAACGCTGTATGTATTCTGCGGTTTAGCAATGGGAAGATCCGCGAGCTAACTTTCTTAGGCACCTGGAGGTGTAAACACCAAGGAAAATGCCAAATGCCTTGCGCGGCTCCTTGTGAATTATTGCCTTGTGACGAAAGATGCGATGAAATACTCAAATGCGGTCATAGATGCCCATCACTATGCGGCGAAATCTGTCCTGCCGTTGGTTTCTGCCAACATTGCTGCTCAGAAGAGAGGAAAGAAGATACAGGGGTTGATATGATTGAATTTGCTCCCTACAGTTCAATCGATCTCGACGAAAACCCCATACTCGTGCTGTCCTGTGGCCACTTCTTTACTCGAGAAACTTTGGATGGCTATCTAGAGCTTGACAACGCATATTCTAGGGACAACCAGGGGCGTTATAATGGATACATTGATCCAGTAGGGATTCTGGAGGAGCAAGTTCCAAAATGCCCTTCTTGCCGTCAGCCTTTGCTGCAGTACAGTGTTCGCCGTTACGGACGAGTGATCAATCGCGCGGTGATCATGGAAATGACCAGAGGGTTCCTCACTACTGCATCTACCAGATATGAAGAGCTTCAAGCAGAGGTAGTTGAACTTGAGAGTGAGCTTATCAAATCCCGAGACGCATTTTATGAGACCTTATCTCCCCCAGCCACAGAATCAGGGCAAGGATCTCAAATGACACAAACTCAAAAGAAGGCTGAGTTGGGAAAGAGACTTGACATGATAGAGAATATCTCAACTAAACTGAAAAGCTTTGTGAGAACGACCAAAAAGCAGCAGCAGCCAGCAATGCGGCTGTATCAAAGCACAGTCACACGTAAAGCCTTGAGCAATTCGGAAAAACAAGCTCACGCAACTCTCTACTTCCGTCCGGATACACGCCTGGAACTACTTGCGACGATACTATGCTGCCGTTCCAACCTCCTTATGGTTACTGAGAATGCTTTGCTGGCTCATCACCTTAAATCCAAGGCTAAGGAGCCTCCTACTAATCATCGTCGCACATGGCATGATCTAGCTCAACCAACCAATCGATCAAATCATAATATGGACGTCTTGATTGACTTTGTTTCACAAAACGCTTCAAGAAAGGCGAAGGCTTCTTTAAATATTTGCCGAACAAATATAAATGTTGCCAGAGCTCAAAACCTTCCTGGTGCGGAGGTTGATGCTATAGGTTCGTACCATGCGAGCACCCATTTTACGTTTTGTGACTAATGAATCTTTATAGGTATATTTGCAAAAATGGTAGCTATCTGGCGCCAACTTCCGCAAGATCCAAGTAGCGTCGAGAAATTGAATGAGGCGGCCAAAGAAGCAACTACATATCTAGATGAAGCCGATAAGGTTTGTGAGGGGGGACAGTTCACAGGAGTAGACGGCATGAAGGAAATGCTCGAGGTTGTTCGAAGACAACTGAGCGGTGGTACCTTTTATCAAGACATTACCGACCAAGAAATGGAGACTGTGGTGAGAGCTATGAAAAAACATCTGACGTTTGAATTTTCCACTGGCCGTTGGTACTATTGTCAGAATGGACACCCGGTAAGTTCTTGACTTTACCCTACCTATTCATACATAACGCTTTTACTAACTAGTAATTTGATAGTTCACTGTGGGCGAGTGTGGGATGCCTATGGAACAGGTCAAATGCCCGGAATGCAATGCCCCAGTGGGAGGGACTAATCATAACCCCGCTGCTGGTGTACGAAGCGCAGCTGAGCTTGACGCCATTGCTTAGGAGGATAGGTTTGGTTTGGTTTAGTTTTTTTTTTTTTTTTTTTTTTTTGGGGGGGGGGGGGGGGGTTTAGGGGCTGCGGTGCATGTGCAGTCCACTCTATTCTAATTACGCAGTGCTTCAGTGGCCGTACTCTAGGCCGCAGATTTGGTGGTGCTTTACATAATCGGGCGGGTTGGCGATGCATTAGTTAGCAGTTAGTTACATACAGGCGACTCCTCACATCGAGTGATAGCCCATGCACCGCTCGACCAGCCACCGTCAAATTGCCATAACCACTCACACTCAGGCAAGGAGTCACTCAAATCTCACTTCTCAGCTCGAGGCACAGATACAGGCACCAGTACGAATTCTAGAGTAATTTATGTAATACAACCACGCTATGGTATTCACCCCAAATCTTCCAAATCAAAATACAAAAAAGCATGCCCCAAAAAACTCGCAGGCCGCTCCAAAAAAGAAGTGAAAAAAATAAATAAACATAAAATAATATCTACAAGAACAATAACCGAGCAAAACACCGCTATTTTGTTTTATACGTAACCACAACTCCCCGGGAGCTGCATGGCGAAATCTACAAGTGATGCCTCTTCCTGTGCGCCCTTCCGCCGCGGCGGTGGCCATGTCCACCATACGCCTTTGTCGGCTCCGCTGCCACCTCGCTGGCGGGGGTTGAGTCGTCCACAACGACCGTCGACGTGGTCTCGCCGGCGGTGACAGAGACAGTTGTGTAGCTCGTCACGAGGGTAGTGCAAGTGACAGTCGTGGCCACAACAACAGGTGCCTGGGTGGGTGCTTCGTGGGCTGGTGCACTGGTCTCAGCTGGAACGTCCTCAACGCTGGTCTCAGTCGGGACATCCTCGGCGCTGGTCTCAGTCGGGACGTCCTCAGAGCCAGTCTCAGCCGGGACATCCTCGGCGCTGGTCTCAGCTGGAACGTCCTCAACATCATCGTAAGAGGCGGGGGTGCTAGTGACGGCAGACGCTTCAGTGGTTGTTGCGGGTGCGCGGACGGAGGTGGCAGCGACCTGCGAGGTGTATGCGGCGGCGGTGGAAGCGGGCTTTGATGATGATGCCTTAGTGGAGGGTGTAGAACCGCTTGAGCCACCGACGGTAGCAGGCGAAACACCAGCCTTGAAGGGGACGAGGTTCAACAGCGGCGCGGGGCCAGGGACAGTGTAGTCGCTGTAGGGGCCGTTGGCCGGGGTCCAGATGTCATAGATCATGCCTTTCATGCCCATATTGAGGTGGCCAGGGATACTGACGGTGTCCGGGTTCGTCCCCGAGGCGCCCTCGACCGTGATCTGGACACATCCCGTATAGAACTGCGGCTGCTCAGCGCCGCCCCGGGATGCAGGGCCAGCATCGTTGAGAGTGATCATCTCTGCGCGGAGGATGTAATCGCCGGACTCGATGTTTCTCGGGATGATACCTGCCTGCGGCGCGTTTGCGAGGCGGATGCGATCGCTGCAGAAGGAGCCGGCGGAATCGAGGCCGTCCTCGGAGACCTTGAACCAGCCGTCGCCAGGGCCGTCGGCGGTCGACGAGTCGCTGACCTTCTTCATGTAGACGGAGCAGGGCCCCTTGTGGGAGTCGTCGGTGACGCCGACGGGGATGTAGCCGTCCTTGAGCGGGAAGTCGGCGGGGGGGGTGTTGCGGTCGACGCGCCATTCGAAGCCGACGGCGTCTCCGCCTTGGACGACGCATTTTTTAGGAGCGAGGCGTTGTATGTTGTTGCATGCCATGGCGTCGCTGTAGATGTCGAAGATGGGGTCGGAGGAGACGGCTTGGCGGACGCAGTCGGGGTCGGCGACACCGTTGATGTGGAAGTGGGTGACGAAGTTGTGGGCAAAGGCGGTGCCGGCGAGGGCGAGGAGGGGGAGTGTGAATTTCATATTGAATGGGGTACTTGGGTTTCTTTTTTTGTTTAGTTGAGGCGGTGATAACCAGTATTGATATATAGCCGTAAGATAGAGAGTGGATAAAGGAACTCTTCAAGAGTTATGCCTTTCAAGATACTAGATCTCGGGAAAGAAGAAACGAACAAGGAAGGAAGGAGTGAGAGAACGTGGAGGTATCTGCCCGCTGGGTGAAGAACTAAAGAACCTTTCAATCTGGAGGGTGGGAACACTCAGTATTTGTATTCAAGATCACTCCCCCTCACAATCATGAAAGTTGATAGGACCTCAGCCTGTGCGACCCCCCTCCCGAGATGACCACGCCCACCCCCCCTCTCCATAGGTTCCAGAATTAAGGATCTGGATTATCTAAAGAGATGCACTTACATCCCATCCCATCACAGAAATCTCTCCCCTGAGCAGCACAGGGATCGCTCTGCAGGAAGGCGCGCGGGATGGACCCAATCCTGTGGTTGATTGGACCTCGTAGCGGGCTGCAGCTGAAGTGTTGCACAACTTTAACCGTTCTGAGATCGAAACGTTAAAACTTGCTTCTTCCCCCTCCCCTTACACTTTGAAAAAATAATTGCCTCTGTTGGGGTTGAAACATATTACTGGTCGTGTTTGTGTAGCCAATCGGGAATATTGTATCGCGAGAAGGGTAGTAGGTAGCCCAAGTTGCATAGCCAGGCGGAAAAGGGAACTTTGAACGTCAACATATTCAACCACCATGATGGCAAGATCCGTGACATCCTCCGTTCAATTCCTTTTGTTCTTTCTTTCTCCCTCTATGCGTGTGACGAATGAAAATTTTCAAGATCCTTGTTGTATGTAAGCCACAATGTCTTTCAAGGTTACCCCCTTCCTAAGTCGGCTGTTTTCAAGAATACAGACAGACTTCCATAGACGGTCGGGCATGCAGAAGGTAGAGTTAAAACTACCGCTCTTACTACTGCAGGCACAGTGATATCCCAGCTCAGAAGGTACCCTGGGGCAAGTCGAGTCGGGCATGTAATCGACCTAAGAGATTCCCTCGTATTTCCCAAGTCCACGATCAAATCAACCACCAAGCTGCCGACTCTTCAGCCCTGAACGCACTGCAAAAAGCAAATCTCCCCTGCCCCCCTAAAGTACGGGTCGCTTCGTTTCATATTCACCCTCAATGGCAGCCGTCAGCCAACCAACCATGTAACGAGACCAGGGCTTGGCAGGGGTACATAACACTCATTCAGATTCCATTAGGCGAAAGACACCAACCGCGCGTTACACGAGACATTTTTTCTGCTGTCTAATACTATCAGGTATTTGCAAAATCCGAACTATATTAGGTGCTTGTGGCGCGAGTTGAGGGAGCTGAGGTGCGATGAGGAGGAGGTGGGAATGCAAGTAAGGATATGGGGTTGATGTCGTTTAGGGGACGAGGGGTACAAGGAGGTTACTAATTCTTACTACCAGAAAGGGTAGGGGGCAAGGATGCTCAGAAGAAATCTATAGCGATTCACAGAATACACCCATTTGGCGAATTTTTATGTAGCAACCAGCCAGCAACCAGTAAAACCTCGAGTTTGACTAAGATATCTTGATTCTTATTGGCCTTAATCCCTGTTCGCCAAATGGGTGTATTCGCCAAATGACTGTGAATCGCTGTACATACCTGGTAAACAACCTAAAGGACTAGTGGCTGATCCATCACAGAGCACGTGGAAATGGTTATCGATAACTTCCTATCCGGGAATGAAGAAACTGAAGCATATGTCGTAAGTCGTCGATATTTCGACAGGTGAACACCCCCCCCACCACATCTTTGGAGAAACAATTCCTCAGTCACAAGGTACCGAAGAGAAACAAAAATCTCCGAATGTAAAGTGCTTAATATTCGACAAGGTACATGGTAAGTATTGGAATATGCGGGTGCGCTCGTATCCGCTTATCGCTTTTGTGCTTAATTATACATAATATGCAAGAGGGAGGAAGAGAGAGGAAAAGAGAGATTTTGTCGATTCCGGATCTTTTCAACCCCGGATATCTCATCCGTACGTTGTCTTCTATGGCTCATACTACATGTACATACTCTCCGAATTTCCAAAGTGTTCTGCAATATCACGCGGCTACATACAGTATTCTCAACCCCATCCTACCTATCCCCCCCCCCCCCCACCCAATCCCTCCTTCCGCCGCGCCACGATCTAATCTACCCTACAACCACCCCCACCTATATCCCCGCCAACGGCACAGACCACCGCCCTAAGTTTCACACTCTGAAATTGTCCTCTCTCCGCTGCTAATCCTACCACGGAACTCACGGCAAACCCAAACCACCCGCTGTCTGTCTTGTCTTGTCTGTCATGTCTGTCATGTCTGTCATGTCTGTCTTGTCTGTCCGTCCGGCCTTTCTTCACGTCACGTCATGTTAAACTCGTAGTCGGCAAAACAAGGATACCCCAACAATTCACCAAACGCTCCCTCTCCGTTTATGAGATAAGGACCGATGCGGGACACGGGCAGCCTCTAGCTAATGAGCAAATATGCACTACCTATTGGAGGAAAGCAAAGATTTCATCTGGTTACATTAGGCACTCCTCCCTAGTACTCTACTAAATTATGTACGCAAGGGGTACGGTCGATTAAGTCCGAAGAGACGACGAACAGGGGCCTTTCCGCTAGCTAGCAAAGAAAGTCTCTGATGCACGACGTGCTGCGATGTAGTTCTCTACCACATCTCCACGTACATCCTGATTGGTTGGAAGCAGCCTCCTGTTGGTTGCTAACAGCGATCTTCATCCTTGGCTTGGCATTCCAACTTCAACCCTCGTGGTAAGGATCTAGAGTCGCGAGTTGCAAACCGCATCTGACTCTCTACATGTAGTCATTCAGTAGTACGCTAGATCGACGTTGTACCCCAAAAGGAAAGAAAGAGTCGAGTGATACAACTGTCTATACACTTTCTTCTTACAGACACATCGGACCACTATTTCCAACAGACATCAACCGTATGTATGTAGTACATACCTGCGCCTTGTGGCGTTTATTACTAGGGCATGCCTGTTGCTGTTGGACGTAAGGCTGATTGGTTAGTGCCTGGGGAGATTCGAGGATTGTGGAGTTGGATTTAACGAGTGATTATGTGTGAAGCAACGGATTTCGAACCTGCCTGAAGAAGGCAGCTTAGTTCATCGGTCATATAGGGATCGTCATTGATTGACATCGATTATTGCCTAAACGGATATCTACCCTTATTTCTTACTCAAGCCTTAAATCTCAACGACAGAGAAGAAAAGAAAACTGATACATATTATGGCTGACGGCTAGGATCAAGTCATCCTGATAAACAATCTGCAAAACAAACACCCAAAATCATAATAACACAAGAGAAATATAGTCAAAGCCGCCCCATTTTCATGCGCCCCCCTATTCTAAACACAAAAGAAAAGAACTCTAATTATCGTCACACAATTACAACCCTAATATTACTTTCGGCGGCTGAAAACTGAAAATACGGGCGGGCATGGCAGGCACTGACTGTATTACGTACCACACACAGTACGCTGTGTTGTGCTCTTGTGTTTGGCCCAAGTATATACGTCATTGAAGACAGCTGCTAGCTGACCTGGAACATTTTCGCAGACTTCCAAGAATCGGGGGGTGATTGAGTGAGTGGTTAGCTGGTTTGTGATTGGTCGATTGGTTCGCTGGTTCAACTACTAGCGGGCGCGGTTATAATAGTACTATACCAAGCTGGCGAGTAGGGTATCAGCACCCGAATAAACAAACAGCGTGTGGCAGCACCAATGACAAGTATTTCGACACGCAGTATAGTATTAATAGCACCGCACACTATTTACCAGCTAGCTGTAGCTAACATACGAGAACAGGAGTGGTGACGTTGCCGTTTCAACTTTCAACCTTCCCCCCTCCCGTATGATAATGTCTGAAACGGCCGCGGAGTGTCGACATCTCCTCAGGTATACACACTTAGCTTTCGATATATGCTCGGGGGGCGGGGTTGAAACATAGAGAATGTATATCAACCCTTGTTTGGCAGCATCAATAGGCGGGCTATTTAACTTCGTTGTGGCGGGAATAGGAACCCTAACCCTAACGTTTCTAGGAGGCGAGCATTGGCGGGTATAGGGGACGAGTGAGAATTAGTGATCCCGCTTTTTTTTTTTCCTTTTTTTTTTGTTTAATTCATAATTAATTAATCGCATGCAACCTTACACCAGCTGAACTTCCCTACTTCAGCCGCCATCTAAGCAATAAAGAAAAGATAAGAGAGTAACTATTTGAAAACAATTTGCGTCGTCAATCTCACTTTGTCGCCCTTCCTTTGGGTGCCACTACTCTGGCTGGGAGGTTCGGTTGTACTTGTGTGGGTGGTTACGAGTAAGCAGCGGTTATCGGGATCGGTGTATGTGTGTATGTGTGTTTTGTGCGCTTTGTGTGGCATCGCAGGATCGTTTCATATACTATCAATCTTGAAGTTGCGGTGTAATTCGGTATATATACGAGGACGCAAGTATCCGGTGGTGTGGCGTATATGGAGGCGTCAGTATGATGCCATAATCATCCGCCATGGGATCAATGAACAGATCACGGACTGCCGACCAACTCCTCCGGCCGGTCAAACACCCGGAAGGCAAGGCAGTGGCGGGCCGAGAGACATGTTCCGGGATTCGATATTTTTCTCGGCTGTGTTGCGTGCTCTGCCGGGCTAAACCGAGTAGACGCTTTCACGGGGGTACGGTCAACACGGGGGTACGGTCAATTCCAAGATTTTGTATGGAAACCAAAAGAGGTAGCCGATCAACTCCCTGCGTATCATACATCACTCCGGCGTATATTTGGGATTGACCATACCCCCGTGTTGACCGTACCCCCGTGAAAGCGTCTACTAGTCAATAGATAGAGGCCTCAACAGGAGTAACCGCTAGAAATAGCCAGATTACAAACTCAGCAGGAGGAATAAAGATTAATGACCTCGGCCTTGCTCTTGCTCTTGCTATTGCCTATTATGGTGAATCGGGGTGATAGTTGTTTTCCTATATTATGATAAGTAAAGAACCGAGAACGTAAAAAATTGGTTGTATGGACTGACGAGTAGAAACAAAAATGAGAGAAACGAAAGCTCTCGCTTTATAGGTATAATTTAGAGGCTAAACTACCTCAATATAAAGTACAGATATATACATGTAATTTAGAGCAACGCCCAAACTACATGTACTTAATGAAACGTTTATATTCACAAAACAGCTGTCTTTAACAACGCCTACCACCGCAATGACCGACGTGACCACAATCAGCAATAGCGATAGAACGCGCGCATTCAATTGCCAGCCACACTACGAACCTACCACAACAGACAGACCCCAATGAGCTCGCCATGACACTAGTGTAAGACAACAGATGCCGAGGCTGGTGTTGGTCTTAGTGATAATTGCTTTGTCAGCCATTATTAGTGCTACACAGCAGCTAAAGTCACATATAGATCCCGGACCCTATATAACCACCGTTCAAATCTGTGTGAGATACAAACGCGCACTACAACAAGTACCACATGTACATGCAGCTAGTAGGTGTAGGTGTAATACAATTCCCACTTTCTATGCCTTTACGCCCATCGTAGCTCATCCACTAGCGTGCACGTGTACGTCCTCTAGCTCCCGCCCCGCAATTGCGCAATGACTGTATACCGCCTCAAGACGACATACATTTCCGTCCAGTCCATGGCGGCTCGCCAACAATACAATTGTGGATCTCTGCTCGCGAGGGTAAGGGTATCTTAAATAACCCAAAGCACGCACTAGCCTCTCTCTCACCCATCGCTCATTGTTACAGTCACACATTGCATTGTCCCACTACCACCGCGTACAGGCCACAGCCAGCTGTACAGACAATCCATCGTACCACAGCCACAGCACTGCATACATCAGTGCGGTACATACCTACAAGTCCCTATACCAAGCCACACACACGAGCGTTCAAATGGCAAACAACAACCTCACCTTCAAAAAGATCGTCAACAAGCTCTCCGCGCCCGATGCATACCAGCGCCTACGCTCTAGCAACTACGACGACGCCATCCCCCTCCTGCGTGCTGAGCCCCGCGATCCTCCGCCGTACTCGCAAGAGGACCCGCAGCAGGAGGTGCCGGTATACACGAGCTTTCGAGATGAGCAGGCTGAGGAGCAGCAGCGGAGGGAGAAGATACTGTGCACCGCGGACCGGTTGGCGGTTGGAATGGGGCTGGAGTATAAGAAGCGCGAGGTCATTCTGAAGCGGTCGAGCTCGAGCGCTGGGACGGGCGAGAGCGCGTATAAGAGAGCGGGGGGTGGAGGCAGGTCGGGGAGTAGGAAAAACTGATGTGGAGGAGCTGGCTGGCTGGTGGGGAAATGGATCGGATCGTGATTGGGAATGTATTTTTATCTGGGGGGTTTCAGATTCCTTTTTCTTTCCGTTTTTTCTCTCTTTTTTTTTGCTGGTTTCTTCTTTTCGGCTTCTTTCTTTCTTTCTGGTTGGGGACTGTTCTTGGGTGCAGCTGGTAGTCTACCTCTCTTACTCTTAATGGATAATTTGAGAGCTTGAATCGGTGTTCATGCGTAATATTCTTTCCAGTGCTTCTGACTCAACTCCCGCCCATGTAGAACCACGCAAAGGCACTGCTCCGTGATCCTCGCTTATTGAGAGTAAGAGCTTCTGCAAACCGGTCAGAAAATGAGAATCTCCTTACTGAGGATCATCCCTGTCCCTTACGTTCTGTAATGCTAGTCATAGAATATCACTCGACACTAGAACCCTTGCCATTTGCCGCTATCATCCATCCATATGCAATTAATACAGAAGCTCTCGATGCAGCGATGATGTATTCTTCCAAGGATGTAAGCATAAGAACTCATCCTTTAATTGAGGCTAGGTTCAAAGGTCTTGTGATCTTTCCAACAACTCAAAATTGAGTCTCCTTAGTCACGAGACTGACTTTGGGATTCCCAGGTTGTACTAGTGCTATCAATGCTAGCGACAAGCTATGGGCGGAAATTCCAGTTCGTCGAGCTCTGAATACGGAGTTTGTATCTAATCTCCAACCATTAGTAACACACCCATCAGTCTCCCAAGTAGAAAACATCGCTCCACAGCAGTCGAATAAGGGCCTTGTTATTCAAAACCTTTTGTTTGGCCTTGGCGCACAACCCCTCACTCGACTTCTTACACCATCTCGAGACCAGCGATATTGGTGTTGTTGCCAATTCGTTCACCGCATTCAAGATGGGCAAGATAACACCTGACCTCGTCTCAAACGCCCCCGGATACAACACTGAGCTCAAGTCAGCATTATAGAATACAACCAAACCCTACACATGTCAGGCATCTCTACATACCATTCGATCCCGGTCGCGATCTTTCGCCCGTGTCAGGCGGGCTGTATTCTTAGAAGCCCCCGAACGCCATCATCCAGTAAGAAGGTCTCTATATCGTGTGTCCCACGGGTAGAACAGCCTGAATCGTGAAGAGCATAGAATTCAACTCACGTCAGTTCGGGTATTCGATGTAGCATATATCTCCGTGTAGTATTAATCTGCCATTGCCCTGATTTATTTTCATAGTGTCCATATTGTTATTGACAGTATCCCGCGGTGGCCGGGTGTTGGGCTTCATGTGTTTAGAATGATCGTGGGTATTGAACTTCACCATGAGAGGAAAGAACGGGCTCGGTGATACGGATGCTGCCTATATTTGTATCTAGTACACGTATCCAGCTAGATCTAGCTATGTATATCCGCACATACGTATCTTACTCCTACGAATTTCGTCGCCGCCTTATCCATCTGCCCATTTGAAAGAAAAAAGTACATGCATGCATGCATGCATGCATACTCCGCGCAAATTAAACAAAAAGAGCCAGCCAGAGCCATCCTTGTTTGTACCTACTACCCCCAAACGTGGAAGGGGAAGATTGGAAAGAAAGAAAAAAAGAAAGAGAAAAAAAAAAGGGACAGTAAAAGTAAGAACGTACAGAGGCAGAAAATCAAAATAGAAGAAATATGCATCTTAGTTGTCCACAAAAAGAACAAAAAGTACAGCACACATGGCCAGCTGCAGCCAGACCCATACCTCCCACCTCCCACCCCCCCCCCCAAGTCCCCCGCGGGGGCACCGAGTGAGCACCCATGACGCACCCCCCAACCACCCCCCAACCGCCCTCCAACCACCCAGCGCCCATCCCCCACAACCCAACCCAAAAACCGGCACCCAAACCCCCATGGCCCAAGAAGCGCAGGGCACACGCCTGCGACTGCAACTGCAACCGTACGAGTATATTCCATCACGATTTACCGTAACGGGTTTGCATGAGTGCCACCGGTTTTTCGGTTCGTCCGGCGGTTTAGGAGGCGGAGATAGAGATGGTGATGGAGATGGTTTGGACGTATATATGGGGCGGGAGAAGAGGGGGAGGGGGGGGGGGGGGGGGGGCGGCACTCGTACCATATATATAGAGCCCCAGATGGTCGCGGGAGTAACTGTGTGTGCCTCGCTGCTTTTTTGTGTTTTACTGGCCTGGCAGGGGGTGAAGGTCTGGTGTTTGGGATAGGTGATGGGTATACTAAGGTATACATAGGCATATATGGGCACACATGGGCACACATGGGCACACATGGGCACACATCGTACACCGGCGCAACCCCACCCAACAGTAAAACCACAAAAGCATATATCCGCGAGGTATATCTCTAAACCACAACACAACACCACATACCACACACCACACCACACCAATCCAATCTTTCCCTCTCCCCCCTCCCTCTCCCCTCCCTCTTTCGACCGACAGAGCGGGTAGAGAGAGTAGAAACACTGGTATACGGCATTACCCCACCACTTTAGGCCAGCGGGATCTTTCCACGGTGGGGAGGGGCAATTATTCTCATTACAATACGTCTTACTCATGCATACATCAATACATCATTAGTCTCCTCGGGGTAGCTTCCACCCCCGCGCGCTTCAAAACCGAAAAGTCCAATATCCAATATCCAATAACCAAACCAAAGCAACTACTTCCAGCGCACAAAGCAAGCAAGAAAGAAAGAAAGAAAGCGACCAGAAAAAAGAAGAAAAGCTTCATACATACCCCACACACACCACCCCACTACCCCGGCCCCCTCCCCAAAAAACTCCTCACACTCCTCCCCTCGTCCACAAACCCCATCTCCCCACCCAGCCCCTCACCCTCCACCACGCCCAAATCCCCCAACACCCTCCTCCCATTCACCCACTCCCAATCCCGCACCACCTGTCCCTCCTCCGCCTTCACCCTCCTCCCATACCCCCCCACCCCCTCCGCATCCCCCGGCGTCCCCGTCCACACCATCTCCTGCTCCGTCACCCCCCACCCCCCCTTACCACTCCTCCACATCGCCGCCCCACTCTGCGCCGTCTCCATACTCCCCCTCCTCCGAAACACCGCCCCCTCCCCCCTCTCCTCCACCCCCCGCTCCACACCCGCCCAAATCGTAAAATTCCCCCGCTCCGCGTCCACCAAGAACGTCGTATTAACACTCAGCGGCCACCGGAACGTACTCGCGCCCCCCGCCGCGCCCGCCGCGCTCCCCTGCGTAACCTGCTCAACTTCCTGCGTCGCGCCGCCGGCGCTAAGCCGGTTCGTGTTCACGTAGCTAAGCCCCTGCGACCACGCCGCAGCGCGCGGGCCAGCGGAGGTATTAATCGTCGCTGTGAACGAGAGCGCGCGCTGCGCCGTGATGCGGTGGTACAGCGTCTTATTCACTGCCCCATCGTCCTCCGCTGTGAGCCGCGTTATCGCCGTGAACGCCGTTGCATCGAGGGACTTTGTGTGCAGCGCCCCCGTGGTGATCCAGTCCTCCTTGGGGTCCGTCCACACAAAGACGCGGCCAGAGACGATCCAGTCGTTTGCGATGCTCTCCGCGGGGTCGTCGGCGGTGACGACTCGGATCTCGAATGTTGCCGGGGAGCCGAGGATGAGTGGTAGGAAGGGGGTTATGTCGATGCTGTATTCGGGGACGTCGTATGCGGCGATGCCAACGATGGGGCGCCAGAGCGCGGGGTTGATGCCGCCGGTGTAGATGACTGCGAAGGGCCATGCGACGCCCGCGATGTCGCCGTTGATGAGGAGCTGGATCTCGCGGAAGGGGGATGCGCCGGGGAGGGGCGTGGCCGGGAAGGTGTGCGTGTATGCGGTGGGGACGTTTGTGTACCAGAACTCCTCGTCGGCGTTGCCGGAGGCGGAGAGGGAGACGGTTGCGCGGATGGTGTTGGGCGGGAGGGTGAGGCGTGTGCTGGCGCGGTCGCGGGGGAGGAGGAAGTGGGAGGGTTGGTTGGCAGTGGAGGAGAGGGAGGAGATGGGGAGGATGTGGGTTGCGGGGCCTGATGGTGAGTTGTGCGGGGGGCGGGTGGGGTAGGTGGTGGGTGGGGTGTAGAAGGTTGCGGTGAGGGTTGCGGTGAAGGTCCCGGTGTAGGTGGAGTCGACGAGGTTTCCAAGGTCGAAGATCAGCTTTTGGGGCTGGCTGAGGAGGGCAGTGTAGGCGGTCATGTCTTTCATGTAGCTGTGCCAGAGGTTAATCAATGCTCTCTAAGCTATCGAGCAGGGCCAAGGTAGGGCATACTTGAAGATAATTCCAGCCTGCGTAGGCTCTGCGGTACTCGTCCGGAAGACCTCAACATCCCCAAGAAACAGCATGGCAAGCCTATCAAACTGCCTCCCTTTCGACGTCATGGTGAGGTTAAAAAGCACATGCGTCCATCTGCACTTTGGCGGTGCATAGTTCCCTAGACCAAGTCTTAACTCTCCGTTGTACCAGAAACACATCTTGCAAGGAACTCACCAACGAAAGGCTTCCCATAACTCCACCCAAACTCATGCTCCATCAGCACAACACTACACTCCCTCCCTCTCCCCTCATACGACGCTGGCAAGAACTCCGCCCCCACCCTCACCGGCGGATACACCTGAAACACGTCCAACGGCGCCCCCGCCCCCTCCTCCTCCCCCCCCTCAATCGCATCCTCCACCCCCACCGCCCAGGAAGGCCTCCTAAGCCTACCGCTATAGAAGCCCCTCGGGGCCAGCAGCGTAAACACAAACAGCCCACACGTAAAGAGCAAGAAGTAGACCGCACACGACCGCCTCGGGTTCTTCCTCACCTGAGGCCCAAAGCCCACCTCATCTTTTACCTTCTCGCTGCCGGGGGGCTGCTCCTCGAACGAAGAGTCGCGGAGGGTGTAGCCATCGTCCGAGTACGAGTCGGGATCCTCCGAGGGTGTTTCTTCCTCGTCGTGTAGCGGAGTGGTGCGCTTAAAGTCAAACTCGGAGCCAAACATGGCGACAAGGCCTGCTCGTGTAGTGTGCTAGTTTTTGTGCACGTTACGCGTAACCGGTTTGAGTGGTTGACGGTTTGTGGTATGAGTGGTTGGTAGAAGTGTGTGGGGTGGAGGTGTGTGAGTGAGGGTGAGTGTGAGAGGGTGAGTGTGAGTGTGAGTGAGAGGGTGAGTGAGTGAGTGAGTGTGTGAGTGTGAGTGTGAGTGAGTGGGAGGGTGACGACAGCGCCAAGGCTCGGAAGCTAGCATTCCTCCGGTGGCTTGATTAGTAATAGGACACGTACGAGTGATAGCCTGTGATGGACGGGCGAGAGAGAGCCACCCCTCAATGGGCAATCAACGCATCCGGGGGGGTTGGGGAACCAGATTAAACAACAGTATGCGGAAGATCTCACAAGCTGAAGCAACAATCTGGAAAACGAACCCCAGACCTTCCGGTCCCCTCTGTAATCGAGTTAGGCGCAAACGCACGGTGTTTTCCGGACGAGTGTTGTTAGTCGCCTGGACTGATACTTGGCTCGATGTGCTAAGGGGCGCCAAGGGGGCTGATGGTAGGTGAGCGAAAAAGAATGGCAGCAGGCGGTGAACACTCAAGTCCGCTGTCTCACACCACACCTCTATTCATCATACCCATACCGCCCCCCCCCCCCCCCCCCCCACCCCACCAGCGAAAAACTACAATCCTCACTCTCCACCACAGGACTACGACCAATTGGGCTGACACCACGAGGACAGGTATCCTTAGCGCATAGAAGAGGCTCTCGACCCCAACACATCCATCTATCATCAACACAACCACACTCTGTCTCCCTTGCAGCAATCAGGCCCCCGCGTGTGTTCTTTCTATTGGCTTGAGGATAGTCGTAGGGGCCGGGTATTTGACTGCACTTCTTGGTGTCAAGGTTCCTCTTCTTGGCGGCTAGATGGCCGTTGTGGGGGGGAGGGATGTCTGCGAATTACTTGTTGCGGGATTTTTTCGTCTGTCCCACGATATCTACCCACGAATGCCCCGGGGGGGGGGGGTCGCAATGTCTTCGTCTACCGACGGTTTCCACGGTACTCTCCCGGCTCGAAGGTAACACCGCCGGACAGGCAAAAAAATCCGGCAGGAACTGCGGGGGTCCGACTGTCGACAGCAAGTGGCTTGGCAGAAGGTTACGAGTGATGGTCTGTGATTACATCTCTAGGTTTTTCTTCCTTTTCTTTTTCATTTAAGCATCTCAACAAGCCAAAAACGAGCTCGAGTAAAAGAAAGCTCATGGTATACTACTCTATCCAACCAGACTGGAGGTCTTGCCGCATAATAGGTTCACGTCAACCATTGGAGCTTTCAGAAGATAACCTACGCAAATATATTGGTTTACAGCAAAAAAACTCAATCTTCTCCTCTTGTAGGTTTGATTCCTGTACCACTCAAAATAATCATTTATGGAACACAGGAACATTGGCCGTATATCACACAGCTACCATTCCTTCACCTCAACCCCACACCCCCCTCCACCGCTGTCCCCTCGCCACCCCCACGCCTCAGCGCCACCAGCCCAACACCCGTCTCCTCCAGCGCCTCAAAGCGTATCTCCAACAGCACACCCTCGAACCCCGCCTCCCTCCTCAAAGGGGGCATGTGGGCGCAGCGGGGTCTCGCAAGAGCCGAAGTCCTAAGGGGCGCGGTGCTTCGAGGATTGGAGGCTGGTTCTGCTGTCGGCCGGCCAGTTGGAAGGATCGCTTTTTGCAGTCATCTCCAGCGGGTGGTGGTGGGTATGCGTCTCATCCATGCTATGCCCCGTTGCGTTTTTGGGTGCCGTTCGCTGCAGGGCCGTCAGCGGGGTAGCATCTTGACCATCCACGATGAATTGACGACGTGCCTTTTTCGTTCTAGCAACACTGGGACTCTCGAGACTTTGGTGTACTCAAACGGGCCGCGAAGGCTCTTTATGGGCAAGAGTTAGCTCTACGTCGTGAGGTCGCCAGTTACCGTTCAGCGTGCCTGTGCTGGGGGGGGGGGGGGGTTGGATTTTGGTGGTATTAGATATACACACATGTGTATTTTATATACCAAGGCTTCCCATCCCCCCCCCCCCCCTCCAACGGCTTCTTTTTCGTTTATATGAAATCGGGAAAGGGATGATAGGAGCGGACCCCCGCGGAAAGCCCCCCTCTCTCATATTTGAACCATCTGTGTGTAAATAATGCACAGCGCGAAATGCCTCGGCAAAAGAAACGCGGTGCTTTTAGAATGGGCAATACACAATGCGGTGTCTTGTTCCTATAATCTCCATAACGAGCGTGATGGAGGGCTGTGTCTCTCCCACGTATAGACTAGATGAAGTTACGCCGATGCAGAGCTCTGGAGAAGTGAAAAAAGAACCGTAACCCCGCAGCTCCAGCACCATCGCGATACGGCAGAGATATCTGTGGCGTGCTAGGATGGCGGTAAGGTCATGAATGTGGATATGCGGACCACGATGCCTTAATTTCATGTTGTTATGGCAAGATCTCGCTGTATTAGCTCTCTGCTTTACTGTATATTATCACTTCACAGAGTGTGAGTTTGCTAGCTAGGGTTGAATAGCTGCTAACTGTCGACTCACTGCTCGAGCTTAAGCTTAATACGATACGCTTTGCCATGATTGTAAGCTAGCAAGAACGTAAACTAAGGCACTCAAGAAATGCATACATCGAAACACAGCATTTTTTCCCAGTGATGTATGTACAGGACTCACGACACGAACCCGGCTCTTTGATTTTGATCACAAGTTATCACTCGGGTTGGGGCCTCAGTTTATCCGAGCAATATATTCTCTTCTTATATAAATTGTCTAGTACCTAAAGGGATTTCAAGAAGCTAGCTAGTGCTATGGGAATTCCTGTTTAAACTATATTATGAAAGAAATTTCATTATTATCATTATTACGTACATTCTTCCCCCTCATCGTGAGCTGAATTAACCGACAAGTTTGGGGGCTCGCCTTTAAGACGACTGTATAGACTGTGACTGGAAGCCCTAACGTGCCTCATATATGACGATAAAATGGAGAGTCTTCTCCTGTCCTTTATCCAAACGCCTCATCCCAAACACAAAAAGAAGTAAAAGAAAGAGAGAGAAAATGAAAAAATGAGAAAGAAAAAAAAGAACAGCATTATCTGCAAAGTGTTTCCGCTCGCTGTAGAGATATCTACCGAATTCTACACTCTAACGAAATGCATCCAAGAAATCATTTAAAAGCCTCATTATTCCCACCATACCATACTACCATTAAAACGCCACGCCACCAGAGTTTTTCTGCCTCGGCTCACTCGCAGCCTCAAACGTTCCATTCTGCAACCTCCTGATACCCTGTGCAGTGCTCTGTCCCGGCGCAACCCATACCGGGATCTGGCCCCTGCCTTTCAAAGCTGCGACAGTGGTGTTGTCGTATTTATATTCAAAGAAAGTTGTATTAGGCGTCAACTGGTTATGCAAGCGCGGCAGGGCAATTGCTTCGTCTATAATAACCCCAGGGATTGATATGTCAGTATATAACCACCACTAAAGAAGAGGAAGAAAGAGCCTACAAGCTGAAAGACCCTCATCAATGACATGGATTATATTCTGGATGGTCGCCGTGATGATGCGGGAGCCACCAGCAGCGCCGATAACGAAGTTGATAGAACCGTCTGCGTTCTCCACGATGCTGGGCGACATGGAGGAGAGAGGGCGCTTGCCGGGGCGGATGTAGTTCGCAGCGGAGGGGACGAAGCCGAATGCGTTACTGGTGCCCGGGATGCTGAAGTCTATTTTTTTTTTGTTCAAGATTAGTACTCGGGCGAATGAGGAGAAGAGGAGTGGGAATAATGAGAGAGGATGAGGGGCACACACCGTTCATCTCATTGTTCATGATGATGCCGGTCTCGGGGATCATGACCTGGCTACCAAAGATAAGGTTGATAGTACTAGTCATAGAGATGGCAAGGCCTCCCTTATCGATTGAGACCATGTGGGATGTTCCAGGGCTATCATGGAGGTAATCTTAGTTTTAGTTGACGAAGGAAGAGGCACAGAGGCTCGGAGTTACTTACGTCTCCAATGATTCAAGGCCAGCCGGATCATACTCCTTTGGGTCGAGGACAGAATCGTCCTTAATCTTGCTACGGATCTCGTCACCAACAGCGGGACTAAACATAGACTCCTGGTACGTAGTGATATCGCCGTTGAAGGAGGATCTCCCAATAGAGATCTCTAATGAAGACAACATTAGCCGCTCCGTCTTGCTTTAAGATGATATATTGCCATTTTGATCATTTTCTTACCTGTCCATACGCAAACTTCATACTCTCCACCAATCTATGTGCTTTAATATCCACACTAGCCTCATCAAACCCCTGCCACACATTCAAAGTGCTCAAAACCACCGGGCCACCACTCGGCGCCGAGCAGCTTGTCAAGGTGAGACCACGGTAGTTCATATCAACCGGTTGTCTGTGTACAATCTCATATGCTGCCAGATCCTCAAGCGTCATGATCCCACCGGTACTCTCAAGCTTCCGAACAGTCGCATCCGCAATCGGGCCGTCATAAAACGCTTCTACACCCATGTCTGCGATTGTCTCTAGGGTGTCTGCATACCGCTTCCTGTACATGGTATCACCTAACTTCACCCTCTCGCCATTCGGCGCAAAATCCTGCGCCCAGGAAGGGTCTTCTGTCAGAAATGGGAACGGCCCAGAGGGGTGGTTCATGTAGGCGACCAAATCCTCAGTGACAGTGAAGCCATCGCGAGCGAGCTTGATGGACGGTTCAATGAGCTCCGCCCAAGGGAGGCTACCGTAACGAGTGTGGATCTCCGCGAGTCCGCGCAGTTCACCTGGGGTAGCGGAAGCGAGACCGCCGCGGATGCTAGCCGCAGTGTTGTTGGCGAACATGTCTTCGCTAGACAAGGCAGGGGCGGTCTCGCGAAAATCAATGAAGTCGTAGACACCAATGGGACTGCGAATCAATGCAAATCCACCGCCGCCAATGCTGTAGAGAGTTAGTTAAACTCCGACTAGATTTTGAGAAATTTTGTGCTTTACCCGCTATGATACATGGCTATTTGACATCATATTAGCATGCAAACATTCTGTGGGGATTAGGAACTGAAAATAGTACTTACCAACAGTGCCGGCGCAAATCGCAGTACCCACAATCTACGGTCCAGTCAGTCCCTCTTCCTTCGTTCAAAGGCGACTCAGTGATAACTAGAACTTACGGCATCAGCAGCATTCCCACCCCGCTTCATGAGGTCGACTCCAATTTCACTGCAAACAGCGGCTTCAGAAGCCACCGCGCCATTGTCGTCTTTCTTCTCTCCATAATAGTACGGAATTGCGACGACATTCTGTGCAACAAGGAGCAGCGCAAGCTTTGAGAGCGTTGATGTCCACATTTTTTTTTATTCTTTGTGGTTGTGGGAGAGAAAGAGGAGATGTCGATGGACTTTTTGGTGGGGTACCTACAAGGCAGATAGCCTTCTTAACTGCAGACACAGGACTGCTAAGGGTGGGTAACGTTTTAAGGGATGTTAGCCTCCTCTTAAATAGGAATCCTGTCACAATGTCGACACGAGAACCGCAAATGAACAAACAACGTGTTGTACTTGTGCTACTCTCATTTTACTCTAAAAACAAAACCTCGTTATGCATACAATGCTATATATCCTAAATAGTGTGACAATAAGGATTATCTCCGAAACTCCTTGCATGGTTACTTTTTATTATCGATACCTATCCAAGGTGGCAGACGGGGTAAAACCTAGCCCTTGTACAATGACGAAATAATTTCCGGGGTTAGATTATTGGTGGGGCATTAGATGCCACAGCCGGTTCCTGCCTCGTGAGGTTCACTGTTGACAATGCAGCTGCGGCTGCATGAGCCAAGGGTTATTTTGTGCAGATCATGGCCCGCAACAGCATCTGGCTGATAAGTACCGATAGTAAGTACTAAGGGTAGGGAACGTATTATTATTTCCAATAGTAATGGCATTCCTATGAGTAAATGTGTGGTTAGCGCTAGCTACAGAAACTTGATTAACGAGATACATCTTGCCAAGAATCAGTAGAAGCCGGTCGCATTAGATGAGTGGAATACCTCCACAAATAAGACAGTTGTATTTATTAGCCCCAAATATATATAGCTGGGTCTGGGGAGGTACACGTCTTGATAATGATTCAGATCAAATTTAAAGGCCATTAAGGTAGTTAAACTTTGATTGGTCGTAGCTCTCGGTAGGCATCGGTGTATTAACGTATTATAGAAGAGGATTCTCAAGATCTCCGATGAGTTCTATTCGATACTGGAGGCCTTGAAAACTTTAACGGTATCGGGCCAAGGTCTTGAGTTCGCTCCTGTACTGGGCACTTCGACATGCTCTTTCCATGTTCCATATCATCATCATGTAAGGCGGGGTACAAGGTTGATACTTACTCAACGCGTCGTAATCGTACCTAGCCTCGCCATCGTTGCTGTGAAATAAAAATAACCTCCAGGGTTTAATTAGCCGTCTATTCAGTTGATGTAGACTTTGATTGCTGCCGAGAATCTATATGTAGGTGTTATGTCACTCTCTTTCCTCCCACCATGGGCTTAACCTCAGGGTGTTTGAAGTAAGAGAATCAGATACGTACCGTCGGCAGCTGCCAGAAGCTATAGTTAAATCAAGTATTGATATATCGGCTTCAGTGAACTGTGAGGCTTTGATAATTTCATCGTTCAAGATTTGATCAAAGTGGGGTCATGTAGGTGCCTGTAGAGGTTTTTGGTTAAACCACTCTAACAAAGGCCGAGCAAAGGTGCATGAGCGTCTAATGACGTTTTGAGGCTGGGAGTTTGTCCGCGTCACAATCATCTAAGGGCCAGGATTCGAGTGCACCATGCCAAGGACCTTTATTTTTATGCTTTCATACTAGTACATGTAGTTGAACTCCTACAAATCGTGAAGGCCCTTCACACTATATCTTTCCAAAGTACAATTTGTAATTTGCATCGATACAAATTCCAACCAGCTACACGTAGTGCTTCGAGCTTGATCCATACCATCTTTCATCTTGGAGAATTATTCCCGTTCCTTGTGTCAAAAGATCAAAGCTGAATCTATTATGCTCAAGGAGATACGCCTAACAATTCACGGCCCAACCGCAAGCCCTTGGTGTCTACGATGCTAGAGTTAAAAAACAAATATATCAACAATATATAATATCAAAAACTCACATCAATTCTTCCGGCCGAATGAACTCTGAGACTATATCTCTTTTTCCACCATAGATTCTTGTAGCTCTAATAGCTATGATAGCTGTAGCAGTTCCCAACGCCCCAACTTTAGTAAACAAAATATTCCAAAGACAAATCTCTTTAAGGCTTATTTATTATATTCACTATTTTCAAAGATCTTGGGGGGTACGATCTCACCTTAATTAACCACTCTTCACAAGCTAGTGTCTTAGATCGAACATCGTTGCCAGGATATTCTTCTCAAAGCTGTGTTTGAGGTGTTGTGCCTCTTATGTATTTACTATCTAAGACTGGCAAATGCACTGAAGTTCTATTACTCTGGGCACGGTACCTCCAATTCAAGAAATGCGTAGTCGTGTGTCGAATCTCTACAGCCAATATTTGCGCCTGGCGCTTTGCATAGGCCAACAAGTACCGAGAATACCAACGACAATACTGGACGGCACTTCTCTTGAAATCTACGTATATTTCTTGGCAAACCTGTACACATTCTGAGTCCCCTGAGCCCTCTAAGAATTCTTCACTATACAAATGGTGGTCCTCGTGGGGCCAGCCTGGGAGTAAATTCACAGCCTCTTCTCGAGAACTACATGTAGTAACGATATTTACAGCCCATGAAGCTTTTACATGATCTCCACCGAATTCAGCAGTTGCGTAGGCGCAACGAATTTTCTCAAATACTGCGGTACCGCGCTATAAATTCTATTAGGCAAAGTCAGTAATTCTATATATCTATGGATTCATTGGTCTACCTCGTTTTGTGTGTGCTCTTGACTGTACTGGCGCCATGGTAGTATGACTACTAAACCCAAATCACTACGCCAAGACAGACCCCCACATACGTAGTAGGAACAACATTTCTCCGATGTCGCTATGCTGTATTGAGCCTGAAATAGTAGAAAATAACCAGATCTGTCTATCACCTCATTCTTCCATCCTCTTTCCCAAATCTCTTATGCTCCTTCCTCGTCATTTCGTTCGATGTTTCTACCCGCCTTCGCTCTGTCTCTCGCTATCGGCATCGGGCGTGGCCATACCTCACCGTCTTCCTTCACCTACCCGCCTTACCTCCCGCGCATTTGGCAACATCTGTTTTCTCTTATATATTAATACACATATACAAAGGACATTGGCGCCGCATTCTACTAGTAATATCTGCAACTGTTTCGGGGTGCGTTCTGATCATCTGCAGGAGCTGATTCGAGCAGGGCTCAAACTAGTCGCTAAACCCGCTTAACACTGCACTGTTTATACTTCAACCGCTGACAAGCCCCTAGTACATAGATCCAGCTAGGAATTCCTCCACTCACCGTGGGCGCGCTTATGAGAGCTAATATGCGGCCGACGGCAGACATCATCTACAACGGAATTCTAAAGGGCCAAGCCCGTCGAGATGCTGTAAACTTTCTCTGCCTGAATTCAGGACTACATACATGTATCCAGAAAAGGGGAATGAGAAACCTCTGCACGCTCTAGTATAGCGAATGTAGAATTCTATCCTGTTTTTTATATCGTGGAGCAAAATTACAGGAATCGGCACCTTTTGATCCTGACAAACTTTAGGAGGCGGAAACAGCTATTGCAAGCTTTCTGTGCTAATTAGAGAAATGCCAAGACGGGGGGGAGAAAAGCCCTTCTACCTTCATGCGTGAGTGATCCGGTGTATATATGGTTATTAAGTTAACGGTTGCAACCATCAACCAATCTTTGGTAGTATAGTGGTTAGTATACTCGCTTGTCATTAAACCGTCCGCGAGTGACCGGGGTTCAATTCCCCGCCAGAGAGTAATCTTTTGCGACTCTTTTGAAAGTGAGCAACGCCGATTCGTCCTTCAGGAGCTCCTTTTTACCCACGCTCACCCCAAAGTGGATGCGCTTCGATTTATCTATGGCCCTTTGCGAGAGGATCTGCTACTAATCCAGCTTATTGTCTTATCTAATCAGTAGTTATCATGATGACAATAAGCCTCGAGTTCGATACGACGACGATGATAAGAGTCCAATAGTAGAACTATTAAATATCTCGAGGGTGCGAGTGAGAATTTATGGATTTTCCGCGCATAACCCAAGGCCCCCCAGGCCCTCACAAAGGCCTCCCAGGCTCTCACAAATGCCTCGCGCTACCCGCGCAACCCGACCCCGCTTGCCATTCTACGCTTCCCAGAAGGCTCTCAAAGCATTCACCACATCCCTCAAAGCAACAGCCACTCCCCACTAAGCACCCACACCCCTTATCCACCTCCAATCCCAGATGCAACAACCATTAGCACTTCTGCACTGACCGAAAATGATCCTTGACGAAAGCAAAACCCACACCTGCTTTCCTGCACCAATGCACACATTACAACCTGCATGAGAGCCATACGAGAATCCACTTTCACTTTTTTTGTATACCTGTGTTGGAGTGCCAGATATAAGTTTTAAGGTTCAATATACACCCCCTGCGGGAGTGAGGCTTGAGAAGCATTGTTGGGCGCTCTCCAAGGTATCGGGAAGGCTCGGGGAGACTTTTGTAAATTTCCTGGCCTAGCGATATATGGAAGGCCCAGGGAGCTTTTGTGAATGCTCTGAGAGGTATCGGGAATGCCCGGGAAGACCTTTGTAAATTTCCTGGCCCAGCGATATATGGAAGGCCCAGTGAGCCTTTGTGAATGCTCTGAGAGGTATCGCGGTTGCTCAGGAAGGTATCACGGTCGGTTGCTCAGAGGGGTATCCCGGTTGCTTGATAGCCCCGCCGAATAGAGAGTGCCCTACAAGCCTTCGCGAGTGCTCCAGGAGCACGGCTGGTTGCTTTGCGGGACGGGGTGCTCCTTCGTGCCGGCGGGCAAGAAGAATTTCTACCAGATCTTCCGCGCCTGCACGGCCACATCTTCCGCGCCGCATGCTCTAAGACATATTATATGGGAAAGGTCTAAATAGCAGTCTCTACACAATTCAAGATGGCATAGTGCGGTTGTTGGATCAATTGAAAGTTGGGCTATCATCTATCGCCGCGAGTTGAGCTCAGCGCCGAGCCAGGGGATGTACTCTTACTTCTCAAACCGATAAATGGATCGAACCGCATTCTTGAATTCTTCCATGTAAAGATTAATAGGTGTATCATTTGGGCCGTAATATACAAGAGGGAAGTATATACAAGAGGGAAGTTTATCAGGAGCAATATCAAAGTATGCCATTTTGGATCGTAGTGAGCTATGTCGTTTGCTACGTTTGTTATTGTACAGAATGTCTACCAAAATTAAATCCGTGCCATTTTAGACCTCTTCCGTATATTGTAGCATGTAATTCTATAGCTACATAGCTAAAACTAATAATATAATACATAATACCGGTTAAGGTTAGATTATGCCCTAACCTGCCCCGCCGGCTCGCCCGCCTGCTTCCCTACATGTATGTATCTACTCCTCAATACATGTATCCTCCCCCACCTGCTCGGCCGCCTCCCACGCAAATTAGGGCATTAACTCTAGAAGTAAGCTGCTATAGACGAGCAGAATTAGAGTTGCATACATGTATGTATACGTATACTCAACTGTTAATACAGCCCGTCTCACATGGCAGGGAACATCTTGTGCTGCCAATGACATTTCGCTTTAACTTGATAATCTTTATCTTCAGCCTAGTGATGGGCACGAGACGAGACGTCTCGAGACTAAGCGCGAGACGAGACGAGACCGGGACCTCTACGAGACGAGACGAGACGAGACCAAGTCAAGTCTCGAGACCAGACGCAAGACGAGACGAGACTGGGACCTCCGCAAGACGAGACGAGACGAGATTAAGCTAGGTCTCGTCTCGTCTCGTCTCGTGCCCATCACTACTTCAGCCTTTACATAAATACGCCGGTTAAAGCCAACCGGGGGTGGCATAGCGGGCGATGCACCGGATGTGATATATAGATCACGCCGCCCACTTAGTTCAAGTGCGCTATAAGAACATAGACTCATCCCATAAACTACATATGAAGTCATGATTTATCACTCGAAGCACTAGCGCGCTTCCTTATGAGGAATAGCGTACAACATGTAGCTCCACCTCTCTTCTGCCTTATAAAAACTCTTTTTTTAAGTCTCATAAAGACTTATTACCACTGTCGGTGCTCTTTTGTTCTTCCCTTTTTCAGAGAAAGACAGCGCATCCACCTCCGTCCTTTCTGCCCCGGTTCTTAACAGTTTCCATTTTTCGAGCTTCAAAGCAACTGGGTATGTGCATATAGAGGGCTTTAAGATCGGAAGTCTCTTTCTTTTCTCTTCACTTTGGGCTATATGGTGGCCTGTGTCGGTACCTCATATTTTCTTCCTCCTATATATACACCCGCCTCTATGCGTCCATACACCGTAGGGTACGACCTGTAGGTATGATCCGCTCCCTTCTGTAGCTAACGGCCACCTTTTCTCCATCTATCCACAAACCCCGAACTCCCTCTCCCGCACACCATCTACCACTGTCACCACTCCCCGATAGAACCACCGCACGTCCCCCTCTGTAGATTTCAGGCTGCCGTTGAATCACGTGTTTTAGTCAGGTTCAACCAGTAGACGAAGATTAGAGACGGATTGGAAACTACTAGACGCATCGCAGTGAATATCTCTTCATTGCCTACAATGGTACAGTAGCTCCCGGAAGGGTTTCTTTGATGGTATAAACGGGAAAATATTAAAGGCTGCGGAGAACGATACAGCAGGTAGCTGAGGTAGGCAGGGAGAACTTAAACCAGATATTTTCGTGTTTTTTTCTTTCTTTTTCTTTGTTATTTCCGCTAGCTAGTGGGCCTGCAGTGCCTCCGTGTCAGAGTAGGCTGGAGACCTCGAGGCACCAGTGTCGTCATTGCAAGTTCTTCATTTCCTTTTCGTCTTGTGAATATGAATTCCCAAGTCATCGCTCTAGCTCATACACATTCTCTTCATATACTCACTTGAGCACAAAACTAGCTAGACAGCCAACTATACTTTCGCCTTCCTTGTATATTTAATCAAAAGGCCTGTTGAAAAAGTATTAGGCCGAAGGTATGCCATACTGACACGATCGACCTTAATTGGACTTACAGTAAATAATCCTGAACGCAGACCCGCAGAGCTAGCAGCAGGCACGTTAGATAAGTTAGCCATAGAAATCGGTCCTCGGCCATTAGGCTCTCTGCTACTCCCGTGGCTGCAGGTTTCTGATGTTTAACATAGTAGAGTTTACTATTCCCATATATCCCCTCATGCTTTCAGGAAAACGTCCCAAGCCCTAAGATGTGACGTAAACCCCTCGCCCCGCCCCCCCCCCCCCCCCCGCGGGGCGGGCGGGGGCTTCTGCCATCAATCGTAAGATGTTCGACGGAATTATCTTATCCTAAAGTATAGCCACCTTTTGATCTGGAATTTAGGTATGCCCGTCAAATATAGGCGCTTGTGTGGGTAGGGGTTGATAAGGTATGGGTAGGGTTGATGCGAAGCTGGGGGTAGGTTTTTTAAGATAGCATATGAGGCAGAAAGAAGCAGAAAGGAATGATGTAATCTAGAAGAAAAATGGACAAACGTACCTTGAACTAGACAATAACTAGATCCCATTAAGGATAAGGTTTTAGATTTGGTGCTGTCTGTCGGGGCCTCCTGGCTGCATGTAGGTTACCCAAATAAAATCATTTAAAGGTTTCCGAGATAAAATATGTGGTTAGAGTTGGTGACAAAGATGAATGAGACGGATGTGTTTTCTTACTGTGATGACCTTCACACTGGTGAGACCGAACCTTCATTCTATTACCAAGTCGTCACAGAGGCCTCGAGGCCCAAGTTTGGATATTCCATTTTATACAGAGGTGGCCCTCCTGGTCCAATAGGTAGACCTGGATACTAGCTAGATTTTTGTTTCACCGCTGGGTGCCGCTGTAAGAGCTCAAGGTGATGTAGCCATAACGGGTGGGCGCGAGAAATAGGTAAATGATTTTCCCAGAGCCCCCCCTCTTAGTCGTTGAATGGGAGCCACATAAACAATACTTGCACATACACAACGACTCACCACACAACCCGTTTTTTTCCTTTGCGGGACCTTTGTACAAAACAAGCTCGCTGCCTCTATCATCGTCATATAGCTCATAGCCCCCCATGGATACTACCCGCTACGAGCATATTCTTTCTGGAGATTCCACGATGCCAACGCCTCAACTGGCCTCCATCACAACCTCGCGGTCGTCCTCACCACAACCCCACGGTCCCCGGAACAATAGTATTCCTATGTCCATTGCCCCCCCTGCTCATCCATCTCCCACCCCTCCCCCATCCGCTCCCCCAACCTTCTGGTCACCTGCCAACTCCATTCGACATGCAACTGAGCCATCCCAGGGTTATGGGCGCCTCCGCCATCTAGACCGTATGAAGCGCGAACAACACGCCCTAGCAGCGCATGAGCCCCTGGTTATGAAATGGGATATGGAAGATCTGAGTAAGATTATCGAAGCTCTTGAATCAAGTAGCAAAGGTCTCCAGAAACAAAAGAAGCCGTGGCAAGACAAAAGAGACGAATCAGCTTCAAAATTCGATCCGAGAGCACCACATTTCGATGTGGTTTTGATTGATCTAACGAACGCATCAGAGAGCCTGTACATCAAGTGTACAGAGAGTGACATTGACGACAGTAACCTAGAGGATCTAGGGGAAGCTGAGTTATCACAGAAAGAGGGCGATGGGGGAAACGAATCTTACGATAGCCCTGGGAACAATAATGCTGGGGGGGATAGAGTGAGAAAGGACATAAATAATCTATCAATGGAGAGTCTAGCAGGTCGCCCTGGATGGCTGTTTCTATGGGTCGGTACCACGGAGAATATACCAGAAGGTAGACGCATATTAGGAAAGTTTGGTTTCAGAAAGGTTGAGTGCATTGGATGGATGAAAACCACCAATGGAACTTGGGACAAGATCATTATACCCGAGGGTGAACATCTTTCCCCCGAGCCCGCCGGAAATGGTGTTCTCCGCCGTGGGCTTGAATGGTGTTTAGTGGGTGTCAAGGGGACAGCAAAACGGCAAGTCCAGTTATTTGTTAACGTTTCGGTGGATTTGGACTGACTTATTTATGCTTTCTAGCACCTATGATTCACATCTAATCCACTGTAATGTCAGTACAGATGTGCTAGTCTGTGACGGCTTATGTTCTCCAAAGTCCTCGTTGCTCTCGAGGATTATCGAAAATTTTTCCATGGGCCAACGTCGCCTTCATTTATTTGCTAAGCCTGGAGATGAGCGCCCTGGATGGGTATGCGTTGGCAAAGACTTCACAGAAACAACTTTCGATTGTAGGAAGTACATGAGGTTCTGGGAGGAAAAGGGAAAACACGGATGGTTAATGCCGTTTGACGCAGGTCACTATTCCGGAAAGTTTTAGTAGTCAGCACTGGTCGATGATCGTTAACATAAATTCTAGAGATCGAGTACTTTCGTCCAAAGACCCCTCCACTGCAAGTCCGCAAGCGTGAACGCACCGGTTCGGGCTTAAGCATCGCTACTAAAACTTCCCATGGTTCGATCAATAATAGAGGAAAGTGGGGAGATGATCCTCCAAAGTTCTTTCACAACGGCCAGAGAAAAAGACCAGTTATGCGTTACACCTCCCCGGAAGATGATCCCAAAAACCATAATAAATTTCTTACCCCCATCAGTGGCAATAGGGGTGCGGATCCTGCTTCGGAATCCAGACAACTCCCGAACCAGTCCGTGCCGAAAATTTGGCTTAATTACCAAAATTCACATGTCACTCAGTTCAGATGTGCTTCTGGGCCTAACCCAGGCGCACAAGCGGTGCAATTTCATCCATCTCACAGTGCTAGGAGCTTTAGCCCGAATTCTTTATCAAGGAAAACTCAAGGGAGCACAAGCAGTCCTACATTGACCGATATTCCGCCACAGAAAACTAGTTCGGTAGCATCTTCAACTGCTGGAGATTATTATTTCTTGGCCAGCGGTCTAATCCTAAATAATAAGTCGGATATTCCATCGAATGATTCTACTCCAAAGCCATATCAGCAGTACCTCCTCCAATCATCTAAACCGACTAAGCCAAGTCTGGCCAGTTCTCGTATTCCCTCAGTCGGTTCTCAACAAGGGAGCGGGAATATACCTAGTAACTCTACTAGTAACCTCCCTTCTCATCAGTCAATTTCAAGATCAGTGTCATTGCAGTACTCTTCTCCTTTGGAGGCTCATACCACACACCCTCATCAATCCAGCCATTTCGCGGAGCGTAGAGAAGCCAAGCTATCTCATTCAGCCGTCCCTATCTCTGTTCCCATTTCAGTTTCTACTGCCGAGTATCGACCCAATCCACCACCGGGCCTTTACGAAAGTCAATATCAGGGCGATTCCACAAGTATTATACCCACTACTACTCAAAACATTAAACGCCAGTCCATGCCCAAAGTAGATTGTTTAAATGTTACTGGAAATATGCAACACAATGTATTTCAGAATGGCAGGCGGTCTGTGAGTACTGGTGATTTTCCTGGTCAGATCCACGGCATCCTAGGTATCCAGGATAGTCAGTACCCAAACCCCCAGTATTTGCAGGTTCCTGGGCAAAACGCTCCTCCTACGATGACTCACATGGGGCCAATAAACCCAGTTATTATGCCCCACCAGCCCATTGCCTATCCTGGTTATGTTCAACACCACGGGTATCAGCAGCAACAGCAACAACCAATACATACGGCTCGACAGCATATAAATATGCAGATACAACATCTGCAGTTGCAGCAACAACATATCAGGATGCAGCAGCATCAAATTCAAATACAGCAACACCAGAATCACATACCACAGCAGCAGCAGCAGCAGCAGATGGCCAATGCGTACCCAGCCCATCAGCTTCACCCCCAACAGACCCAGCAATTACAAGCACAGCCGCAATTTGGACAGTACGATGCAAACGGATTCCAGTACTAGCGTTGATATAAGAACCTTTCGAGATTATTGGCATCAGAGCTCATCGGCGGCATACCGATATCCAGTATCACAAAACAGCTCATCTTTTTAGACACTTCATTTTAACGACAATACCCTTTTTTTTTCCCCCAGTCGAGGTGATAACGGGGAGTCCTTCCTGAGAGGGCCTGCTTGAAAGTTATCGTTTTTCTCTTCTTCTTTAAGGCGGGTCTTAGCAAAGCCCCTTGGGATCTTTAAAGTCTTTTCATCCTCTGGTGGCCTCCTAGTATAGAAGGAAATTGTTGACCACGGCCTTTGTTATAAGCCTAGACTTTATTAGTATTTTAGACAACTATTATTGTTGTGATAGTAAAGAAACTTATATCTTGATCACTGCGAAAATGGCCTCAAAGCTTGCAATTATCACGCCTAATACCCGAGTGATTCATAGTGCATCACTCGGCGATATGTGGTAATGTGATGCGATGTGATGTGATGTGATTGACGAAGAGCTTTCTGGAGAGATGAATAGAGGAAAAGGTGATTGAGATTTGAAGGATGGACCTTGTAGTGATTGATGAATAAGTTTAACTGAGCCACTTGGCTTTCTTGATATTACGCGGCCACCCGAAATTTTAGCCACGAAGCCAAATTACTCGACGTCCTAGCGCCTTTCTATAAGATGTCTTAAAGTCTCTCCCGTGTTTATCACCCCGTCATCCCCTTTGGCAAATTATTCCCGAGCTTTTCTCGACTCAATTGCCAAGCTACTATCAAACACAAAATCAGCGCTTTGGGGGTGGTATTTATTGAAGGTCTATTTCTGGGCTCGCTCATGATGGTCAGAGAATGTTTACCATTTAATGTGATTTTTTTCAGGCCATGGTGACCTCCACAAACACGCATAGCCCCACCCCCTCGGAGATCAAGAGTATAGAGGCAGCAACAAGGCTGTTTGGCTCCAAATCTTCCTAGATGGTAAATATAGGTTGAAATTCTTCAAGAAAAGGCTTAGAGATGATATTAATTCTTCGGAATGGCGATAGTATCGGTTTGAAACCTGATTTAGTGGTTTAAATTCACACTGCGACAACAACAATGACGGAAGAGAAATTGACGATAAGTAGACTTTACCGGTTCGGGAACTTTGCCACTAGCAAACCCTACATAACCACCACTCTGCGAACAATTGACGTCCACAAATGAATGTTCGAGGTCTTCTATTTCCCTTTTCTGCCGCCAACAACTCATCATAGTTAGATCTTTACACAACACTAATAAGACCTAAGCAATAAAAAAAATTAATTTCATAACACCCATACCTAGACTTAAGGTATTTCGCAAAATTCGGGTTGAAATTTATATAAATACAACCCAACCGTTCCCATTTCCCCATTCCACCACGCTTCCACGCTCACTCGCACAGAACCCAAGTTTTCCAGAAATGCAAACCAGTGAGAAATCAAAACCCGACCGTCATGCAAAGACATGAGCTAAAATAAAATATCTTTCCCTTTATCGTTCCCATCTCTTATCACAAAGAAGAAAAACAAAGAAAAAATCCAAATAGTGAAAAACAAGAAAGAGAAAAGAGAAAAAAAAACAGTAGCCCTCATCACATGAAAGAAAAATACCCAACGTTAAAAAAACCTAGTTACAATTTTCTTTTTCATACCAACCAAACCCATAATAATGACAGGCAACGCGGAGCGTGTTAAAGGATGAGAGGACTAAAGATTTAGACCGGGGAAGGAGCAGAAAACAGAAAAAATAAAATGGGAATATAACAGTGCACAGAGAGCGAATAAGAATAAGAAACCCCCTATCCAAGTGAAGAACAGAATGTGGTTAATAAACACAGTAGTAAAGAGTTAAGTATTGGTGAGGAAGAAAGAATATTTCCGAAGGAAAATAATAAAGTATAATTGTAGAAGTGAATACCCAGACCAAAACACAAGACAACCACCCAAGCAAGAGAAAACCCCGAGAAAATAGAAGCGCTACTAGAAAGTACTTAATACCCTTCTGGAACAAAACAACTAACCCGAACACAAAGAAAAAAAGACAACACCTGTTCTCTATGGCCCCTGCTGCTATTGATGTTACTGCTGTTGCTGTTGCTGATGTTGCTGTTGCTGTTGCTGTTGCTGCTGCTGCTGCTGCTGCTGCTGTCCAGCTAACATTGCCTGTCCCAGCCTTGGGCTTTGCTGCACACTCATAGGACTCTGTACGCTTGTCGAACGCTGTTGCTGTGGTGTAGCACTTCTACTCGCAACATTTGCCCCCGGCCCGACAGGACCATTCGCACCGATCATTGGCCCAGTATTGGCAGCTGCAGCCCTTGCGGCCTGTTGCTGTTGTGCGCGTGCTATAAGCTGTGAAGTAGGCGGAGATGATGCCATGTTCGGTATACCTTGCCCGTTTCCATTTGCCGACACGGTCATTGTTTGTCTCATTTGGTGATGATAGTTAGCGAGATGTTGTTGGGTGGCCTTAGCAATTTCCGATGGAGGGAGGTGAGGGTGCTGATGCTGTACAAGAGCTGTCATTTCCGCCGCTGTTAGCTGAAATTGTCCTCTGCCTGCCAGTTACACAGCTGTCAGCTGCTTGGGGACAATGGGGGATAGAGAAGGGAGTTTGACTAACCTGCCGGCGCTTGTTGTTGCTGGGGATTAAGTGGTTGCTGATTTTGCATTCTAGGAGAGCCCGCCTGGCCGTTGGCTGCGTTTGCCGGTCTTTGGCCTCCTAGTGCCGCCTGTTGCGCTTGCTGTATCATAGCTTTCACTGCGGCTGGATCTCGGCTTCCAACAGCACCAGCCGGAAATCCTTGCATCCCCGCTTGAGAATAAGACTGGCCCTGGGCGGCTGCCTGCTGCTGCTGCTGCTTCAGGTGAAGAGTCCGAAGTTGCGCTATTTGTTCGGCAGTCATAGGAGCCCGCATTTGCGTTTGGGGGTGTACACGAGCTCCCATCGGTATACCGTTCATACCTACAGGAACACTCCCATTCGGAATGACACCTGGTTGGGCTCTGACACCCGCAGGAAGACCATTCGGCATAGCAGCTTGGGGCACCCTTTGTCCAGGAACAGGGACTCCATTTGCAAGAGCTTGTTGTTGTGCTGGATGAAGTCTACCGGCCTGGGCGGGGAGTGGCTGTCCTTGTGGGTTCTAAAGTTTTTATTAGTATGATTAGAAAGTGTTACTCATGTTGAGATACTTACTCTACCTGCTTGTTGCATCTGTAATTGAGCTGCATACAACGCTTTGTGTTCTAGTTGTTTCTGCTCACGGTCGTATTTCAAGTTGCTGAAGAATGCTGGAGTCCTCTGGGTGGATGTAGTGCTTGCAGGATCTTGTGCCTTCCTCATCGCAGCCATTTGCGCAGCTGCTGAAGGTTAATAAGCAATGTCTAGGAAAGGGTGGGAAAACAGATATCGTACCTCTTCCACTCTGTTGTTTGCTGATACTTGTCTCTCTCTTCTTCGCCAACTTCCTCATGGCTTCAAAGATATTGAAGTACTTCGTTACCCGTCTCTTCTCAACTTTGACGGGCACTGTCCCCCGTCTCTTTGTTATTCCATTAGGATTATTACCACCAACACTGCCTGGGTTAGCAACATATATGCCACCAACTCTTGCCGCAATATCGAGTCGTTGTTGAACAGGTTTATAGTATGGACTTTTCATGAAATCTGGTGACACCGGTTCTAATCCAATCCACCTCTCGAAGCACTCCCACGGACTCCTCCTTTCTGATCCCGAATGCCATGTCCCTTCTAGTTGCATGCAAGTTGACACAAGAGCCCAGTTGTGATGATAATCTCTTGCCAGTTGTTTAAGCATGTCATCTTCAGCGGAAGTCCATAAGCTTGGTAAACGAGATTCAAAGAATGCTTGAGGAGGCAGATCACTTGGCGGTCGGAATAGGTGAGCATTGTGTATTCTTGAGAGAAGAGCCTTGGAACCAGGGTTAAACAGCGCAACATCTGTCTGCTCTGGAGGCAACGGGACAGGCTTTCTTGTCTTGTCTTTTTCTCGCTTGCCGTGTTGTCCATAAGGACCACCACTGGTAATATCGTCTTCGTCTGAGTCATCGGCGAATAGCTCATAGTTCTCATCATATTCGTAACGGCTTTTCTTCCGGGGAGGACCCTCTTCCTCTTGTTTCAACGTCAACTTACCCGTGCAGTACTTAGTCACTGGAATGATAGGTGTCATCCACTCTTCGTCAACATGCTCAAATCTTCGACTCTCAACATTCGGTGGTTTTGGGGGTGCAAATAGTGGTAATTGCCCCAGCATGTCCTCTGCGGCCTTAGTTGGTGCAACCCCAAATATAGTCTCATCGGGCGAAAGGGCGAATAGTGCAGCTGGTGGCGGATCTTGAAGATACCCAAAAAAGTCTGGTATTCCCCATCCCACACCCCCACTCTGCTCGATTCCGTTCGGAAAATAATCTTCGCTTCCCTCGTCGTCTGGAGTCGCACCCCCAACAACCAACTCCGGGGTGGGCTGGTTTAATTCTGAAAAGGACCCTGCGCCTCCCATTTCCACATCGCCTCCACTAGCTATCTTTTTCTTCTCATCTCTTGCCCCCTTCGGAACTACTCCCCATTTCCGTTTATCCACAACTAACTCTTGCTTATCTTCGCCTATTTCGTGCCATTCCACACACCAATCTGCAACCTGCTTGGCGACCGCAATTTTCCACTTTCTCTCTTCCCTAAAATCTTCTCTCAACCACTTTGCTTCCTCAATGAGATAATCCCAATGGCATTTCCTCCTCTTAGGCTCCCTTGCTCTCGCAATCTGCCTCAAGCTAGAGATGCCCATATCTTGATTCTTCTGGATCATTTCCAAAATCCTCGCGGCCTGAGACTCGAAGTAATGCACTTGATGGTTGCTCGTGCTCACAGTCTTATTAGCTCTACTAATGAGTTCCTTTGCAGAGGTGTGAGCCGATTTCACAGTATACAGCACATCGAACATTTCCAGGTTTTTCTTCTTGTCCCCGTCTGTTGGTGGCGGGTCAGCAATGCCGTATCGAGTGAGAACATCAGTTTTACTGCCGGGTGGGAATTGCGCACTTCTTCCTCTTGCTGCTGCTGCTTGATCGCGACGACGTGCAACGACTATCATGCCCTGATTTTCCTGATCCTCACGCAATCGTTGGGCCTCTGCTTCTGCGGCCGCTGCCGCATAGTGTGCAGACGAAATCACGACTTTGTGTAGTTTTGCCCGCGATTTCTCTCTTTGCTTATTCCGGCCTATTGTCTTTGATGGTTTCGGCCGTGGTGGAGAAACGGACTTAGTCGAGGCGGGTACTGAAGCTCGAGTCGCATCGGGAGTTGGAAGGTTGATATCCATAGCGTTTGCGTCAGTAACTGGAGTAGATTGGACAAAATCTGGTTTCTCTGCGGACTCAGCTGCCGAAGCATTTGACCCTTCAGTCGTAGCTGGAATTGGTGATGGATCTAGGGGCATTTCCGGCGCCTTCTCTTCTGCAATTTCCATTCGCTCATCTTCCTCAGGTATCTCGTCTCTCTTCAAGGGCTCATCGTCGAGCTCATCATCGCCTTCCGGTTCTGGCTCGGGGCTAGGCTGGTAGGGAACGGAGATCGCTTCGGGATCATTATGCTCAGCTTCTCCCATTTCCACATCACCCTCCTCCTCCTCCTCCTCCTCCTCCTCCTCCTCCTCCTCTTCTTCCTCCTCCTCCTCCTCTTCTACTTCTTCCCCCTCTTCTCCTTCTTTGTCCTCTTTGATTTCCGTTTCCACCCTCACCTCTACAGGTTCTGGTGTCTTTTGTTTAACCTCAATAGGTGCTTGTACTTCTGGTTCCGGGGAGGGTATATGAATAGGTACTTCCTTCTCTTGTGTTGAGAGTACCTCCTTAACAGTCTCCTCCAAAGCCTCAACTATTTCCTCTTTAGGCTGGGCTGGGGGCTCTGCTGGAGCCTTCCTTCGTACAGAAACAGGCTCTGGTTCTCGACTGCCCACAAGCTGTACTTGGTCTTCGTCGTCCTCCTCATCGTGCGCATGGGACATCACCAGCTCCGGTGCAGCTTTGATCTCATTGTTAAATGAGGTGACCTTATGTGTGGTAACAGTAGATAGGACGATAGGTTCGCCATTTGCTAGTTGATGTTCTAACCTCAATTGCGCAGAAGGATCGGGGGACTGCTGACCAGCTAAGGAAACTGCAACGATAGACTCCATAGGTTTCGAAGTTATTGGAGTGGTTGGCTCTTTGTCCTTTACAGGTACTACTGGGGCTTCCTGTGTTAGTGGATTTGTAGCCTGCTGATCCTCCACTCCATCCTCACAGTGTGCATTAGGTAGAGAAGATATTTCCTTGTTTTCTTGCTCTTGCAGACCCCTCTCTTCTACCGGAATTTCTCGCGGTGGAATTGTCGGAAGCGTTGGCTCAGTATCCACTTCCGTCCCCACAACCTCTTCGGCCATCGAAACCGAAGGCAAAACGGCATCCGGTCGGTCGCTACAGCATTCTGGTTCCTTCTCCACCACGACACCAGCTTTCTCATCCTCCTCTGCCTGTGATGACGAAACAGACGCAATTCTGTCACCACCATTCTCGGTAACTACTTCTCGAGTATCTTTCTTGTCTGTTCCGGAGCTCTGACTTTCTAAGGCCATGTGACTTGCATCCGGGCTTGTTGCAGAAGATAATGCAGCATTTCCCGGTGTTCCGAATCCATCCCCTCCATCTACAGACGAGGTGGGAGAAGATACCTCTGGGTGTGCCGATCCTTCTTTTTCTGGTGAGGCAAAAGCTATCGGGTAAGGTCGGTTGTGTTGTCCAGTTAACACGACAAGTGGGGCATGAGGTGGAAGCTGTTGAAGCTGAGATGGATGAGCAGGCAGACGAGCTTCCTCTCTGTGTTCAAATACCTTGGCTATGGGTCGAATGGGCGGGGTGGCTGGCACTACAGATGATTCTTGAGAGCTAAGAACTTCTGTTTCAGTGGACTTCTGTAATGGCGATACTTCTTTGAGTTTCTCGAGATCCCGAATAGTTTCGGCTGATGCGGTGAGTGGTTTATCAGAAGGTGCGGTATCTTGCATGGCAACATCCTCCCCTGACCGTTCTGTGAGCGCCTTTGGTATTGGCGGCGGACGAACACCCAAAGCTTCTTCCTTCTCATCAGGTACCTTAGTTGTAGTCTCTTGGATCACCGGGACACCTCCAAGATTGAATATTGGTGCCAAAGGTTCCGATCGAGAATCATCAACAGCTGGAGAAGGTTTGCTTGAGGAAGCTCTATGAGGATGATCTTGGTCTAAAGGTTGTGCTGATTCCTCTTCCATAGTCGAATCTCCATCTGTTCTATTCCCATTCAACGCCGGTAGCTCAACACTTGACTCATGTCGTACTGATTCATCGTTAGGATCACGACGTTGCCTCTTCTCAACAGGTAACTCAGGCGAATTTGTAGACTCTGGTCGGGCTTTTGGCTGTTTAACAGCCGTTGAAGGAAGGTGTATTGAAGTCTGCGCTGTGGATTTTGGCGGGGTTGATGTTCCGGGGGATACGGATGGGTGTGACAGTCCACGAGTAGGAGTTGCCTTTGGAAGTCCACCGGGCTCGGGAAGGTACGAAGAATGTTGTGGTAAAGTAGACTCTTTAAATAACCTACCTCTGTATATAGTTAGCAAGAGAAGTGTGAGCTTTAACAATTGATGCCTACTTCTCAATATCATTCTCTTCGAGGAAGCGCTTTTCGGCGTCCTCCATGTTTGCTGCGCCATAGTCTTCTACTGTTCCCCAGGCCGCCATAATATCGGCATTGGGGAATTCCTTTGAGCGCTCGACGTGACGACATACTGCGTAGAGCTCTTGTAGTTTTCGTTTCCTTGAGATTATAATAGATCTATAAAAAAAATTAATTTTAGTTAGCCATGTGCGCAACCATGCAATTGTACTCGGTAGTTGACAATTATAGTTGGCAGTTGGCCCTCGAGTGTTGTCGTGTCGCGATAAATTGACTATTTTGATATTCAAACTACGCGACGTGTCGTCGCAACGGTTACCGAGCCGGGGGGCGGCAACCAACGCACCCCCCGAAGCGAAGAAGAAAGCCCAAAGATATGAGCACAACGAAGGGAAAAATTAGAACTCACTTCCGCTCGTCGCAAACAGCGTTGAGGGCATCTTTCCGCAGATTCTCGATGGTGATCTTCTCGACCATATCTCCTCCGCCCGGTCCTGTCGCATAGAAGATATATACAGAACACTCCTCTCGCTTAGGGCCGACTCTGCGGCTCAGTCAGCACCAGACATCTAAAAATGATAAAACTACGAGGGGGATAGGGTAAACAGAGCCGGAGAAAACGATTACCGTATATAGCAGCCTGTGTAGAGGGGTTGTTGTCGTGGATATGGGGACAGAGGTAGTTGAGGGGGATGAGGTGACGTTGGGGGAGAGGAAGGGTTAGGGTTTCTCTGGTCGCAGGTGTGGTGTGGGCTCTCTGTGGAGTTCTCTCTCTTCTGGCGGCGGAAGGTTGGGAGAGGTTGCGAGGGGACACCAACTTGGTTGGCTGGGCACGACGAGAGGAGAACGTGAAGCAAAAAATGGCTTAGGCTGGCTGGGGGTGGGGGCAACAGCAAGCAGCCTGCCGATTAGGGAACAGCGTGGCGGGATAAGCGTTGTCACGTGAGGAAATCTTGGCATGTGGAAAATAATTCTCGTTTGCGTTTGCGATAGTAAGAGGATTTAGGCGACCAACATCCACCACCAGCCCATACTCGAATCCGCCCAATTTCCTGCCCTTATTCCAATCGCAATGGCAAAAAGAAAGAGACAATCTACCACCGCTGCTGCTGCAGAGGCTACTCCGGAGAAGAGCGAGGTCCCAGTCAACTCAAATAAGCCAATTGCTGTGCCCACTACAAAACTTCCACTACTCCCAGCAGTAGGCAATCTCTCACTTTCAGACTCACCTGTTGGAGGGATCAACTTCCAGGTCATTACAGGCTCCTACGAAAAGACTCTCCACGGATTTGTCGTCACTATCCCCGAAACAGCAGCTGCAGAGACCACCGAGACAGATACCAACTCAATCTCTCTTCCGGCGACATTTGCAGATTCGTTTCTCTTCACTGCTCACACAGCGCCCATAGAAACTCTCTCAATATCCCCTGTTGGAACTGGCTCTGGTTCTGGCAAACGAATCCTCGCTACATCCTCTGCCGACGAACACATCCACCTCTACACCCTCAGCTCAATACTCTCGCGAACTACCTCCTCTACTAAGAGGATTTTAAAACCCTCCTCAACCGCCACTGCTTCCAATCCCAAGAACAAGCACTTGGGGACTCTTACCCACCACCTCAATACCCCCACTGCCCTTGTCTTCACCCCCACCCGCTCAAAGCTCATCTCCGCCGGTCTCGATGGTCAGATCCACATCCTCCGCTGTCGCGACTGGGCACTCATGTCAACGCTGAAATGCCCAAAACCCAAAGCTAAACCCATAAATTACGCCAAAAACTACACGGACGGCTACGGACCCAGAATCGAGACCTTCAGCTCCGAGTGCGTGTACGGCGGTGGAGCCGGGGGTGTTAATGATGTCGCTCTACATCCCAGTCAAAAGATTCTACTTTCGGTAGGGAAGGGCGAGAGGGGAGTTCGGATGTGGAATTTGATGACTGGTCGTAAGGCCGGTGTCTTGATGTTTGGCCGCGACGATGTACCTCATAAGTTTGGACGAGAGAGTACCAAGGTGGAATGGTCAAGCGACGGAAACGAGTACGCCGTTGCGTTCGAGAGAGGTGTGGTTGTTTTTGGAGCGGACTCGAAGCCGAAGTGCCGGATTAGCGCAACTCCAGTCTCCAAGATCCACAAGATTCACTACATGAGCCTTCCGTTAACTCTCACCCGCCCCGGTGTCTCTACCGAGGAGGACGAGGAAGAGGTCTTGGCAGTATCAACTGAAGATGGTCGTATCCTCTTTTACTCCACCACACTCCCGAAACCTGCGTCAGAGGACGAGACTCCCGATATTGATTCCCCCACCCTTCTTGGCGTACTTGGAGGTAAATCAATTGGCATGGTTGGTCGTGTAAAAGACTTTGCTACAGTTAAGGTTTCTAGAAAACTGTTCGTAATCACTGCGAGCTCAAGTGGTGTTGTCCGAGTATGGGAGCTTGACACCACCGAGGACAGGGAGATAAAGAAGGTCCGCGTGGACGAGAAGGAAGTCACTGATCGACAGGTTGGCAAGTTGGTGGGGATCTACGAGACAGAAAGGAGAATAACGTGCCTGGGAGCTATGGAGATGGAGGTTGGCGAAGAGGTTGATGAGCCTGAGGAGGCTGTAGAAGAGAATAGCGACAGTGATACTGACGATGATGACGATGAAGAGGAGTAGACTTAGTTTAATTCTTTGGTGTTTGTGGATAAAAGTTTAGGAATAGCTTGGCTGTACCATATCATGTGATTACTTTTAGTCTTGTTCGGAGTCATAAATTCTCACTCGGCGCCTTTTCTCTATGTTCCTACACATATTGCTTTTTCTTAAGTGCAACTATCAACATTGATTGTGCACGAGACTACCCCGTAGTTCGCCCCGTGCGCCTTATATACACCAGCCAACACCCACTCCTCACCATTTCCCCGACTGCACTACATATCCAGGTGATCAGACAGGAAGTCGCCTTGAAGAGTGGAAACATCAGCTTCCATCCTCATCTTGTCGTCTCTAGAGCGTAGTGCCCACCCTGTATGCTGACATAACAGTACTCCACCAGATGTGCCTAGGTACCTAGATCGCTATCGTATCCAGCCTCGAACCCAGATCTATCTGATCAGTCTCACCAATATGCCCCTCACCCCTCACGGTACCTCTGACCCCAGCAGTACGACTCTCTTGCTCGTCTTTCGACAATGCTACAGCTGGTATATATACAGAGGGTGGCCCGGATTGCAGAGACGGTGTGCTGTTCATCCGCAACGCTAACATATATCTGCCGTCACAGATTAAAACTAGGCACCTGAGACTTGGAGTACATGTGGGATCGGCAGATAAGCCTTGGGTGGAATGATGGTCGCACTACTTGACATGTCCCAACATTTCTAGGTGTCGGTTTTGTACCAGGCCTGCATGTATGTAGCAGCGAGTGACAATCGTCGGTCTACGTAACCATTCACCACCCTGCTAATGTCATCATATGTGAGTTGTTTGGCCAGAAGTTACAGACGAAGTTGCCCTCTTCAAGCATCAGCTGCCTTCTCTAGGCCAACTGCCAGTGGGGTGCCCGTCCAGAAGTCTAGTACTATAGTGCCGAGAACACTGGCCCAGACAATGCATCCCTTCCCCTCAAATCACCAGGATATAGTTTTGTTTCCACCGGCCGACCTATGACGATATATATATCGATAGAGTCGTTGAAGACCTCAATACTACTCCAATATACCGCTATCGTCCGTACCATGGTGTGGATCTTAGCTTGGTGTAACTTACCAAATAGATTAGCGGATAATCTTAGATATACAATCAACTTTCCGAACCACCCTCCCGTGAGCTTCTCCACAGTATTCCGAATGTCACAAATCTACCACTCTCACTAGGAGAGAAAAGAAATGCACTGCTTAGCCAAGTAGAATACTGGAGGTGTCGACTTGAAAAAAGATTGAGACGGGAAGTCAATATTATCCTGCCGGAAAATATGTTCTCAAGGAATGATATGTGCACGATAAAAGGTCCCTTCGGTGTGGTTCTTACTTAGTTGGCCTGTCAATGGTGATCAAGAGTGTATCGTTTGATTCTGCTTGAGACGAAACAGCAAGTCGCGGCACTGTAGCGAGGAGAGAATGCAGTATTGCCAGTTTGTATTGCCGATGTATTGCCCGAGGATTTTCTAATTCTTCCCCCTTACTCGTACTTCCCATGACGGCATACTCACTCACGCAAGGGCCGTTTTAGGGCAAGAGATCAATTTTAATCACGGAATATCACTCGGCTACACGTGAAGTAATCGTATGTGAACGGAAATTCGAAAAACGTTCTAGCTACTTATCTTTAGGAGCGATCCATAAAAGCTAGGAAATCCTAAAAGTTCTAAAAAGCTTCCCATGGTTGAGTTCATTCATCTTTTGCTTGATAGTCAAATTGCAAAGTTGGGCGTAATTGATGAGCTTATTTACACATTCTAGTGTTACACTAAAATATTGTCCGGCCTGAAACACGGCATAGAAACTCCGAGTCAGTAATACCCATCTTCAGGCTCTGCTGCATGATGGTGACGCGACATCCTGTTGATATATAAATTCTGCGGTTCGTTCTAAAATCAGTACTTCTTATTGGCTACATCCTTGCTAGCGCAGAAAGCCCGGCAAACCATTTAAAGTAACTTTTAACCCAAGGCACCTCCAAACCCCAAACTTTTATGTTGTCAAACTGAGCACTTTATCTCACCAACTTAAAACCCCGATTCTGACTTGTTGTATGCCGTGGTTCACGAGAAATTGGCGCTCGAGGGGTAGCTCAATGTACAGATGCCTAGAATACGAGTATACGCGGGGAAGACTCCCATATCTACCCCAATCTACTCGAGGTTTATCTTGAAGTGATATTAGTTTTCCCATATAAGGTACTGAGGAAACACGAAGACCTATATAGCTATAGCTATGGGGACCATTTAATTATCACTATATTACATAGACCTACATGTACTTATATGAAGTGGGGTTTAATGCACCCCGATCCAGAAGAATATTGCGCATAGAGACACAATTTCAAGTCACCTGTAAGTATGAAAATTTGGTCCCGTAAACTATTCTAGGTTTCTCTAGTAGTAAACCGCATATATATATATACCGGTCTTCCATTATTAGTTTTTTATTCAAACTAGGGACTTCTTCCACCTTTAATTCAAGGGACATTCGCGCACCTTATCGAGATCCTAAAACCGGTACAAAGTACCGTGCTGCAGTGAGACCCATGGCCCAGGAGCTATGAGATATGCGCACGTACCGTGGATGACTATGTAGATCCTAAATTATCTAATATCGTTGGAAATTAATACCTTTCGCATGACCACGGCTATGTGCATACATACCTGCAGCTGGTTCGTGCTCACCCTTCTTCTGATTGAATACCAATCGGGTGTGTATTTTCATCACAAGTACCTACATAGTCTGGTTTAATAGCTTTCCTAAACGCGTGGATGAGGTTAATTCGAGTAGTGTGGGAAACCTAGCTTTCCCGGCTCTACGGCATACATCAACTGCAACCCATTCCAAATTCTCTTTTTAGTATGTAGTCAGATTGAAAGAAATATATAGTCGGGTATTAATTATATTACGCAATACCATTCGGATTATTAAGTTCAATTAGAGAGTGGTAGAATGCATTTAATATTTCTCTACACTTTTTCCCCCGGTGAGTTTACTAATATCAACGCCTCGGGCAAGCCTCTCGATCGCGGCAATATTTAATATATTGGCTGGTAGATTGACCTTCCGTTGATTAAATATATTATATCTTACAAGCGGAGTGCGGCCTTTGGCCGCCCAAATGTACTGAGGAAATGAGGTGCGGGCGGTACTGCGATTATTAGGTCATCCAAACGTACAGGCATGCACTAAGCCTCATCTCCATCTCTCCTTATATGTAATCTGTGATATATTAGCTCTAGTATGCACTCTAAGTCATTCAATGAGTAGCGTTAGTATGTACATGTAGTTCATGATAAAATGGTATCAGGGAAATTCGACCTTTATATATAAAAATATAGCTGTAGTTCTGTCAGTGTTTGTTCTCTTATATCCATCAATTGCAATAGCTACACGCCTTTTAATGCATGTTCCCTTCCATCTCGGGAGTAGTTCTTTGTCGAATAATGATATGCAATCAATATTAGAAATACATGTAGTGCGCTGTAACCAATAGGAGACGTTCCTGGTGACGATGAGGAAGACTATATAGTTTAGATTTATTTCGAAAAAAGTGTTTTAATTGAGACCCATTGATCACTGGTATCTCTCCTTTTTTGAACCGATAGGCGGAAGGGCTTAGGGAGTTCGATATTGGTGTTCCGTATAAGCTGTAGTTATAGCTGCTAGCTATATATATATAGTATGGTCTCCTTTGATTAATTGTAGCTAGACTTCTTAATATTACAGAGGAAATCATATACGTATATACGTCGTGAGGTACAAGTACGAACCCGTGCATGCGCATGAGAAGCATATTGCACATATCGATTTGTGTTTCTACGCGGGGCGGTAGCTCAAGTCGGTGGCTCGAGCCTTATAATATTGCTATACATAAGTACATATTATCTAGTATCTCAACGTACGCGTACGGGCTGGTACTTCTGATTTTCTAGTGCATAGATATAGCTTCTGTACACATAGCATTTGGTAAAGATAACAGATACTAATGAACACAATTGCTAAAGAGTAAGACACGTATCATAAAATTTAAAGCCAATATAGAATCACCCATCAATCCATTCTTGTCCCACTAATATCCTACCTATTCGGTTATTTAGGCATCCGCCCACAGGCGTCCCCAATATAAAAAAAACTTATTTTTAATCCCCCCAACCGTGATGGATATTGTCGAGTCGGTGGTTGTCAATGCCACTTCCACATGGGTATATCGTGCTTTCGTTTTTATATTAGTCCTGTTTGCGATCATTTATTTGAACGTGAATCCATGCTGCAGGTTACTCCATCCTCCTCATTTTTAACGGCCAATATAAGGCAGGCTCGATTCTAATAGATATATGCGTTTTTGTTACAAGTTAGGATTTAGGAGAAGTCACCAGTACCATGAAAACTGTGTTAAGGCGTGGCACTCCATTTCGACACCATGGTTACTCTGTGCACTTTTTCTCGAACACTGGGGTATCAAGACGGCGAATCATGACTTCCATTGATATGTACGCATGGACTAATTGACTCTCGTGGTTCTACCTTGTACCTGGTAGAATTCTGAATCAAAGCCACGAGCTTCTTCAGTTGAGACTTTCGTAGCAATGTAAGACCCACTACTGATCCATTGTAAGATAAGAACAAGTCTAGAACATATTAACACCCGAATTCTTCAGGAAAGATCCCTACAGTATTTATTAGTACTATTCCTTATCCATTCCCACATCCGGCAAGATGGTATGGACATGGTACTACCCCGGATTAACAAAAATCATCTCTATCGTGCACGTTCGCACATATTAAAGAAAGGTGCAACAACACGGACGCAATGATTCATTCGGTGATGTTGCTAGATAGAGGCTACATACATGTATGCTGTCTTACATTATCTTGGCTAGGGGGCCATAGTAATAATAATTCTTTTACTCCGGAATGAGGCCCAACGCCGCAGTTCACTGCCGGTGGGATAACGAGGCTCGTGGAATGTAGGACGCAGCAAAGGAAAAACTGGGTATATATTGCCTCTCTTTCTTCTGGCTTTCCTTCATTCTTCATCCTACGGAACGTCTCTATCATTACTATCAAAATGCACACCACCTTCGCCCCCACCTTTACCAAAAACGCTGTTTATACATCCCTAACCCTGGTTATCGTTATTACATTCTTTTATCTCAGTGTTTCTTTCCCCCCAGAACATAAACACATCAATTCTCGTCGCGGACCCCGCAACAGCCCTTTAATAAGCCTACACTTCAAGGCCAACCCGACATCAATATTGATGCGATATGGATTTGATTTATAAATGACGCTATCATAGGCATGAGTTGAGTACGTATTAGGAGGAAGTATATATGAGGATATATGACGCTGATTGATGGTACAGTTTATGAATACTCTGCATAAAGGTAGATAAAATCACGAGACCCCGGCCCCCGGCACCAGGAACTACGGTGGGGGAGCCTACCGCATTCTCACCCAGAGAGCTCTCCGAAGCTATCAGTCCAACCACGAGCAGTGTTGATTACTCGGGTTCGTCCGTTATCCATAACGGAAATGGAATATAAGGCCTATTGGATGGAGGCCGGCTGGGGTATGAAGTTAGCAGAAGTGTGATCCTTGGCTGGTTCGGACATGGTTAGAATGGGGTTATGGTTTTGGTAGTTGTTCTTGCCACTTTCATTAATTGGGTGAGGGCGCAATGGTTGAACATGAGACACTCGTCTGTCAATGATTTTGTGGTAGAATTGCAGTTGGAATGTTTCGCAAACCAGCCAATTGAAAGCGTAGTAAATTGAGACTTGCACTAACTCCTACGTGTTAATGTCTCAAATTCAAACTCAGCGTCCTCCGCCTCCTCCATAATAAAAAAAGACCTCACTGTAGACATCATATTTGAACGAAATTTAGTTCTGGATGTAAATCCAACGCGCTGCAAAAGTAAACCCCCTTACGTCTCTGGCCCAGATTTCAACGAAACAATGCATTGAACCGGTAATAAGGTGAAATGACGATGACAAAGTGTAGCCCGATAAAGATAAGCTAGTGAGGTGATGCCTTGAGGGTTATTACAAGGAGATTTAACGGTAGCGGTTGATCTTGCTAAAATGAAATAAGTTGTACGAGCAGCTGGGTGACATATGGTGTTTGGGAGCAGTGATGTAGTCATATGTTCTCCAAGTGCCCACGTTTTCCTATGGGAACCTCACGCCATACCATAGGATACTGGCTACAAGTGTATATTATATCCATAAGTAGCTTGGGTTCGCTCGGATATGCGGGTATCGCGGGTTATATAATTTATAACACTTAATTACGTACTCGTCAGTTTAACTCTTTGTGCCCTGGACGGCTGCGGGTTGTGGTGTCGTAAGCTCTTTAACTCAGTGCAGTGGGTTCAACCTTTTTTTTTTTTTTTTTTTTTGGCATGCAGTTCTGATCTGGACAGGGGCTGTCTCTTGACATCTGTGGTCTTTGTAGGGATTTAGCAATGCTGAAAAAAGGTACCGAGTATCTATCTAGATCTGGATTTAGTTAGATTTTGTTTGTATAATCCGGTGGTGACAGAAGGATTTCACTCGTATCTTTTGCCTCTAAAAGTACGTTCCTAGTCACACTACTGCCACTATATTTCTCTCGGCTCAACTCAAGTGTGTGGTACGAAAACAAGCTTTGAAGGCGCACTCAAAAGCTCCACGGGAGAAAATTATGAGATGGAGTGCACATAATTGATTACTGCACATACACCACCACTGTATATCAACGACCTGTGACCACCTAAGTGTAAGCCCCGTCAAAGCTGCCCCTTCTTACTTAAAAGCTAATAACACTATGCCTCCTCAGGTATTATAGCAGAGAGGCTGCACATACTCTTAACGAACCGTAAAAAAACAAACTATAGTCGTTCACCGTCTCTTGACGAATACTGCCACTTGATGAACAGGGAAGTCCAAGTATGGCAAGAAACAGTCAGGCAACAGTCAAGCTGCGAGATCTCTAGTCCTTTTAATTTCTATTGGCCCGAAGTCCCTGGCAGTATTCGTCAAGCGACGGTGAATGACTGTAAATGATGAATTAGAAAAAATAATCCTCGGTGGTGCGATATCGAGTGATATCTCATGCATGGCCGAAAGCTCTCCGTCGATATTCACCCCGACCCTGACCCTGACATCCATATGCCCATGACGGCAGAAGATGAGATAGTGGCGTTATATGTAGGGGAGGGATGTTGTTGGGGTTTGAGATCGACATAAACAGACGAAGTGGATCCTGGATGTTCCGCGGGCCCGAGGAAGAACCGGCCAGGTAGTCTCTGAAGAGAGACTGTCACCCACCCACCGGTCAGGTTAACTTGCAATAGAGGCGCCCCCACTCACTGTCGCCGACGACGCTGTTGTGTTACTGTTGCTGCTGCTGGGGTAATGATCGTTGGGGCGGTATATACCGTGTAGTATGTTGATGGAGGGGAATAACCTGTAATCATGGCAAGTGACCTCCTTATTACTTCATTTGCGTCTGATGTACCGCCTCTGGTGTGTACGGCGACCTAATGGGGGATAATCCTGGTGTTGGGCCGTTGATGCGTAGTAGTGCCGCAGATATATGTATCGATGTTATACCTACCCAAACCTGTACATTTAAGTTTATTTAATGGGATATATCAAACATCCCTCTCCGAAACAACATTGCATAGGTTATGGAACAGTCAAAGTGAATTGCATCATAGTACCACTCTATTTCGTCCTCCTCACCAATTGACTAACTGTAGCGCGGAGATAGGTACAAGATTCATACACATAAAACAATCCCCAAACATTGGCAAACTTTTCCCAATCCGTAAGGTATAAAAACATAAAGTAAATCAATCTATATAACGGAAGGAAGGAAAACAAAGATCTACTTTTGCTTCTTAGCCGGCCTGGCAACCACCTTCCTTCTTGGCATGCCATCTCCCCTACTCTCAACCTTCTTTGGGACGCCCTTCTTCTTAGGTTTCACAACCTTTAGTTCACCGGCAGCTGCAGTTTCTTCCTCGACAAGCTCCTCCTCTTCCTCGTACTCCTCCTCGTACTCCTCATCAACAACCTTCTTCGCCGGGAGGAAGCGACCAATAGTGATGTTGAAGAACCACATCGGCAGTCTAATGAGAAACGTGTTGCGAACTTTTGGGCCCTCGATATCATTGGTGTCCAGTGGGTAGTGGGCATTGTTGCCATCTTCGTCCTTTGCCTCGAGGAAGACATTACCAGCGGAGTCCACGATGAGAATCTTTCCATTCTCAGCAACAACCTTACGCTTACCAGCACCCTTGGGGCCGGGGACAGGAGTTGAAGTTCCGGAACTGCCCTTTGCGACCTTGTTTGTCCGGCGCTGTGCACGATTCATCGGTTGTTGTGGAGCAGCCTCGCCGGAGGAGCCAGAATCTTCGGCGGCCTGGATATCTGCAATACCCGGGATACCAGCCTCACCCCATGCTGCAGTGCGGGCGTGCTTGATGTAGCGTTCCATGAAGGCCCTTTGCTGTCTGGCATTGAGCCACAAAATACAATAATGCAATCCACCACCGCAGAAGACAAACAGACCGATCAGGACACTGGTGAGGCCGGGGCGGTAACGGGCATAGTAGTACCCGGTGCCTCTCCAGAGTGGAAACCCGTTCTTAAGAAAGTGGTCGTAGCGCGCACGACCCTCTCCACGAAGAACATCAGCGATAATAGCTAGGCGGGCAAAACGTTCTTCGGCACGCTTCTTGGACTCGGCGAGTTGCGCTTTGGTGAGCTTCTTTTGGCCAGGGGGAGGAAGGTGTTTTTGCTTGTCGGGGTGTAGACGAATCGATTGCTTCTTGTAGGCGCGACCAATTTCCTCCTGCGAAGCTCCGTGATTCTTTCCAAGACCGATAAATTCTGGGGAATATTAGTACAAATCCAAAGGGGAAGAGGGTATGTACTAAAAAATAAATAACATACCATAGAAGGTGGTCCCTTCACCCTCGGCGAGCTCCAGTTCGTCACGCACTCGGAAGATCTCTTGGTCTAGTAGCAATAGCTGTCAGTCCCAAATCCCGTCCAAGCTTAAAGTCAGACAGCATCAAAAGCACACACCTTCAGCAGACCAGGATGCAAAAACAGTCGTCGCTAACGCGACAAGTAGAAACGAAATGAGGATAGAAAACCTCATCGCGTCAAGTTAGAGGTTGTTGTAATCGAATTGATACAGATGAGGATATTCGTTGATTGTCGTTGGTTATCACTGCCAGCAGAGAGAGCTTTTAAAGGGCATCAGTGAGGACAGGGTAGCGCCTCGGTAGAGGAATGTCTAAAAAAGATCTGGCAACATCGTTGTGCGCCCCAGATAGGCCCGCCGTCATGAGGCGCAGTGTCGCAATATTTATACATAGGAACGATGACAACAAAAGATGAAACAGTGAGAAAATATTTATGCATATGTATAAGTAGGAGGAAGGTCATCGAGACGTGATTTTGTGCATTTTTTCGCATTCTGGCGACGGTATTTGTTTTCTGTGGCGCGAACCTTGAGCACCAGCCACCACATCAACAGCCGCACTTCTGACGACTTTGTGGAGGAGCGAGAAGATGAACGAGAGCTTGAACTGGAGGAAAAAGTGGAGGTAGAAGTGGAAGACGAAGAAGTAGAGGGTCTGAAGGATGACATCGTAGGTAATGAGATGATTGTGGATTTCCGTTTTTTTTTTTTATGGGTTCAGTAGGGAGTGGTATTTCGCCAGGAAATAAATATTAACAAACTTGATGTTCACGAAGATTCCGTATGTACTGATACCAGGAGTCTACACCCTCGCGGGATCCCCATCTCTTTTATCATCGGGAAAGCCGTGGAAAAACAAGAACACCCACAACAAACGAGTCTAAAACCCGCATCCATCCCGTATCCGCATCCGCACTGCCCTACCAACTAACTAATGCGCTTGACTGACAGTTGTACCTACATACAGTCACTAACCAGCATCCATCACATACCAAAACCAACCCAACCCAAACCCAACCCATGGGAGTGTAACCGCCTCCCTTAATTGATAATCTCCCATTCACAACAGCCGCTTAATGCTGCCCATAGTTAAACAACTACGTGGCAGGGTAGTCCCGAGTCTACGGATTGAGTTTCTGTCGCATTGGAAAGTCTGGAAGCGCACCGGTTCGGTTCGGTGTTGTGGGGAGGGGATTCACGGGGACGCAAGAAGACGGGCAGAAACAAGTTACAACGCTCGGTGCATGGCATGTGGGTGTTATTTTTGCTTGCAGCAGTGGTCATTGGCTCGTCATGGGGGATGGCGGGTGATAGTGGGGGGACACAACGCCAACGGTCAATCAGGCAGCAGCAAGAATGACAGTGAGTGGTGCGGTTATAATACTTGCGGTGTTTATGTTTGGTTTAGGTTGCTGCTACGAGTAATACTAACGCGTAAGACGAAGGACAGGCAGGCAGAAAGCACTCGCGTTCGAATACGAGATGGAGGAAATGTGACACCAGAATGACAGACTACAAACTGACGATAGATAGGATACATATAGAGATAAAATACCGATAGATTATCTCGAAAGCACCGATATCGATAGAGTACATACATAAGTTTTGATATTGATGTTTTGTTTGGCATACCATAAGTGTTGCCCTTTGTTTCAATAAACCACCCTGGCCCCTCCCGAGTGAGACCCTATGAAGAGCACGCGATCTACCCTTTGAAGCTCGATTTCAGATCTGCCTCACAGTTCAGTTCCCAACTCTTGAAGCCTAAATGTGTAGATTAGAGTATCTCAACTGTTAATCTAGACAGGGCCCCGAGTACATGTAGTTATGTGTGTAGGACGATTCGGATGAATCCGTCGCAGCCCTACCCAGAATCTCCGGGATCCTAGAATCGCTAATTATTTCCTCAGTTCATCAATCTCATTCGCTCCCAGTCATCTCGAGTCTTGCGTAATCACTCGGTTGATTCGTGGCCTCTGGCATGCCACACGCAACACAGCCACAATATTCTCCTGAGCTTTAAGACCCCTTATCCGTCCGTCACCCAGACACAACCCTCAAACCCTCCAGAACATCGCATTTGTTCAACCCACCAACCCACCAACCCACCGATCGGCCACGTAGACCTCACTGTAACCATTGACATCTCAACCGGCCAATAACTCCCCTCTTTTGTGCATAAGACCGCCGCGCACCCATTCCCCGCTCTCACTTTCTTCCAAGAAACCTTCTCACCAAGAACGAGCGATTTCAGCCGCTCTCTTCTTTGTGTCCATCCATCAATCTACTGTCCCGTGAATAGCTTCAAGGGTTGCTGCAACTAAATGTCAAGGATGTCAATCCCAATCTCTATGTTAACTGACCGCTTTAACCTTGGTCGCTTCACCGTAAGTGGCCTCATCTCCATCTCAACCCCCCCCCCCCCCCCCAAACCAAAGACATCGTGCTAATGCCTAGCAGGAGGGAAGACAGATGCCTCTGGCATCCCGCTTCAGCAACTTGAAGCCTCTCGGAGAGTTTTTCGACTTCAAGCGGTTGTCCAAGCCCGCCAATTTTGGAGAGGTACAGAGTCGTGCAAGCTACAATTTGAGCTACTATGCGAGCAATTATGCCGTAGTATTTGCAATGCTCAGCATTTACAGTTTGTTGACAAACTTGCTCTTGCTGTTTGTGATCCTGCTTGTGATCGGAGGCATGTGGGGTATTGGAAAGTTAGGCGGTAGAAACCTGGAAATCGGTTAGTATTCCTGGAATGAAGAGTGAAATAAAGATAGAGGCTAATCATAATTGTAGGTCCTGTTAATGCCACCACCTCTCAGCTATACACCACTCTTCTTGTGATTGCTGTGCCTCTCGGGATCTTTGCATCCCCGATTTCCACAATCCTTTGGCTCATCGGTGCCAGCGGAACCTGCATTATGGCCCATGCCAGCTTCATGGACAAGCCAATCGAGAATGCTTTTTCCGAGGAGGCGGTCTAGGGATGGTCTCTCCGCGAACTCCACAAATAATACCGAAAAGATATGGACCATCAGAGGGGAGGAGTACGGATATGTTGGTACAACAGCACAGGATGTTTGAAGGCGGAGTTACTAATAATGTTGAGGGCGAAGTTTTTAATTTTTTGAACAATAGCAATAGTAAAAGTAGGAGAGTAATAGGTAGTGATGGGGACGGGTGGCAAGATGAGGGGGCAGTTGGCGAGGAGGTGTTTTTGCAGCGCGCTTTAGCAGCCGTCAAGGCTGCAAGCCAGCGCGGTGACGGTGTTGTGGAGATGGAAGAACGAGAATGGCAAGCATGGAAACTTCACGAGTCCATTGAGCGTGAAGTGGAAAAACGGGTTGTTGAACGGGAGATTGAACGAGAAACGCAGCGTCAACGAGACATGGCAAGAGCCGAGGAATTGCAACGAGAATTAGACGAATTACGACGGAGCGGCGCTCTCGATCCTCCTGTTAGAGGGGAACCAGGATTCATGGTTGATCAAACATTCACAGGACTTGGGGGACCTCAATCTTTTTATTCGTCCAACTCTTCGTCGTCGTCCTCCCTCGCAAGGCCTGGGCGGCAGCAACGGTTCATGCCTGATTCCACCGATCCTCTATATGCGCAGGGTCTCCGCCCTACTCCAAATCGCGAATCCTCATACTCGCCTTCATCATTTCGCGGCCAACAAGCATCACCCGCGCACTCTCCCAGCTATTTCCCTTCTACCAAATCCTCTCCAACGCCGTCTACTGTGCCGCGCCGTTCGAGTTCACGATCAAGCTCATTGACTCGCGACAGCAAACACACCCGCAATTCTTCAAGCTCCACTCCCACTAGTGCAGAACTTGCGCCAGGGGGAAGCTACTATCCCGGCACTCATCCCAGCATCCCAAGCTCCTCAAGTAAGAGGGCTAAAGGTGGTAGGGAGAGTGACGGAGAAGACGTGTATTCGAGTGCTAGTGCGCAGTTGAAGGACGCCCGGAGAAGGAGGAGGATATAGATTTCTTTGCTTTGCTATTTTGTTAGCCTTTTTCTGGATAATCACTAGGGGGTATTTTGCTTTTTCGGTTTGGTCAGATAGAGGGAATTGGAAAAGTTTTATATTCTTTGATGAGATGTGAGATTAATATGGTGATATGTGTTATGTGTTATATGTCGGTCGGTGCCAAGTAAATAGTGTCAATGATACTCTGTAGCAATTAATGAACCCATGTCAAGGGCGAGAACTTTTTACACTACCGGTGACAGTCGATTTGGTCTAGAGGCCCGCGCCAGAATTTGCACACCCCTTTTCTAAAGTGTATGCCACAACGCCTCAGCAACCGGAAGATCCTTTGGGTGGTTAGAAATAACCGTTTGCTAGTAATTTTATAAGGCGGTGGCTTTAGAAGCCTTTTCCCTGACGCAGGCGTACTATCACAAACGGAAGAGTTCGGACGACCTTTTGAAAAGCCAAAGACCTGCAGGTGAACACATGTTTCTGAAATCAAGCCCTCTCCGGCCGGAAAGGTGCCACTGGCAAAAGATGCTTATTACTGGACAGGATAAGCCTACGCCCGAGCCTACTCATGATAGTAGCATAGTAGATCTTTCTTTCAGCGGAAGCTTAAACATGCAATTTAACCAGTTGAATCATCTAACCTTTTTTATTGTAGATCCCAAGGTACCTCTTTTTGTAATTGGAGGATCCCTATGAGTGATGAAGGTTCTATTTAGTCCTAGACCTTTGTCGCAGCTTCTGCAGACATAAAACATTTAGCACGAGACTGGCCCTTGATATTCAAATGTTACACGCAAAAAAATTCTGATAGCTATTAAAAATTATGTCTTGTGACCTTTGATTGATGGTAGGGTGTCTGCAATCAAAATTTTCGAGAGCTGATTGAAGCATGAAAGGGCATCTTTTCCCAAGTCTTCCTGCATTGATGGCGATAAAGGGAGATCAAAGGCAGTTTCGAAGTGTCGATTTAGTTGTTGACACCGTTGGCTGGAGTCAACAGGAGAAATGGCTCTCAATCGCAAACATGTACGTGTAGGCACATAACTTCCGAAACTTAACCCCCTACTGGCCTTCCACGCATCGTGCTATTGATCAATTGAGAAGAGGCGTATATTTCCCATGCACGTGCCACGTTCGCGGATGTCACCGTATCTTGTACCACGAATACGCACGCACCTACGTACGCCCAATTTTCATACTGGCGGGTATTTATGTATAGTGCTTGTGTTCCCCTAAGCCAACGGCTGGCTTGAACAAAAACACGCGGCAGTGTGGTGCGGATCGAGTCGAGTGATTTATCATGATGTGTTTATATTAGCCGTACGACCGAGCCGATATCGATCTGGGAAACTTTAAAGTGATAGATAACACATGTAATCCGTCTGATCTAAAGATACACCAAACGTTGTGCTTTAAAATAAAAATGCTCGAGTCTTCATCCTCATCCGAGTCCTCAACCTCCAAACAGATTTTCACCATTTGCCATCAGCCATTCCTCGAGCTCATCTGTTCGGGATGCACCGGCCCAAAGAATCGGGTCTCAGGTTCCTCTGGCTGCTTCATATCTAACTCGAGTAAGAGTAAAGATGGCTCTGACCGGCTGTTGCCATGTGGAATTGGATTCGTCGGATAGGTTCGGATTATAAAATATTGGGTTCGGAACCTTTGCACTCAAATTGCAAAGCTCGTACCCATGGCTCGTGCGCTGATATACTAACTATTCCGTGGAGAAGTCTGGAGAAGAGCTTGAGCCTGGGCTCGAGCTACGTTATGGCGTGATGAGTACAAAGATTTTCATATCTAAGTCGCCGGACTTGGCTGGATAGCCAATCTAAGTGGCATGCTATTATCAATTTTCGGACCTGCAGGCAGCAGGCTTAAGTCTTCCGGAACACTTTCCTCAAGGGACGGCTCATGATCATCTTGAATCAAAGGCGAGCTTTTCAATCCTGAGCTTTTCAATCCTGAGCTTTTCAATGATTACGAGCCAATGTTTCTTGGCCATCTTTGATATCTGCGACCAAATTTCTCAGAATAAATATGGTTCAGATCCTGAAATTGGAGTACATACATGTATGTAGGTACAAAATCCGGGGGAGCTTGCTTGGGAATCCTATTCCAGCAAGAGCAATTGAGACCTCTCTCTACAGACCCAGGAATCTCTATTCCGGTACGCACTCTACCCGAGTATGTGCTCTATCTAGGGCTATCTTTACTCGGGCCATAGTTAAGCCGGTATCTCAGGCAGGTACCGAGCTTAATCCTGCAGCGTCGGGCGTCAAAGCTCTCTATTATGAAGCTCTTAATGCTCCAATTGACTCGGCACTAATATTTTAGGACTTACCACACCGAACACTACAACCTCTTCTCTTCTTTCACTACAACTACTACTACTTTGTAGAGTAAGTCGATTCAATCAGTTGTGCGTCAAAATAAGGTTGATTGATGCGCTGCACCGAAGCTCGGAGATGATTCCGAGTAAATTTAAAGGGGTCGAAGAGAGGAAGCGAGCATGCCTGCCCCGATCGATCTCGCTTGATATCGATAAGCACTTCCCCCTACTTTAATTTATTGAAGTTATATATGTACGTCTCGGGGCTGCGGAAGGTTCGTGTAGAATAAATATAAACCTACAGCTTTCCACATGAAGACAATTGGTCTTTTAACAAAAGGCTCATAGAGGATTCTCACAGTCCGTCATGAGATCAGTGAGGTCTTTCACACTACATTAGCTTGGTAGGTATGTGAAACACATCAAAATTTGCTGTTGCAGGTTATCAATCATTCGTCAATAACGAACCTGATTCAGATGACTCTATCAATTGGCACCCCGCAACTTGCATGGATGTGTAAGACTCTCGAAAGAGGTTGGCCCAACTTTTCAGGGGTCGTCCTAACCTTTAAGATTATTCTGCCCCCACCCCAGTAATATTGACCACCTTTATGTTCAGATAGACAGACAAGGCCTTTCGGTGAAGCCGTCAGGCCTCGGAAGATTCCTGGTTTTGACATTTTAGGTCTTGAGACGGGCCGCAAAGGTCTAAGAATGTGAGAGGGTGGGACACCTAGCCACAACCATCCTATATCACATACATCTTATCCAACTCAGAGACTATGGGGACTATCGACTTAGTCTCTTTTTGGACAATATTTGTGAAACATTCGTATGTCTTCCCTGTATTGTCTGACAACGTGCAACAGATCAATCCTACTAACTGTCTGTGCAACTATTTTGTGCGACAAAAAACGCCCCCTCAACATGACGACCTTAAAAAACTGTCCTCCCCGATTCCTTTGTCAAGAAAGCCATATATGCGCCTTCTCTCTCCACTTCCCTTGGGAAAAAATCTCCTAATTATTTACTTTCCGGAAAAAACGAGGAGAAGATGGCAGGCAGGACCAGAATTCAATGGCGATCACCAACCTTCGTTGTACTTCGAACATTACAGGTCCTTCTCGCAATTGCCATCCTCGCCATAGTGGTTCCAAAACCTGGCCCCAACTATGGCTACCCTCTTCAAAAACGAAGTTTACTTTTTGAGCCGAGGCGTGGAGGAGGATCCCATTCATCATCCTCAAATGGTGGCGGGGGGGATGATGGCGAGGCTGGACAAACCTATGCACGATATGTCACCCCCTTTCTCGGCATGTCTGCTGTAAGTTCTTCCAGCAAAAAGAAACAATAAAAATCAAAGTTAACAATCGAGTGATATAGGCCGCATTGACCATGATATGGTGCGTTTATGCATTATGGGAATACCTACGCCACACTCTTCGACCCAAGATATCCATGGGATGGGATATCGTATTCATGGTACTATGGCTCGCATTAGTGGTCTGCTGCGCTGTCGGTATGGTAGAAGCCGATGCCTGGGCCCATAAAATGCATTACAATCCAGCCCAGTACACGGTATTCATCATATCGTCTGTCACTTTGTATGCTATAACCACCACCTTTATTCTCTCTTCTATTAAATTTGCTAACCCCTCTGAAACTTATAGCTTTATCTTCATGTCATCCTACCTCATCGGGAGAATAGCCCACCGTGAACATGGGCCCGGGAAAGCTGTCCTGGCTGATAACGAGTTTGAGTTTTTGAATGCAAAGACCACTATACAATCATTACCGCCACAGCCACACTCGCCATTAGTTTATAGTGCGGGAGAGGAACGTTTTGTACAGGTACTTCCCTCGCCACAGCCGGTATATTCGGGGACCCAACTGCCATATGCGGGATCGCACTACAAACCACCACATTATCCTTAGTGAGATAGTGCAGATTTGTTTATGCTGAATGAATGATATATATTTATGAAACTTATGTTGAGCGCATGCAATGTTTTTGACCGAAATAATAAGGCACGGCATAGATTGCTGCTGCTGTTGTTTATAAAACGAGCTTGGGAGCAATTGTTGTAATTTTGGCGTGGTGTAATCAAAATAGGTGCGATCGATGGTGTCGCTGCGTGCAATTGGAAGTTTTGCATCTGATAAAAATATTCCTGTGGCTAGTTATCTAATATATGACCCTTTGAAGCCGGTGTTGTAGTTAATGCTTGGAATAAGTTTATAAGTAGTTAGTTCAAACCCAACGCGCAATCATGGTCATAGATTAGAGCATATATATATTAGTAGAGGAACTATAGTTTAGCTCACGAATAAAAAATCACCTGTAAAGCCTTAACTTTATTTGGATAGAGACTGGTAGTAGCTAATGGGATCATAGTGGTATCGAAGCAGCTACAAAAATCTGGAAACAGTTCGCGAGATGGAGATACGAGAGAAATGGACAGGAAGAGAGCGCAGAAGAGGAGAGAAGGGAACTAGGGTATGGGTGGGGGACGCTGAAAGACGCTGGAAGCGAGGAATAGAACAAAGAGGGCTCTAGTGTTTTCATTTCCTATGTCAGAAATACGTGAGAGGAGGTGGAAGAGAAGGGGCAGTTCAGGGGTATTGCCATAACTGTAAAGTTGCATGTAATTAATGAATTAAACAAACAAACAAACAAAAAAAGCTAATGGGATCATGATATATCACTCGGAGAGTACAAGAGTGTGTGCGTCCAGGGACGTCCGATGTTGGAAAATAACCAAACAAACCAAAATAAATCAATGTTTTATTCAGAGGCCGAGCCTGTATAGATGTAATGTCCGGGGTGGCTATATCTCTATATTTCTTCTTCTCTACGTGTTAAACTGGAGAATTATAGTTAAAATTCGTTACTTTTCCTGCCCAAGGATGAACACAAGGCTGGATTCGGATGTGTGGGGGGCATTTGGTTGATTGGGAATAATATTCCCGGGCCTGGCCCGGGCGAGTTGATGAGGGCCGGCTTGATAGCTATATTCACCTTTCAATTAGCCTCAGTCGTTCACCAACGCTGACGGTTGGTAGGCAAGGACTCTTGGCACGGTGAGCTGTCAAACTGATATTTGATCTCACTGATTACTATTTATCCAGAATCATCTTTTCCGCCGAAACTGCGTGTTGGTCCTCTCTGCCAATGGTTGTATCTCAATACGTTGATTTGAAGTATCTGGAGGTAGCAAAGTCTTATTCTGAATCTAGTATAGTGGAAAGGCGATAATAGTAAAAGCAAAAAAGGATCTAGAGAGAAAAAGGAAAGCGATGCAATATGGGTATGTTGTTAATAGTGTTAATAATTAAAAGTAGTGTGTCACTCCAGGAGACCATACACCATAAACTATATAAACTACATATTTTACTAACTTTATCTCTCAGACGCCCCATAAAGCAATGTCTCGTAAATATTATCGCTGGGGTCGTCTGTAGAGTCTCGATATGTCTATAGCAGTAGATATTAGCATTATTAAACCAGTAATGCGTGTCTTGGCGTACGAGAGGTGTAGCTTACAGAATTAAAAACTTCCCCGACGACTATCAAAGCCTCGGCCCTCCGTTTCTGCAGGTCATACTCCTCATCTCCGTTGAGAACGCGATCACAAACATCACTTCATCCTCATTAGTTTAAATGAATCTCATGGCTAGCCAAGCTGGAATAAAGTACCGAATAATTTTTCGTAGCTCCAACTTGGTGCTCCTCCAACACGCCAACAAAATCTTGCCGGTAGTCAGTTGCTCAATCTCCGCCTTTCTTTCTACCGTCCACTCGTCTCCGCCCATTTCCTCCGCTTTATGCATTTGCTTGACTGCAGTCTGTGCACCCATAGCGCAAGAGAGTGTCCCCCACGTTTCGGTAATGTCGGTGGTCTTTTCTATCACGTAATTGAACATTGCACAGAAGCCAATTGAGCCTACTACAGGGATTGAATTATCGAGGAAGGCGTGGCTTCTGGATAGATAAATATCACCAAGGGTATGCAAAATGTGGAGGCCAAATGATTCGAGTTTAAGAGATTCAGCCTCTCCCTTAATTGTGGGAGAAAAAGCATAGTTAGTATCACCGCGCGTTATAAAAGATAAAGAGTGACATAATAAATCTTGGTACCTGAATACTTCTCTGGAAACGTCGGATATCAGAGGCTTTCATTTTAGTGTCTGTTAGGGTACTAAGTTTTCGTATCAGGTTATTTGATAAAGTTTCAACTCTCTCTTTGCGCGCTCTTTGCCTCTCTTGCTCATATTTCGCGAGTTCTGCCTTCTTTCGCGCTTCCGCCCTGGCTTCTCTACTCATCGGTGGTACTGCCTTTGAACCCCCACTCCTCCGCCTAGCCCTTCTAGCGGCACGCGCTTCCTCGGGAAATTCTTGAGATTGGTCTATCAAAATTGGTTATTACTTATATGGAATAGTAAAGAACCGCGTATAGACTTGGTTGGCATACCAGTGACCATAAACTGTGGAGGTCTAGACGTAGAACTTTGCGATGGAGACTCTGGTTCTTCGGGGTCACTTTCGCGGTTTTTGATTTCCATTATTGCTATTATATCTTTGAATAGGGATATTTCGCCAACCCTTCAAAAAAATTAGTTATATGTACGGTACAGCACGGATGTGAATGTGAATTACCAGTCCTGAAAAGCGTCGCCACCAAATATCTTGTTGAAAAGTTCAAGTGCATCGTCTATGTAATGCTCAGCAAACTTTTGAAAATTCAACTGAATGTAGATGAAGATATACCGAAGCCAGCCTCGGGTTTAGCATGTTCCTTTCCTAAGGTATCATATTTTTTACGGAGAGCTGGGTCGCTCAATACTATAAAGTGTCAGAATCAGGCCCCCGGCGCATACACGGCGTGGAGTTGTTACCCTGGTATGCTTCTCCAATCTTCACCTGACTGTCAGCTAAACCAGGAACCCCGGTGCACTGAAATATATTTCATACCTCCTGAAATCGTATAGGGGCGTCGGGATCATCCAGGTTCTTGTCAGGATGATGAATAATTGCTTGCTTGCGATAAGCTTTCTTTATCTCAAGTGCCGTTGCATTTTCATCAACACCGAGAAGTTCATAGTAACTCGTTTCCTCGACCATTTCGCAGAACTGGCGAGTGATGATGTTTGACGTAAGTGTTTTGGCGACCTTCTTTTGGCAGCTGCGAGAGCTATGTAGGTAGCTGTATGAGCTGTATGAGTGTGTGAGGGGTACTCTAGGTAGATCACTCCATAGTGCTCTAGAGTACCTACCCTACTGCCGATGTGTATGCACGCGGGACCATGAGTATGACAACGTGAGTGGACGTTTTTATTTATTTATGGCCATCGCCATCGGGAGTGTTTCACAAGGTGTCCACGTCTCGAGTGAATATTGCCTATCATTGGTTAATGCATCTTTAGCGACCCAAATTAACGCCTACCGAATAAAAAGCAACGGAGTGTGTTGCCAGTGCTTTTGACAACATACCCAACCATGAACATAGTTTCATGCCACGATAAGCTGAACAGATTAATTGCGAGCTGAAGATGAGTTGTATTGTAAAGACCCAATCGGTGTGCATTTATCAGATCGGATACGCGCAGCGCCTACTGCGTAGTACTGCGTAGAGTATACATAAAAGCGCGTCGTCTGATGTTAAATCCTTATCAGCCTAATGTTCCACCTCATAAACCATGTCATTATTGGCAAGTATGTACCTCTAGATCCAGTGCTCAAGTATGTAGGGCAGGGCCACTGAGTGGTCGTCTACCATTGAAGGAGATCGTTGCCCATCTGGATCTAGAGTACTTGGCAATTATTATTCATGCCGTTTTAGACCAGTGGGGGATTCTTTACTCTAGGACGTTGCTAGTATTCAGAGCCACAGAGATCTAGCTAAAGCACCCCAGGGTAGATCTATGATGTGGTTAACAGTGTAAGTGTTGCCCTCGAGTGTGTTTTCTTTGAAATGAAGATCGAGAGGATATCTCCACCTTATACCATGTTATGCGCCGAGTACGTCGTCGAATTACATTAAAGGCTTGATCTCTCCGGGAGTGAACACTAGACATATATCCATCTGATATGTAATCGTATGTACAGTATCCGTGTGATCTAGCCGGTTCATAAGTAGGCATGGCATGATCAGCAAAGTATCGCCCGAGCTCATTTATTTGTATACATGTACTAATATATCTACATGTACATCTTATCTATATGCACTCTACTTGTACCTACGTACTCTACTTTACAATACTTTCCTTAGCTTAAGGGCGTGCATGTCAAGCTAGCGGAGCTAACGGTAATCGAAGCATAAAATAAGACGTCACCTACCTTTCGTCTAAAGTCTTCAGTTGAACATCTTGAGCAAGCATGGCCATTTTACAGCATACTTATGTTTCTCTACATGAATCGACCTTCTGCAAAGAGCATGTAAGTCAAGATATCCTAGGATAGGGGGCAAGGTTCCTATGCTGGCTGATACCGACGCTGGCAGAAAACCGCAATTTACAGCATACGACTGTTACCGCCTCTCAGCATCCCTTCTTCTACTATGGATAGGTCGAGCGAGTTCCCTATGTACCGAGAATTAGTCTCATACCACGCAAAACTAGCCGCCGGGTTGGATCTGCTAAGAAACAATTGTTTACTATGCTCGGTGAATAGAACAGAGGACCCGCTCGGCGCCAAATTTATCTCTGAAACCAAGTAGCATAAGCGCACTAGGAACACATCTGCATACGATACTGATTCTTGGTTCCTACTGCTACATGTCTATCTGTATGCATCCGGATAAAGCTTATAGGATTAGCTAGATTAGTCGCAACTAGGACAAAATCATAAAGACTGTGTGGTTGTACGAACCAAACTCCCTGACCTTTGTCCTGTCGTTGCACCTCAGATAAATTGGTCTACCTGCAAACTCCACGGTCAACGATGGTCCGGGGTAAAGAGCCGTCTACTTCAAACCTGGCTCGTAAGTCTTGGGAGCCACATACAATGCACCTCATGCCTTATTTACGAGCTTGCATAAAGCAATTATTGCATGTATAAGACGTCACGATACTCTACGTCACATCAAGAAGCGGGCACGAAAAAGAGATACATCACCTAGACACCGTTCTAAAGAGTGTTCCACGGATACCTTCAGCCCCAGCATACCTAGTGAGATGGGCTTGAGCTACAAATATCTACTCGCAAATCGGAGTAGTTGACGGAGCAGATGGAAATTGCTACGGAAACGTACCGCAATGGATAGGAATCATTCACTCGAGCGAGCTTAAGTGGTTCCATGGGCCACTACCGTCTCAACACCTAATCCCATCTCGATCCCTCAATATCCACATCACCACACTCCACCACCACCAGTGGTCCACTACCGTTTCGGAAATTCCCGCACCACTAACGCTCTTTTTAGTGTTAGAGTCAGAACTCTTTTCCATCTCTCAAATCAATCCGGGGATCCTCGCGTCTGCATGAATCCCGAGCCGAGCCCCCGGGCCCCCGGAAGAAGAAGATTTCTTAGCGCGCCAAGAGCTTAATGAATACCGATACTAACCAAGAGAAGGCAAAGGTGCTAGATGTAGATGGGGTGGTGTGTGCGCGCTGGGGTGAGAGTCAAACAAGGGGTTCACAAACGATCATTCAGGGTTTGGGTTGAGCATATGTATGTTTTCGTGGGGGAGTTGTAATTGTGATGAGTGGATATAAGTACAGCAGGTACATGAATGTACTCGTTTTTCTCTGACGTTTGTGGACGCGACTGATATTGCATGCCATACAAAAATACGCCAAGCTCATGGTTTTGGGTGTATGCAATAATGGCCCAGTTCAAAAACGTCAGAGAAATACTAGTACTACTCTCGTAGGTGGGTGCCGGCACCTAATGGTTAAAGATGTAGGTAGTGTACGAACAGGCACACGTACTCGTGGGTGTGTATCCATCAGGCACTGGTAGGTACTGACAGACTGGTGTCGTACAGCAGCAAGCAACAAAGATTCGCGCCAATCGTTTGTGTTTGCCGCCCGCCTCTCCCGTTGTGAACGAACATGGAGATTGCTTTCTGCATGAGGGAAGTTGTAGACTCTAGCTAGGCAGGTATGTATTGTGCACTTGAAGGCTGGATCCGATAGACAAAACGCCTCTACAAGATCGTGTTAAGTTTTGCTTTTTGTGTCTGTGCCTGTGTTTTTGCCTTCTATCCCTCGACTCTTGTTTTCTTCCCTCCCTTCTTTCTTCTCTCATCCTTCCTTGCCTTGCCTTGCCTTGCCTATTTTGTCGTTCTTTACATTCCCACTCCACATTATTTGTCTACATACATACTCTCATACAATACACGCATAGCTAAGACTGTGCTCTCCATCTGTCTACATATCTGCAGTCTCAATTGATACTTTTTTTTTCGGAAGTCGACGTCATTCGCTATTTCACAATTGCTCCCACTCCGCCTCAACAGCAGAGCAGAGCCTCCCCCTGAAAGATATCCACGCAAACATAAGCATACACGAATACACTATCCCTCACGAAGACTCCGTTGTCTTTGATAGCGTGCGGAGTTAAGTAATCTCGGAGTAAAGGAGGGTAAAGAAGAAAAAAGGAGAGTGGTGGAACGAACGGGATAGGGATAATAGGAGTCCATAGGATTGTTGATAAGGGGATAATCAACCACTAAGCCCCCGTCTATTCTTGCGGCACGGGAAATTCTACGACAACCTGGGAAACATAATCACGGGGTAATAGGAGGGAATCTTTGACGAAGGGAATATCGACTCGGAAACCTATCATTCACTACAACTACACACTACTAGTACTTCAGTTCTACTATAATCAACGGCATCAAGGCTCAGGACAACCTTGATCAGTACAGAATACCTGCATCTTCCGAACACTTTGAATTTTAAGCATAATTCCTCCCCAAACCGCCAAAATTCTACCTACAATCCAGCCCCGAAGTCTCACTCAGCAATTCCACGAACACCCAGAACCAGAACCTCACTCTTCACACTACAATCCACCCCACGACATTCAAATGATCTCCAGCGGCTGGGTCTCACCCCCCGGCCTTTCTTCTACCGTCGGCTCCTCCTCGTCTCTCCCCTCATCCTTCCAGCTCGACGATGGTGGTATTCTCAACGACCTTGACGGACACTTTGAGGAAATCGGCCTCGATGACGACGACAACATCGAGGAGTACCACCGTCCCACGCTCCAAAAGCAACCTCCCCGAGGCCCCATGATGTCCCGCCCTCTCAGCAGCATGGGCCCCCAATCTCGAAATTCTCTTGGCAGTCGCGACCTTACGAACGGTAGACGACCTGCACACACAAATCTTCAACCCCAAGTCCACACTCCACAAGCCGATCATCTAGTTCCCTACACCCCCAGTAGCAGACGCGCTGTTTCAACTACTGGTCTCAACAGGCTCTCGCTCACAAATCGCTCCCCATCACCCTCCCCTATGGGTCCAGTGCCTCCTGTGTCGCCAGGGCGCCCAACAACCTCTAATGGCCCAGGAACGGCACCAGGCCGTCGCTCATGGCAGGCTGCAAGGAAAACAGTCGAGGAGCTCGAAAACGAGTGCGATTCGGATGACGACATACCCGCGGATACGATTTTCTACAATGTTCCAGTATCACCACGCTCAGCAAGAGCATTAAGCGCTACACCTAGCCCGGACCGAACCACAATGTTGGAGTCTCCGCTCGGAGGAGGTCCTGGAAACGCAGACCCTACGCCGCCAGCTACACGGCCGCCAACACGGGGAGGGTCGACAAGTAATATTCCGATTGCTGGGGAGCCCGCACATGGAGATTCTATCAGGGGACGTACTCAATATCGCGCCAAGAGCTGGAGCGACGCAATGAGTGAGCTGGGGACCGAGGCAAAGGAGCTCAGCGAAGCGCTAGAAGCGTATGCCGAGATCGAGAGTGAAAAGACCGAGAAACGGCTTGCGCTGGGAAAGGCGGAACCGCTACACAAGAACGCATCGCCCACAAAAGCAGCTCGGGTGAATCTACCGCCGATACAGATGCAGAATGGGATGATTGATCCATTGCCGATAAGTAAAGAGAAGGCTGAAGTCTTGTCAAGGACGAGGCCGAGCTGGTTGCCTCCGAAGAGCAAAGAGGAGGAGAAGAGACACTTGAAGGAGTACCAGAAGATGATGCGGTTATCCCAAGAAGCTGGTACTTAGGACCCCGCCCCCGGAAAGATATCGGAAATCTAACCTGGACACTTTAGAACGCAAACGCGTGGAAAAAGAACGCGCCGAACAGGCTGAGAAGGATCGCATGAAGACTGACACTCACAAACTTTGGGATCAACACATAATTCCCAATTGGGACACTATGGTGCGCACCGAAGAAACCCGCGAGCTCTGGTGGCGCGGTGTGGCTCCAAGGTGTAGAGGTAAAGTGTGGAACATGTCGTTCGGAAATCATCTTACGGTGGGCCCCGAGACCTTTAAGCTCGCTCTCAAGCGCGCCCGAGATGTAGAACAAGGTGTGAAAAAGAGCCCAACTATGTACTCCTTCAAAGAGCGGGAACTGTTTGACTCAATCCGGAAAGACGTCAACAAGACCTTCCCTGAGCTGAAGATTTTCCAAGTATAACTCCCCCGAAGCCCCCACTTCTATAAATAACGTCCGAAACTAACGGAAATTAGGAAAATGGCCCGCTTCATGACTCGCTTCTGGAAGTTCTTCAAGCCTATTCCATGTACCGCTCGGACGTTGGTTATGTTTACGGCACACACACTGTTGCTGGCCTCCTCCTGCTCAATCAGTCCCCAACAGAAACATTCACAACACTCGTTAATCTCCTAAATCGTCCTCTCCCGCTTGCCTTTTACACACAAGACTCCGGTGCGATGTCACGTGTCTACAGTCTTTTCCTTAAGGCGTTTAAATACAAACTTCCCTCACTACACGCTCACATTACCGCCACACTAAAGTTGCAGCCGGCGCAGTATCTCGAGGCAATGTTCTTAACATTGTTCTCGCTGCATTGCCCGTTGGATATTGTGTGCAGAATCTGGGATGTGTATGGATTCGAGGGAGATGCGTTCTTAGTTAGGTGTGCGGTTGGCGTACTGACAGTGCTTGAAAGCAAGCTATATGGGAGCGCCGAGGAAGTTATCAGGTTACTAGGATGGCAGGGAGCTAAAGTCAAGTGGGACGTAGGCACTGAGGACTCGTTCATGGAAGCAGTCCGAGCGGCTGGAAAAGAGACAAAAGAGGAAGAGGTTGGACCTAATTGGTGACTATCAAGAGACGGTGAAGAGGAGAGGAAGTGGGAATAGTACTTTACTAATATTGTTGGGTCAACCGTTTTCGTTGCCGGTCGACGACGGCTGGGGGTTGGGCTTATGGACTATTGGGGTTGGGATATCATCGCTCCTTTGATAAAAATTTCCTTATATTTTATCTTTCCTTTGGCTTAATAACATATTTCATTTTAGGCGGGGAAAAGGTCTACCCCCTCCTATTCTATCTTCCTACTGCTCCATTCAAGGAAAAAAGGAAGTGCAAAAAATATGACGCAACTTAACACGACATTCACGAAAAGGAGAAAAAGATATCGAGGATCGAGGGAGGACCTCTACTAAAATCCAGATTACATAACAGCACGTTTCAGAGGGTCAGGGGCGGTGGCATATAATTCGAATTCCGGGTTTACAAGGCGTTCACATTTTCAAAAACCATATTTTGTTTCAACAAAAGACTTTACTTTAATTGCATCTGTCTACTATTTTCTTTTGTGATAGTTTATTAAATAATCTGCATATTCCATCGGAGCATTGGATTTTGTTTTCTTTACTTTTCACTATGTACTGCTATTTAATCCTTAAAAGAAGGAGGAGGGGTGTGTGGGCTGTATAATTTGTACTTTTATTTTACTCTATCATGTGTAATGAGGTTTGGTTTTTAGACTTGAACTTGAACTTGGCAAATAGAAATTAGTTTTTTTGAGTTTAAAGATCGGTGCCATGGCTTTGAGGTTCCGTCACGTATATCTGTATTATAAAGTTACATGTAGTTCATGAGGGGTAATGGTCGTTCCTGCGCCTAGTACCCAAACCCGCCAAAGGGTCAAGGTTGATGTTTCAACCAACCAGTTTTGAACTGGCACGCTATCGGTTTCTTCTTTAGTGGAAGGTGGGGCCATAATTCAGCCGTAGAATCCCATAAAACGGCTATACTGACGGTTCCGGTATCCATGTCAATAGCGATAGAAAACCAGAAATCGAGTGATAGCTCATGATACGAACCACATCCATATTCTAATATGTTCCAAGTATTATTACAAGGGAATTCAAGCGTGGGGTGGTAAGAGCTAGCCCACGTCACCCGTAGCAACTGTCCCGTCAATAGAAGAGGCAAGAACTTTATCCCTCAAGTGTCCTCGAGAGGTCTAAATCATCCAGAACCCTAGCTACACCGCTACTTGATCAATATATATTGGACAAACTCAGTTGCTACGGATGGTCGGGCTTGGATCATAGTTTATTTGGTTTTTATGGCCACCAAATGGGCTTGGCATTTTTTTTGCGGGGACGGGAAGAGGAGGCCGCGATGTGGTCCTGATAATATCTGGTCGAGTGAGTATTTCGAGTGATATTACATGATTTGTTATATCCATAACCAAGCGCAATAAACCTGGGGCTATGAGCAATAGCCTACATTATGCCGCGCTTCCATTTTACTGGTACAAATTGGTTTTCTGCTAAATCACGGATATATTTAGGCCGACTCTCTATGTCGGTAATACAGAGGCTAAGTGTTGGCTTTCGACTCTGGATCTGAGTGCGTGCATGTAGGATGTAATGTCCTTGTTTATATGTTACCGTGAATGGCAGGTAACACTCACCGTTGTTCGTTGACTCACACCAGACTGTAAAGAAGCTTAGTTGCGAGGGTCGTGGGGTAGGGGCTGAGAGCTGCTGGAGTTAAGGGCTTAGAGGTGGGGGGGTACCTAAATTGACAATTTAACCTACAATTACCCAGAGATTGACCACTCAATGAGGAATCCGCTTAGCGTCTGAGTTTATTGAGACTTTGTTACTACATGTATCTACTACTACTAGTATTCTATTATACCGAAAGTCCATTGGTATTATACTTATACAGTATATAAAAATGTCTATACGCGCGTACTAGGTTTGAACCTCAAATTCCTCAAATCATAGATTATCACCCGCATAACGCCAAGCAATGCTTCGAACTGTAACATCTTATCAGTTTTCATTCATCTACCACTGTGGTGCTATCAGAGTTTAATATCTACCAAGTGTTTCACAACGCACATTCGGGACAACAAACAATAAAGTACATACACAGATCGCGGGGGTATTCATTATGTGCATGCAAAGAATTACCAATAGTTCCAGAAAAGAGGAAGAAAAAATCCTGTTTTTCTTTACCAAGCCCACTGCCGAAACCAAAGAAAGTAAAAAAAAAGGTGGCACAGAAAATAGATTGAAAAAATAGTAAAGTAGTAATAATAGTTTAGTAGTAGTGGATATAGGATAGAGACGCCGCCCGCTATATGACGATGAAAATGACAAAAAAGATACAATGCTCCAGTAAAAAAAAGTTAAGGAAATGCAAAAAAGGCCCCATGTTTCTCCATTCCGCCTGAAATAAATCAAAAAAAAAACGCAAAACAAAAACCCAATCCCAAAGTGCAGATAAGAAAGAAGTGAAAACGATGAAATGAAGAAGAATGGTGGGAGTTATGAAGCGATCATGTAGGACAAATAAGAAAAATGAATCTGGTGACGCCGTCGGTCGTGCTTTATAAAACCAAAAATATTTATAGAAGGGGGAAGAAAACCGAAATTGACAAGAAGTAGTAGTAGTACGCCCTCCAAATGATATAAGATGCCTCCTATTACCCAGAATTGCTTTTTTGCTGTTCAAAATATTGCAGGTCCTGCTTTCGCCATTATAGCTTCGCAAAGTGCTTGCACCAGATCCAACCAAGCTCCCCATTCTTATCATCTTGATTCTTGGCTAACCAGATTTCACCCTTGGTTCCAACAACCTGCAAGAAGTGGTTAGTAAATGTCTTCACATGTATTAGAGATAATAAAACCTACATCAAAGATCTCGCCTTGGACATAAGTCAAATACGGAAATCCCCCTCCCTCCGCTGCTTATCGATATTGAACTCGTATAAGCTTGCTGCCACAAAGATCGGGGTGCTATTACCCGACAAGGTGAGGGTTCTCCTTTGACTATGCATTGAGCTTGCAATGGAAGGGGCCCTTGAAGGCGGTCTTGATTGCATCATTGGTGATCCGGAGGGTGTGTCATCACGCCTGATATCCCTGTCGTCATCCATGGGCATCGCCGAAGAAAAAATAGGAGCTGGTGAATTCGTTCGCGAGGGAGTCCGACTTTCCACACGGGGGTCGACGAGTGCAGCACTAGAAGCATACGCTGCATGGGTTTCTGGTCCATCAAATATGGTTTCAGCAAGGGAGTAGGTCCTAGATGATGGTCGAGAGGCAAAATCACGTGTGGGTGTTTGCCTCTCCGAGAATGATCTTTGGACCTGGGGATTCAATTTCAAGCTACTTGTAGATGGGCTCCTATGAGGAAGCGCAACCGAGGTAGCTCGATTCCGACTATTCTGGGCCAGGTTCTGTGCCACTTGAGGTATCATGTTTAAGCCCGGAGTACCCATCGCTACCAGTGGCGAGAGAGTTGACCCTCCGCCGCTATATCGGCGTTCTGGCTTAGTCTCGTAGAACCGCTCAGGTTTATCATAGAATGAGCCTGCTGTGGGTGAGTTGTTAGTAAGAGACATAGCCCTGTCACGTATTCCAGGAGATGAATCTCGTGTTGCTTCTTCAGTTGCAGTTGAAGGCCTCCGATAACTGGATCCATCGTCAAATGCATCCAGAGATAATGTGGTCATCGAGGGTGATGCGATAGGGACCAATGACATATATTTTGCTTTCATTGATCCTTCTCAAGGTCAGTTTATGCCATTTTATCGTCGGGGAGAGACTTTAACTCACCATTACAAATCCCCAGATGGTTGAGGCTCTGTTCATTGTAGGAGAAGTCGACTGTGAAATCTTTCACAACCTCTTCTAGTTTTACTGGCAGAGTTGCGAATTCTGGAAAGGTCATCTTTATCTTTGATGCCCAATCATTCATCCAGATACCTTGTAGTTCTACAAAGTTTAGGAGAACTGCATCGACCATCTTCTTTGTCAACTTAAAAAGCTTCGGAAGCTCGTCAATCAATGTTTCGTTCAGTGCCAGATAGGCATCGGCCAGGTCCTTCGTTTTCTTGTCCGGCGTATCACCACGCTCTATGATGGCTTTAAAGCGAGCGTAGTCAACTGCCTTCTTGTTGCGTTTTGTCATGATTCGCTGAGGACTTTCGTGCAGTTTCAGAAGCATTGTTAGAGGTTCGATGGAGTGTTTTTGAACACGGTGTTTCTAAAAATGTTAGTAAATCTACCTGTAAAATTTTGAGATCAAGTATTACATGTTCAGCGAGATAGGATGTTGCAAGCTCTCGCATTGCACTGTCAAACTTCCTCCACTTCGTTTCAACCTCTGGATGTTGTGAGTGGGAGACATCAATAAATTCCTTGATTGTTTGTGTATATTCGAGGAATTTATCCACGTGACCTTGTATATCGTCCTTGTAGATCTCGATATCCCGGATAATAACCTGCACCTGTACGAAGTGCATGTTATAATTTTCGAAATATTTATTATATGTCTCATCGACAACAACTTCGGACAACCCAACGGATTGTTTCAGCTTCTCTGCTTGGCGAGCAAAGGCCTTCGTGATCCCATGTCCGATGTCTGATTCCTGTCTCTTTCGTCCCACTATTTTCTCAACCATGTCCTTCCGCTTTTTCATTTCGTTGATTCGATCAGCAACGAACTTCATCTCCTTGGCTGCTACCTCTAGTTGTATGAAGTCAGGGTGATTCCTGGGAGTACATTCGAGTAGCTGCGTGAGTAACAGAGGATATTTCAGTATCCTCTGTACTGGCTTGATGAGTAATGATTCCAGGTTCCAGGCATTTGTAAGGTCCTCGGCACAAGCTTTGCACTCCTATCATGTGATTAGTATCCGTTCTATGGGATATACGCAACGGACCAGAAGAATAGGAAAGCATACTGATAGCCAAATCGCAATGCCCTTATTGCTTTCCAATTTTGCCAATCGTCCTACCGCAGCATCGTGATTTTTGCAGTATTCACCATATACTTTCTCCATTTGGTAAAACATGTCCATAAAGACCTCGCCGACGAAAGTTTTTCGGTCCTTTTCTTCTTCGAAGGCGAAGTCGTCCATAGAACTGCTATTTCTATCGTCGGTGCTGACGATGGAATTTGAGATGCTGGCAGCGCTACTTGTGACGCCGCTCCTTGCTCGTTGCATTACATAGACACTCTTTACAGCCTTCCTCAGAGACTCCAGAAAAGATTTTGAGAAGGCAACAATCGCCTCGGTGTTTCCAAACAGAACTTTGATATCATCCATAGTGATTGCGGCGCATGCGTTTGCAGATCCTTTGTAAATCTCCATCGCGACTGTCATGTCTCGGAAGTAGGAGCTCTCTGTGTCAACTAGCTCCTTTAGTAGATGCCGACGCTTAATAAGCATCTTCTGCTCAGGCGGGACTTGTGGTAAAATCTGGTCCTGGGAGTGTATTGAAGATGATCCGCGATTAGTTGGTGCAGTGGATGATGCTGGTGTTTCTGAGTGTCGGTTGCCATTCTGGTTCGTGATGTTACTAAGCCTTGATTCTATTTCAGAGTGAAAGCTGGAGGATGGTGATCCCGCTGGGTACTGATCTAGACTTGGTCTGTGGTTGGAGTATTGATCTAAGCTTTGCCTTGAGCTTTGATATGAGTGATGATACTCAAGGCTTGGTCTGGCGCTTTCAGTAGTGTTTTCCATGTTCGCAACAGTATTCCATCTATCAAAACCTGGTCTTTTGTTTGGTGGGACTGGAGGTAGTTCCGGGGAGTTGTCGTCAGGCATCACTTGAATGGCCAGACCCAAGGGTTCTGTGTCCCTTTGTATTTCAGGTAGCTGCAAAGGGTATGATGGAAATCCGTAGGTTGGCATTCTATGGCTTGTATAGCCCGAGTGGGTAGAATGAGCCGGGGGCGCGCTCATTGCAGACGGTGATGGTGAGACAGCTCGCGGCGGATCCTTTGCAGGTGGAACAGGGGCCGGCAACAAATTCACAGGAGCCGCCGGTAAGAAGTGGGAATCCTTTGGCGGCGGCGTTGGGGGAAGCGGGGATTCTATCTCTTCGAAATATTGACGCGGTGTTGTTGGCGAATCGTTTAGCTGCATGGATAATCTCCTAGCCGGGTGATCTTCCATCTCAGGGCTAGCGGACGCAGACGTCCACCCGTCTGATTGATTGTCTGATTGATCATCTAATCCTGGATGGGCCGAATCCGGCATCTCCGAACAAGACGTGGAATCATACTGTTCGTCGTATTCTCCATCACAATGCGAATATTCTCCCTCCGTCTCTGTTTCGTCTTGATATCCTCCCTCGGTCTCTGTATATTCTGCCTCTGTATCCTGATACTCGGCCTCTGTTCCCTCTGCCTCCGTTTCTGTTTCTCCACTTGACCCCGTCTCTGTCCCCGAATCCATCTCTGTTTCTGTCTCCTGGTCACCCCCTTCATCGTCCACTTGATATCCACCTGGAGTCACCAGCTCAAGCTCCCCTGAATATCTGTCCCTGGGGCGGTAATCTACCGGTGTGTTTTCATAAGAATTAAAAAAATCCTCCCTGGGTTCATCATAGTCCTCAAAAACACCTACTATGGTGTCAACGGGTGTGTTGGACGCGTCAGTGGGGGAAGACACTGAAGCTGGTACCGGAGATAAACCAGGTTTCGTTTGTGCCTTTCCATATACCTCTACTTGTGCCATAATATTACCTCGCATAGCAGCGTCAAGTGTGTTACTGAGCATTATCGGGATGTACGCTTCAGTGGGGCTCGTGGTTGCATCCTGTTGGTCGCTTGTAGGGGGCTCTACCGCAACGCCGCCGCCAACGGAATCAAACATGTGATGTGCTGGCATTTCCGGAATTGTGGGCTCTCGAGTATATTCGGAGTCGATGCTGTAACCCGACCAGTTCGAATTAGGTCTGAGGAAAGTCGATGCTGCAAGAAATGGAGGCTCTCCTGGTGAGTCTGGTGTAACAATCAAAGGGATGGATGATGGCTCTGCACGCTTGGGCTCGATTAACGAGAAGGGCCTCTGCCGTGACATCGGAGAAATAGTATCTTCATTAAAGCTTAGTGATTGATCATGTTTCAAAAAAATCGATTTTCACTCCTACCTTGTGCTGGTAAATCGTCGTCAAAAGATGACGATGAATCTGAACTATCACTGGTCGTCGAGGTTGATGACGCTTGCGACGCTGGCCTATCAAAAACTTGGTGTCGAAACACAGGTCTTTCCTCCTCGTCCTCCTGCACAAAGCTCACAGCCTCTAAAGGTTGCTCATCGGGACTATCAGAATCATCATCAATGTCAATTGGCGTGGGAAGCTCTAGGGCCTCTTCTCCTATCTCTGCCCCTGCCTGCATATCAGCCTGATTTGTAAACTGTGGCTGAAATGGTTTTTCAGCCTCGTCCTCATCCTCTTCATCGATCCTATGGCTAACAGCACTTCTTGGTGTTGGACAATCAAACTCTCCCTGCATACTGTGTTTAGATGTTCTGACAGCAGGAACAATTTTGGCCTTCCCTTCATTAGTTTCCTTCAACGTCTTATTAAAGGCACTCTGAATGCGCGCTCTCCTTGCAGCAAAGTCCACAGTCCCTAGCTCTGGTATCTTCTTCTTGATATCCCTGCCTCTGTTTTCGCCGACGCTAGAGCTCCTTGCGCCCCGGCCACGCTGAATTCCCACATCTTTCGCATATGACGATGGTGTTGTTGGAGACGAATTATTTTGGAACTTTTGCCTTGACGAAGCAGCTGCCGAGCCTGCTGATTGCTGTAAACGTTGTCGTGATGACCGTAGGGGTGGTGATTTTGCGGGAAGAGGCGCTGATATATATGCTTGTAGTCTGGGACTACTAATAGGTTGTGGGGAGCGTCGTGATCCATGTGAGGACACGGCAATAGGTGCCAGCGTCTCAGCCTTAGAATCCCTCCCCACTTTACGCTTCGTACCGGGAGATGTAGGTGACGCGATCCGCGATTTTGGTAGTGGAATTCCAGTTCGTACCGCCTGTACAACCCTTGGTGAAGCTTCCTGCGGGGACGCAGTGTAGATCATATCCGTAAATTCGAATTCCTCCGGGGACCCGTAACTTCCCACATCCGACCTGCTCCTCCGATGGCGTAACGATCTTCCCGCGGAATTTGCAGCGGCAGTAGTGGTAGTACCAATCCCACCACCGCTACCACCCTGCACATCATCCAGCTCCTCCGTATCTGCCATTGACGCTGCAGAAGGTGAATATAACTGCAACGCCGAGCGACTACGCCTATGGCGGTTCACGCTGAGATGTCTATCGTTTACCGTCGTATCCAACGGCGGTAGACTCTTCAGCATACCCTCCGACATCTTACGAGCCCTTGTCCGTTGCAGCCCACCCACGCCCCCAGCTCCTCCGGCAGGTATATCATGGGCAGACATTGACCTCTCAGTCTTCACCCTTCCCGACGGCGCAGGAGGAGTCTCGCCTCTCCCGCCATTGCTATTACTGTTAGAGTTTGACGAATTCGACCTTGGGCCTGTCTGCTGTTGCGGCTGCTGTCCATTTCCATTTCCGCTGCCACCTGCAGGCTTCCACTGCGGAGTCTTCCTTGTACGGAATCCTGGTGGAGCGGGGCCCGCCGCTACGGCAGGAATTCTATTGCTTGGATTCGGGATCTTTTCATCCTTTGTCTCGTTGAATCTACTGACTATGTTTTTAAAGTTTGGCGAATTGGTATTTGTAACGCTGGTGGTTTTAGGGAGCAGTGGTGTGGATACAGATCTACTGGGAGTCTGCTGACGATATGGAGAGACGTAGTTGGTCTTTGCGTTTATCGTTGAGGATTTTGGGACGATGGTACGCTGCTTTGGGAGGGTGGAGGAGGCAGTAGAATTAGACGTGGATGGGGGTGGGTCTGGGAGAGGACCAGCCGGAGGTGGGCGCGCAGGTTCTTCATGACTTGTACCGGTACTTGAAGGCATTGCTTCGGGACATGTGGGGGATGTATATCAGAAATGCACACGGAAGGGAGGGGAAGGGGAAACGACCGACGGAAGGAAAAGGGAATGGGAGGAAAGGAAAAATCCTGTAAATGTAAAGATACTAGAGAGGGCTGGCTAGGTTTGCAGAGAAGAAGGATTTGGTTGTTTTGTTTGCTTTCGATGGAGGAGCTGATAGATGATGAGGGAGGGACCGTGCTGCTGGGGACTGCTGCTGCTTGTGGGTTGGCTACTAGTAGCTAGGGCCCGGGGGTACTGTAATGTATGATGTAGGTAAGTGGAGAGCATGCACTAGGAATGTTATGTGGATAAGTATGTGTGGGCCTTTTTTTTCCCGTGGGGGAGCGCTATGTATGCTAATGGTTCACTGTTCAGCACGAGGATAGCTATATAGGGTCTCCTATAAGAGGAAATGGTTGTTTGTAAGTTTTGACCGTAAAAGGTTGTTAGTTTTGACCCGTTACTCTAAGAGGTTTGTGTTGCTGAGTTTGTGGGCGTGGGTGAGCGTGAGAAAAGGGTAGATAGGTAGGGTGTATGCAGTGAGGATCCCCCCGCGTCCGTGATTGCTTTCTCGCTTTTCGGAACTGCGGTCCAAATCAGCAAGGAAGGTCAGATTGGGTGGGAATCGACGAAGACAGGAGAGAGTGGAGGGGGAAGAGGGAGGAGTGCAGGCAGGCGGGGGTCTGTGTAGTAGTGTGTGTACGGTACTGTATGTAGGCATGTAGATAGAGGTAGTGCGGGCAGCTGATGTTCTGGAAACGGAGAAGGAAGATGCTGGGCAGTAACAGCAGTAGTAGTAAATAAAATAGTAGTAGGGGGAGGGGGGGGGTATAGCAGTTAGCTGCAGTAGTAATTTATTCTCACCGTTTGTGCGTGAACGTTATTCCTTTCCCCTTCTTAGTTGGTTTCGATGTATCACCGTCTCTCACAAATCCGTTTCTCTCACTCTTTCTCTTTACTCTTCTCAACTAGGTCTCGGAGGGGAAAGAAGGGTGGATGTCGGAGCTAGATCGGGAAAAGTTTTGAACAGGAAACAAGTGTCGGGCAGAAAGGAAGGAAGCCGGCGAGAGGGAAAGCACCCCCTGCCTGCACTTTACGAGAGAAGATAGAGTACAGGCCCTGTACGGGTAAGGGGGAAGAGATACGACGAACCACCACCCACAGGACGGCCTATGTATGTATAAATGTATGTATGCTACTATCCGGAATCCCAGGCTGAGTTGCAGTAACAGCTCAGGTCCTAAGGAATGAAAAGATGAGGGTGGGAATGACTGGGGATGGATGGAGGGGAATATGGGTTGGATGAGGGGACTCGATGCCAGAGTGTCGTGATTGATTGATTGGACTGATCTTTCGATTGATGAATGGGGGAGCCCAGGCAGAGATGGGTTTGAGGGGCAAAATCCTTGAATTTTGCTGATGATTTCTACCCTACGCTTTCTCCCTCCCGAGGGGGCGAGGGATGCCAAAGGCCTGACTGACAGACGCAAAGACTACGAGCTGGTATCAGTGCTGATTGATTGAGGCGTTAAGAGTCAAGTTAACTAATCCAGTAACTGCCTGCCTTTACTTTATTCCTCTCGCTCTCACTCGCTGTAGTTCCAACATAATTTACCTATCCGTCCATCACCATCATCATCCATCCAGCTTGGGTGAGTTGCGCAACCTGAGCAACTTTGCTTTGAACAAGCCTGGGTTTCCTGGCAAAACTTCCACCACTCAGAACCTGATGGTGAGGCAAGGGGTTGCTGTCCGGGAAGCCCACAGGCATTCGTGGGCATGAGCGTCATTACTATGATTGGTGTGTTGGTTTCGCGGATGCAGCCTGCGCTGCTGCAGCCTCTCGATGCCCCCCCCTCCCACCCCTTGGCACGCTATCAACTCTGCCCATACCACGGGGACTATCTTTTTTGCGATGTGAGACTAATTTTGGGACGCGTTTCGTTTAAGTGTGCTACTTTCCTGGAAACGCGCCAGTCGTTCGAGATCGGCGTAACTGCAACCACAAGCCCTACACACCTCAAAATCAAATTCCAATTGCAATCACCCCTTCCTTCAGATCGTTTCTATAATAAAGAATCCTAAACTACAATACCTACACAACGACTATCTATCGAATATCACCACTATGGCATCTAACAGGAAGCGAAAACGAGCAAAGAGTCGAGCCAATGGCAAACCAGAAGGTGCACCAAAAGCAGGAGCGGCGGCAGTAGCAGCGCCAGCAACATCAAAAGTCCATGGTAAGGACCCGCTCACGGCTGAGCCTCTAATCAGCCAAACTGCTCCCCCTGAACCTCGTCCTCCAACAAAGAAATTCCGAGGCCAGCACCCGCAAAGAACGCAATTGCCCTTTCCCCCCGCTCCCTTACTTCTTCAACACCCAGTGCTTTCGTTATATTTTCCCCACCTGTTACCTCTTCATTCCTTCCTTCAACAGGCCCTCTCGTTCTCCTCCAAACCCAAAATCGCTCTTAGAAAATTCGAGGAAGTTGTTGCTGGTAAGGGGTCCGATAAGGACCTGGCATCACTACTAAAAACCTCCGTCGTGGGCCTGGAGAAACTGCGTGTATCGGATACGATACTGGACATTGAAGATGCCACCCAATCAACCGGAGGCACCCGTCAGTCATCGACGTCCACCCAATCTGAGGTACCTACATATTGTTCCTGACGTGGATTACCCCTGACGCAGGCCAATCCACTCTAATCTTCTCGGTAGATTGTAGATCTAACCCTCCACACTCTCTTCTATCGGTCCTTATCAACAAAGAGATCAAATAGCGCAGTTTATCCAGGAAAACCAAATAATATACTGGCACAAGGTTACGCTTTGAATAACCACCGCATTGCAGCAGCACCGGGTATCAATTCGGGCTTGCTTGGAGTCGATGTCGTGAACTTGTATCCAAATGCTCATATCGGCACATTGAAATCGCCGGTGTGGGTCGGTTACTGGGGATCATAGGGGATGAGGCGATGCTGGATCTGCTGCTCAACACAAGCATATTCCTTCAACTGGATGGCCCGCACGGTGACCAGTACGATGTTGCAAAAGCAAACTACTACCAACTTGCAGGTCAGTCAGTCAATCGATTACATAGTCAATGACAATGACAATAACAATGCATACCATTTTTTTTTCTTTCCCGCCCGTGCTTGCAATTTAACTTTTTCTCTATTTTCCTTTCCTTCCTTTCCCTAATGATCCTTCCAATACTAGGGAGGGTCTGGTCACATAGTTACGTCTCGGCAAATGAATTGGGTTCTTTTTTTTCTCTTTTTTTTTCTTTCCTCACGATTTCTTCTCTCTTTATTTCTTACAACCTCCCTATTCGGTTATGATTTATCTGTGTATGCAAGTCATCCGATACCCGATTTCGGTTCCTCTGTGATGTCTTCTAAGTTTCTTGTCCCCTTTTTCACCCACGGCGTCGGTTTATGCGTTAAGACTGTAACCTCTTTTCACTCATTTTAGGGCCATCACTATCGGATTTCTTGAACAACCCGGTAGCACAGCCAGTACCACTTCACACTAGTAGCACCCGTCCCGCTGGTGCTGGTGCACCCTTGAAACGCTGCTTGTCGGAAATTGAAGGTGCGGGTGCCAAGAACATCGACAAGAAGATTAGGCCGAACCGTCTTCGTCCCGCTGCCGCCGAAGGTCTTAAACTTACCAATACCACCAATATTACCAACCGTAGCGGTACAACCACTCCTGCTACTACCAATGACAAGAGTGGCGTAAAACGTTTGCATTCCGGTAAACAAGAACCACATGTAGCAAAAACATGTAATAATACATGTAATAACAAACCGAATGCAAGTAAAAATGCAGCCGTGGTACAGCGAGACTTGAGGACGCCGGGAGAGATCATTTTTGTACGATCTCGAATGTTTTATTCAAAGCCGGCTTACAACGGCCGTGGGGAGGTCCAGTTTGGCTTACGTCATATCCGTGTGTTCTTCTCCTCCTTCTTCTCCTTCTTTTCCTTTTCTCCTCATCCGCTGTTTTGCTTTTTCTGTCTTGCCGCACGGTATCACGTGCATTTTGTAACCCATCCCACAATGTAACCTCCAAAAGCTTGTGGAACCAGCGTCATATACCCAATTGCAAATCCTCATGAACAGCACTTTATTTCACCTCGCCGTTACATTGTTCTAACTGGCCCACATCTCGCTCAAAAATCGAAACCAAAACAAAAGAAAAAAATGAAATCAAATTAATAATTAATTATAGACGTCCTGAACCGCTACCCCGACCCATCGGTGAATTCCCACACGGTGCAGATATTGAAATATATTTTCCCCCGTCAATTCAATCTCCACAATGCCTTCACCTCTATCGTTGACAGGCGGGAGACGGTGCAGCCACTCAAAGACTACACAATGCGAGAAAAGGAGATCGCTGCTGTTGCTGCTCTGAGTGGTAAGCTTGAAGTTCTTAGCGTCCCAAAGAGATTGAGAGGAACTGTGTTTGGGCTGGTGGCTAGAATGCAGAAATTGCATAAGAGATGCTCTTATCATGCACTTGTGAAATACTACTGTCCAGTCAAGGTAAATTTGATATGCACCTCCTTGACAGGCGGTGGCTGATACATATGTCGGTTTATAAATAGCTCTGTGATGGCGTCGTTCAAAAGCCTGTCACCACCGCAGCTCCAACCAATAACCTTCCAACCACCCGCAGTGATAATAAGCTCGCCACCCAGGCCACTCCGGAGATACCGGTGGTTTTCGGGCCTTCACCATCTCCCAATTCTGACGAGGAGATCGTCAAGGATGGCGAGGCAGGCGAGGCAGGCGAGGCATTCACGGACTTCGCCTCGTCTAACGTCGAGGTCTCGGCCTTTGCCCGCGCTGTCATCTCTAAAGTGATCCCTCGTGATTTCTGGGGCAAAGGGGATAGCAATAAGAAGCTGATTATGTCTAACGTCGACCAATTCGTCAAGCTACGACGCTACGAAAGCTATTCGCTCCATGAGATCATGCAGGGTCTGAAGCTTACCGAGTTCCTGTGGCTTTGTCCCGCTGGAACTTCCCCTTCCGCAAAGCTCTGCTTGTCAGACACACAGAAGCGCCGGCAGCTCCTGGCTGAGTTCTTGTTCTGGCTATTTGATTCATTCCTGATCCCGCTATTGCGGTTCCATTTCTACATCACTGAAAGCAACGCGCAACGCAATAGGTTGTTCTACTTCCGGCATGATGTATGGAAGAAGATCAGTGAACCGGCGCTGATCAGGCTCAAGACTGACACATTCCAAGAGCTGAAGGTGGAGAGAGCCAAAAAGATATTGGGCCAGAGAGCGTTAGGATATGCACAGGTACGGCTGCTACCGAAGGTCAATGGCGTGAGGCCGGTCATGAACCTGAAGAGAAGGGTTTTACAGCAGGTGAGTCATTGGGGCTGTTAACGAGCGAGTGATTGTTGATGTTTGAATGCTGATCCTGAACAGGACAAGCACAAAGGGAAAGAAGTACTGGCCCCGAGTATTAACACAATTTTAAAACCTGTCCATAATGTGTTGGTATTCGAAAAGTCTCGCAAACCCGAAAAGCTTGGAGCCGCTATGTTCTCTGTCGGTGATATTTACCCCCGCATCAAAGCCTTCCAAGAACGTCTTCGCGCAACCGGGACCACCCTCCCGAAGCTCTTCTTCGTTAAAGTTGATATTACCGCCTGTTTTGATACCATTCCACAGGGCGCACTAATAAAGCTTATCGAATCCATCATTACCGAACCCGAATATCGCCTTGAAAAGCACGCCGAGATTCGCGCTCCTGCTTCCATAAGCAGCAAAAAGCCTATCCGCCGCTTTATAGCCAGAGCCCAGCTCCCGGGAAAGGTCAACCGGTTCGCTGACTTTGCACAAACCGAGGTCAAACGTAGAGGCGTGAGCAAAACCGTCTTTGTCGACGATGTCGTTCACAAATTCCGGGATTCCAACTCATTACTAGATCTGCTTGAGGAGCATGTTCGTAGGAACATCATCATGATTGGAAAGAAATTTTACCGACAGAAGAATGGGATCCCACAAGGGTCTGTACTGTCGAGTATACTGTGCAACTTTTTTTACGGCGATCTAGAGAACAAGAAACTCTCCTTTGCATTTGAAGATGACGGTATTCTGATGAGGCTTGTGGACGACTTTTTATACATTACACCAGAGCGCGAGAAGGCACAAAGGTTCCTAGAGGTAATGCATGGCGGGATGCCGGAGTACGGGGCTTTCGTGAGTGCGCAGAAAACGTTGGTAAACTTTGAGACTAGTGTGGGCGGGAGGAAGGTGGCTAGATTATTAGATACCGAAGAGTTCCCGTACTGCGGTAATCTTCTCAACACGAGGACATTAGAGATTAGGAAGGATAGAGGCGGAAAAAACTCAAATCAGTAGGTTCTTGGGCATAATTGGGAGATAAAAGGAGGTTTAGTTAACAAAATGTGTAGATGTAAATGATCTCCTCACAGTTGAGTACTCTAAAAATCCTGGCAGATCCCTTCAACGCAAAGCAATTGGGTAAGAGCTTATACATTCTTCCTATTTACATCCAACTAACTTCCTTTAGCGCCTTCAAAATGCAGGCACGCCCTATGTATTTTGACAGTACGCTCAACAGCACCCATACCGTCCTCTCAAACATCTATCATAATTTCACCGAAGCCGCCATGAAATTATACCGGTCCGCCGCCTCGTTGCGGGGACCAAAGTCTCCCAGCCAGAAACTCCTGATCAAGATAACATCAGAACTGCTGGAGCTTGCGTACAACATGCTACAAAAGGGCAACTTCAAGTGCGCAGTGGGGAGAAGCCAGGTTCGATGGCTAGGTGCACAAGCATTCAAGAAAGTGCTCCACAGAAAGCAGACCAAATATAGGCCGCTACTCGATTGGTTAGAGACTGTGATCAGGAAAGAGAGAGGGGATAGGGCAACGGCGGCAGTGGTGGAGCAGGGCGACGGCCCGTTTGCGGGATACAAATATTAGGGAAGTTTACTGTTACTTAACAGGCTTCTCCTCTTTATCCCCCGCTTTCTCTCCGGAGACAGGTGCGATTGGAGCAAAGGTAAGGTATTCGGTGAATCCAGATCCTGGATTTATTGATTTTTCTGCGCACAGGGAAAGCTTCGAACAGTAGTATAATCTGCCTATAAAATCATACATGGGCAGGTAACACGTTGCTGTGGCAGAGGGTCTAGGTGATACCATTTCATTTTTTCATTACTTTCAAAACTTTCAGTATGAGTGTGTTCTTTGGTACAAAAAAAAATTACCAACTGACCAACAAAAAAGAGCTTTTATGCAATTCTTCAGCTTATGAGGCCAGAGATGTGAAGACCCCCTACTAAACAGGTGTATGGCAGCCTTGAAACTCTGCTCCGCATCGTTTCCTTTCGCGGGCGGCAACAGGTAATTTCTACAACGGGTGCCGGCATTCCAACACAAAACCCCGTTTTCACTGAAAATTATATATATGCAGGCCAGTGCAGCAATGTGAAACACCGTTTCCGCGAAAAAAAAGTTTCTTGGCGTTGCGGTCTAGGTATGACACACTGGTTGAGTAAATGCAGACTTGGGACTGTGAGGGCGGATATGCTAAGGGTATCTGTCTTGAGGGATTGTGTAAGAGTGATACTGATGATTTGAGGTGTGCGGGCTGTGAGGGTAGAAGCGGGTGGGTGTGTAATAGCGGTGGGGAGAGTTCTACGAGCTTGAGGACGTCAGCTAGCACTGTTCATAAATACCGCTATAACTCGAAAAATTGGCTAGACAACATCACGGGGTTGTGGTCAACACGGGGGTAGGGTCAATTCTAAGATTTTGTATGGAAACCAAAAGAGGTAGTCGATCAACTTCCTGCGTATCATACATCACTCCGGCGTATATTTGAGATTTGACCATACCCCCGTGTTGACCACACCCCCGTGAAGCCGTCTAGATCAAAGTTTCTTGTATGGGAAATTTCTGAAGCAGATCATGCCATTCAACCAATCACTCAAGTGGTAATCCCTGGACGGAGATAGCCAATTTTTTTTCGAGTTTTGGCGGTACACAGCTGATATGCCTTCGTGCTCTACCAACGCCTAGCACGGCTCATTAGGTGGCCCTAAGCGCGAGTGCGGTTGTGTAGCCTTACCTGGCCATAGTCGCTGATTGATTGATTGATTTTGATAATCAAAACCGCAACCGAAGAGGTTCTCACGGTAACATGAATACTGTACATACCATAATAGACTTGAATAAACGAGAATCTTGAGCTTCATAGGTACTTGTTCTATGCGAAATCACACAACAAGCGCTGTCAAACGTTAAGAGGATTTTGGAAACGAAAATAATTAATTTGAATTATTGTTCGGTTGAAATAATGTAAATTTGGCTCTTTCAAACTAATAAAAGAGATTTGGGTTGTCGATCACCTACGAATAGAGCGTTTCTATTTTTCTATAGCGTTATAAAGGTCTAATATTTGATACAGGGAAAGTGCATTATGAGGTCCATGATATTCGGGGAATCTTTTGGTGAGGCCGCACTATGCTACTTTGTTTGCTCTTCATCGCTTTATATAAATACTGTGCCCTTTACTATTTCAAGCCAAGTATGTTCGCATCACGTGTTGACTATAACTAGTTTCCTACTACGAAATCATTGACACAAGCAAAAGAGGAATAGTCGTTGCCAACCAACCACCAATACAGTAAGAAGAAAATAACGACATAATGACCTACATTCAGGATATCTTAGCCTCGTAGAAACAAATAGGAGCTTTATAGGTACTTGTGCTGTCCCCACAGTCTCCCTGCAGGGCCACTCATTGTTGAGAGACCCCAATCGTGAAATCGCCTCCTGTCACTCACCCCTCTTCCTTCAAAGAAAGGTCGGGGTCTTGGATGCGTGCGACGTGAAGATTCCGGATCCTAAAGATTAGCTTCCATTCGTTTCATTCCCTTCACTCCCCTCATTCCTCTCAGTCCTCTCAGTCTTCTCAATCCTCTTAGTTCTCTCATCAACTCCCATCCATCCTATTCCTCTCATCACCTCCCATCATAACTATCACCTTCCCACTTCAAACATCGAAGCTCACACTATCATCATCATCATCGAATCTCACACGTTATCAAAATGCCATACCTAACTCCCACCCAGCCTATTAACACCTCATCCATCACACCCGTCAATGTCCGCATCACTGCCGATAAAACCCTCACTCATTATATCGTTATTTACACCTCCCCCCCGCACGGTGCCCCCCAGGATCTCCATGATCTTGTCAACAACAATCTCATTGACGAGCGCTCCGACACCTCTGCTCAGCTGCATCTCCAGTACCCGAGCCATCCCATCACTCCGCTCTTCACCGTTGACTTCTATTCCCGCGGTCAACGCTACCATCTCGTCTCCTCACGTGGAATTGTCCGATGGTACACCGAGCAGCACAGGCCCAGCAGCGACACCGACGGTAGCAACAGCAGTATCAGTGGCACCAGGAGGCACGAGTTCTTCGCCAGTAGCGTCCAGAGCGTTAGGTGGTGCGTCTGGAACCTTCTCGTCTATCTCCAGAGGGCCCATTTATGTCTGCCGATGGCCGGCGGCCTCGAGAAGGACAAATGGTGGGTTGTCAATATTGGTTTGACCTGGGGCAAAGGCCCTCATGACCCAGACACCAGGTTCGTGACCTTGTGGGTCAGGGAGGATACTAGGCTGGCTAGGGTGTTTGAGGTCGTGGCTTGCCACGAAGTTGAGGGGTGGTTCTGCCTGTCTCAGGTGGTTTGGGAAGGCCAGGAAGGGAGACCAAAGAGTTGGTACTATGATGATGCGGTGGAGTGTGGTGTGATGATGAAGGACTGTGGGTGGAAAGGTGAAGGGGTCGTCTGGTTGAAGACTCAGGTTATCTGAGTTTTGTTTGTGGTATTGACATGGTGCTGGTGTGTGAATACTTTGGGGGGTCAGGTTCAAGGGCGTAGAATTGTGCCGAGTACTGCATGGCTGTCATGGAAAGAAGGTTCCCTTCTTATGTTCTCTTACCCTATTCTCCCTGCTTTCTGTGGGCTGTTAGGGTACTTAATCCATCAAAAGTGTTTTTCGTCGTCGTCCAACGTTCTTGTACTGATTTAATTTCTTTGCCTCGCTAAATATGTAGCTGCCTAAGTCATCGACCTGATGTATGTTAATGAATCTGAGCTGATATCATGACTTGAACTTCGGTAATTTGTTTGTTTTATGTACCTCTGTGCTGGTACAATGCCTGTGAGTTGGCCAAGAGTGTGGTAGGGTACCGAGTGATACCTTGTGAAGACTACAAAACTTGGTACTATCTCTGGGTGGCGTAGAATATAAGGTAAGCCGGAGTGGAGGGTCCACACATTGTCACTATCTAGCCTACAACTAGAGGCACAAGTATAAATGTAGACAAAAGGCGGTGCGGACAACTGTTAACCAAGCTATGATGTACATCTCACAGGAAAATATTTCTATGAGGAAGGCCATATGCATGGTATGTCGGAAACCTTATGACACATGATGTGCAAATACAAAGAAGTGAAAAGCTACATTGTATAGAAGGGGTCAATGACAATGACAGACACAGTCTGAGCTCTGCCCCTGTGTTCTTCTTGTACTTTGTCGCTACTGTGGTGAGGGTGGATATAGTACGCGCGCTGGGCTCTGGGTGGCCTTTGATGTATTTTCCTTCCTTTTGCAGAGTGGGACGTGGTATATAGGTAAGGACGTTGATAAAGCTTTGTGACTCACCCTAGAGCTGATGGTGCGGTGCGGTGAAGTCCACAAGGCAATGTTAAAAACCTACCTCGAGGGCATCAATCTTGTGGAGTATCTACGTACATACACCTATTTTATAACCGAACAGAAGCAATAATGGAGTACTTTATATAGAGCTCTAGGGACTATTGTTATTGGGTTTGAGACACAGTCATAATTATAAGTGCAAAGGCGTTCTAATCCTGGTCAATTCGCCAGCAACATTTCGACGACTCTAGTGGTCGATGGAATCATTACCCCGCCTGCTAGACGATAGTACAAGATAAAGGAGAGCTATAGGCTACATACGTAGCTACAGTACGATATCTAGGTGTCCTAATCAACGATAATATTGCCTGCTCTACTACACTAGGATCAAGGCCCCTACTAAATTTTGTGGGCCTTGCTAATACTAGTACGCATAGAGAATCCTTAGAATTAATTAGATAGCAAACCAGTAGTATAAGGGAGTCTAATAATTGTGTTAGAGCAATTTTACAAACGACCCGGGCCTTATATCTTTAATGTTGGACATGGTTGTACTAATTACAAGTAAATAGTACGGTCGGCACTAGCAGGACTATAGAAATAATGGTATTATGTAATATAGGAAAGCAAAAGGCGAGAGTGCTTGACTTGTTTTGACCGGATATTGCCTAATTTTCCGCATACGAAATATTGGAGAAGTTGGAAAGTGCGAGATTAACGTGAGTTGATCATGGATAATCACTCGATCTTGACCTCACGAGACATGGTTTCGAGGTATCGGAGTCTGTCCTTGAAGGGTACGCTCATCTGAGTCTTTCTCCACCTTTTTTCACCCAACCTAAATGTGCCCAAGAAAAATTTCAACTAGTTTCTATAGCTCGACACCTCAATTAAAAACTCGCATACTCGATTCGGGTAGTAAGCAATATACAAGTGCGATCTAAGCGTGAGACTCAACGAATCGATTATTAAATCCCACAGTCACTACATATGTTTCATGTCTAGAGTTACTATGTACTTGGCTACTAAAGTACAGGTTTCTGGGTTGCCTAGGCTGTTTTCATAGTAAAGTTACTGTGCGCTCCAGTACACGTAGTTTACAGTAGATCTCAGTGCATAAGAAATCATGACCCACACGAATATCACTGCACTCACGCTTCACTTCATCTCATAGCCATCATATCAGGTCATTCCCGGAAACCACAAAACTCCGAAACCAACCCCTTCCCCCACAAACCGTACGAGTGACATCCCATGACCCACATCCACTCAACGCACGCAGTAACACACCAAATCAAATCCTGTAACCCAACCATGGCACCTGACCCAACAGAAGAGCAAGCAGAAGTAGCCTATCAGAGCACCCAGAAGCTTCGAGTCACATTCTATGATCCACCACCTCCCTGAATCTCCTACGCCCCAGAAGCTGGGCGTGATACAAACCCATCGAGCTAGCTAGGGAGTGGGGCATAGAATTCCATGGTTTAGTTTTCTGGGTTGTACCTGTCTGAGATGGTTGGGATGGTTATGGCTAGCTGAGGCTAGCTGGCCTGTTATAAGCCCTACAGACGCCCTGCCCCAGGGCCTACTCTCCCTACTACTCTTCACCTACCAATACAACCTCCAGCTATCCCACCTACTTCTATACCACCAGATAACCTACAATCTAGAAATATAGCTAGCTATCGATCTATCACAACCATGCCAGACCCCCCACCGGCAAACCCCCTCCTCGCCGAACTGGCCGCGATCCGCCGCCGCCAGCACGAACGAACCCAAACCCAACCGCCCGCTTCTCCACCACCACCACCCAATCTGCCACCTCCCCCACCTTCTGGCAAAGCCCAGCTATATAAACCCACAAACCCCCCATCCCCAGGCTCAAGCAGCGCCCAACCCTTCGATTTCACACGGCGCATCCCGCCTGCTGATTTCGTCGTCCTCGACCCCACCTCTGGCCGAAACCAGAGCCAGGGGCTGCCGCCGCCACCACCGCCACCGCTGTTCCCGGGCTTCGGGGCGGGCACGCCACTCTTTAACACTAGAGCTGGCACGCCGCCGCTCTCCAACACTAGAGCAAACCAGCCCCCTGCACCACCCCTCAAGACCAGAGCAACCCAACCTCCTGCACCGCCCCCAGTTCCCAACGCAAACGGAGCCGGCCGCCCCCCAGCACGCCCCTTCCAGGGGCCGGCACCACCGCCCGCGGCACCCTCACCGGAGCGGCTCAAGTATCTTGCGGAGCAGAGGAGGGCGCGCGAGGCGGCAAAGAGGGAGCGGGAGCGCATTTTGAGGAATATCGAGGAGGATAAAGCGCGCAGGAGGGCGCAGGCTGGGAGGAGGTTTTAGGTTGGGGTGCTGGTGGAGGAGAGGTGGGGTGGAGGAGGGAGAGGGAAAAAGGGGGGGAGGGGGTTGTGTGGGTATGTGTGCTGGTGGTAGGGTGGGGGTGTACTGGGTAGTGAGGTGGGGTGTGTGTGTGTGTGTGTGTGTGTGTGTGATTTTTCTGGCCTGGAAGATCTAGAGGACTTTGTTTGAGAGGAGTTTCGGTTTTTATGTTTTGCGATGTACCGTTGATGATCCTGCTTTTCTGTTTGGTTTGAAATTTGGGTGTTTATTTCTTCTTTGGCTTCAAGGTTATACGAACAGTGCACTAAGCAACAACAGCACTGTAATTCTAATTGTTTATCTACTCTAATATAGTGGTTTAGCAAATTAAAGTTAAACTCAATCTACTTTAATCTTTACTTCAACTCCAGTCACCCATACAATCGCAGTGGTTATGCTTCGTTCGGTCTTGTATGTCGCCACGAGAACCAGCCTTCAGAAGTCGGTTGGTGGGTTTGAACAATTCAAGTCTGCGAGATCTGGCAGTCTATTGGTTCAGTATCAGCGAGGCCTAGTCAGTACACTATTCCTCTTGTCAGATACCCCTTTACTATTAGACACCGTGATCTTACCGCCTTACCCATGTCTCGTGGGACCACGATCGAGTGATACTCCATGATCCCATACCAACCCCTACTGCCCCACCTCCCTCCTCGAAGCCGTTAAAGCATAAGGAGAACAAGTGCGCTCTATGTATATAGCTCGGGGAGTACGATTTTGGGCTGGGTCAACTAGCTCTAGAGCTTAGTAGCCGGGTGATACGACGTGTCTGTGAATCTGAAGCAAGTAGCGCCTCACCTGTTTGGGATGTACGAAGAGGATGGGGAGGAGAGGGGTGGAGAGTGTCGCTGGTGTTTTGGGTCCCGTGGTGTGCAGGCACGATAAGTGCTAAGGGCTGAGTTTTTCGTCATCGGATGTGCTGCCCTGGAGGGGTGCCGAGCCCCAACACCACGTATACGTACCCCTACATAAGCACGTTAGGAAACTACACACCATCTACCGCCGTAGCCCAGTTGCTATGGTGTCGCCCAGAGGGGCCGAGGTCGGCGGTTCGAATCGCATACCTCACAGGCTTGGTGGAAACACTGTGTCACTGGGTCGAAAAGAGTAGCGCGCAAAGTCTCTCTTTTGTTGCTTTTATAGTAGTTGGACCTTGTTAGCTAGCTTGGGACGGGGTTTATTTTAGTATCGACAACATAGTAGCAGGCTACATATATGTAGACGCGAGTACCGCAGAATGTGGCTGGTACGGTCCGGACGTATGATAGTGTGTTAGGGTCGAGTGATGGGATGTGACGCGAAGTGGGTGTGGGTGTAGGTGTGGGAGAATCGATGTGTATCACTCGCTGTGTTGTGATAGGTTGGACATTGCAGATTTAGTATATGGGGGGCGGATATATAGTGCTATGCTGTGGTGCTGGCTTGTATGTAGCAGCTAGCTTTACGGATTGCAGTATTTATATGCCCCCCCCCCCCGGAGGGAAGAACCACTAGCTACGCTGTTACATGACCTTTAATATAGACATGTATGTACCAGAAGAAATCAAAAGAGAAAAAACCCATAAAAAAACCCCCAGAAAAAACAGAACTTTTCACAGCCTCTCCACTATCTACAATACCATCTCGTCCTCCTTCTCCCCTTCCTCCTTCTTCACAAACTCCTCCTTCCGCTCCATCGTCCCCTCAATAAACCCCCTCAACGCCTCCCACGTCGACGGCCTCTTCACTGCCACCGCCACCTGCCCCTCCCCCTGCCCCTCACCAACCGCCGCCGCCGCCATCCCCGCCGCCATAATCGCCAAGTTCTTCCCAAAGCGCTCACACTCGTTCCTGACCACCTTCTCCTTGCGCTTCATTGCTCCGGGCCTGCTCTTCATGCTCTTCTTTCCCACGCCCTCACCCTCTCCCTGCACCACCGCCCCCGTGGTCGAGGTTGGGGGGCTTTGACAACGACGTCGTCGAGCGCGGAGGCGAGGGAGTCGAGCTGCGTGACGAGGTTGTTTTGCAGCGCTTTTGTGGCGCGGCGGCGGGAGCGCGCTGAGGGGGTGGGTGTGGGCTTGGTGATGCGGGTGAGGAAGGTGGTGCGGCGGGTGTGGAGTTTGGCTTTTTTGGTGGGTTGGTGGGGGGTGGTGGTGGTGGTGGTAGAGGTGGTGGTAGTGGGGGGTGGGAGGGGCGGGTGCGGGTGCGGAGGGAGGGGCGTTTATTGGGTTTTGTGGGTGCCTGGGGGAGGTTAGTCTGGGATTGGAATTGGGGAGGAAGAGAAGGGGGGGACAGACCATGTTGGAGAGTTTGTTATGTGGGTGTGGGTGTGGGTGTGGGTGGAGTGGTGTAGTTGTGTGGGGGAGGTGTAGTGAGTGTGTGTGCGAGTGTCGAAAGTTCAATGTCTGCAGTTCTCTCCCCCGATTAGATAAATCTCGAGTGCGGCTCATGCAGCTCGAGTGAGTGAGTGAGTGGCTTGACAACAGTTGCCCCCCAGCCACAGAACAACGTCACGTCAACCACCACAGCCCGACACCCCCGAGAATCCACAAATTCCACAACTTCCTCCCCACGAACCCTCAGCACTCGCAGCTTCACCTCCAATGGCCTCCGAGAACGAATCAACTTCAGACGCCGGCACGCGTGCCAGCAAGCGCGTCCGCACCGACAGCAATCCCGCGCCCCCGGCAGCAGCAGCAGCAGCAGCAGAGAAGAAGCCCACTCCCGAGGCTGAAGATGGTATGTCCCTCTCACACCGGCGAATACCGTGCACGAACAGGCAGACCAGCTAACCGCTATACCCCCCCACAGACAGCTCCTCAGACGACGACATCGGCCCCACACTCCCCCCCGCCGGCGGCGCCGCAACCAAGAAGAAGCGACGCACGCTGCCACACGAGAAGCTGTACCTCGCGGCGCTGCCGACGGCGCCGCGGTACTCAAAGTCGCTCATGCATCGGGACCACCTTGCGTTCGTGACGATGACGCCGTTCACGGACTTTCTCATCACGACGAGCGTGGATGGGGTGGTCAAGTTCTGGAAGAAGATGGCGGTGGGGATTGAGTTTGTGAAGATGTTTCGCGCGCACCAGGGCGAGATTGTGGGTGTGGCGGTGAGCACGGATGGGCGCAGCTTTGCGTCGGCGGGCGTGGACGGGAGGGTGGCGATCTTTGATGTGGTGACTTTTGGTAGGTGCCCTTTCTAGAGGCGGTGTGGGAGGGGGGGAAGGGGGCAGTGGGCAGTGGGCAGTGGGCTAATAGGGGGCGGTATTATAGATCTGCTGACGACCATCACGCTGCCAAACGCGCCAAAGGCCATCTGCTGGGTGCACCGGCGCGGGTCCTCCCTGCCGCTGCTGGCGGTCTCGGACGTGGTGAGCCCGCACATTGTCATCTACGATGGGCGGGGCGACAATCCAAAGGTGCTGTACACGGTCGAGCACATGCACCGCAGCATCGTGCATCTCATGGCCTTCAACGACAAGTACAACTGCGTGGTGTCGTGCGACGAGAGCGGCATGGTCGAGTACTGGTCCCCAAAGCCGGAGCGCGAGTTTGAGAAGCCCGATAACGTGTTTGAGTACAAGAGCAACACGGGCCTGTTTGAGTTCAAGAGGGTGAGTTCTCTATACTGTTACTGCTACCCTCCGATCATTGACCCTCTCTCCTCTTCTCTCCTCCCCCTCTCCCCTACAGATAGGCAGACAGCTGATATAATGTCCACAGGCCAAATCCGTGCCCACGTCCCTCACAATCTCACCCACACACGAGTCCTTCGCCACCTTCTCCCACCCAGACCGCCAGATCCGCATCTTCGACTTCCCCAGCGCGCGCCTCACGCGCACCTACGACGAATCCGTGTCCACCCTAACCACCATGCAGCAAGCCGCCCCCGCCGCCACCAAACTTCCCGACATCGAATTCGGCCGCCGCATCGCGCTCGAAACCGACCTCTCCTCCCCCGCCACCACCTCCGCCACCCCACCCATCCCGCTCACCACAACACACCTCTCAAAGGCCAACATCGTCTTCGACGAGTCGGCCACTTCATCATCTACGGCTCCCTGGCGGGCATCAAGGTCCTCAACACAACAACCAACACCGTCGTCCGCACCCTCGGCAAAGAGGAGCCCCTGCGCCCCCTCAACATCGCCCTCTACCAGGGCGCACCAAATAAAAAGGACCTCGTCACAGTCGAGATGGCCGCCTCCGCCAACCCCCTCCTCTCCGAGGCCGAGTCCCGCGACCCCATGCTCTTCTGCACGGCGGCGGCAAAGCCGCGCTTCTACATCTTCACCAACGACGCCACCGCGTCAAAGACGGACCGCGACATCCTCAACGAGAAGCCGCTTCTGTCTGCGTCCTCTGCGGCGGCCGGCGCAGCCGGCGACGTAGCGCCCAAGGAGAGCGGGAAGGCGGCCGTCATCCATACCAGTATGGGTGACATCCACGTGCGGCTGTTTCCCGAGGCGGCGCCGCGCACGGTGGAGAACTTTGTGACGCATGCGAGGAACGGGTACTATAATGGGACCATCTTCCATCGCGTGATTCGAAAGTTTATGATTCAGGGCGGGGACCCGTGTGGGGATGGGACGGGCGGGGAGAGCATTTGGGGCGGCGAGTTTGAGGATGAGTTCTCGACGTTGAGGCATGATAAGCCGTATACGCTGAGTATGGCGAATGCGGGGCCGAGTGAGTATTTTTTCTTCTTTCCTTTTTCCTTTTTTTCTTCCTTTTCTTGGAGTGTGGGGTGTGGGGTGTGAGGTGAGATGGGGGATTGGGGGTGGGAGAGAGAAAGATGGGGGCTAATAGGATGTGTGTGTGAATAGATACGAACGGATCCCAGTTCTTCATCACGACGGAGAAGACGCCGTGGCTGGACGGGAAGCATACCATCTTTGGACGCACGATACAGGGCCTGGATGTGGTCAATAAGATTGAGAATGTGCGCACGTTCAAGGAGAAGCCGGAGGAGGATGTAAAGATTATTAATATCTCGGTTTTGTAGAGCGGAGGGAGGTGTGTAGGATACCGTATGTAGAGCAATTGAATGTGTTTTTTTTTATATATAGATTGCGCATGTTTTGTCGTGGGGGATGTGGTTCGCGGGGCGGGGCGGGGATATGAAGAGAGAGAGAGGGGGGGAGGGGGGGGCGGGCTGAGCTAGTGTAGAGCTGAAGTTAGGGGAGATGGTGTGTTATACCGTTTTTTTGTTGTTATCATTATTATTTAAAACAGCCTAGTACATAAATGCTAGTAGCCAGTCAGTCTACAGGGATAATTAAGCCAATTGCCATACCATACCATACCATCAACCCATGCCCGCTCAACTGCAAAGTACTTACAAGTATCCTCTTAATTATAGTTGTAGTTATAAGCTGAGCTACATATAAGTAGGCATGCGTCTCCTTGTAACGGGTACGCTCGACTAAGACCGGAAAGTGGTACCTCCCCGCACTGTCTGCTCCTGCGGTGGGGGTTCGGGCTCAGACCGGTGTAATTAGCACTCCCGTTGAGTTGAGTTGAGTTGGTCGTCTTGCATGTTTTGGCGGGGTCGTAGGTTTTTCTTCTTTTCTTTTCTTTTTTTTGTTTTTTTTTTGCGGTTTTAAACAGAGAGGGCGCTGGCTTCATACTTCACGGTATACGGTTTGCATCACGGGCGCTCACTCGCGCCAAGACTGTTGGTATTGGCCTGGGCGTAGCGCGAGTAGAGACGTCACAGCCCATTTCCCCACACGCCTCACAACTAGCTATATCACCGGCTCAACTATTGGTGCCAGTACTATGTATGTGATATTCTGCTACTATATGTATGTTATTGATACTAAAAACAAACCCCGCCCCTTGGCAAGGTCTAACTAAAAAGCAATAAAAGAGAGGCTTTGCGCGCTGCTCTTTTCGACCCAGTCACACAGTGTTTGCACCAAGCCTGGGAGGTATGCGATTCGAACCGCCGACCTCGGCCCCTCTGGGCGACACCATAGCAGCTGGGCTACGGCGGTAGATGCTGTGTATTTTCCTGGTGCAATTTTGAGGGAGGGCCCGGCACCCCCAGGGCGACGAAAACCTCAGAGTCAGTCCTATCGTGCCTGCACACCACGGGGCCCAAAACACCAGTAACGCTCTCTGTTCTCCTCCTCGACGCCGCTCTCTTTGTATTTCCCAAACAGGTGAGGCGCTATGTACTATGTAGCTTTAGATCCACCGATAGGGGTTGCATCACAGGTGATCACTCGCGCCAAGACTGCTACGGGCCTGTTGTCGTAGCTGCTACATAGTAGGACACTTATCCAAATTGCACGTCTTCTCCTTAAAGGTATGTAGCCATACCATCGATTTGATTATTTAATACTACATGTAGTGCTGGTCTGCTGCTATGTTATTGATACTAACCAATTACAAAGCTCCCTCCCCCGCTCATCTCACATATCAATCCTGGCAATGTCTGTATTTGTATTTATACCTACTAATCTAATAATATTATTACTACACCCCCTACCCCCCTACCGCCACCCCCTACTAGTAAAAATACACCCCCCCCCCTTTCCCGCGCACTACAAATACTCCACCGCCCCCAGCAGCCTCTCCGCATCGAACCCCTCCCCGTTCACCGCCGCGAGCACCGCTTTCGCCCTATTTCACCTCTATTAGCCCCCATCCTCGCACCGCTCGTAGAAAGGTAAAACTCACCAGCCCATACACTCCCTCTCCTTCATCTCCGCCTCCAACAGCGCCGACTTCTGCTTAGCCACGGCCAAGCACCTCTCCGGCAGCCCCGCGAGCCTCGCAACATTGAGCCCGTAACTACGAGTAGCCACGCCCTCGCCGAGCTCGTAGAGGAACGTGATGTCGTCGCTGCCGCCTGTTGCTCCTCACACACACTCACATTAGCACACCCCACCCCAACACACACAGAAAGGAAGACCTACCGCCCGCCTCTGAAAACTTCATATACCTCGCCCCCACGCCCTCCCCCTTCCCCGCCCTCCCCGCCAGCGCTGCATAATGCGTCGCAAACAGACACAGACACCCCACACCCAGCACATACTCCAGCACCGCGCCCGCAATCGCCACACCATCACACGTACTCGTGCCCCTGCCAAGCTCATCCAGCACGACCAGACTCCGCCTCGTGGCGCACCGCAGGATCGCCGCCGTCTCCGTCAGCTCCACCATGAACGTGCTCTCCGCATTCATCATGTTATCCCTTGCGCCCATGCGCGTGTACACGCCGTCCACGATGCCCAGCCGCGCCTCGGTCGCCGGCACATACGAGCCGATCTGCGCCATTATCGTTACGAGCGCGAGGAGGCGCAGGTAGGAGGACTTGCCGCCCATGTTGGGGCCTGTGATGATGAGTGCGCGCGTGGCGTCGGTGGAGAGGGCGGTGGTGGTGGGGATGTACGGCGCGGAGAGGAGCTTCTCGATCATGGGGTGGCGGGCGGCGACGAGGTTGATGGTGGGGGTGGTGGTGAAGGTGGGCTTGCAGTAGCCTGGTTGGGCGGCGACGGTGGCGAGGGAGAAGAGGCAGTCGAGGGTTGCGAGGGCGGTGAGGGTGTCGCGGAGGGGGTGGTAGTGTGCGGCGATTTGGCCGAGGAGGGAGGCGTAGGCGGTGTTGCAGGCCGCGGTGAGGGATTCTTTGTGTTGGTCGCGTTCGCGAAGGAGGCGCGTGGTGGTGGGCGTGTGGAAGCGGGAGACGCGCTTGGTGCCGTTGAGTTTTGCCCAGGTGGCGGGGACGAGGGAGAGGGAGGGTTTGTCGTTGGGGACTTCGATGAGGTACTGTGGGGGGTTAGCGGTTGTTGGGTACGGGGTGTTGATCATTGGCTTTGGAGGGTGAGGATCATTGACTTTGGAGGGTGGGCAGGGGGAGGGGGAAATGTGGGGATTTGATCATTGGCCCTTGGGGAGTGGGGGGTTTGGTCATTACCTCCACGCCAGACACCGAGACATATGTCGCCTTCGGCTTCTTCAGCGTCTTTGCAATCTCCTTGAGTTGCTCCTTCAGCTCTGCCTCCACCGCCGCGATGCCCTACATCTGCTGTTAGTCCTCTCGTCCCAATACACCGATAGAGAAAAATACAGCTATAAACCTACCAGCTTATACTCCACAATATCCTCATACCCGCTCTCGTCCTTGAAGAACGAATACCGATCATCCTTCGCCGCCGCCTGATGGTTCAGCATCCCCAAGAACTCCCCCACCACCCCCTTCACCCTCGGCAGCGCCGCCACGGCCTCATTCAACAGCCGACTCCCAAAGCCCACCTCCTCCGCGCTCTCCACCGCCTCAAACACGCCCGCGATCCTCTCCAGCGCCAGCAGCGTCGACAGCAGCTCGGGCCGCGTGCACTTGCCATAGTAGATCCTGATGAGCCCCTTCTCGAGGTCCGTCCCCACACGGCTCAGCAGCTCCCGTATGCGGTCCAGCTTCCCATTCCTCCCCGCCAATATCTCCTCGACGGCGGCAATCCGCGCCTCCAGCGCCTCCTGCTGCAACAGCGGCCGCCCCACCCACTTCCGCAGCAGCCGCCGGCCCGGCTTCGTCTTTGTGCGGTCGAGCGCCCAGAACAGCGACGCGTGCGTACTGTTGTCCGTCTGGTTCCTGTAGATCTCGAGCGAGGCCAGCGTGTTTGCGTTGAGGTGCATATGGCTGCGCGCACTGAACGGCGCAAAGTACTTTGTCAGGTCAAACACATGCTCGAGCCCATACGCCGCCAGATGCGTGATCATGGCCGACAGACACACCGTCACCAGGTCCGACAGCCCCATCACCTCGTCCAGGCGCTTATTCGCCTCCGCGTCTGCCCCGCCCCGCGCCTTCAGCTTGTCGGCGTAGAAGGCCGCCACGTGCGCGTTGGCGTCCGCGATGGCGGCACCCTTCTTCTCGCTGCGCGGGACCCGCTCGATGCGCACGGCGTCGCCAAACACGCTCGTCGTGCTGCCCGCAAGGTGCGTGACGATCTTCTCTGTGGCCCGCGTGAGCTCCCCCACCACCAGCAGCTCGCACGGCGCAATGTGCAGCAGCCGCGTCTCGATCTCGCTGCGCGTGAAGCCGTCGTCAAACTCGTCGTAGATCACGTCGCCCGTGGCCGGCTGCACGGCCACAATCCCAACATGCGACTTCTCGTCCGTGCCTGTCCCGCCGCCAGGCTTCTCCGTGATGCACAGCAGATACCCGGTATTCGGCGCGCTGCCGCTCCCACTGCCGCCTCGACGTCGTCCATGGTGTCGATGTCGTCAATGTACGTCCCCTTCGTGTACAGCTCCGCGAGCTCGCGCACGAACGGCGCGTTCCTGTTATCGCCTGCGGCCTTCAGCGCGGCCGTCTCGCGCTGCCGCACGATGCCGACTTTGTGGCCGGCGGCGACAAGGCGCTTGACGTGCACGTGCAGGCGCGGCACTGGGATGCTCGCCGACGCGAAGCGCTCCAGGTGTGCCTCGGACGGGTGCTCGTCGAAGCGCAGCTTGCCGGGTATGCACATGATGCTGAGGGCGGCGCTGGCGGTGCGCGCGTCGGACCCGAAGAAGCGGTATTTGTAGCCTACCTCGACGAGGAGGAGCGTGTCGGGGTGCTGGCGCTTGATGGCGACGACTTGCTGCTCGAGCGGTGTCAGTTTTGTGCGGGCTTTGCCTTTGCCTTTTGCTCCGCCGGCGGTGGTGGGCTTGCTGCCTTTGCCGAATTTCTTTGCGATGGGGCCTGGGGAGTCGTCTGAGTCGTCTTCCGGCGGTTCTTCCTGCTCCTCGCCGCCTTCTTCATCGTCGTCCCCATTGCGGCGGGCATCAAGCACAGAATCAGGCTTGCCCAGCTTCTGCACAAACCGCCGATGCAGCTGCGCCTTCCGTCTCTTCGCCGCCTCGTCCTCCTCCCCCCGTCCTCCTCCTCCTCCTCCTCCTCCTCTCCATCAACCTGCATCCTCTCCCCCCCCTCGTCCTTCCGAGACCCAAACCGGTACTTTGACGTCCTCGCCGACACCGCCTTCTTCCCCCCCGGCGTAGCAGCAGCAGGCACAACAAGAACCGTACACTCCCTCTCATCGTCCGCCTCCGCCTCCTCCACTGCAGCCACTCTTATCCCCGCAGCACCCACCACCCCCCCCGCCGCTTCGCCGGCGGCGGCGGCAGCGCTCGCGACTGCCCGTCGCTGCCGTCGTCATCGTCGTCGGAGGGCAGCACACGCTTCAATGGTGCTCTGCGGGTGCGGGTGCGCGGATTCGGGCGGGTTGGGGCCGGGAGTGCTGCTTCGGGCTCGGGCTCGGAGTAGGCGGGGTCTTTGTCGGAGTCTTCTTCTGGCGATTCCTCTGGCTCGGGGGATGGTGGCGGTGATGGTGATGGTTCCTTGGGCTTCTTGGGGGCGGCTTTGGGCGTGAAGAAGCTGGAGATTGTGCGCTGCGCGGGCTGTGTGGGTTGGGTTTTTGTGCCGGGCTTTTTGGTGCCGGGGGCCATGGTTGGTTTCAATTGTGGTGTTGTGGTGGTGGTGCAATTGTGGTGAGAATGGTGAGAGTGGTGAGAATGGTGAGAGTGGTGAGAATGGTGAGAATAGTGAGAGTGGTGAGAGTGGTGAGAGTGGTGAGAGTGGTGAGAGTGGTGAGAGTGGTGAGAGTGGTGAGAGTGGTGAGAATAGTGAGAGTGGTGAGAGTGGTGAGAATGGTGAGAATAGTGAGAGTGGTGAGAGTGGTGAGAGTGGTGAGAATAGTGAGAGTGGTGAGAGTGGTGAGAGTGGTGAGAATGGTGAGAATGGTGAGAGTGGTGAGAGTGATGAGAGTGGTGAGAATGGTGAGAATAGTGAGAGTGGTGAGAGTGGTGAGAGTGGTGAGAATGGTGAGAATAGTGAGAGTGGTGAGAGTGGTGAGAGTGGTGAGAGTGGTGAGAATGGTGAGAATGGTGAGAGTGGTGAGAGTGGTGAGAGTGGTGAGAGTGGTGAGAATGGTGAGAGTGGTGAGGTGGGAGAGTGGTGAGAGTGGTGAGAGTGTGAGAGTGGTGAGAGTGGTGAGAATAGTGAGAGTGGTGAGAGTGGTGAGAGTGGTGAGAATGGTGAGAATAGTGAGAGTGGTGAGAGTGGTGAGAATGGTGAGAGTGGTGAGAATGGTGAGAATGGTGAGAATGGCAGGCGTGACGGGTTCGGCAGGGGTGAGAAGTGGTTGACGCGTGACATGTGGTTGGGACGCGTTGAGTGGCGTTTGGGTGAGGCTTGGCGGCGGTGCGTCATGGCCTGTCACTCGGTGGGTTTGGGGGGTGCGCTGGTGGGAGTGGAAATGGTAACGATAGTAATACTAACATGCAAATAGCGATATCCAAGAGGGCTTAGCCAGCGACATTAGAACCCATAATTCGCAAAAAGCTCCAGATCTACATGCAGCTTATCCGATTGGCTGATACATGGGGGGGTTAGAAGTATGGAGTTCCCAGAGAGGCTCTCGCTCTGTTCAATTGCGCAAAGTATCAACTCTCGAGACTTTTGATGATTATTATTATTACATAGGGTTAAATAGATGTTCCCGTCTGGCCTTTGGGGCACGTTCGTGATCTCTCTCTCTATATATCAGGGGTTTGTTCGAAAGCAGGATCAGTACAGGAGTGACGATGAGTACTAGTAATACTAAGTGGTAGTTTTAAAGTACTTGACTCTAGCTCTGGTAAGCATTGCGATATTTTAAAACACCTAAATATCCGAATACATGATAAAACCAGACCACAACGTGCCCTCAATCCCCTCAAACACCATTCCCGGACACAGCGATCGAAATGTGAGCGGAACGTCTACACACATAACCATTATATTAGACTGCCCTACGCGTCAACGTACCTACACCGCATGCTATGACGGCCGTGGTGACCCCCGCGGTCCGGTAGACAGTCGGCCGAATAAGTGCATGCATCAAGTACGCACGCCGATCGCGAGCCCCAGCACACCAAACCAACACACCACGCACCCCTCCATAAGTGTGCTAGCTAGGAAAACACACGCCGTCTACCGCCGTAGCCCAGTTGCTATGGGGTGCCGAATCGAATTGGTGGAAACACTGTGTGACTGCATGGGTCGGAAAGAGTACTAGCGCGTAATGCTTCTCTTTTGTGGAGGAGAGGAGGGGGGGGGGGGGGGTTCTGCTCTTCGTTGACTGGGTTGCGCTGTGTTGGACGTTACTACATGTAGTAATGCTAATTAAACTAAAAAAAAAAAAAAAAGGACATGTATGGTGCGCCCTTAAAGGTAGCGGATCGCGACGAGATGTCAAAGGCTGATAATTATCTTTGCGACGAAAAATGGTAAAAAAAAAAAAAAAAAAAAAAAAAAAAAAAAAAACGTCATGATAGAACTCTAGTTCCAGTGATGAAGTCTAGTTCTATCATGACAGATTTTTGATATCTATCTGGGTTGTAAAGTTATCAGAGGTTGAAATTGTGTATTTTTGTATGTAAAAAGCGCAAAGTGGAACAGTATTATACCCATTTATACCCCCCTCAAAAGTGAGTTGCGGCAGGAATGCAGCAAAGTGGCTAGGAATAAGCCCTCTCATTGGCCTTGGACTTCACCTTGCAGCCACGATTGTTCCACTTCCAGATACCGCCATGTCACCTTTAAGAGTGTGCGCACCATAGTAGTGCTTGGGGTCGAGTGATAAGTTATGATCCCAGATAGCGAGTAATCACTAATTATCACTCGGCCTGCTATACCCTGCATGTATTGGATATTTGGCGTTTCAAATGATGTCGAACAGGTGCAGGTGTGGGTGCGGGTGAGCTGCCATGACGAAGAGCACTGGTGGTCAAACGGGTACGAGTGAGACGTCATGTTGAGACCTGTCGAAGACAGCTGTCCGATTTACCGTGACTACATGTATATAGCTAGTCAGTTTCTTTGTCGAGATAGAATCAAGCCACTTAACAGTCTTTTGCTCGTCCTACCTTTTCAACAGCGTGGTAGGGGGTCTTGTATCACGTACTGTTGCATTGCTGTTGCTGTTTCTGCGGGGTTTGTGGTCTGGGATCGAGGAGGAAGTGGGAGGCGGGGTGGGCTTTGGGTGCACGTGCACGTGGTGACTCGTGAGGAAATGGCCAATGGTTAATAAGTTTGCGTCATGTGGGGAGGCAACTCATACTTGTTGTTGTTACTGCTGTTTGTTCGTTCATTTATGCACTCATACATGTAGTCGGGAATTCATGGGTGGGAATGAAGTTTTATTTGTTCCCACGTGCGGGTAGAACTAGCAGCAACAACACCGCCACACCTCTCCCTCCCACAACCCCCACTCACACTTCCCACCCTACACCCACCCGCCCTCCTCCCCCCTCCCCACCGCCCCCACAACCCAAACCCTATTCGCCTCCTCCACCGCCCACAAATTCACCGCCCCAACCCTCACCTCCGCCTCCTTCACAAACACCCTCCACAACACCTCCCCCCTCCCCTGCCTCTCCCTCCCCCAAAACCCATCCAACACCCTCCTCACCACCACCAGCCGCCTCTCCAGCGCCCCCGCCTCCACCTCCGCTGCCCTTCCCAACCGTACAATCTCCGCCAGCACCCCCACATCAACCACATTCGCGTACTGCTCTGCACCGCCAAGCACCTCGGCCAGCCGCTGCGCGAGCGGCCTGCACACGCGGACCGACGCCGTTGCGCGCAGCATCTGGCGCCGGCGCTGTGAGTTCGCGGGGAACGGCGGCTGCTGCTGTTGCTGCTCTTGGAGGACGAGTGTGGCGTGCAGGTGGGTGAGGCGGGTGTTGACGCGGTCGGCGTGGGCGAGGGCGGTGGCGGTGATGCGGAGTTTTCGGGTGAGGGTGGAGATGCGCTGGTGGAGGGCGATGGGGAGGAGGTAGTGTGGGGTGTCGAGGTGGCGGCGGAAGGTTGTGAGGAGGGAGGTGACGCCGGAGGTGGAGGTGGACGGGGAGAGGAGGACGTCGAGGGTGCGGTGGAGGGCCTCGAGGTGGGCTTGGTCGTGCGGGGTGAGTTGGGGGTCGCGGGGCTCGGAGAAGGTGGTGGTGTGGTGGTGGCGGAGGTGGGCTTGGGTGGGGAGGTGGGGGTCCGCTGCGGGGCGCATGGGGCGGTGGGGGTTTTCCTGAGGGGGAGTGAGTGAGTGGGTGTGTGTGTGTGTGTGATGTGAGTATCATGGAATGGGTCACTTACTGACGATGCCGACGACGATGGATCTCCCTGTGAGTTGCCCATTGTGTGTATATTTATCTCTACGCTCAGGTGTGTGGGCTCTCTTCCAATGTTTTTTTGAATGTTGGAGCCGGCCGCAAGCAAGCAAGAATCAGACGGCTGCTCGGTGCGGCAGGGTAAGCAACCCGTTCTATGGCAACGGACGGATTCAAGGGCGGCCGACCGCCATACCCATACTATGGCTCCGACTATGCTAACCTGATTCATCCGATATAGAAATCACAACTATACACACACAACGTCTGTCACTTCCAACTACAGCAACTAACACTTACTACCTACTAGGGGACTGAGCGCTCGAGAAGGAAACATAGAGCTTACATAGCTCGAATCGAGGTGGTAAAAACGTGCGAGTGACTTCTGGTGATTGGTGCAAAGACATTTACCGTGACGTCTGCATGTGTGACAGGGTGTGACATCTCTTGGGATTTTCTAAGCGGCACTTGGCTTTACCATTGCAATTGGAAGGGCCTGCTGGGAGGGGGACTTCCGGTATCTGTAAGTTTCACCAGGCCAGGGGATAAATTACGATTTGGGCTGATGGATGGGTCGAAAGGGGTGAGAAGTCTCTCTTTATAGATACGTGCATGCAGTTTGGTAAACAACATGACTCAGAGATAAAAAGGTACAGGTGGTTTTGAAAACATGTCTAAATTGAATATATCTCTTCGGTCACAGTATGGTCGGTTAGACTCAAAGTGTGAGGTACCGAATTAACAGCAACCTTAACCACTAGACTGTTGTCTTCACGAAACTGCGCTGCAGGGCGTTTTTCTTTTTCTTTTTTCTTTCCTTTTCTCCCCCGCCCCTCCCCCTCCGTTTTAAGCCGAGGAGCTTCGCCTCAGGCACAGGCCTCTGAGCTAAGTAGCTACATACATGTAGCTTTTCACCATATATATACTGACATTTGAATATCCAGCCCAGCCCCCACTAGTACGGTTCCCCCACCCACCGCCATAGAGCGTCAAGACCCCCTTTCAAGATTACGAGTCTAGCAAAATTAACAGCCGGCCCAATTGAAAGAACTTGATGAGCGATGCGAGTGTGTGTGGTAGCGATTTTGTAAATATTATATATTGGTCACCATATGGTCCGAGTGATGAGCTGTGATTGAGCGGATCTCTTCTATCTACATACATCTTCGATCTTTTGTCGAGGACACAGGGTGCAGGGTGCCTTGTCTATGTTTTCCCTTTTTGCAACTTGGTGGGTTTGCACTTTTTTCGGGTGGGTGGGTACGATGGGGATGATGGTGGTGTGGAGGTGCTACTGCTCGCGGGTTGTCTTTTTTTCGGTCGTGCGGGGGCTGGGACGTTGGTGGGCCGGGTCGGTCGGGTGTCCTGTTTAATGCCAGGGACGCAGTTGAGATAACTGCGCTAGCTACAGTTACTGCGTTGCGTGTTGGATGTTGTGGTATATGCTTCCTGAATTTTAAACACATGTAGAAGCGGTACGGTTATCTGGTAACGTAGGGAGGTAGCTGGTGAGGTGCATATATTATGGGAGCGGATCGATCGTGAGTTCTGGGAGGTGTTTATATATTTCGAGGGATGAATTAACTGAGAATGATATGATCTGCCCCCGTTACAGATAGTTACCGTCAACACTGCATCTACGTATATATCTTAATTTCTTTCATCAGGAAGATAATATGAATTGAATACGTACAAGTACATATGTACATATCGCCTCCTGATCAGCCACCTAATGCAACCAGTCCATGGACATATATCCTTTATATCGTCAAAGTTCCCAAATTAATTCTGATCCTCAACGGATAAAAATAACACCTAAACTAGAAACTAGAAGATGAGGTAGCTAGGCCAAGGTAATATATATGTACTCACGCCGTGGTGTGTATTGCCAAGAAATCACCCGAATACATAAAGTATATGTACCCCCGACGGCACACTAACAGCGAGAAGGGCATGTCATGCCGGGTAAGAAGTATGTATGACATAATCTTTTCTTTCCTCTCCTTTCCCATTCCTTTCTTCGTCCCTCCCTTATCCTCTGCCTCATTTTCATACTCTCTTCCTTCCATCATCTTCCATCCTCTACCTTCTATCACCCTGTTTTCCATCCCGAAATGGATTCATCCATCCCTCAATCTCGACACCTGAATGTGAAGCGTAACAAGGAAATAATAAGCTGGCTGGTGTGTTATTTTTCTTTTCTGGCCTTGATGGTGGGTAGGAATAATGTGCTGATTACACACTTCTGCTGCAGCAGAGGTTTGTCTTTTCATCCTCTATACGACATTTACATCATTCTTTCATCTGTTTCGGATATGAGGAGATGAGGAGATGAGGAGATGGTGTATGCTCATTGTATGCTTATTATGGTAGCGGTGATGGTTAACTTGATTGTTTCTGTTTCGATAAATGTTGAAACACTGGTTAGCTCGTTCCTCTTTTTTGCTGCTTCGGAGGTAGGAGTTTGGATGGAATATGTTAATTACGTATATCGTGTACGACTCTGATGGTAGCGGTGACAGCTGGCTGCTTTTATATTGATACGGTGATGAGATTATTGGCTTGTAGGTGTACCCTTGCTTGCTGTCTATCTCGGGGATAAGCGGAAGGTGCTAACTGATTGAGTAAACACTTCCGGGATGATGGTGGTGGCTGGGTACCTTCTCTCGATATGGTGTTGAGATACTGATGGTATGTATGTATAACCTTTCTTTTTTCGTTTGGCGTAGTGTGATATACTGCGTACTAATTGTATGCTTCCGGTATAATTGATCGTAGCGGTAAAGTACTTCTATGTATCTTGACGGTGAATTCGGATCCTGGGCTGGTAGGTGTGATCTTTCTTGTTTTATGCTCGGTCCAGGGATGAGAAGACTGTGCTAATTGTACACCTCTGTTGGTTATGGTATGGTAACAGATAGGTAATTCCTCTTAATATAGTTCTGGAATACTGAGCTGGTAAGTGTACCTTCATTTATGCTTCGTGAGTAAGAGCGTGCTAACGTGTTGGAAATGGTATATACCTTCGGTGGAGGTGATCGGGGGCTTATATCTTGATACGGTATTGTGGTACTGAGATGGTAGGTGCATTCTTTTTCTGCTTTAGGGTAGGGAGATAAGGTGTGCGTGCTCATTGTACACTGCCGGTAGTGATGTTGATTTAAATACTCCTATCTCGATACAGCGTCGAGATCCTGAAGTTGAGTGCACCCCCCCCCCCCCCCTTTCTAAATTGCCTTCGATAGCGAAGAGGGATCCGTGCTAATTTAATCATACACCTTCAATAGCAACGGCGGTGATCCGGTGCCCCCATCTCGATAGAGTGTTGGGATACTAAAATGTATATGTTAGGTACACATCTTTTTCTCTTTTCTCAGCTTCTGAGAAGAGGACAGTGTGCTAATTACCTACCTCCGGTGACAATGATGGTCGTATTCTTTTCTTTTCGATATTGTATAGAGATGCGGAGGTTTTGTGGCTTAGGTGTGCCCCCCCCCCCCCCCCCCCCCAAATTGTGCTTCAGAGATAGGAAGAGTGTGCTATTTTATACCTCCAATACTAACGGTGATCTGGTACAGCAAGGCTTCTAGACATGGCCGGATTAGAATAAATGTATCGACTAAGATGAGTGCCGGTCGCCTTACTTGATGAGTCTCCGCTGCTCCTACTGACCAGATGCCTAAGGAGCTAGTTTATGGGTGCATATCCTCCAGGATACCTACCGGATGAAGAAAGAGCTGTGTTTCAACGTGAGTATAGGAAAGATTCTTTCGGGAGAAGAGACAAACACTGACACTCATGCCAACTAATTCATATCATATCCGCCGCCTTCATGTTTTGCGGTGGAGAGGCATCAGACGAACGAAGCCTTTGCCGTCCTGCTCAACTTATTGCCACATCGAAATCGGCTATCGAATCCCACGGAACGGCGGACAAGCGGTCACCGCACAATCTCGCGGAAGTGTATTGATGTCTGCTATCCACAATGTTTCAAACCATCAGATAAGATGAGCGATCTCGGGGGATCTGTCAGGGCACCTACCATGGATTCCCCCTCAAACCGTCAGGCCCGATGCAAACGTGAACCACTAGTTATATATAGTGGGTATGATGTGTTGAATACCTAAAATACTCATAATCTCACGGTAAGATTATTATCTGACCATGACAAGAGGTACCTCCGTGTATAGAGTTCACAATATCATACCTACTGTATCAGGCTAGTGACCCACATTTGCATCGGGACTGATCATACGGTTTAATGGGTATATCGACTACCCGGTTCTGGAAAAGAATCCCTCTCTGGATGGGTATCTGCATCTTTTAAATGCAAAGAATCAGCTGTGGTCTGTAATACTGCATCCCCCGGGTTCGATTATTAAAGGCATGGCCGGTTGGGAACTGTGTTTTAGTTGGCACTATCGCTACAACAATACATCCGTAGACAGTTGTAATTCCTAGGACTCGTGCCGTTAAAAGTTATTTCAAGGCCGGTTTCATATGTTCGGCGAGGACGATAAGAGTTACAGTGTTGCGGGTTACTAAGACTACACTGGTCTACGCCATACCAACGATTCAAGATTTAGCTCATGGTGTCCACAAATTGGCTACTTTAAGATAAAAGACGAAGAAGCTGCAAAAAAAAATCAATGATCTTCAACCATCAGTCTAGATAGAGCAAGGAGACCTCTACAAGATCAAAACAAACTTCACGCGGAATCACAGGTCATCACTCGGATATTCACACTCTCAAGCTTTTCACAGTATTAATAATTGATGATTGATGCCATCGCTTATCAATTAACATTTTGCGGTATTATTACAGACATATTTTATTTTTATAGTCTTAAGCAAAGAAATAAGCTAGAGACAAGTTGGGGAAGTGTTATCAACGACCAGATTAGATCTTAAACGACAATTCCACGAAGTAGCAGGGAAGCTTCGGATGGTACCTATATAAGCAATTGCATAGTTCGCATCACGGTAGAGTCATATAATATCGGAGTCGCAGCGATTTCAAATAAGAGAAGCAAAAACTAACACAAAAACACATGTATTTCTACTATTTATACCCTCCCTAGGCGGCACGATAATTACCCATCTAGTTCAGAGAACCCCAGATAGTTGGTGAGGATGGCCTGGTTTTCCCTGCCTACTCCATCAGGTCCCCGCGCAGAGAGACCCAGGCACCCATATCGGACCTTGGGTTGACCCCGGCCCGGGGTCAGCAATGCTGGACATACAATCAGCATCGTGCCGACAAAAAAGAAGCAATGAAGAGAAGAAATGATATTACTCACTTTTCGGAGGTGAAAGATCAAATCCCTTCCAGAAAACGAAACAGAGATCTCGTAGTAGAGTTGTGCCGAGGACAATGAGATGCACTCAGGCCACGGCAGAGCCTAATAGGCGTGTTAGTAAGGATTCCCAACAATTAGGAGCAAAAAAGAAATAAAGAAAAAACGAAGCGGGTGTACGAACTGGGGAGGCACTGTAGAGGCGCCGAGGGACCTATCATCCCCAGAAGTGCAAGCCCCCCCCGGGGCGGGGGGGGGGGGGGGGGGCAGATGCATTAGTGGTATAACTATGAGCAGATAGGAAGCCCCCTGCACAGCCACCGAGCCGATACATCTCGACTAGGTACCTATAGGAATCAAGGGGCTGTCTTCATGTTGTATTAAGTCAGTATATATAGCGGAGAAAGGAGAGGATTTGGAATTTACCCCCGAACCGAAACTTCCTCCAACGCGCCCCCCAGCCCAGGCAGCAATGAATCTCCGCTGCTTTATGCAAATATCAGTGAGAAGGAGACTATTTGATAAGAAAACGAAGACTGAGAGAGAGAAAGCATACAAAAAACAGACAGAGGGGTCACATCACTGTTTATCCAGTCAGTACACATATCAAAGCTTAGCCATAACAAAGAGGATTTTGAATTTACCACCGAACCACAAGTTCTGCAAAGACAGCACCCCCGGCCCAGAGATGATGCATTTGCTTAATACCAATATGAGTGAGTGAGAGAGAACTTGATAAGAACGAATATGCAGAGAGAGTGTGTGGGGGGGGGGGGGGAACATACAATATGTAATCTGCAGTGACAACAGTAAAACTTATACCTGCTATATATGGTCAGTCTTTTGTTTCAAAGAAAACAATTTGCTCATCATCACGTCAGAAGAAAATGGAAAGAACACATACAATCAGCTCAAGGCTTGTACCAGTACAATCGCCCTACAAGAGAGCGGATCCTCCTATCCCCATGGCCTTGGAAGGACGAGGAGGCGGGATAAAAGGCTGATAAGGCCGCAATTTGATAAGAATATGATAAGAATACGGATGAGAGGGGGAAGAAGAGGAGAAGAAGGAGAGGAGAAGGACAAGAGGTAGGGAACTAAAACAATTTGTGATGACAGGTGGCTGCCCACATATAGCTAGCTGGCCTCATAACCTTAAGCTTGGTTGCCCTAGAACATGGTATCACCCCGAGAGCTTGGTTGTGTGTACGTATGTCTACTAGGTGCTGGGGAATACTGAAGTTGGGATAAATTTAAGCACGTATATGGCGGGATTGGACCACGGGAAGGGTACTGTAGTGTATTTATTCTTCGTATAGTGAGATGAGTTCGAGTTTATATGCACCTTGCAAGGTTACATAATATTGTCTAAACTACGATAGCCTAGATAACTTTATATGGAGCTAGGATATATTCTAGGAACGATTGGAAATTTGAAGAAACACTGAGAGCTTGAGAGCTTTGGGTATTAAGCCTACCTACTTGTGCTAATTATACCCCACTTAGATCGAAGGGCCCTACCAGGCGAAGCAAAAAGGTAACATGTACATAGCTATATAGCGGTTTTTTCCTTTCTAAACGACATCGAGCTTATTTCAAGGTACACAAACCGCGGCTGGTAACAAGGATGGAGAGTTTGAGGGCACGGTCTACCGAGCTAAGAAATAAGCAAAACCGTAACGCGATCAGAGCACGGAACAGAAATCCACTATCAGTATTGAGCTATTTGGGTATTGAGGACGTATATTGAGGTCCAAAATTCAGATCCCCATCACCATCTCTATCTCAACTCCCCAGTCCCAAAGGTCTCAGCGCTACGATACATACAACAAAGCACACGGTCCACAGGTCCATACGCAATCACCACCCGTCACTGTCGTCATCCGAAACGAAACAATGTCTCACTTAGTCAAGTCTCAGTCTCACATTCACAGACCCCACCCCCACTTGACAAACCCCCCCACACACACACATGCCCAACATACTGCAGGATTAATCACCCCCACCACGATTTGACAATTGATGATTCTCGATTAACTATCGGCGGTCACGGGCATCGATATCTGAGACTAAGACCCGCCCTCTCTACATAACGTACCCCCAACCCAGTCCAATCCAGCCCTGTCCAAGTTACATGTAACTAACCCAAACTCTAGACTCAAGTCCATTCCAAGTCCCCCCCGAGCTGGGATCGAAAAGCTTATCACCGCCGCACCAATCGGTGTGAGGGTAAAAGTCTGTTTTGCGTCTGCGGATTAACCGTTTAAGCAGCGCAGAGCAGCCGCGCAGAGAGAGCGGTGAACATGCTATGCTATGCTATGCTACGTAGAGTTACGTAAGGCAGGGTATGCAAAGAGCCGAGTACCGAGTCATGTTGTGCGATGTTACATTGAGGAGGTAAGGGCTCGCGTGATTGCACTATGGTGGGTGAGAAAGATGGGTGGTAGGGCTAAAAGGTTATTTCGGGCCCAATAAGACTTGGTGATTGCGTGCTGGATGGAGGTAAGGGATGTGAGCTGGCTACTACTTAGACCTGGTAGGCAAGTATTTACGGCGGCCAGTAATACTACTGTTTAGTAACTGCCACTACTACCTACACCTACACACATATATTCATATAGTATTATCAGCTACGAGGAGCTTTAATTACGCAAAGTACCTTGCCGTTACGGGCCACTGTTACTATTCAACCGTTATTCTAAAAACGTCACAGCCCATCAATCAAGGGCGCCCACAAAGCTAAATGTCCCTACCCTCAACCAGATAGCTCAACCAGATACCCCAATTAATCCCACTGTTTCGATGCCAGCCCGACCTTCCACCAATTAATTAATTAGCCTTTTTCCACTAAAATCTCCAATCACCTCTCCCACGCACGACATACTCCTTATCAAACCCAGTATTAACTTTTTCCTTCTCCCCGCCGCATGCACCTAAGCGTCCCAAAACCTAAATTGTCAGGGTTAGGGCTCACTGCTGCTGCATACAGTTAGCGCCCGGTCCCGTTAGTTTAGCAGCTAGCAGCTTAAGTGGGCGGAGGACCCTTGTAGGTCGTCGCCCTGGCGACCTGCCAAGACAGCTATCTTTGCGCCGAAAAAAAAAAAGTTGTGCTCAAACTCTCGATATCCTAAAATTTGCAGAGAAAAAAACCTCCACCTCTAAAAACTCCACCAAAGCCTCCAACTCGCCCACCATGGTCTCTTGTAATTCCCCTCCCTATCCCCGTCCAATCCCCCTCAATTTCCTTGCCGCAAAACATTGACAAGGACAATGCCCGGCCAATGCTAATGACTGCACAGTCTCCTGCGAAGTTTGCAACGACGTAATCAAGAAGCCCAAGCTTGACTCGCACCGTGGCCAGTGCCGGGGCGCCTACTTCACATGTATCGACTGCAACACGACCTTCAGCGGTAACGACCACAAGACGCACACCAGCTGCATCTCCGAGGCCCAAAAGTACCAGGGCGCGCTCTACAAACCCGAGAAGGGCAAGGGCAAGAAGGGCGCAAAGGCTGTGCAGAAGCAGGTTGTTGTTCCTGTGGTTGTTGAGAAGAAGGTTGAGGAGGTTGTGCAGGTAGAGGAGCCTGTGGTAGTGGTGGAAGAGAAGAAGGCGGAGCCTGTGGTGGAGGAGAAGGCAAAGAAGGAGAAGAACGAGAAGAAGGAGAAGAAGGATAAGAAGGCTACTAAACCTACGGTTGAGACTGCTGCTGAGCCGGTGGTTGCTGCTGAGCCAGTGGTTACTGCTGAAGAGGTTAAGGAAGCGGCCACGCCTAAGGAGAATAAGTCAAAGAAGAGCAAGAAGGACAAGATATCCGAAGAGCCAACACCCACCACCGAGCCCGAGGTCACTGAGGCCAAGCCAGTTGCTGAAGAGCCCAAGGAGGACAAGAAGTCTAAGAAGGACAAGAAGGGCAAGAAGGGCAAGAAAGAGAAGGCCGCAGAAGAACCCAAAGTCGAAGAGCCCAAAGCCGAAGCCGTAGCCCCCGAGGAGCCTGCATCAGCCACCGAAGAGCCCAATGAGGCTTCCACCGAAGAGCCCGAAGCCGAGGCCGAAAAGCCTAAGCTGACCCGCTCGCAAAAGAAGGAGCTCAAGCAGAAGCGCAAGCTTGAAGCCGAAGAAGGCGCGGACGAGAAGGAGGGCGCGCCAAAGTCAAAGAAGCCCAAGGAGGAGATCGCGAAAGAAGTTGCCGAGAGGCGTGTTCTGGGGCAGGCCTTCATTAACCTAATCCAGCCGGGGTCGTACCCGTTGCAGGTCAAGAAGGCGGTTGAACAGTTGGAGAAGACACATGGCGCGGAGATTGTGCAGAGGGATTTGTGGAGGGCCCTGTGTCTGAAGAAGGGCAGGGATGGAAATGTATCCCTGCGTCTGATCTAGATCTAAGGGGGAAGCTAGATCAAAAAAACGGTATTTGGGACGTGAGGCCATTTGGTGTAATAAACTAAAAGTCTTGTAAATTAGGCATTGCTTACGGCGTCATGGGCATTAAAAGTTAGGTCTAGGCAATTGAGATACTTTTTTCAACTATAAACTTTCTCGTGATATATACTTGTATCTATGCGTGCTGGTCTTCCTATCCTCTAATACACAATCTATAGATATATATAGATTAACACAAAACAAACCCAATTGTCCCATGATAAACCGCAGATACGCACAGGTATCTTAATACCGTGAATACTCTCTACTCTACCATTTACCGCAGGTCTCAACCACCTTCAAGTAAACCGGAGAGTAATATCCGTCTATCTCCTCTTCGCATCTCCCGGGACCGCTTTTCCAAGCTGCCCATTAAATCTTGAAAAAGCCCACTTTAACGCCAATGTGCTCGCACTCATAGTCAATGCCGACCCAACAAAAAGAATAATCCTATGCTCGGTCTTCAAGATTTCCATGATTGGGTACGGATACCATCCATTATAGGAATAACAGTGCTCCAGCCAAAACCAGTAGAAAGTCGCGAGACAACCTGGAACTAGGAGCGCAGGGACGACGCCTACAGTCCATGGTGGAGACAACAAAAGCGCATCGATAAGGAGAAGGGCGGCAGGGAAAAGGTGCAAGCTAAGATCTGTAGTGAGTTAGCGAGTTGACATAAACGTACCAAGTCTTGCAATCTGAGAAGTGCCGGTTTTAGAATACGATGAGTGAGCAGTGGTGATTTGAAATATGGCGCGACGTTGACAACGACGACAACACAACAGTCCCAGAGTCCCAGCTAAGACTTTAACATCTTTCGGGAAAAAAGCGACACCATAAACCACGAGATTATGAAGGAAATAGATTTGCAAATTTGATCGGGCCGGGCCGGAATATGTATGTACTGACCGACAAATGTATCAATATGCATTCCAGGCGGCATGACTAGCGTGCGGTCGATCTAGCGATGCACATGAGGCGTTAGTTGTTTTATCCTTCATTTCCTCCTTTCCCCATTCAAATTTAACAAATTAGGAAGAAAATAAAAATAAAAAAATTGAAATTCATAGATATGTGGTAAGGCAGATTCAGATTATCACATGGGACCCCCCCGGCTTTGTGATGCATGATATGTTTGAACGTGGTTGGATGACAAGGAATTAAGAGGAGGGGGGCAGAAACAACGGCCAAAAGGAAACACAAATCCCAGATAACAACGATTAGCGAGAAAGAAATATGGGGATTAGGATGACTATTGTCGCAATCTCATACACTCTAGCGATTGGGGGGGTATAATATCGGGTAATATTGGACACAGAGGAGCCTGAGCCAGTGTGCTCAGAATTAAAGAGCCCAACAAGCCGCGTCTATCCGAGTGGATCCAGATATCATGCGACACAAAGACCAGAGAATGGGGAAATGGTACCGATACCAATGAAACAAGATATATATAAACAAATTATATGAGGCACAAAGAGACGTGAGACTCACAGCTGTGAGGCCCCAGTACAGCAGACTAATCAACACCTCCAAAGGTGCGCTAGCCACTGCTAGAGCATTCTTGATCAAAAATAGCTTTGGATTGAGGGTTATATCCGCAAGAAATCCGAAAATAAAAGTCAAGGTAGATATCGACAGAGCGATAATCCTAGAACATCGTGAGGTTAGGTATTTAGCCAAATGATATCTCTTGGTTGCTCGAGCCTTCACAAAAAAGGGCACAAGATCCGATAAGGATTTGAGCCGCATGGGACGGGCAGCAATGTGGTCCGTGAGCCCAGCTATCAAAAACATGCGGTAGATAAAGGTGGTTAGGGTTCAAGATTGGGGCGGGGAAATATGGAAATTTTAGCCCCAACAACGGAAGCCAGAATCTTCAGAGAAGAGCAATAGAAATGGGATATTACGTAAGGAACTGGAAATGCCATCTGTATCATCTCCTCGAAGCACCTCGCGGATCGTACCAGTCAGCAGTTTATCTAGATGAGAGATGGCTATAGATCCTTTTTTCATTGAAAGAAAGCTCGGATAAAACGGAGCCTTCCCCGCGTTTGCCTTGGTTGAGAGGGAGGGGGGGGGGGGGAGGGAAATCTAGAGATGAGAAGATCGACCATACCCATATGCCTCGTTTCTGTGTTTTTGCCCATAGAATGTTAGCATAAGTTTCATAAGAGTTGTTATTTATTATAAACCCGGACATATGCTCCAATTGCAGACGAGGCTTGGTTTGCTTAATCAACCTCACCAAATGAGGGATGCAGCAACACTAAATGAGTGGCAAACGGACGGCAATTCTCTTACATTTCACCTGGAAAATATTTTAAACTGAATTATGATAAGATTAATGTGTCAGCTATGAGCTTATTTGAAGTCATTCATTTCCACAGCTAGCTAGGCAACCTTTGGCACAGAACAAGTGGATGGTGTGGCTCACTCACCATTGGAAGGAATAAAAGAAGCTCACGAGTCCGGTAGCCTGCCGTGGGGTGTGAATAAATTATCCAATGTCAAGGGTCTTGCATATTTGGAGACACCAATAGCTATGTACAGGCAGCAACGGGGTTGGCCGCATCGCCACTCCAGGTGAGGGAGTTTCATCAAACAAGTGTAACGTGGGAAAACAGAAAACAACGGGTAAGGGCTCAGCCGAAGAATTACATACGTGCACAAAAGCTGAAATTGACCGTGATGGAGAATGAATCCGCTGAAGGGGATGTTTCTTGATGAGCGAGCTCTCGACGTTATCAGGTCGATAGGGAAACACCATATCGACCCCGCCTATTTGTCCAGGAGTCCTATTATCCTTCCTATAGCTCATTGTTGTTGTCTGTGCGGGCACTTGGATCCTAATATACAAGAAGGACGGGCCTCTGGATTTGTATTGGAGAATTGGAAATTGAAGAGATGAAGCTTGATGAAACCGATGCTGACTGGCAACACAGCTATGAGTGAAGAAAGGCGGGACAGGTATTGCACCTCAGTAGATAAAGCAAACCCAGCTACGGATAGACACTCCGTATTCTCTCATACGTGTTATCAAGGGCTCTCTGGTTGGATCTTGTAGGGCTGACGTAGTGAATCTGGGAAAGAAGCTTCGAAAAAAAGAAACGCACGGATTTGAGCCTGCTGAGGATCAAGCATGCAACCAGACCATAGCGTTAGGGTAGTCTCAAATGACTTACAGGCGGTACAATACCTACTCTACCTATCTTCTAGAGTACCTACCCTCCCTCCCTACCACCCTAGCGGCGGCAAATAAAGCACTGGCAGCGCTGCTGGGCGTCTCTCTCGGCTTCTTGCAAGCCCGCTCCGAAGGGGGTGGTCGGTCAGTGGCAAGTATAGGATTGGGTCACCATTATTGAGCCGGACCGTGTGCCGAGGTAACCCGATGCTTATTATTTCACTACACACATGAACAAGTTCTAATTCTTCCAAGTGATGATCGAGATTTCCCCATGACGATTCTGTTGTCAGGGAAAAAAGGATGAGAGACATTATTAACCGGTTATCTATTACCATGTACTTTCAAGCTGTACTCGCTACTTGTCTCATACCTATTGTTGCGTCTGTGCCGACCTTGTACGTACGGGTATCACGTACATCACGGCACTCCAGAGTCCAGATGCACGATACACTCAAGCTACCTGGATCACAAATTTAGCCCTCAAGGGCCTGGAGGAAGGGAGGGTGGGTGTGGTCGCGTATCGAAGCGGTTAGATATGTGAATTTTTACTTGGACAACAGGTGCGTTAGAGAAACCCCCTCATCCCTGCCGCAGCTCGCAGCTTTCAGGTGTGTCACTAGGAGGTAGAACATGGTCTCATAGACACGCGCATGGCGTCCTAGACTGTGGCTTCGTTTTCCTACCAACGACAACCTGATCGGCTTGTTGCCCTCCGCTCCGTTCGATAGGGTCTCCTTTCCCCTCTCTTTCCACCGATTTACTGTTCTTCTCTACGGTTGGCAGCGTTAATCTTGACGATTGAGATCAATGCCTGAGAAGGAACAGGGGATTTTTTCTTTTCTTTCTTTTTCTTTTCTCCTAGAGGGGGTCGGGGAGGAGGAAAGAAAAATATAGCCAGTAGATTGGAGTATATTTCTGGGGTGTGTGAGAGAGGGAGAAACCATAGGATACATGATGTATGATATGGTAAGTACATGGCATCGTAGGGTACTCTAAAGAAGGTACCTAGCAAATCTACTCTAGAGTACTTACAGGTACTACGTACCTGATACATAAAGCAATGCTCTACATACTCTACTCTAGTCAGAGCTGGGAGAATATGTACTTCATACATGGAGTGTCATGAAGTAAAGTAGCAAGGACAGGCCTATGCACAGTAAAGTACTCTACTCTATTCTAAGAATATGTAGAGTATTACCACGATGTACGATGTTGTTGCCAGACAAGCGGCTCCAAGTCCCTCGGCTTTACTCGATTTACCAGTCTGCGGCTTGCTCGATACGTTACTGCTGCCGCCTCGCTAGAGTGCGCTTTCCCGTGATACAGCGGACGTACATATGGAGATACCGACTGGCCTCTCCACAATTCATGCCCTCGTCCGTGTACTCCACCTGGGTGGTTCGTCCAGTAGATGCTTGCCATCGCCCCTCTCGTACGTACCGTAATATCTCTAACCCTCCTCCCCCCACCCTGTGATCGACTGAAGAGGCTGCCCCCGGCCACTTCACACACCCTCCCGTGGTCGTCTTCCCTAGCAGACCCTGTATGTAACTAAAGGTACCCTGCTCTGCCGTCTCTCTTTCCATTCCCACCAACACCCACTGGCCACCCCCGGCCCCCCCTCCACCCTCCACGCCTCTCTATTCATCTTTTCCTCACCGGTTCGCACTTCTTACTTCAGTTCCCATCCTCTCTCTCCTACATCCTTCTCTCAGTGATCCGTACCTTCGCAGTCTGTCAAGTCAGACTTCAGTCAGTTCGTCAGTCAGTCACTCGGAGTCAGCACGCTACGACCTGAGTACGAATTTCGGTCACCCACAGCAGCAGGCAGCGCTGCCTAATAATACCACTACTACACCTTGTTTTTTTTTTTTAACGAATATTTTGTTTTGATACTGCTGCTCTCTGTTTTGCCCGACCAGATATAGCCCCGGATCAATACTGCATGCGCTCGAACCCTCCCTCGTTGCTGCTGCTCTGATACTATTTCTCTCTACATACTCTTCTATCATTACTATCGCACCCCCCCCCCCCCCCCTTCCCCCCTTCGCTGTGGCTCCTGTTACAGTTACCTACTTGATACTGGTCTGACTATCAACGGTATCTCATACATCATACCTACAATACTTACTGTCTGCCCACTACTACCTTAACGAAGGGGTTCAGTTTTTGTTGCCATCCCAACCCCTTCCCGCCCCCGCCCCCCGCGTGCCCGCCGGCTGTCCGCTGGAATCGATATCTTCACAAGAAAAAAAAAATATTTTCGAGGTCTCAGCCGCCGTCTCTCCTACGTGGTAACCACAAGACTCTCTCTCTCTCTCAGGCCATCCTTCCTCTATCCCAGCGCCTTTATCGCGACGATCTCATCCTCGTCGCGTTGTCGTTGAATTAACCTCTCTTCCTACCACCCCACCATCTTTCGTGACGTTATCGCCACCACATCGGATCGAACCTTACTTTTCACCTACTCCTCCCCCGAGTGTCGCGTTTATAGCGATTCCTCCTCATCCTAATTAGATACACAACTCAACAATGCCTCGGGCTCCAGTCGCTGGTCGTGAAATTCGTCGTCGTAGCAGGAATGGGTGTTGGTATGGTCCTATTTCATTTATTTAATCTCATCCACTCATTCCATTCATCCATTGTTTTTTTTCCCCTTCTTTTTCGCTCGTTATATATTCCTACCCAGTTCCTTCTTCCGCTCCCGATCCGTTGATATATATAGAGATGGCACATGTTAACAGCGCGATCTGTGCAGGAACTGCAAGGCTCGCAAGGTGAAATGCGGAGAAGAGAAACCCCGCTGCAGCAACTGTGAGCGACTCGATGAGGATTGCGATTACAAGATTCGGCTATCATGGGGTGGTCGCCCATTGAAGAAGAAGCAGCTTGAGAACGGGACCAACGGTCAAGATCCCAATCCCGACGACCAGTCACAGTTTATTCCCGGTGCTGGCCAATTCTCCATTAATCAACATTTCCCATCACCGCAAACCTTCGTACAGACCACGCATAACAATGGTACAACGCGGAAGGCCCCCGTACCTAGGGTCGGTAGTGGAAAGAAAACAACCATGTCAAACTATCAGACTGTATTTTCGGTAGCAGAGCCTCAAACCCCTCCTCAACCTATAATGCAATCGTCTACAGTACAATTGGATCCCCAATTGAGAATGACCAATGGACGTCCACCTCCATTGCAGCCTCAAACGCCTATAATGCACCCGCAGAATAGGCCAAATCCTTACGATTGGGAACAAAACCTTACCCCTACAACTGCTACTCCCCATTCAACTGGTTATAATGATGACGTTGTCTATAAAACGGAGCATCATCAACAGGGTATCTACACTCCATACACGCCAGTGTCTGGGTCTTTTGTCACACAGATCGCGTCACCTGTGTCAAGTCATGGGAACGGATATGTCCATAGTCCTCCAGGCTCAGTGACTAGTCCCACACACTATTCTCAGCCTCAGAACTCTCCCCCATTGCACCAGCAACAAAAGATTTACCATGCACCACCGCCAATCCTCCAAACCCCCACAAAGAGAATCCGTACTAGCACTTCGCCCACACAGCCTGCTCCAAATTCACCGTATATTTACGGCAATATGAATGGGCATTCTGTAACTATGCCACCACATACTACCTCGATTGGAACAGCTTTGAGCTACATGCCAACATCATCAGGCGTTTCGATGGAACATCACCACATGGCGTTGATGGACCATTCCGCTGTATCGGGTGTGGGGGTAAACACCATCATGCGAAGGGTTTCTGTTGAGAACCTACTTGCCGCACCCTTACCTAATCCGGATAGCAGCTACGGTTATGTTGACAGATATCCCACCTCAGAGATGGATGAATTCAAGCAAGAAGATAGTCCGAAAGGCATGAGTTTTGGTGTGGAAAGCCCGAAGGCCATGAGCTTTGGTGTAGATCATGGCATACCAGATATGGATGGGGACAGCGATGTGGAAGAGATTCCGCGACATAATTTTGGGGACTACTCCCAAACCATGAGAAGATTCGGCGGTTCGCGGGTGTACTCTAGTGGTGCCCGAAGTAATGGGATGTATATGAACCCCAACTCGCCATTCTATCCCGTGCAGATCACCATTCCCAGACGGCTTGATCCGTTGCCGCAGCTACTGTTATCAAACAAGAAGAATATGATGTATTTCCACCATTACCTGCATTACACTGCAAGGTTGTTGGTACCTCACGATTGCTCCGAGAATCCGTTCAAGAGCATTTTGCCTCAGAGTAAGCCATATTCTTTCCCGGGTGGAGATGCTTCTTTGGGTAATCATGCGGTTTCAGCTGACATAATCCGGTATCTTTTTAGTGGCCGTGCAAACGGATCATCTGATGAATCTGCTGCTTGCATATTCTGCCAGCCACCGGGCACGACTTCTCGACCATAAGGAGCCTACAGAACGAATTGGTAGGTTTCTGGATGAAACTGTTCGCAGTCTTCATGCATCTCTGGACGATCCCACTGATGCCAAGAGCGACTCGACCCTCGCAACTGCCATTATGCTATCGTCATATCAAATCATCTCGCCTAATCCGTTTCACATGAGCGGCCTGACCTGGCAAACGCATCTGAGCGCTGCTCGGAAGATTATCCTTGCTCGCGGGGGTGCCCAGGGTATGCACAGTAGAGACAAGGTGTCTTACTTTTTGGTGCGATGGTTTGCGTATCTAGACCTGTTGGGAAGCCTCAGTGGAAGAGAGATCGACGAGCCGTTTTTTAGCGGCAAATACTGGACCAACGACGATGTGGAAGACGACGAGCAGGAGGAATTTTCCGTCGATTGCTTCTTCGGCTTTACAGGGAGATGTGTCAGCATTCTAGCGAAGATTGGAGAATTGGCGAGGCAATGCGAGAGGGAAAAGAGATTCCTGTTGGATGATCCCTCCATGATTTCAAGCCATGGCCTAAGCTATCGCGAACAATTGGAATTATGGAGCCCCTCGCAGTCTATCAAGAGCCAGGCCATGGTGCTGCAAAAAGAATTGGAGGATGCTAAGGGCAAGGCGTCTGGCCACTGCAGCCACACACACCACCAGGGAAAACATTTCCAGATGGGTTCGCCTACGGATGCGCTAGACGCTGGGGAACTTTTAGCCACCAACGGCGCGTTCCATTGGGCGGCATTGGTGCACCTGTACCGTCGCGTATTGAACTACCCCACCATGAACCCGAGTGTCCAGAACGCGGTTAGGGAAATTGTCAACGCTATGAAGAATGTACGGCAGGGAGGGACAGCAGAGAATTGTCTTCTCTTCCCGTTGTTCTCGGCTGGATGCGAGGCGATGGAAGATAGACATAGAGACTACACTCTACAGAGGATGATTGAGGTGGAAAAGAGTGGCCTGACTCAGGTAAGTCAATTGCCTACTTCCTTCAACGCGGCAATCTCGGCTAATCAGTTTTGCGTTTTTTTTTTTTTTAGGTGAGGCATGCTAGATTACTTATGCAGCGAGTATGGCAAGAGGACAGGCCATGGTGGGAAATGGCGAATGGCGAGTTCATCGGATGAAAGATGAAATATGAAAAAATTTACTGAGCTAAAACATTGGGCAACTGGATTTGACGAAGTTTATGATTTACCGGAACGAATAAGGGGAAAGAGACGACAACCGCTGGTCCCCACAGGGACTTTTCGTCCGAAAAAAGTTTGAATTAGCACTGGCATTAAGCGTGTAGCATGTAGGGTTTTTTGTTTTTGAATTGGGTTTTTCGTTTTGTTTTCGCCGCCGAGTTGGCCTTGTGATTCCTTTATCACGCCTTCGCTTCTATACCATATTCATATTGTGCATTTTGTCTTTTTGTTTTCATTCGACTCTCCCCCATCTTGTGTTTTCTGCTGCCACGCTCTTGCTTGCTGATTTTTCAGATTGTATCGAGCCTCTGGTACATCATCTTTCATTTTCTTTTTTTTATCTAGGGAGGGTCTATGCTCTGTTGTGTCATGTTGCGCGAGAGGCATGGTATCTATGATTCTAAGCATGTTGATTTATGTTTGATGCATTTTACGGATACCATTTTTCGATCTCTAATGATTCTTTTCTTTTCTTTTTTCTTTACTTTTTTTTAGGGCGGTGTTAATGAGGAGTTTTATTTCCTTATCACCTTTTTCTTTTTCAGATGTAAGGATGGGAAGGTATGATGTATTCGGATGAAGGACATCTGCAAACATACATACATAGTTATTAGTTTTTCGAACAAAAAAAATATGGCTGGCTTCTTATATAATTATGCGTACATATTTAGGTTGCTTTTGCTATTAAGCGTGTTTGATTAGCATAGTGTTTGGTACATACACAACCCTCTAGCTGTCGTCCCTTCGCGTAACGGATTACATCTAGATCAATGGATGCTACACCACGCACGTATTTGAGATAAACATTAGGTAGTCTAGCTTGTCAGGACGTTGTTGTACAAGAGATGCTGAACCGATCATTCCAAGTCCCTCTCACAGCAAAAGACCTCCCTGCACTGCCCTCAGCCGCCGCAGTCCCTCACGTGCCCACATAAGCATCTAAAAGCTGACGGCCCAACTCACATGCACCCGCGCCCCAAATAATTAACTTAATTTACCATCTTATTATAACTATCTCTCCCCGCCCCACACCACCTAACCAGCGAGATGGGTAGATGTAGGTACTGACCCTACCCGGGGAATCTAATGCCGAGGTTTTTGGACAAGGCTGTGGTCGGTCGTAGATGTGTGGTGGGGTGGATAAGCGCATGTATCAAGGGGCGTAGAATAGCTAGCTTATCGGTATCTGTACGCATGCTCTAGCTATGGAGGTGCGCAAGTGTTGCCACTGTATATACATGTATCTACGGTGGAGATAATTATGTGGAACGAGGGGGCCAGAGTACGTACGCGTACGTAGGGGGTTCGGAAGAAATACGTGAGATGAATAGAAACAAAAAAGAAAAAGATGAGAAGTGCCCTCAAGAATGTCGACGTTGATATGTATAGAGTCGAATTTAATTCCTATCAGCTCTCAACCCCGGCCGGGTTGGATTCCGGGTAGCTTCGGTCTTGTGGTGCATATATTACTATATCATATCAGCACCCAACTAATTGAAATAACTTACCAACCGCTCTTACAGCGAAAGTTGATATCAAAGAAGTCATATAACCGAACAAAAATAGAAAATCTGTTTGATTCCGAATTGCGAACACCTTTGGACTAGCGACTGATATCAATGATAATATATCAGCCCTATTAATATCACTGGACACCGGCTCAGAATATTAAAGAAGAGTTGAGATTTTTAACCTAGCTTCATATAGAGTGGGGGGTTTATTTTCATTCGAGTCAGTCCAGTGGGAATTCGGAATGTGGTAGCATGGAGGATGTATGTGATCAGATCTAGCGATCTGTACTACCATGGTAACTCAAAGGTGAGCACGACATAAGCAGCTTCAAAAGCTAAAAGCCGGGTTTGGACTTACAAAGCCACCGAAGCTATTGATTTCCCAGGCCTAGCCATCATGCAGAGCTAGAGCCTTAGTTACCACATGACTCATGTACATGTATCGAGTGACTGCCTATGAACCCCACCAAGTTAGTCCCCACAGCAGCCGGGTAACCCTCATCCACTTCAAGTACTGACTCCGAGTCCTCGTCCAAACATCCTGTATCAAGAGTAGTTAAAAATGCAGTCACAAGAGCCCGCCGCGCTGCAGCTTCGTATACAGGAGCTCGAGGCCGAGTTGGCCGCCCTCCGTGCCTCTGCTCAAGAAGCTTCTGGCGATATCGTCACATCCGCTGAAGCTCGGGAAGAGCAAAAGGAATCAAATGAGAACCTGCCACTTTTGTTGGATGAGTATAGACGGTATGGTAGACAGATGATCATGCCAGAGATTGGGTTTGATGGTGAGGTTTGTTTGATTCCTAATCATGGTCAATGATCGCTGACTCGGGAGCCGGGGGGTGTAGGACAACTACGGTTAAAGCGTGCCAAGGTTCTTATTGTAGGCGCTGGCGGACTTGGGTCACCAGCTGCTGCATATATCGCTGGAGCTGGTGTAGGAACCATAGGGATAATTGATCATGATACTGTCGAGCACTCGAATCTGCATCGACAGATCATACATTCTACTTCGAAGGTTGGGATGTCAAAGGTTGAGTCTGCAATCACTTACCTGAAAGAGTATGTATTTCACCAAGCACATCCCTCCTCATGAACTATCACTTATTGAAACTATGATAGCTTGAACCCTAACCCTACCTATATCCCTCACGTCCAAGCACTCACCTCAGCCAATGCTCTTCCTATACTTACTCCCTACGACCTGATTCTTGATTGTACTGACCATCCCTCCCTTCGTTACCTCATCTCCGACACCGCAATTATTCTTAATAAACCTATCGTCTCCGCCTCTGCCTTACGTACCGACGGTCAATTAATCGTGCTCAATGATCCCCCTGGATCCGGCCCCTGCTACCGTTGTATATGGCCTAACCCGCCTCCAGCCTCTACTGTCACCAGTTGCGGCGAAGGCGGGATTCTAGGCCCCGTGGTAGGCGTCATGGGTGTTCTCCAAGCCCTCGAGGCGATCAAATTGCTTTCTAGACCGGCTCCCCCTGAACAGAAAACAACGAGTATGACAATATTCTCGGCATTTCCACAAATGGCATTTAGAACTTTGAAGATGCGTGGGCGAAGGAAAGCTTGTGTGGCGTGTGGAGAGCCAGCTGACGCAAAGGATAAGATAACCAAGGAAGCAATGGAGAAGGGATTGATCGACCACATTGCTTTTTGTGGGACTAGTGCTCCTGTGGGGTTATTGAAACCTGAGGAAAGAGTCGATGTGAGAGAGTATATGAAGGTTCGAGATGAGGGAAAGGAACATACCTTGTTAGATGTGAGAGATGAAACACAGTTTGGGATTTGCAAGTTAGAAGGGAGCTTAAGTAATATATATCTCCATGCTTTAGTGCTTAACTAAACTATACTAATGGTGTAAAAGACATTCCGTACTCTGAATTCGAGTCACTAGCACTCGCAGAGGATACGGCATCCAAGATCCCAGAATCACTGCAATCAATCCTGGCTAAAGGTTTACCCGAAGCACCGATTTATGTCCTTTGCCGTCTCGGGAACGACTCACAGCATGTTACGAAACAACTGAAAGATGCAGGTGTAGCGGGAGGGCGTGTTTTTGACATTAAGGGTGGCATTTCAGAGTGGGCTAAGAGTGGGGTTTCTGGCCCCTTTCCGCAGTATTGAGGGTTTTGATGTGGCGCGGGTTTTGATGGAATGAGCAATTAGTGCCCATGAAAATTTCTGGTAAATAGATTTAGAGCCTTCCCTAATATTTTTTTAAGATAGCTATGTTCTTAAGCTACTTTTTCTGCTGGCTTATAGCTTTTTCTTGAGGAAAAACGAAGAAAAGAATTCTGGACTCTATTTCACCCACACCATATCACTCGGAAGATATCGCTCACCTGAATTGTCTCGTTAAATAGAGAAAGATATTTAAATCAGTAAATATAACACAAATGTAGTGAGACGAAGAGGGCGTGTTTTAACTATGAAGTGGAGGGCCGAGGCAGTCAACTGCCTAAAATTTCTATTGCCATAACTGTAAGGTTGATGCAATTAATGAATTAAACAAAAAAAAAAAAAAAACTGTAAGGTTGCATTGCATGCAATTAATGAATTTTTTTAAAAAAAAAAAAAGCCTAAGATTTCTCGTATCTTCATGGTGGATGAATTGTTCCAACTCTCTAGTAGCCGTGGAAATGCATTAATTTTGACGTTTCCCATACAAAAAATTGCGAGATACACAATTTGATGCAATAACCGCATTACTTTGTGTTAAAGGCATTCCTGTCCCATTACCGACACTTTACCGACACCTTTACTGATGCATTTACCTGTTAAAGGCAATAAGATATGACTTTACTGATGACATTCCCCCCGTTAAAGGCATGTTAAAGGCATGTTAAAGGCATGTTAAATGCAGTAAAATACGACTTTACTGACTGTTTCCGGCGTTTCCTGCTTTCCACCGGAAAATCAATGTTTTCCAATGAAGCCCTCCCTCTAGATCTCGAGATAGTTGAGTACCCAAACAAAATATTTCGGTGGGGTCATAAAAATGGTATCTGACATCAATGGGCTTGTAACAGTTGGGGAATACAATTTCATTTTGGTGGATCCATTGTTTGGCATATACATGCAGGCAATTCTTACTTGATGCTCCTGGTACAATAGTAGGATACTCTGTGATGATTCGATAATATTCATTGGCGATGGCCTTGGTCAACCATGTGAAGCATCACCGGTGGCCAAAACTTATCTCCCCCCTCCCCCCCCCCCCCCCCCCCCAATGTGTATATATACGCTCAAAATGTGTGACAGAAACGTGACAGGTAAAGGCATCAGTAAAGTCGTCTGCAAAGTCGTCTGATTTCCCTTAAAAACGACTTTCCCCTTCTACCAAAATATTGACATTACCCACGCAAATCCAAGCTCGAAAAACGACTTTACCGACGACTTTACTGAATATTATTTAATATTTTCAGGTACACATTTCCACGGCTCCTAGAGCAAGAGTCCCAAACGAGTCACCATTGGCCAATACATAGGACCACATACGCATGCACACTTAAGCCCCACGTGCTATTGCCATAGCTTTAGGGCTGCATGCAATCAATGAATTAAACAAAAAAAAAAAAAAAAAGAAAAAGAAAACAAGCCCCACGTGCTCCATCACAGTCTATCACTCGCAGCTAACCACCCTATTAATGTCTAAGCACAAACTTTTTTTTCTTTTTTTTTTGCTTAATTCATTAATTGCATGTCTAAGCACAACCACTACCAACAGTCAACACCAAAATGAATCATACACAGTTACTATACTAAAAAAATGGTATGGATTCGCTACGTTATTCCCCTTAATGCGCTAGGAATGCAACAAGAATACGGCATCACTACGGTATTCTTTTTTTGTGATGCCGGTTTAATTCCGTATTATTCACTGAATCCCGTAGTCGTACAGTACTGATTTCACCCGTTGTTTCGTACTGTGGTAAGCACGCACCAACACATGTTAAACCTATTATTGGATGAGCTGGTGTTTGTTGTTCACTAAGACCTCACAACTCACTACCACAAACTGCGCAAAAAATAAAACTTTTTTTTTTTTTTTTGCTTAAAACATAGAAGACAGCAGGTCCTGTAGCCTCAATAATCCCAAGATACTGAATACGAGAGGGGGGGGGGGGGGTTGCATCCACAAACCACACACAAACCCCAACCCCCAACCCCCAACAAAACCGCAAATGACACCCAGATTTTTTTATTTGCTCCACCCACCCACTACTCTACCCGGCCCCTCACGGCGCCTGACTGATACTCTCCTCCCCACTCCCGCCTTTATGCCCCTCCACGCCCGTCGTCGGCGGCTCCACCACCTTCTCAAGCCACCCAAACGTATCAGGGAGATTACCCGTCTGCACGCCCTTCAGTGTCTTCAGCAGCGCTAGCACGCCCTCGCCGGGCTCGTCGCCGCAGTAATCGATCTTCATGTTGGTGCTCTTCATGGTGATACTCTTGATGGGCACGAGCGCTGCGGCCGTGCCGGCCGCCATCACTTCTGTGAAGGTGGAGAGCTCGGTGAGTGGGACCTGTGTACCGTTGTTAGTTAGTTGGTTAGTTCGCTAGCTAGGGGGTGGGGGGGGGGGGCGTACAGGGCGGACTTCGACACTCCACCCCCACGACGCCGCAATCTCCTGGATACTCCTGCTGGTGACCGAATTGATGACGCTGTTGCTATCCGGCACCACAAGCGTCGTCTTCTCGCCCTCCTTCTTGATCCCCAAAAACCCACTCGTGCTAAACTCATCGATCGTGGTCCTCGTCTGCGAGTCCAGATGCAGCGTAATCCCATACCCCTCCTTGCGCGCCGCCTCACTGTGCACCAGCACAGGCGCATAATTCCCGCCCACCTTTGCGCTGCCCGTGCCGTTGGGGCGGCGCGGTCGAACGTCTCGAGGATGAGGCAGTCGACGGGGTGCACGCCGTGGTAGACGCCGACGGGGAGCACGTACACCACGAAGGTGTACTCGTCGGGCGGGTTGAGGCCGAGCTGCGCGCAGCTGCCGAAGAGGAGCGGCCGGATGTACATGCTTGCACCTGTGGCGTGCGGGGGGACGAACTCGGCGTTGAGGGCGACAGCCATGTTGACGGCGGCGAGGAAGAGGGGTTCGGGGGGTGCGGGCATGGCGATGAAGGAGGCGCTGTGCTGCATGCGGCGGGCATTGAGCGAGGGGCGGAAGATGTTGATGGATTTGTCGTCGGGGGAGCGGAAGGCTTTGAGGCCTTCGTAGCATTGTTGGCCGTAGTTGAGCGCGGGGGCGAGGCCGTGGAGGGAGAGGAAAGGGGAGGAGACGAAGGTGGGGGTGGTCCAGGTGCCGGTGTGGACGCTGTAGTGGGATTCGATGTGGCCGTTGACTTCGCGCACTTTGAAGCCGATGTTGGACCAGTCTGGAGGGGAGGGGGGGGGGTTAGTGGGGTGTTAGGTGGTGAGAGGGGGAGGGGGGGGGGGGGCTGACCAATTGAGCTGGTGGGGGGCGGTGGGAAGACCATCTTCAATTGGTTGGGCGGATGACGTATGTAGTCTTGAAAACAAAAAGAGTATACACAAAAGAATAGAGAAAATCAATCGTCAAGATTCCTCCTGGGCGAAGAGAGACGGACAAGAGAGGAGAGGAGAAGAAAGAGATGAGGTGAGGTGAGGTGAGGTGAGGATGAGGGGTTCTTTTCAGACAGAGAGAGCAGCTGCAAGGAACTCGGAAGCCAAATGCGGGGGTGGGGCAATTTGCAAGCAGGGCAAGGCAACGGCAGCTTCCGGAGCACTACTAATATGGATGCATGTATCATGTAGGGCTGCCACAACCAAACCATTGAATTTTCCCGGTGCCTGTCGATGTCTGGGGGATTATTTATTTATATTACCTGCACCGTGTTTTACTCAAATCGCTCACGGGGATGCAATGGACTACATACATCTAGTGAGGTGAGGTTTGCATTGGCCAATTGGACATCGAATACACAGTGAGGGGGTTTTTTTCATCCCCATTGCCTTGCCATATTACCCCCCCATCTGACTGTGGTGGTCACGAGAGCAAAAAAATCTTTCCATCACTAAACATCGAGGAGGTTCATGGGCGGTGAGTGCCCTGTGCAAGGTGTGTTTTAATTTTCCGAGTGATGGAGTGAGGTTGATGTGCAACAACACCTAACCCTGGCTGCAGAGAACAAACGGTCGGCTAAACAAGAAGAGTTGCAGCGATAAGATTGATCTGATTAACCAGCAACAACAACCCTTCAGGGTCCAAAGTTCAAACTGTTGTCTCACTCGCTGGATGAACACCCCCCGCAATCTGCAGCAGGGCTAGGGTTACACACGCCTCACTCAGCCCACAAGCAAGCAGGCCCCTGGAACACGAGGAGAGCAGAGCAGCACCCACCGGTGTGCTGTGCCTGTAGATACACGCCATGCGGGCAGAGCGTTGCCCATCCACCCGTGCCAGTGAGCGAGTGAGCGAGTAAGAGATCGATCAGTTACATAGCAATAAGTGACAGCCTTTGTTATCGGGTCTTTTAGTAAGACATTGTGCAGCGCAGGTATGGCTGGCCACAGTGAGGTCCAGTGGCCACTCTCCTTTATTGCCCTCCATTGCCCCTGCAGCGTGGACAAAGCTTTGTGTAGTTTATTATGCACACCGAACTCTATCTGCACCTCTCTGGGGGCCCGCAAGAAGATTCCACATCAAGACGGGTCCTGGCAGCGTCCCCACCAATCGCTGCACTCTATGTGCCCGCCGCCCAGCCAGCCAGTGCCCACCGGTAGAGTAGACTCGTATGTAGAGCTCGTACTTGGCTGCACGCTCGGACGGGTTCTGTCTGTCCCGGCGGAAGAAGGAGAAACCATCCATCCATCCAACCAGCCAGCCAGTCTCTAAATAGCCAGACAGCTAGTTAGCTGCTGTTAATTGGCACCATTAGCGAAGATCTCCTGAGCGAGCGAGTGAGAGCCCACACTACAATACCTCCCCCTCCCCCCACCAGCAACCATCACCACCACAACCTCTCCTTCACCACCATCACCACCACCACCCACCCACTCACCCACCAACCCATGGCCCGCCACCGGCTCCCGCTCCTCGCCGCCGCCGCCGCCCTCTTCATAATCTTCTTCTTCGTCCTCCTCCCCGCGGACAGCGCGCAGCAGCACCCCGCCGGCACCAGCGCCTCCAAGCACGCCAGCGTCACCGTCGTCGACTCAACCCCCAGCTTCCGCTCCGAGGACGAGTCGGGCTTCGCCATTGCAAAGGAGGAGGTCGCTGGCGGCGGACCCCCGCTGCTCGGGGGTGACATCCATAAGGAGATCCTCCATGGCGAGACCATCATGCCGAAGTTGGGGAATGAGACGGCGAAGTATGTTCCCCCCCCTATGTGTGGAGTGAAATGTGGTGGGGGCTGACACAATGGATGGATGGATGGATACAGAGCGGAGCTAGGCCGCGCATCGTGGAAACTGCTGCACACGACGCTCTCCCGCTTCCCGAAGAAGCCCGCGAAGGATGAGCGCGAGGCGCTATCATCATTTCTCTACCTCTTTGCACGGCTCTACCCCTGGTACCCCCCCCCCCCCCTCTCCCTCTTCTAGCACGCACTAACCCCCCCCCCCCCCGGAACAACAGCGGCGAATGCGCCACACACTTCCAAGCGCTTCTCCAACGCTACCCGCCACAGACCTCCTCGCGCGACGCGGCCGCGCAGTGGGGCTGCTTCGTGCACAACCTCGTCAACGAGCGGCTGCACAAGCCGGCATTCGACTGCGGGGCCGTGACGGAGATGTACAAGTGCGGGTGCGCGGACGCGGACGCGGAGGACGAGGAGGCGAAGAAGGCGGCGGAGGAGAGGGTGCGGGAGCCGTTGGAGACGGCGGGGGTGACGGCGGGACGGCCGCTGACGGCTGCGGAGGGCGTGGATCTGTTGGAGGTGAATACGAGGAGGGCGGGGGTGGAGATGCAGAAGGAGGGGTAGGTGGACTTCTTTTTTCTTTCTTGTTTTGGTGGGTGGTGGGGGGGAGGGGGTGGTGGGTAGGGGATTGGGCTGACTTAATGGGTGGTGCGGGTAGGATGATGAATGGTGGTTAATTTCGTTAGAACACCGCAGCGAGCGGTACCGGTAGAGAGGGATTGGCCCCCCGGGGAGAGGGGGGGGGGGGTGTAGAGATAGTCTTCTTTTTTATTTTTATTATTTTTTGGCCGTTTGTGCGGTGGTTACATAACCTAATAGGATCCAAGGAGTTCTTTTTTTTCTTTCTGTCTGGTTCTTCTTTCTGCGTCCTTTGCGGTTTCTGCCGGCGTGTTGTGTGTGTAATAAAAAGTTGAAAAAAAGTTAGGGCAGTACGTACGTAGGAAAGATCTGATAGGTTAATTGCTGATTGCGCCGCTGGGACATGGGCGGTCACTCGATCGTCTTTTTTTGGGGGTTGTGTGTGCATGTGCCCCTTGCGTTACATAGTGCTGTCACGCTGATTGGCTATCATTGGCCCCTTGACGCTGATCGGCTGGTTGGCTGGTTGGTTACCGTAATGTGGAGCTGGGACACGCTGTGGTCGTAGGGCTACCAGAGCGGCGGGTGTGGGCATGGGTGGTGAGTCGAGTCGGGTTGGAGTGCGAGTGTAACCGCGATTGCAATTGGTGGAGAGTAGCACCACGCCACGGGGGTGCGGTATAGGGGTTGACAGCTATTGTCAGCTGCAGCGGCGAGCCGGTATATACTGCCAATAGTTCAACTCCCTCTAGATCGGTCTGTCGATAGATATCCATTAGTACATACAGCTAGATCTTGGATGCCTGTGCCAATGCTCTATCTAGCTATGTAGTTGGCTCATCAACTCACGCACCGTGCAAGCATGCATTGGACCATGGATACTCAATCGTGGCCATGGGTCAATGGCTGGAGGATAGACGAAGGTTAGAAATGGGGCCCATCCATTTGTCATAGCACTCAGCGCCACACTGGGTAGTCGCTGATATTGTGGCTTGGACACAATTATAACGTTGTTACACATAGCAGATATAGACCTGGTCATGCCTGTACGAGGCCGGCCGACGTCGACCAGAAACACGGCTATGTATGGGGAGCCGCTATGTGGATTCGATTAGCTACATGTAGCTGTCGGGGCCATGATATAACAGTGAGCCTCGGTGGCTGCGTGCTGGTTGTATATACAAGCCGGTGGGGGTGGTGTACTGGGGTCGTTCTGGCCCCATGGCCAGTATAGTGTGGAGCTAGCGGGTATGCAGCTGGGGGTGTTGTACATGTGAGTTCTACTGTGGCCGGCCGTGGGGTGGAGGGGTATGTGAGCGGAGCTAGTGGACGGGCGGAATAGGGTTTACATTATATGGATCCATGGAGAGGCCGGCCGTCTTTCTAAGCTAGCTCCGTTCTTGCCTCTTTTGTTGCTCAATTTGGGAGTTGTTTAGGGCCAGGTACAGCTGATTCTTTCGCTGCGGGTTGCTGCTTGATTCATTACTGCTGTGTACATATTTGTTATGATTAGAAGTGGCCATATCTTAACACTTAAGCTATATGTGGTACGTTCATGTGGGTGCACTGGAATAGGATATAGTTTCGCCTGTCACTTCGTGCTTCCAGCCGGCCCTTATTCCTAGCTCCCTCTCACAAGTACGTTTGGTGATAGCGGTGCCAAGCTGCACTGCACATACTTATAGCCAAGCAACTGATACTCGTGCAGGTTTCGATCCTATATATACCTAGGCCTGTTGAAACCAAGCGTCCTATATATGCTGACTAAGGTACAGGATGACTAGTGCAGGACAGGTTAGCTTAGGACGAGTGAGAACGGGTGAAGAGGATCGATGTCAATTGCAAGAGGTCGTTCTTAGGCTCGTCCCCAATCCGTCTGCTTTCAAGTAACGGGCTGGGTACGAGACTAGGTCATGGCTATCAGCCGGGGCTGTGCTTAACGATCTCCTGGGTCTCTTCTGTCTCTCCTTCTCTCTCACTAGCCTCTGTAACAAAGTGTGAGCAATCATTAAAAGCTATCGCGTCGTTTTCACCTACACGCGCATTATTTAGCCTACACGTAACCGAAATTCCAGATGGCATCTGTATAGCCTAAGGGCCGCATATAATCAATGAATTAAAAAGAAAAGAAAAGAAAAAGGCGACATCCGTAGGTAACCAAAGAGCGAGTGATATATTATGATTACAAACCTCCGGAGACTCATTGTCCAGAGCAGCGAGCGATTGGGACCAAATCTGCCTCATTTGTAGATGTATATACTAAAAACGCGGACAATATCCTTGGTAATTGATTTTACGAAATGTGTCGGTAGGAAACCCTAACCCTGGAAACACCCGTTCCAATGGAGAGATCGATATCACCTAGAATGACCCAAGGACAAACATCTGAGACACTGAAAAGCTCGAGTGGCTCGAGCTGCACTCGAGCACTTACAAGTCGAATCGAGACGAGCAGCTGTCATCACGAGCCGATTCGAGCTTTTCCTCTTGCTCGTCGACCACACTACACAGAATTGAGACATGATATTGGTAAAGTTGGCAGCTTTAATAGCATAAGGGATACTATAGTAAGACTACATATATATAGAGTAGATATATTAGCCAATTTATCATGCATGTATCTCATTTGGGATCGATAATTATAATTATACTCAGACAATAAGGTGTTTGGTCTGCGATCGAGTGACAGCCGGTGCATGTGCTTGAGTGGGCTTCGTGTCTCATTTAGGATCGACTGTTGGTAGTGCTTTAATCGGAGCCAGACGATTATGTGTAGAGCGTGCAGTGATGGGCAGGAATCTAACGATGGTTATTTAGTACACTACTCGAGTAAGGGTTTTTGCGTGACTAGTGGAGAAAATTCTACACCACCGACAGCCGTTTCCAGCTAGGCAGCGGATTTTGTGTGGTGAGCCACGAATTGCAACTGTAGAGTAGAGGGGAGACTTTATCTTTTGCTTTTTTGGACACGTTTATTCTCTTTTGGCAGCGTTACAATCCAATCCAATCATAGCTAGTATACTGAATATTACTACGCCGCGGGATGATCCGGCCGCAAATTGTGGAAACCGGGAATAGACGAAGGGATGTACGAGCCACGCCGTAACCCACTCTGGGCGCAACACATAGCTCTTTTGAGCCTCAGCCAGCTCTATCCTGATTTGTTGAAGAGAAACCCAGGCTTGGCATTGCAACATTTCAAATCATATGAATGCTTAGCAACACCTCCCCACTACTACATTATAAGGCTGCTCGCCCCTTCACCCAACATTTTCCTCAGCTCATCTAAGGCCATTCAGGCTGCTCCCCTCTCTCCCTCTCTCCGTCCATCCTGATTTTGTTTCGAACCGCCGGCGCAACTCAATGGTCTCCCTTAGAACTTACGAGCGTAATAACCGTGGCGGAGGTTACGACTTGACGGAGGGAGGGTGAATTAGGCCTCTACTGGTCCCGCGGGATTAGGGAGGGCCCTTTTGCTCTAAGACTCTAGATGCTTGGTTCTTCTGGACCAAGAGTTAATGGTCTTTTCCGTGAGGAGGGGGGAGTGGATGTCCCTATTGATTTTTGGGTTCTGTCCGAAAAATTGAGAGGGATCTTCACGCCCCATCGGCTTTTTTTTTACGACCGGATGTTACTCATGCGTTCATTAAATGGTCGGAATTCTTAGTTGCAACGATATCCGACCATTTAATGAACGCCCGAGTACTCGCTCGTTGATTGGGGGGTCAGGGGTCGATTCGTTGCAACCAAATCCACACATAAAATATAGAGAATTAGTAGGAGAAGAAAGTATCTGAATTTCGTTAGGCGGGACAATGTTGAGGCATATGTATAGTTCTCGTTCAAAAATCATGGGACAACGCAACCGCGAGTTGCTACGGGGGCTTGTCCTAGGATTTTTGACATGGAGTTATACATCTCGCAGCCATCCATCTCTGCAACGCACCCACTCCCTCGCCTCGCCTCGCCTCTCCCGTAGCTCCCGTAGCCAGCAATTTACCCAAACCGTGCCTTAGGGCAACCCAGCACTAGCCCTATCCTGCTCTGTCGGCGAAAATTCGGGCTTGGCACCTCCCACTGGCGCGATATAAGACCTCTCTCTTCCCCCCACCAAAGTTTTTTTTCGTCAGGGGGCAGGCAGCTCTCCAAAGGGCCACAGAGCTGCCTCCTCCCCTATTCCTCCTCTGGATGGGTCCCTCTCGCCGCCTTCCCTTTTTGGCAGGAGGAGGAGGAGCGTAGCCCTCCACCCCACCCCCCACCCTCCCCCTCTCCTGCTCTTAGAGTAGGAGAGAGTAGACCCCAGGCCTCTCCCCCCCCTCTCTCCCTCCCTCCTCTCCCTCCCTCCCCGCCCCTCCCCGCCCCTCCCGCTACTGCGGGAGGGCGTGAAACCAGCCTCCCTTGGCCTGGGCGTAATGCTCAAGGCCTTGGGGGGCGCGGGTCACGTTGGTCCTCCTCCTGACAGAGGGGGCACTCAGGGGGTAAACGCTTTTTTGACACCTCTCCTAGTCCTGCAGCGAGGACTAGGAGGGGTCTTTTTTGCGTTGGGTCTCCCTCCTCGTGGAGGGGTGGGCGGGTTTGGCCTCTCCTAGTCCTGCGGGACTGGGAGGGGCCTTTTTTGCGTTAAGTCGCTTTGTTCCTTCCGTCCCTGCTTTTGCTCCCGTCGCGGGGGTAGAGGTCCCTATCAGTTCTTGGGTTCCGTCCGAGGGATTGAGAGAGTTCTCATGCCTGCTACGCCTTCTTTCTCCATCCGTTCCTCCTTCATGCGATCGAGCAGTCTACCACAGCGTAGTCTGCGCGCACGCGCACGGACAGAAGGGTTAGTAAGCAGGGGTAATGACCGATTCGCAGAAAAATGTAAAGTGGTAACGCCGTGCGTAAATTTTATGAAGATACTCCCCATATATTTCCTGAGATTAATGTAGCAAATAAATGACTGTATCCCGGGGCGATCAGAGTGACAATTAATATGGTGTACTGCGTGTGGGTCGGTTAATCATGGATGATCACTCGTTTCTGCCGCTCCGCGACTGGGTGACCAGTTACCACCCTTTAATCTGTCAGTAAAACATTGACCCCCCAAAAAGTAGAAATTGGTGGCATTTACTAACAGATCTTGCCTCCTCGCTTATGGGTGATAGATCTCCTGTATAACGTTGGTTCCTCTATAATTGAAGGCTGAGTGGGTGGTAGCTACATCGGGCTGAGTAATGATTCGATTAAATTGTTTCACGGGAGAGGAGATAAGAAATAATTGTTCCCGAATTCAGAATAACAGGTTATTCTCAAGGAACACCGGCTTCTCGGAGCAAAGGTTTAGGGGATAGGGTCAATGATTGAAATTTCAAGTCTTGGATCACAGCTACTCACTCGATGCGCAAGCCTACTTCGAGACGAATAGTTAATTAAATACATGCAGCTCTCCGACTTTGGTACTACATTAATATATTGAGGAGGTAAGACTGGCCGCCAAGGTTCGAATGACTTTTCCTGACACTTACGGTACACACCTAACCCTGTGTCGCCAACGAACCATAGGTGCCAGCGTGTACCCATGTGTGGTTGGTTATTCAGAGTTGAATAACCCTACCCCTAACCCTGGGCTTATCTGTCATGTAGACCCAATCGGCGTGATGTTGGCCTAACACGTTGTGAGATAAGATGTGTCTAGATCTAATCTATGCAAATCTTCCCAACATTCATGATGGTGGATCGCGCTCGACCATCCGTCATAGAAATGATCCCACGGAAAAAAACTTCTGTTTAGAATAGCTACAGCTAAAAGAGCAAAATCAGTAGAATGACTTCAGTATCAAGCTACGCAAGTTTACTCTCGGATTTGCGAATAGAAGTTATGGATACGCGGTAAGCCTTTACTAACTAATATCTCAAATGTGGATATGCTGTTGCGCAGATCGACATATCTATAGATCCATTGTGGGCTGACAAAAATTCTCGTTCTAATCAGTGTAAAGACGCTAGTTGAGCCAAGACCGAGTGATAGCTTATGAAGGTAATTCATTTGACCCAACCACAAAACCATCCATGACCGGGAATACCTGTCACTCGGTTAAGCATTATGGCATTAAAAGCCACAGTTCTCACCGGCTTACTTTTTAACACGTGTGCCCCAATCGAGTATTTAGCTTGGAGCAATCGACATCATCATCCCTTAGCAGCGCACTGCTATCCCCACCGAAATGGACCCACTCAAAACCATGAACCTCATCCCAGTGAAGCCCTTCCACGGGAGATCCAATGAATGCGTCGACGACTTCATCGAATCTATCCTCCTATACTTCTCCTCGCGCCCCATGACAGAACTCTACCCTACCGAGGAGCAACAAAACAGGGCAAAGCTAGTCCTTCTTAAGCACAAGCTCATGGGTAAAGCCGCCACATGGGCATTCTACCTGCCCGACGATGTCCGGTTCTCGTGGGAAAAGATGAGCAAAGAACTGAAGCAGGAGTACGATGGCCCTAGAAGAAGAAGACTGGAAAAGATGGAGAACGCAGAGTGGGGGATCATGGTGTTGAGGCAGGGAAAGCTCTCGCTGAAGCAATATATTAGAAAGACCACTCGCATTAGGTCTCATCTACCTCGATATGGATCATGGGATCACAATGCAGCGGGTTATTTCATCAGGGGCATCGAAGATATGAACACTAGACTCTGCATTATTCAAATCGGCGACTTAGTGCCGGATGCGTATACACTATCTGAAGCAATTGAAGCGGCCAGATCTTTCCTGCGACGACGCAAGTGGGAGAAGCAGATGGAGGGGGGACGGAGAAGCCGACGAACCGTCATACTCGAACATGAAGAGCAGCAGTAGTTACAGAGTTACCACAGTTCAATAATTAAATGGGGTCAAGAAAATATTCCCGGTCAGACCCGGCCTTGTAGATATCACTGGTAGGTTTCCGAATGCCAGGTAATAGGTGGCCCAGTACGCAAATAACTGTAGACCGTCGAATCGATCACAATTATATTGTATAGTAGGCGTCCTTCCAGGGATGTAGGAACAACGCGAGTTCTAGGCAACTATAGGTCCTCGATAATGTGTTAGAGACACAAGGATTGGAGCTTGGGGCATTTAAGTTTAACGTACCTGTAGCTTAAAATTGCTATTAAGAAGATGTACTTGTATTGAAGCTATAAAACTTGAGTATCACGCATTAGTACAAGTAGCTTAGCAAAGAAGCAACGGGAAAGGCCTCTATAATAAGATATGACGCAAAATGACATAGCTCCACGAATATCATGGATTGAACATTGAAATTGAAGGGTTAGGGGTTCTGCTTCATCTTGGCACACCGCTAAGGTGAACTATTATTTCCAGCACAGCATCCACCATGGGCGGATGGTCTAGTGGTTAGACTGCTCGTCGGGCTAGACACCGAGTGTTTACCCAGGGCACACACAAGGTCCTGGGTTCAAACCAGGGGTGGGGGTAGTAACGCACAATGAGAAATAAGTCGTTGCAGTACCTTTTGTTCTGTTTTATGTCTAATGTTTTCTTTCTTTCTTTTTTTTTAAAAAATTTGGAGTGGAAGAAAGATTCATCTAGAGGAGGAAGATAGGAGTGAGTGTCGGGGCTGGGAATTGTCCCTTATTGCTGACTTTTCCCGATGTGTTGGTGCTCTCGGCGTGAGGTTGAGCACACTTTCTATCCTGGATCATGTCTTATTGCAGATCACGTATGCCAAAAAACTGTGTCATTTTAGACCCTTTCCGTAGAAACAAACGCAAGCAGCAGCAGCCTCATAAAGTATCGGGGTACAAGTCATCCACGGTCATAGATAGACACAGGACGTTGCAATTCCCCTATCCGGTCTTGAAAACGGCCCCAATATTCCCTACTACTCGTCGTAAAGGACAATTCGTGTGTAGTTTTGGGGGACGAATTACTACGGGAGTTGAGTACTGTTTGGGGTATTGAGGAGTGAGTGGTGGGGTGTTATGTGTCTTGGATCATTAATTTTACGCCAAAGACCACAGCGCACCCTTACATGAACCATCCTGAATACAGAGAGAAGAGTCTTAACTAAACCGCTAGCTTCCACCCAATGGCCGGGCCAAGAATCACAACCAGCACATGTAGAATACAGCGAGGAGATCACAACCCCCAAATGCGAAACCAGAGCAAAGCACATAAAACAGGCATCTAGTAGTAGTAGATCAATTGCAAGTCAAGCCATTGACTAAATCCCATTCCTACTATACTACATATAGCTTTCTTTGAATTCGCCTAAACCACCATTTAGGCCCAACTTTTCCACTACCACCACCACCACCACCACCACCACCCTCCACTCGTCCGCCAGCCCACAACTAAGTACACCCCCATGGCCAGATATCTAAAACCCAGCCCCCCCCCCCCCCCCCCCCCTTCCCCCTCCTGTCCAGTAGGAGAGACCGAAGAAAGAAGAAGAAAATGCAGCAACAAAAAAAAAAGAAGATGCAACAAGAAAAAAAACCCAAACAGCCAACCGATACAAATAAATCATCAACTTGAATTCACCGCCACCATATAGCCGTAACGTAGCGTAACGTAGCGTAACCGTAAGCCTTCTAATCCCCCACCCACCCACCCACCCACCTCGCGGCCAAAGTGGGCGTGCCGGGCAAACACCAATAGACCCCCCCCTTAGCTAGCTACATGCTATATAGTAGTATGATAGTAGTAGCAGTAGTAATAATAATGCAAAGAACGAATCGAAAAAGAAAAATGCAAGAGAAGATGGGACGGAACTAGAACTAGATGATATCTAAGCATTCATGCATGAAACGCTTGATGAAGATGTAAAAGAAAAAGAAGACAATAACACCCATAAACCGCAAAAGACCACCACACCAGTATAATATTGTCAGAGAAAGAAAAAAAGTATGAAAGCTGAAAACTATTAAAGGACAGCCATCCAATCCAATCCAATCCCGCCCAACCCAGCCCACGAGAGGATCAAAAGAAGAAGAAAGAAGAAAGAAACCCCTCTACCCAACAACCTCCTCATCAGCCGCCGCAGCAGTCTCCCAATCATCAACAACCTCCTCCTCCTTCGCCTTCTCCTTCGCCTTCTCCGCCTTCTTCTGCAACACCAACTTCCTCCTCAACCCCTCCCCACTCCCCTTCTCCTTCAACCAGCTCCCCGCCGCGGCCCCCGCCGCCGCCGACGGCTCCCCACCACCACTCGATCCCAACATATTAAACACATTCCTCGTGCTCACCCCCGTCGCCACCAATCTCGCCGGCGGCACACCCTTATTCGACGCCACCGTCGACCACTGATTCCCCTGGCCGCCCACCACCACCCCGTCCTTCGTCACTGCACACAACTCCGCACTATCCGCGATGCCGCGCTGCGCAATGAGGCGCTTCAGCCTCGGGCTGATCTCCGTGAGCTCGATCTCGATCTGCTCCGTGGCCAGGCTACTCGTCTTCGGCAGGAGCAGGACCTCCTCGTCGCCGGACCACGTCAGGCCAAAGCGCAGCTGCGAGTCCTTCAGGACGTATTCGAGCTCCTTCTCGAGCTCTGAGGTGAGCAGGCCGACGCGGATCCCCTTGAGGAGGAGGGCGTTGAAGGCTTGCTTTGGCGGCTTTTTGAGCTGCTGCAGCAAGGAGGCGGGCATGGTGCTGGGCATAGCGGTGGGCTTGCTGGACAGGAACTCGGCGATTGTTTTTCGGGGTGCGGCGACAAAGTTGGAGCCCTTGGTGAGGACTACGCTGCGGTACGGCTCTGGGTCTTGGGACTCGGACTCGAGCCCAAAGTCCTGAGCAAGGGTGTGGAGGAAAGCGCGCTGGGTGCTCTTCATGGGCTGGAAAGCAAGACGCTTGGTACTTCCTTCCGCAAATGCCCTGTATTTAGCTTCAACAGTGCCTGCAAACTTCTTGTCCCTGCTGTAGAAGAAGAGGGTTTCCTCAGAATACGGCTGCGCCGCATCACGGTCAGGATCAATGTCAAGCGCAAAGGCCATACGACGGCTTCGGCACGCATCAGTACACTTAAGCTCCTTCTTGTTGCCGCCAGGGCTAGCTTTAGAGGCCCCACACTTAATCTCCTGCTTCAAACCGCCACAGGCGCATTTGAGCACGAGCTTCGCTGTGCACGGTTTGTCCTCGGAGCATTGGAAGGGGGCATGGCAGGCATCTAAACATGCATGCCCACAGACTGATTTTGGCTTTCCGCATTGCTGCTTGCATGGCTCGTCGCATTGCCCACCCTTGTGGCATACTTTACGGCAAAGATGAGAACCGCAGGAAAGTTTCCTGCCACATTCGGTTCCACAAGAGACAGCATCTCTCCAACAGGGGATTGATTTGACCGATTTCTTTCCACATAAACAGATCTTCTCAACCAGATAAGGGCAATTCGGGCAACTCTCTTCGTCAGGGTGACAGGGATGAGAAACCGCGGGGTGGTTGCAGCTCTTTGCCCTTGTGCACTGGTGCTTACAAGCCGGGGGACTAGCTCCGCAGGGAACTGGAGCAGGAGTAACTGTACGCCCACAATTACAACTCAAATCCTCAAAGCTAGCCTCCAGACAGTTTCCACAGTTCCCACGATGACACAGCATAGGGCAAGTGTGAGTCCCGCACTTGAGTAATCTTCCACAAGGTCGAGTGCAAATATGCTCCGGCTCAATGCCCTCGTCGTTTGAATTAGAAGCCAATGGCCTCTTCCTTTTTGAAGCCAATCTCTCCATGGCTTTCGACTCTCCAGAGCAGCACTTATCACCGCACTCATGTCTACCGCAGTTCAAAGCTGCTTTGCAAGTGCGCATGCATTGTGGGGGTTCTCCTTCCTCGCCCTGGTGGCAGAGACTGCTTGAACTAGTTTTTCCACAACGGCATACAATAGATACCGTCTTCATGCACATGCCGCAGTCTCCATCGTGGCAAGTCCTTTGACATGAATGCCCGCATTTAAGTTCTTTCTGACAGACCTTACCGCAAGTAGGGACAGGGTCCTCACATGATTGACGAGGTGTGTCGAGAAGCTGATTGATGTCGGTTTTGCCACAGGCACATGATTTGACAACGTCTGGAGATAGAGCGCAGTGTGCTGGAAGGACATTTTGAGAATGACAAGCTTTTTGGCAGCGATGTTTACCGCAATCAAAAGGCCTAAGATTGTCAACGTCAACAAAATCCAACATTGACACAAAAGCTCGGGATTTTACTCACCTGTCGCAAGTCTTCTCGCAGTTCCAATGCCCTTCCCATTGGGTAACACCCTGATCAGCGCTCTCAAAGCTAAGAACTGCCTCCTTTCTATCACAGCACTTGATGCTCTTCATATGGTTTCCGCAATAGCACCTCAGCTCTGATTCTACCTGACAAGCTCCACACGTCCCTGGATGGCACACTTTCGGGCAGGTATGCTCGCCACATGGCATAAAGTCATCGCAAGGCTTTTGGCAGCTCCAGCCCTCCTCATAGTTCGTGTCAACACATCGCCTCTGGGAGGTTTCGCTCCCGCAGTAACATTTCTTGACCGGCCCAATCGCAGTGCAAGGCGGACAGGGCCCAGCATGACATTGAAGATCACAGGCGTGGGGGCAGTTCTTAGGTGAAGTTCGTGACTTTCCGCATGTTTGACCACAGCTATAATCTAGTTAGTAAAATTCATAACGATAATCGAGATTATCCCATTTTACCTGTGTGGTGAAATATTTTTAGTGGCCTCCGGTTGCACAGTCTTCTCGCACCAACAGGTATACATATCCGGAACTTCATCTCCTGGATTGTTACAAGCAGGACATTTCCATTTCCTCCTTGGCGGCTCATCGTTCGCGTCCGAGTTCCTCGGTGGCGGCTGGTCCAGCCCTTGCTTTGCCCATTTCGTGATGCAATGCAAGTGAAAGACAGCCCAGCAGCACTTGCAATTCCAGATCTTCGACTTTCTGTTCAGCCCGCCGTAGCAGACCATACATTCGTAGGCCCCGCTGGCAATCTCCTTATGGATCCGCGTCCCGATGTCGTCGGAATCTTTTTTGCTCATAGTGTTGGTATGAACCCTCATATTCTTGAGAAGGGGTTTTTTTCTCTTACCATCTGGTTTGTACAATTCTTCGACCTGTTTTTTCCTATCCCTATTATTCGGGGGTTTCTTGCTGTTATTGTTGTTGGCTTTTGGAGCAGTCGAGCCTGAAGCTTTAGGTCCGCCCCATTCAGCATGTGGCAGCATTGAAGTAGTGAAGTTCGACATACCGCGAAGATGTGGGGGGATAACCTCAGCCGGCTTCCCGGGCTCAAACGCCGTAGCCTCGGCTCTCAGTTTCCCACCATCATGCTGGTCCTCTGCTGTATCTTCAGTTAATTTGCCACCAAACGCCCTCGCTGAAGGAACCACACGAGCATCCTTTGGACGTTCAGCATCTGGAGTACTGGACCGGGGTGAGGTTGATTTCGATCCTTCGGAGGTCAGGTTTGCTCCAAAGCGCCTCTGTGGTGGCTGGCGGTGCCGCTGGTTAGGTGGAGAGCCCTCGGGTGTCTCCCCGAGAATGTGACTTCCCTGGGGTAGGAAGGCTTGTCGTTGCCAGCTGGGTCCACTTTCAGCCCTACTCTCCCTCTCTTTACCTTTGCGCTTTCTGCTAGCCTGTCGGGGTCCAGTGGGTGGTTCTGTGGTATTAGATGAGGATTGCTGGTTGTTAGCTGGCGAGTCGGAACTCCTCCCATTCTGAGCATTGTTGGATCTAGGGCTCTTCTTTTGCTGTCTCGAAATGCTTTCCTCTCTATGTGATTCCATAAGAGCTTGAACCTTCTCCGCACCCGTCATCTGTCTCGGGGCACTCGGTGGTGTTCCTTGTTGAGCCGCATTTGAGCTCCCGCTGAACCCATTACTGGTCGAAGCCTGAGAAACACTCCCCTCAGCGCTACTGTTCAACCCCGCCGTCTCCACAGCCGCCCCCAAAACCTCCCCCCTCTCCGAAATCGGCGTAACCCTGCCCGGCGAAGCCTCAGAGTCCTTGCCCTTGCCCTTGCCACGCCCCGGCCGGCCCCGCCTGCGCCCGCGTCGGTCCCCATCTGATTTCTGCGAATTGGTTTCCGACGGCGGAGAAGCCCCTCATGCTGCTGTTGCTGCTCCTGGTCTGGCCGGGTGGGTATTGAGGGGGGCGCTGCCCCGCGTCTGCCCATGTTGAGGAACGCCACTCGCCCGCGTCCTCCTCCTCCTCGCCCGCCGCGGGTTGGTCCTCTGTCTGCTGATGGGCCCAATGGCACTACTGGGGGATCGATGGTAGCCATGGGTGATGTGCTCTCGCTGGTGTTGCTGTTTGTTGTAGCGTTATCCAATGTGGCAATTATGTGGTGTAAGGAATGAATGCTTGGGGTCTTAATTGAAGTGAGTGAAAAGAAGAGGTGGGAAAAAAAGGTTGTAAATGTGAAAAAGTAGTTTGTGGTTACAATCTTCTCTCCTCTGCGCAGTGCGAACCGGTGAATTGACAAGAAGGTTGCAGCAGTAAGGGTTGTAGTCCTTATAAGCGGATTGAGTGGAAGGTGTAGGTAGGGTGTTTGGGGGGGGGGGGGGGGGGGAATAGAAGGAATGAAGGGAGCGAGTGAGTGAGTAAGTGAGTGAGTAAGTGAGCGAACGAGCGAGCAAGAGAGAGACCCGCACCGTGCAGCAGCAGCCGGGCGTCACCGCCTACCGATCGCCCCTTCCCCTGCCTGTCGCACATACTCTACTCTACACCCCGCCGAAATACCGTGGGTGTGGGGCCTTGGCGGTAGATGACACATCTCGCTAGATTCTTCCTTTCGGCGCTACCCGGGCTTTCCGAACGGGATTTTTCTTCTTGTTGCTCTGTGTTAACCACGAATAGAATAGCCTATCTATGTAGCTAGGACGCTGGGCCGGGGGGAACCTGACAAAGAATTAAGCTCAGACTCCCTCCCAGGACCAGGATCCAGCTCATGGGAGTCATCATGTAGAAATGACTGTAATCGCAATGGAATGCCCCGTGCTACTTTGGATATAGGTGATAAAGTGCAATTGTTGCTGTCTACGGTGATACATCCGTATATCCTCTCTGAGGCGGAGCACATGATGGGAACGGGTTGGCTGATAAGGTGGGGAAGATGAGAGTGGAAGAAAAGGAAGAAGAAGAAGAAGAAGAAGAAGAAGAAGAAGAGAGCTGTGAGAAGCTAACAGCCCAAGGTGTTTTGGCCCGCCAGGTACCAACCAGCACTTGGTCGGTGCCCGCACCTCCCTGTTTCGGATATTTAAACAACTTCGGTATATTGAGTATTGGGATCTTTTAGCAAGCAATTGACTGAGACCAGTGCTCAAATTGAGAGCAAACTCCATTCACGGATGCTATGGTAATGCTATCAAAGTTGAAATCTGCATCACTGCCCTGAGTTCTATAAACTCTAGCAATAATTGGTTTCAAGAAATATGGATTATAGTCGGCGGGTGATACATCGTGTCTCACGGTGGTAGCTATTTCCCTCAAATTCTGTCCGCTCCACCATGTCCATTCACTGATACTCCAACCACAGAACTTCTCAAAAACCAAGAAAAACTTCAACTCCAGCTTCATTCAGCCCTCATATGGCTAGAGTCATCCTCCAGATAATCCCAGTCCGGCCCACTGCAGCCAAGGTCTTGGAAGTCCCAAAACCTACACAATGGACCACCAACCTGCAGATCCGCATCACCAACCCCCAACCTCATCCACCCATAACACTGATCTGAACCTCAATTCATGGCCGTCCTTGCCCAGCACTCATGCCCACCATGGAAGCCTCATCACTCCCCTACCACGAGCCGTCAATCGTGCAAGTGCTCACCCTGTCCTCCTTCGGCCTGCTCCTCAACCTAACAAACTGGGCGCTCGAGCGCACCATCTACTGCGGCCTCGTCGGGCAGATCCTCATCGGCGTCTTCTGGGGCACCCCACTCGGCGACTGGCTCGACTCCAGCATTGAAGCCGCCGTCGTGCAGCTAGGCTATCTCGGACTAATCCTCCTCGTCTACGAAGGTATTACACCCTCACCGCATCTCACATATCTATAGACATCTAACCCCCCCCCCCTCCCCCACAGGCGGCCTCTCCACCTCCCTCGCCCCCCTCCTCCACAACCTCCCGCTCTCCACCGCCGTCGCCGCCACCGGAATCCTCCTCCCCATCGCCCTCTCCTTCCCCCTCACGGCCCTCCTCCCCGGCACCACCCCGCTCCAATGCTTCGCCGCCGGCGCCGCCCTCTCCGCCACCAGCCTCGGCACCACCTTCTCGATCCTGACCTCCTCCGGCCTCGCGCGCACCCGCCTCGGCACCGTCCTCACCAGCGCCGCAATGATGGACGACGTCGTCGGCCTCATCATGATCCAGGTCGTCGCCGCCCTCGGCACCAGCACCAGCTCCGACTCCGGCGGCAGCTCCATCAGCGGCGCCACCATCGGCCGCCCCGTCGGCGCCTCCCTCGGCCTCCTCCTCTTCGTCATTCTCGCCTGCCGCTGGCTCGTCGCGCCGCTCCACCGCCACCGCCACCGCTCCCTCCGCCCAGGACCAACACCCACACCCACACCCGCGAACCCTCCCGCAGAAGCAGCCCGCCCCGCACTCAGCGCCGCCAACCGCGCCTTCACAATCCACACCGCCCTCCTCCTCACGCTCGTCACGACCGCCAGCTACGCCGGCACCTCCGTCCTCCTCGCCGCCTTCCTCGCCGGCGCCGCAATAACCTGGTCCGACAACCTCTCCCCGACCACCACCACCACCACCACCACAGCGTGGACAGGCGCACGCATATACGAGCACTACTACGCGCCCATCACGACGCGCCTCCTCACACCCTTCTTCTTCGCCTCAATCGGCTTCTCGATCCCGATCACCCAACTCTTCGCGGGCAGCACGGTCTGGCGAGGCATCGTCTATGCTGCACTCATGGCGCTGGGGAAGCTCCTGACGGGCGTGTGGCTGCTGCGTTTCCGCGTCCCGGGGGTTGCGGTTGCGGGGAGGATTAGGGCGCTGAGGAAATTTGGTCCTGCGGCGTGCACCACTCCTGCCACTACCACTACTACTGCCACTCCCGCTACTACCTCTTCCACCACCACTGCCACTACCACCAATTCTACACCTCCAACCAACACCACCCCCGCACCCGCACAAAAGCCCAAATCGCTGTACCCGCCCTCGATCCTGGGACTAGCCATGATCGCGCGCGGCGAAATCGGCTTCCTTATCGCGTCTGTCGCCGAAGCCCGCGGAATCTTCAGTCCCGCCCCCGGCGGGGCGGAGGGCAGCTCGGAGCTGTACCTGGTTGTGATCTGGGCGACGGTGGTGTGTACGGTGCTGGGCCCGGTGTGTGTGGGGCTGCTGGTGCGGCGGGTGAAGGCGCTGGAGAGGGAGCGGGTTGTGAAGGGGGGGACAAGTGGGGGTGTGGGTGTGTTGGGGAGTTGGGGGGTGGATATTGATGTGCCGGCGGAGGGGTGGAGGGGGTAGAGGTAGTGCCAGTGGAGGTACCGGCGGCGGCGGCGGAGGTGGGGAGCAATTAGATTATTGTAGATACTGTACCTAGAGCAGTATTGTTTTTTATTTACTTAAACGATTCAATGATAGACAGTAGACAGACAGACATATAGTTAGATAGTAAAAATTGTTTTAATGATTATTGCGATAATATTGTTAATCCATTATTACTAAGTTTGTTAGCGGCGGTCATTATTATTTTTATGTTCATAACAATCATTGACACACAATAATCAAACCTCACCTCTATAACATCCACCACCCCTAATTCTATCTCCTCCCACCAAATCTCTCACAAAACACACAACTAAAGTATTTACCAAGCATTCTTCCGACCACACCGCTATTTACCCAACAATGATATCCCTCTTTGCAAAAAAAAAAAATACAACAAAAGTGTGATAAAAAACACAGAAAATATTAAAAGAGAAAAAGAGAAAAAAACGCCATGCCCATACAGGTCCATCCCACAAAAAAGAAGAAAAAACCCAAATCCCCCGAGCAATGCACCCAAAAGCCCCCCTCCCCCCACACACGCACAACGGGCCTGTGATTTACAATTTACATCATCCTCTCATCCGTCGCCCTCCTAATCATGGTCCTCCGCCTCCCCACCCACACCTCTTCCAGCGGGCTGACCAAGCTCGGGTTCACAAACAGTCCGCCGTGCTCCCGGCGCTCATCCAAAGTCTCAAGATCCGTGCGGCCGTCGCCGCGAATCACTTGGCCTTCTTGGTCTGGGATGCTCTGGTTGACGTCGACATCGCCTGGCTCGCGGATGGCGTGGAGCGCAATAAATGAGTTGAGTTTGCCCCAGTCCTCATCCCAGCGGTACATCCATAGAATGTTTCCGACAATGAGCGGTGCGACCATGGCGCTTCTGACGAATGCTCCTTGAGAGGCTAGGAACCCTGCCATGGCGAGCTGGAAGATGATGAGCCCAATGACGACACGGTAGAAGATCATCGACCACGCCTGCCCCGTGCTGTGCTGTGGATGGTCCATAGCGTACAGGAGCTGGTACTTGTATGTGAAGTAACCAATGATAAAGTACAAAAAGCCAAAAAATAGGATCAACCTTCCGCGGGGAAGGATACTGTACACAAATGTAATAATCAACACCAGGATAGGCTGGGGGAGGAAGAATCCATATGAGAATACTGGTGGCCGGTTGAGCTCTGCGTATTGACGTGGACTCCTTGAGATGAGCTTGTTGATGGGGTATAGCGCCACTGTGCCGAACTCGAGGAGGCGGAATGGGAACATGCCGATGCCTTGAAGAATGATTAGGTTGACATAGAAGGCGGCAAGGCCGTTAAGGGAGCCGGCAAGGGCATAGGCCACTCGGGTGGTGTCGCTAAGTGAGCCTTTAAGTTCATCCCAGAGCTTCTCGAAAGTGAGCGCAGTCCCGAGAATGGTAAAGGCAATGAACAAGTTGAAGAAAGTGAAAAAGAAGTTCTTAGAGATAACCGAGAGCTCGAGTTCAGCTATCGATATGAAAGCTTGGTATGTTGACAGCCCTGAAAATTCACATGTGTTAACGCACAGACGATCACTCGTGGAAGGGCGGAATACAAACATTCATAAAAGTACGGAACCGCGACGTTGAGCAAGGTCAATGCGAGAGTAGGCAAAAACGCTTGAACCAAAGACTCAACCCATTCACTTTTCTCCAAGACTGCTGCCAACCACGGCCAGATTTTTTGGATATCGGCAATGTTCAAAAGTGCAGCCAACCCAGTAACCGGAATAAGCCAGATGATACTCAAAATACTGACGAAAACACTAATACTCCAACTCCTTACTACGCGCTGAGTGCGGGACATATACGTGTTTCTCCACACAATTGAATCAGGGGCGGGCGCTTGGTATGCAAGTAATGTTCCGAACCGGGGGTCCAAAACCGCCTGGATGGCGACCTGTGCAGAAGCCGTTGACGACATGGTCACAAATGCGATTGGAACTGGCTTGTATGTTTGCTTTCTAGCAACCGTGATCCTTTTGTCGAGAGTTTGAAGAAGCGCCGTATAGTGGTCAATCGAGTCTACGGTTTTGGTGTGCATCTTAAACGGGCCATAGCGGAACGTATGCATTGGCCTATTCGTCTTGTGCGAATGAGGGCCGCTTCCATGCGGCGCAAGCAATGGGGCATCTTCACTGTCCGTACTACCTGGAGTTGAAGTTGCAGTCGGGAGTTCATCTGGGTCACTGTACAAGGTTCGCCGGAACCCATAATAGCTCGTATAAGCTGCCTCCAAACTCCTCAAAGCACTATCCCTTTGCTCCATCAACTTATCCAGCTCCAGCCAATCCCGGCAGATTGTAACTGATTCGACTTTGCCGATATTGAGTTCATCCATATATTGGCGGAGGGCACTTTCAGACCGGAGTTCCGGAGGAACCCCAGAGAGGCGGATGGTCCTGTCGGTGATTGTCACTTGACCGCCAAGGTATTTCTGGCGAACCGCAATGACCTTCTTTGTGGCATCGACCAGGAGATATGTTGCGAGACCTGTAAAGATGTAGACGAAAAACAAGTATGCCCAGAGGTACGGCCCATCCAGCTTCTTCGGCTTGCCCTCATCCGGATGTCGGTTATTGCTAAGAGCCCACATAGAGAAAGACGTGAACTTGATCTTTGAACCATCATAGTAATATTGAATCGGAAGCAGAACCGTGAATGCGAGGATTGTGGCTAGCCCAGTGAACCGGATCGCCATCTTGAAGAACGCCAGGAACACATAGGCGTCCAAGCCCGCGGTGGCGAGCACCTCATCATCCGTGATTTTCCATAGGGCCGGAATCCAACCGAACAGCGTTTTCGGCAAGTCGGGAAGTGTCGAGGCTGTACCATTTCTTGTCAGTTTCATATTCATGCGAAAGGCACGTGGGAGCTCCAACATACCACTGTAAACCTGTTTCTTACGCGCAGCATACAATGTCGACCATCGCGGCCGTAGAATGCAGAAGGCAATAAAAGCACCAATTCCAAAGGTCAACGAGATAGCGAGCTGTGTTGGAAGATCCTTTGCGCCTGTTGTTGTGAATGGTGTTCTGTTAGGACCCTTTGGTCGCAGAGAATGCATATCAAACAGAGTGGGGGGGGGATAAAGGGCTCAGTAAAAGAGTAGGAAGAAAAAGGAGAGCAACGTACGGGTAAGGTTCGCAGGGTCTTTAATATCAGTGTCGTTCTTCAAAAACACGGGAGTTTGAATTTGGTACTCCATGGCTGCCCATCCACTACTCCGAGCAGTTTTCGTAAGTAGAAGTAGGAAGGGTGGTTTAGAGTGTAGTTAGTATGGAAGTGGTCTGGTGCCGTTAGAATGGAATCGTGAAGTTGGGATCGATCTTTTTTTCCCTCTCTCTCTCGGAGGTCTTCCGGGGGCGGTTGGGGCTGGCAGGCTTTGCAGCTGCCAGGTGCTGGTTGGCTGAAATATGTGTGTCTGGTCCGTCTGTCGCGTAACAGCTGGCAAATGCGTGACCCTCCCACGCCAAGTGCTGCGTGACGACATACTGCAGTGGTGGCGCTAGGCGGGGGTTGTCAGGTACAAGCGATTCCCGACGACAACTGCGGTTTCTTCGACTGCAAAACGTTTCCCCACGTTCTGAATCTCAAATCGGCCCTGCTCCTCATTGGCGGCTTCCCCTCTATCCTTAACGGCCCCATCGCTATGAAATGTATCAGAACCCCTCTTCGGCAAACAAAAGTGGAGCGGTCATCTACTCAAAAAAAATGTTGAGATTTCTTCTTGTAAGAAATTTTGTTGCTGTGCCCCCCGCATTAACTACTCTGGAGTAGGTACATTAAATACCCTAGCAGTGTCAACGGAACTTGGCCCTTCCGGAAAACATGGTCTGGTTTGCTATCGATACTGGCATGATAAAATCCTGTTACGAATATCAACTGGGCTTAAAAACCTCGGTATGGGATGCAAGCGACATGTTTTCCCATATCACATACATACAGCACGATATGTACCTATCGTACTTATGTACTCTAGATAGAGAACTGTCGACCCTTACGAAAGCACATATGTTCTCTAGAGTGCATGTAGCACGTTAATTCTGCGCACATATCTGCGTGTAGAACCCTACTATCGGCCCGGGACAGGAGAGCCATGTCCTAAAGAGACTTTATCTCCATTGTCTATCCTTGGGAAATATATCATGGGGTCCAGCATGGAAATGATACCTACGCATCCCACGAAACCACCTCCAGGCATCTCCCCGGCTTCTATCAGAAACTGATATATGAGCGAGAGGATTCAAGTACGTTTAGCAGACGCTTCTTACAGACCTTCATAAGGCAAAACTGGTCTCATCACTCTGTGCATTCATGCGGTTACGTGGTCCATAATTCAAGCCCTAGCCCTCATCCCCAGGGGACCAGAACTAAAAGCTTCCCTGCATAAAACTATGCATGCATAGCATATCAGGTGATAAACTTCCGAAAACAATTTTTCTATAACAATTCAACGACGTCAAAAAAAAAACCCCCCCCGTCGCACTCTATTTATAAGGGTACCTGCCCGCAGAAAGAGTCTTTTCAGGCTATAAGGCTTCCACCTATAGTATAAATATCACGGCTTTAGCGCGCTATCAAAAGTAATTATGTACATTCCTGGCGCCTCGACTGTGGTTGTCGGCGGAAAACACACATCCCTCTAGCCTAGCAATAGGGGTTTGCGGACGACCTCAGCTCAAGGAACACTTGATCTATTCCCTGTTTTGCCCAGATTGGTAGTCGACGTCGCTGAAGCTTCCATGAAATTTCTTCTGGGTCTATATATATTTACCCCATGTTAATATTGCGTTGCACTTCCTAACTTAGAAGCAGTCATAGGATACTCCCAATAACTAACCCTGTAAGCAAGTGGCAGCTGAAAAGGTGCCAAAAGGGGTGATTGGTATTGTAAATGGCAAGATATAACGAAATATCATCTTCCTATAAATACTTTAAGGACATGATAGAACTCAAATTTTCATCTCCAGGTATAAATCAATAAAGGCTCTTTCAACGGGCGATTTCGCTTACCCTATGTTCCAAGAAGCCTTAGCAACCCGAGTAATATACGTGCATCCTGTATGAATTGCCGTCCATGTAATCTGGAGACGGCTGGTACTCTGCTGGAACCCAGTTGAAGTTTAGTGCCACATCGTTTTGGCTTTTAGTGCGAGGCTTTGCCAAGAAGATATCCTTATTAGGGTTTAACTAGTAGATACTTCATGTAGATAGCCATATCACCAGACTGGAAGAGGCGGGCATGGTAAGGCAACATATGGCTGATTTGCAAGAGTATTCTCATGATCCCCGAGACACTCTTCTTAAAACAGTCATGTATAGTAATCTGATTGCGGGAGGCAATAAGCTCGGGGTATATCTGCTGAAGAAAGTTACCGCAGCAAGGGAAGGTCGTAACACACAAAGACGTAATATCTGAAAAGTGCCACACCCACATCAACGATATACTTTGCATTTCTTAAGTCGCCCTAACCCGGGAGACCGGGTACTTCGAATATGTCAAACTGCCGCACACCCCGCATCCTTTCCAGTATTATGGGATGTCCGAGACGAAACAATAGTCGCGGGCAGATGCATTAGAGCGCTAGATCCGACGATCAAGGTACCCGAAGATCCAGGGATATGCGGTATACTACCCGTAGCATTGGTCTTGCCAAACTATTTTGTTGGGTCGTCGGACAGGTCATTTGTTGCCTTTGGCGCCGGGGTGGGGATTGACCTGGTGCTGTTCCCCGGGCAATGGTACCACAGAGCTGCAGCTAGCTGTATTGAAGAGAGCTGATTTCCAAACTGCCTATCTTGATCCACTTTAGTGGAATATGGTGCGTTCTGTTGTTGTTGGTTCCATGAGTTGATATTCCGGTTCCCGTGACTTTGGGTTGATATGAGTATGTACAGACATGTCTTTCATATTGATGCAGTGAATTTGGAACAATTGAAGTTGTCTCGGGCAAATAGAGTGGGTTGAGTTCCAAGACAGTTATTAACCATGGCTCCTCATGGAAGTGATTCTTAAAATTAAAAGGATAATAGATTGCTAGTATTTCAAAGTACTAATGCAGAAATATAGCCATAATGAATCACACTCTTGATTCAAGGGAAATTCCTTCAAAGTAAGAATCGTTAGAGGAATAGTACATCATAAAGTGATCTTAACATATCTCAATCAGCAATTTAGGGAGAATCCGAGGAACTTGTCTCAGTTGTCCTCAGTGTAGTCTTAAACACTAGATATATCGACCACCTTTCCCGGATTTCAACGAATGTAATACTACAACGTGGTTAAAATCCTTGAAATCCAGTAATTAAGATGACCTAAGGTTGACTGAGGCGGCCCTCAAATACCAATTGTTACCACCATTGACGTCTCAATGTTTCAATGTTTCAATAAAGCCTCAAATGAACCCAAGGTTCACATAAGATTAGCGCCCATCACAGCCAATTATATCACTGTGTTCTCAATTCCATACCACGCGGTCGCAAAACCCAACAGCTATTAAGAACGGGGAAGTCGGAAGGATCCTCCTCCACGTGTAGGTAATTCCTCAATCAGATTTACAACGAACGATACGGAATGATTCCATGACTAATAAGTACTATCCCGAGACCGCGGAATGCTAATTTCATTCCGGTACCGGCCAGCCGGAAGTTTCCAGTTGTCCACATCTGTCATCACTAGTGGCCATTGCCGAATGTCAATAACCCGGAAATACACATAAATACGAATAAAACTCTATTGGTGTTGTATGGTGACAAACACCGCATCTTGAATATGTCCGAAATTAGGGCCGGCCTTTTCGCATCTCACTGACGCTAACGGCTTCTCTGATCAGTGAGTACTGGCTTTGTTGATATCTCAATGTTGTTTGTTTAACACGCCGGAAGCAATATTGATGACGATGATCCGCTATCAATCATGATAACTCGAACATGTTTCTCGTTCTGTAATAAGGTCTCTAGGTGAGGACGATTTATGACATTAGCCTTACTCGGCATGCTTCCTGCAGTATTTGTCGATCATGTTGGATCTATTTTTGCAACACTCTGACAAGAATAATTGCTTTTCCTGTGTTAGAAGTGATTTTACTGATGTCTTAGATGCCCTCTAAGCCACTTTACTTCCCCGGATTATATAATAGACCTACATACCGTTATCAGTTGTTCTAGAAGGAAAGAGTGCCTATATTTAAGGTTCTTATCGATATTGTGAAGGTTTTTTATTTATATTTTTTTTGGTTCGTACAAAAGCAGAAACGTACGGTACCAACAAGATAAAACATTATATTGGGCGCGTGGAGAGGCGGTTGGAATGTAGAGAATACCGGAGTATTAGAGAGCTCAGATGAAATTGGCGCATTGACCCGTTGCACTATCTGCACTGTCAAACAAACAAGCTTGAGGAATGTTTAGCCTTTTTAGGGCCCCGGTGAGGTGGGGGGATTATTACCATTTAGCAGTGGAGCAGTGGGGCTTCTTTTCTTTTTTTTACGCCGCAATTGGAAAAGCCACAGAGGTGAGATTTCATGCACCAAGTACCTGTATGTAGGAATGTCCTTGTAGAGTTGTATCGCATTAACGCTCCAACCACGGCTCAGTATATTCAGGCACCGATTTTCTCTTCGCCCGAGCCGCATTTGCCTTACTGGAGGATGTCAGCCATCCATCTCAACAGCCGCAACATCTCGACCCAATTTTGGGATGAAGCTTCGTCATAATATAAGAGCGAGAGCGGCGGTAGTGGTGCACAATGTGGCATGCCCACTCTATCTCAGGAATATCGGTAGCTCCAGGTTTTGAATAGAAAGTGTTGTAGGAAAGCACAAAGATGAGTTTCTTGGCTTGCAAGGGTCGCAGGTGCCCCTGGACTTACCCTCATCTAGCCAAGCGCCGCCTGCAGGGAATCCCAACCCCAGTTGAGGGGAAAAAAGAGGAAGGATCCCAACTTTTGAGGGCATACTGAAAAAAGGAAAGATCTCTCGATGGGAGTTCTGAATAGAAGAGATCTTGTTTTCAGCTCTTTCACGTAGAGTGGATGCATCTGAAGGGAAGAAAGCAAATCTCCGAGGGGACGGTTGTCCTTGCGGGGGCCGCGTGTGGGCACCGCCGCTGCCAAAGCTGATGCTGATTCTGTGGCTTCTGCAGCAGGTACGTACGCCATAGAAGAGGATGGATTCGGTACTGGCCGCGCAAGTCTGATGTTTGGAGAATCGTGTAGGGCACCAGGTAGAGTATCGTCGGTTGTGTTCCGTTCCCCGCACTTGTTTCTGGACCTGAACTCTTCTTTTTTCTTTCTACGAATCAGTGTAAAGGGTGTTTCCTTGTTTCAAACGTTCCTTATCCACTCCAGAGGGCGGTGTTTCCTGTACCTGAACACTTATTTTTGACCTGACTTGCAAGGTGTACCTCATTATTCTCGTACCGGATCATTCATGCGAAGGCTTCTCTATTTCGTATTTGTAGGCATATAGATTGTAGGAGTACTCTACTAGAGATTATAGAGTAGAGTAAAGTAGAATGCTACATATATACATACATTACGATCCTACCAGATGCCTCATATGGGATGCACTTTAGTGCTAACTTAACCTGCGGCTCGAGTCCCGGATGCACATTGCTGTAGAAACTCTTAATATCCTCGCTCCTTCGCTTCAGTCCTCTCCACATACATGTGTCGAGGGGGGGGGGGGGGGGGGGGGGGCCACGGATTCTATCCTTTCATATCACCTCATCTTTTCGTCTTTCATCATCTTTCTCTTCCTCTCAACTGGGGCTACTTCCTATTCTATCCAAAGTCGCCCACGCCCCTCGTCTACATAGTACTCCAGTAACCCACTCACTTACTCACTCGTGGGGTACTTTTTTCAATCGTTTCTTCCGTACATATATACACATTCAATACACCCACCTACATTACCCCCTTTGTGTCCACTGTCCGCTTTCTTTTTTGCTGTGAGCGTTTCTGCAGCCACTCTCTGTCCAGCTCGCATAGCTCTCATTACCTCCCATCCATTCACTTGTTCGTGCCAGTACATACTATTACGCTTTCGGAGATCCTAACTTATTGGAGGACGCCTTCCTCTCTCGCTTCCCCCTTCCCACCCAAACAGCCGGAATGCAATTCAAACAACAAGACTGAAACTACCTCCCATCTCTACTATCCACACTGAAATTCCATGTGTACAGATCTTCAGGACTCTTACCCCATTCTTACCTAGATCATACTTGTACACACTCTGTAGTTCCTGCTCTACCACCTCCGTTCAACTTAAGCCCCTCCACTCCCTTCTTCAACCCTCCCCCCACAACGATCAACCACTACAGCTACGGTTACACTCCCCAGCCTTCATAACAAGCAGCTACCTTACTGCGAGGCCTGAGCATACTTCAAACTTGATCGACGACTTCCGGTCCACTCGTGAACAGCTTCCACACACACACCTAAGAGAGGACTAAGGAACCAAGAGAAAAAACACAAAGAATTACGCAAGGGGCCCACATCCAAAACCCTGACATCCGTCAACTGCAGCCAGCCAGGGGTGTTCCTCGTTCCAATCATCCACTTTTCCGACCGAAATCAGTCAGAATTGCATAGGAATCCTTGATAATACTTCTGTCGTTTTTTTCTTGTGTTTGAACTATTTGCTCGAGAGAGCGTGGTTCCTATCATGGGCAAGAGAGATCCCAAAACTGCTGCCTACATGACAAACGGGACCAATACAACAGGCAAGAAGACCCATGAAGGTCACAAGACAACCGCCGCAACGATCGCGAAAGTAGCTGCGGCTCAGGAGGAAGTCAAGCAATCCCTCGAACCCCTTGGAAAGTCTGAACAACCACCGAAGGCCCCACCGAAGGATCTGAAGAAGCTTCTCAAAGGACAGCAGCCACCTTTTGGAGGAAGGTCAAACATGTCCCCAGGCGCTTCACAAACAGCGACAGCTATTCAACGCATTGCCGAGAATGGGGCACCACCATTAAAGCTCAGTACCAATCCTTCTGGCCAGTCGTCAAAACCGCGTAAAGGGAGTTCGAAGTCTTCAAAATCTGCTTCCAAGTCGTCGACATCTTTGAACTCAGTCTCGCCCTCTTCGGTCAGGCACCATTCATCTCCGTCATCCCCCGGTTCTGAGAACGCCCCTCCTCTTCCCCAACGACCCCGTCCACAACGTTCTTCTTCTGCTGAAGGTGCCAGCTTGCTTAGTATTGTGAAGAAGGGAAAGGAACAGATTCAATCAGATGGATCAAAAGTCGCGAAGTTCTTCGGCAAGAAATCTCATGAGGCCTGGGACAAGATAAAGAAGCAGAAGGAAAAGGAGTCAAAATCACAAAAGTTTGTGTGTGAAAGAAGAGACACGAGCAATGATATCGATGTCTTCGGTATGGAGTTGAAGGATGCGGTTTTGAAAACCAGAGTAGCGAACGATAGGAAGATGGTTGGTGATGGCGCGTATTGGATGCCTGCTTTGGCTTATAGATGTTTACAGTACGTATTCATACCCCCCGGAAGATTTTCAATTGAAAAATTCCATTAATTATAAACCTTTTTCTTTCTTTTTAGATATCTAAACGTTCATGGACCGCACGAGCTGGGTATTTATCGGATATCCGGGAGCACATCTGTGGTGGATGAGCTAAGGGCGGATTTCAAGATTCGTATGTTTAGACCCCACCAACCTTTTCTAACTCTTCTTGACCTAGCGGCTAATCTGCATTTCAGATCACGATATCGATCTTTTTGATAATCCCCCGGATGATCTCCATACAGTCTCTTCTTTATTGAAGGGTTGGTTTAGGTCCCTACCTGAAGCTATTCTTCCCAATGATGTCCAGAAGCGTGTCTACGAAAAGTGTAAGGACATGACAGATGCTATTAAACCACCGCAAGCCTTTGTGGACGAGCTGTCCAACCTCCCACCATACGTAAGGATCACCCTCTATTAGTTTTTTGTCGCGAGGGAAGCTCACTCAACATCACAGAACTACTATCTCCTTCATCATCTCTTCTCGCATTTGAGCGCCATTTGCGGCGCATCAGATGTGAACAAGATGGGTCTTGCTAACCTTGGCATGATATTCTGCTCAACCCTTCGAATTGATCGATTCTGCTTCAATTGGCTAGTCAATAGCTGGTCGGACTGTTGGGCGGGCTGCTTGACTGAGGAAGAGGAATATGAAAGGACTCTTCCGCCACCACCACGCCGCAATCCTTCGATTACATCGTCAGCTTCTCACAATTACAATCGTTACAACCAGTCTTCGCCCATCCCCTCAGAACCTAGATCAAGGTCAGCTGGTCGTGCCGATACCATGCCTAATAGCAGCGTAGATCGTTGGCCATCAAATGGGTCAAGCAATCGTCAGCTTTCTAATAAATCCCCCGTCCTATCATCAGGCCGGAGTAGATCTACAAGCAAGGCTGGTACAGATCGTCTGATAGAGGCCGAAAAGGATCTAGAACGGGAAATCCGGAGACGGAGAGATCAAGACATGGCAATGTCTCGTGAGAGATCAAAAGAAACCCAACGTTCCAAAACAGATTTATCTGAATATGAGGATTGGAAAGATGCTCTAGAAAACGTCCCCCCTTCTAGTACACCAACCCCACCTCCGTTCGTACCTCGCCACCCGACTCCCCCTATGAACGGTAAAAAGGAAAAGCCAAGAGCAAGATCACCAGAGGGTTCAAGAAGCGCTATCCGTATGCAAGACATTGAGGAGTTGAATAAACTCGCTCTTCGAAAGAAGGATATTGATGAGATAAGCAACCTTCGCATCGAAACCAATACCAATTTTCAGCCTCCTAGATCACCGGCTGGGAAATCACCAGGTGGAAAGTTCTCAATTCATAGCAATCAGTCTGATCAACTCAGTTTAAATGTGGAGACAGGATGTACCCCGAGAGGAAGCATCAGCAGCGAGCGCAATGGAAAAAACTCGGGGAAAAACTCCCCAGCAATGTTGGGGATGCCATTACCGAGGATTGAGCCGATTAGCCCTATGTTGAAGGAGGGAGGAATGCTTTGAACGGCATATAGGAGGTTGCTATGGACTTTTTGACTTCGCGATTGTTTAAAGTTTATTTTTACCCTTTAGTTTCTTTTAATATGTGCTTGTCTGTGGAGCTTTTCCCTTTTTGGGTTACCATTAATCCTCTGGCAGGATTAATTAATTGGTATCTGCTTATTGTGGAATTGAAATCACAGACTTCCCGCACTCTTTCTACGTCATTATACAGCTTCCTATTTTTTTTTTCTTTTGGCCTTTCTGAGTAAGTGTTTTTTTTTCCCCCTCTTTACAGCGACGGTGAGCCGTTTTGGTGGCTTTTTTTTTCCTTTTTTTTTCCTTCAAGTTTCTCGGTTGGAGTTGAGCGTAGCATTTTCAGTGCATTGTCATTGTCGTTTTCTTTATTCCATTAATTTTCTATGTTCTGGGTTCCATGGGTGATACGAGTTCCTTTCTTATCGTTCTTGCTCTCTCTCCTATTTGTGTGGTCCGGAATAAGATCACTGCAGAAACACGGCGGGTATACGGGGCGGTGTACAGCTCTCGGCGGCATGTGGCGTGGGCATAATGTATTTTTTTGTACCTCCTTTTCTATTACTGACTCGTCTCGCCCGTCCAACTCGTTCGCTCGTTTAGAGACACATCTACGTACACCCTCCATCCATCCACTCGCTACTACCTACATGTACTACTACCTACCTCTACTACTAAAAACCTGCTACTTGCTACATCTTTATATTACATACCTGTAGGCTGCATTTTCCAGTTTAAACCGTCCTCATTTCTTTTTCATTCTTTCCGATTTGTCTTGTACGTGTTTTTAGAGCCTCGAGATACCCCCTGCTTTCGATTGAAACAAGTCGATTGATGGAGGCTTCGGTGAATGGAAAAGAATGAGAAAATGCGGTTCGGATGAAAAAGGAAGAGTTCTAATTGTGACAAATGATCTGGAATCTGCCTTGTGTATGCCTTGTTACATAGTGAATAATGGGGAAGCTCTGTTTGGCTGGGAATCCTATGCCCAGAAACGTGGAGTTCCTGGGACAGATCCAGGAACGGCCGCGGATCAAGATGTCGAGTCATGAATGGTGATCAGTAGAGCGAACACGGCTCATGATGGTAAATACATCATGTAACTGCACGTAGAATACTAGTACTTGGATTGGATACCAGACTTGGGGCCTTGCTTTGCCTACCACTGTTAAAATCAATACCGTGCGTACTGCCGGGGTGTATAAATACATGTAAACAATTTATTCCATAAGTACTACATGTACATATATGTATGTACTTCTGGCCATTGGTTCTGTTCTTATTCGGTCTTGATCTTATCGTGTGTGGTGAGGCCTATTGTGCATTCGCGGAGTGACCTTGTATTGATTTTAGTTGGACAAATCTACAACCTAGAACATGATATCTATGAAGTACTCCGTACATGTACTTATATACATGTGCGTTTTAGTAGTATCGGTTGTGTTTGGATTTTCTCATTGGAATAGTACCTGAGGGATTCCTTATGGAAAGTTCAGCTACACCAAATAATACCCATTGAGAAACATATTTGATCCTAGCAAATGTTTTATCTTTTATGTACTTGAACGACCGGATACCAGGTAATTTAAGAATGTACATCAGACCGTCACTATTAGTAGCGGTAGTAAGGTACGTGGCTCCACGGGGCACCTTCCACCTTAACCAATTCTTCTTTAATCACGACCACCCACCCCATCTGAGCATCCCCCATCTGAACATCCTCCATCTTGAGATCATTCTCCATCTTTAGATACTCTTCTTTCATCTCCACGTCCTCCATCTTGATATCGAGCTCGGGTTTGATTTCCGTTTCTGTCTTGATTTCGTGTTCAGTCTTGATTCCGGGCTCAGTCTTGATTCCGGGCTCAGTCTTGACTTCGAGTTCAGCCTTGATTTCACACTCAGCCTTGATTTCAAGCTCAGACTTGACTTGGAATTGAACCTTGATCTCTAACTCAACCTTGACTTCAAACTCAGACTTTATTCCGAACCCAGATTTAAAGTCGAACTCAGTATTGTCCTCTAATTTCTCTTTGACTTCTGGTAACTCGATATCGTCCTCCAACTTGAACTCCATCTTAACTTCAGGCTCGACAACAGTATCATTTCTTAGTGGTTGGGTTTGTTCGAGTTGTCTGCGGTTTACCTCCAGCTGTTGTCGACGCTCTTCGAGTGCCGCCCGGCGCTGTTCAAGATCTACCTCCATCAACTGCTGCCCCTCGTTATCTCCCCCTTGAATAGCTCCTAGATTCTGTCCTCCTTGATCATGGTGACTAAGTAGTTCTTCTGAGCCATTATATCAACTCACTTAACATCTTATTTCGCTTTATAATAGGGGAAGTGTGGTACGAACCTGCGACCAGACTCTCAGCTTTTCTCCGTGCTCTCGCGAGCGCACTAATCCTCGCTGCCGCTCTACACTGCAACCTCCTATGACTGATTCCCCCCATTTAGTTAACTGAGAGCTAAGCGTTGGGTTCTATAAGAGAAAGTGTTGCTTTGAAACGAAATCGATAGGATGGATAGCTGTAGAGAGGCCTAGGTAATAGAAGAAAAAAGGAGCGCGATCCGAGATATTAAATCTGTTATATTTACGTATGAACGCCAGATCCTTGGCGTGTGATCCGATGTTTTGTCGGCGTTGTTCGAAAGCTAAGATAATGTAACTCTTTATGGGCATTTAAACCCGTGCTCGTTTTAATAGATAAATGAATAAAATGTTTAGTATTCACCAGTGAAATCAATATCGTCTTTGTATAGAATCTCAATAGAGATGTACTTGAATAACACATGACTTACGTAGCTGTATCCGGGATGGCATTGGCCTTGCTTCCGCAACGCTTTCATCTAAACCCACAGGCAACCTTTGGACTTCTACACGCTAGTAAAGGATTCCTGCATACGCGTAGATTTTCTCACTAACTGCATGCACGAACTAACTAAATGGACACGTCTTCTCTGCAAGGCTACAGCCTGCCAACCTTTGAAGCCTTCGTCGAGTGATAATCCATGAATAACGTCTTGAGTGACGTCATGTGTGGAATTGGCATCAAGTATTCGCCGAACTCATACCAGGAGTATCCCAGGAAATAAACTCAGAGTGTGTATTGACTTTGGCTTGCCGTGCACATATGTGGGCCACATAAATCACCACCACCACCATATCGCTCAGTATTCAACGGCTAGTCACGTAGCAACCAGGGACAAGACACTATGGAACCATCAACCCTTTTAGATCCTGTGGATGCTTTGGCCTGTCACTTTAGGTCCTTTGGTGCCGAGCTTTCTGCAAACAAAACGCCTCTCAGGTTTGTCAGACTATTCCTTGTTCCACTCCACACTCCAGAGCTGATCACAGTCATCTTCTGGTAGGATCCCTTCCTCGCTGAAATCACAACTCAGCGAGAAACTTGGTACGCCCGGATTGGAAGGGACTTTAACCGTAAGGCTCATCTTGCTTCCAAGAAGCCATGTCCTAACCAAACTAGGCTCCTTACCATTCTAAAACCACCGCGAATCTTGTCAGCTCTATCAGCGATCAAGACTTTGAGCGGTGGTGCCTACTAGATGCCACAGCATTCATCTTTGTTACAAGAATTCTCCTCGAAGCAGAGCCTTGTCTAGCAAAGGATCAGGGCTTTTTTCGACTGATAGTGAGTACCTTGCTTCTGGTAAGGCTTTAGGTACTCTACATGGATGAGATCTAACGGCTTAGGAGGCACTTGAAACTTTACGGGATCAGAGTAGCGAATTGTCAATGCCAGAGAGACTGTTGTCTATATACAAAAATACCGTTGGAGAATCCCTTGCCGCCAAGTTACTTGACACTTTTATTGACTGTGAGGAGTCTGGATTCTCGAGACGTTGGGCAGGCATGTTGCTTGTTGAGCTATTGGAAGAATCCGAAGGAAACAAAGATCGTGTTTGGAAAATGCCCGACATGTTTTTGTAGGATCCCTATTTTAGATTACAAGGCGATCGTTTCCATTGCTGATGGTTAGTTTGGGGTAGTAAGGATATAGGAGAAATTATTATCAGTGGAGATGATAGGATATTGAAGATAGTCGCGGGCAAGATTATTTGGCAATTAACGCAGCCCATCGAGGATGAAGAAGAGATACGACAACGCTTACCCACGTTTTGCCAGTCAGACCTGGATGGGGATTTCACTAAGGGATTCCCCTTGCAGAGCGGTTCACAGTGGGAGAGTGGATTTGCTAATTTCATCAATGATATGGAACTAAATAGATACGACCTGGACCTTGGGTAAGTACATCTTATAAGTCCTAATTATTACTATTCAACTTTAACGAAGAACAGTCCTCCAAATGGCTACACTGCTGTCCAGGTTATGCTTGGGAAAAACAGCCCCATAAGTTCTGACATTGGAGCAATCACGATAAATATTGCCGAAATCTTCAGCATATATATTCCACCAAATGCGGACCGCTCTCCCGACTGGGTGGATCTGAAAATCGTTAATATTAGCAAGATCGAGTTCACTAAGCAAATCTTAACCGAGAACTCAATGGATGACCTCATGTACCTCAAACTTCACTTACATGACTACGACCAGGACGGGTATCTTTATCTACTCTCGATGCGACCATCTTCAGACTCAGATAGTATTACAATTCTATGCTATAAGAACGAGGTGGAAGACTTTGCTGGAGACATAGAGAAATGTCGGGGGAAGGTGCTGCTACGTAAGGGTAGACAGCAGATAAGTAGTGCACCATTAAGGGATATACAGGCAAACCCCGAATACCGCAAATCCCAGCAAGAGAAGATAAATGAACTTGAACGACACAGAGAAGATATTTTGAAGGTGTTGGAGAGTCCAACAGCCAAGAGTGATGATTATGCTAGTTCACTGACAGACCCAGATGAGTTCGAGGACGGATGGGACATGTGTCTATCGGAATATAAACCGGTGGGACCGCGGGACGGTGAGAGCGATACAAAGGAGAGGGGGAAAGAAAATTCGAGAATTGATCCAATGACGGCAGGAGTATCGGAGGAGGACACTATTATCAGCCCTGCCAAGAAGCCCTTAGCACCCAAACTATTAACACAAGGACGGTGCACACCCGCCTCTTCTCTCAAAAACCCTACCAAGACATCTGATATTATCCCGGAGTCAAGTCTCGCTGCCCCCATCACCCCTGATTTTGACCCCAAACATATCCGTAAAGTCATCTCGGAACGCTTTTCGGCACCTCTAAGACCTTCATCATCCGTTCATGGGTTGCAAAAGGTTAAAAAGCTAAATTTACCGCCTATAAATAGTTCTCAGTCATCCAGAACCGCAAACTCCAACTGCAAAAAAGGTCTAGAGGATGCTTCTGAGATTCTCAAGGGGAAAACGCCTAGCATATTAGGGGATAATACGAAGCATCATCCAGATACATCCGCAGATGAGCAAACAGAAGCCAAATTATCAATGAAGACCTCAACGTTGAAAAAGCCGGCAGAACCCCAAAAGAAACACGAAGGTATATATAAACCGAAGCCTGGTAGCAGTGCTAAGCTTTTGAAACTCCCTTCAGAGGCTTTAATGGTTCATGGAGAATCTACAAAGTTAAGGGCTGAATACTTTGACACCCCAGCGGTGGATAATTCACATGGGAAATCAAAAGATAATCCCCCGTCTTTAATTTCCGAGAAACAGCTTTCTCGAAATCCACCAGCCAAAGAAAACAGTTTACCCATAGTTGAGAAAAATTCTAAGGAAATCGTTAAATCTGCGGTTTTTGGTATTACCGATGATCGAAAGAAATTGCGGGCCCCTCCTCATACTTATGGGACGAAAAACAAAAAAAAGGGGGCATCCAAGCCAAAGGGAAAGACCCCAAACAAAGACGATCCCCCAAATAAGAATAACTTACAGGTAATGGCTACCAAGTCAGTAAAGTCTCGTATCCCGCCTGTGAAACTAGATAAGGAAAGATTACTACCATCAGATGATACTAGTATTTGGGAGTTACCTGTATCTGAAGAACCAGAAATAGAGCCGAGAAACGAGAAAAAGAAAGGAACGATACATCCCAAAATGTTATCCCCGAAGAAGCCAGCTCCCAAGTCGAGGCAACCTATCAAATCAAAACCACCGCCCAAGAAAAGGGTTTATGGAAAATCTGTGGTAAAACCGGAACCAAAGTCAAAAGAAATTATTTCAAACTCTGACAAAGAGTTGGAAGTAGAATCTCCGCCTGCACGGAAGCAAAAGCAGAGCCCTAGATCAAAGAACAAAGATATTCCAAAGATTGTGCCTGATAAAACAAATTTTGAGCAAGACAGCGAAGATGAATCGGAAGATCAAGTGGCTGCCCACTCACTCAGGCCAAAGGTGAAACCGAGGCCGAAACCGAAATCAAGGAGTTCCCCTGCATCTGGACTAACAAATCGTACATTACCCAAACACAACGAAGATGAGCAGATGAAATCCTCAGAAATTGAGTCTATTCGTGCATCGACACCTCCAACTCCAACACCGAAGACGAGAAAAAAAGAGCTAGTCAAATTGACCCCAGCAAAACGTACAGCATTTGAAGATAGTGATAATGATGGGCATGCAAGGCCTTCTTCTCAAATATCTGGCTCAAAGTCTGCTTTAAAATCTACCCATACATTAAGATCAGCTAAACATAATGAAAGTGGGGAAAACTGGTTGGAATCTTTGAAACAAAAGAAACCTCCCACTACCTCGACTAACCTAAAGAAAGCTGTGGAAGTCATCCCGGTACCTACTAAACGTGCTGCTTCTCCAGATGACAATGATGATAATATCAATAGAGGAGACATTGGCCCGCTAAACAAGAGAAAAAAGCCGGAACAATCAAAGATTAGCCAAACGGCCGAAAAGGCACGCCGACGGCCACTTTCAAAGGAGGCACTAGACAATTCGAAAAAGCGCTTCAAATCAGATGCGCTCCTTAATACAAGTGAAGCAGACGAGGATAGTTCATGGAGGCCGAAAACTCGTCTGCAAGCGAAGTTAGAACTTGCCAAAAATTCGGTCGAAACCAAGAAGGCTAAAATACATAAGGCACAGATTCCTAAAGCGGATTTTAGTGAGGAATCTACCGATAAGTTTAAAGCTACGGGTCAATCATCCAAGAAATCTGGTCGTAGGGTGCGCTGGCGAAAAACTATTCTGAGCGAGGAATCTTGTGAGGACGATATTGAAGAAGCCTCATTGAAGCCATCGAGTGCTATAGTTATCGAAACCTCTAAGAAGGAGTATTTTCCTCCAGAGGATAAATCTGATCTCACTCATAATAAAAGCCCGCCCAGCGAACCGGAAACAGGAGGAAATGCCTTTACAAGCCGAGTGATTTTTGATGATGGCGCCCAGAAACCAGATGAATCCCAATTAAATAAAAGGGGAGTACTCCCCGTAGACTCTGAAGAAGTTTTTGAAGAGAATCAGGCGCCTATTGCGGTTATGAGCTTAGCGGTGTCTAGCACACATCATATTCCTAACAGATCTAAAAACCTTCCGGAAAATCATTTCCAGGGCTCGGCACTACGACACAAACGGAAACAAGACGCGCTATTAACTTCGGCTACACCGAGAAAGGTAATCAACGATCCAAAAATATCGCAAGCCCGCCCAGGAGCCCTCATTGATGACCGTTTGGCAAGAAAAGCACAGATAATCTCGTGGGGTTCTAGTGGCCCCCAAAACCAAGGCCGAACACCCATTATAGAGAAATCCAACGCGGCTAGTGTTATAAGAGAAGGTGATTTCTCTACCGATGGCGAAGAATATAGCGAGGAGGATACTTCGTTCCCTAGACCGGAGAGCGGCTTAGGCCTAGTGATTATTAAAAGTGGTGACGAAGACCGCGTCATTATCCGGAAGCAAGCAAAATCGAGCCTATCTATTGACTTCGATAAAAGAGACATAGAGACAGTGGTAATCTATTTTAAAATTAGAATTGAGACTTCATTGCACAGGCTAATTTTGTGTTTTTTTTTTTAGATCGGTATGGATGGGAGCCCCCTGACCACGCCTATGCGCCGAGCTAATGCTCCGACTGAGCTTCTTCACAGTAATGAGGGCGATGATGAGTCACGGCACTCGGACCCTATTGATTCAGAAGATAGCAGTGATGCTGTTTCCGATTTTGAAATTGGGAATATAGGCAATGACGACCAAGAATTTCCCGCTATTCAAGACGTATATATATCTGAAAAATATGAGCCAGGAGATAAAGAGAGAGACGATACTTTGAGAGAAGCAGAGCTTACCACCACAGGGGAGAAGGGTTCCCACCGTCAATCCCTTGTTAAACAAAAGGTCAGTATTATTGAGCTTTCGTCTGACTCGTCCGATTCAGAAGCCAGGCACCAAAACCGGGCACCAAAGCAACCTTCTATATCTAAGCGTTCCTACTCGAAGCCAAACGAAAACTCTAATCAGAGAGAATCGCCCAAAGTTCTCAATCCCAGAAAGGCAGAAGATTATTTCTCAGCTACCAAGGAAAACCTGCCAATACCTGATAGTTATGTCAACCAAAAATCCGGTAAAGAGTGGAACCGCCGTGTTATACACCAAAGCCCTAGGGGTTTTGTGTCTCCCAGTCAAGACTCACAATACATACATCCTAGAAAAGATCATGAGGGTAAACCTTTAGATAAAAGGGGGCCTCCAGCAACAGAAAATATATTCGAAGAGCGCGAACATACACCTACAATGGCAAGGGATATAATCTCGGGAGCGAAGATAGCAGCAGATTTAAACGCCTCGGAGATACATGTGGATAGAAAGATCCAGAAAACGGGGTTTTCCAAGTGGCTTCAAGAATCAGGATTCAAGAAGGTAGCAAACAGTGGCCATAACAACCGAAAGGTCCACCACATTTCGGGAGGTGGTTCGCAGTCAAAAGATCCGGATAAGACGCTGATAAATGAAAGCAGTCACGGCGAATCTGAAACGAGTCAAGAGCGTGAGCAAAAACAGCAACGGAACAACCACGGGAAAAGGACGTCGGGTAATGAAAGTGATGATTCAGACACTGATACTAGCGACTATGAAGACTCTGATACCGAGGATGAGGATGACGAGGATGATGGGGATGAGGACGAAGAATCTTCGGAGGATGAACATCAAAAATGGCGCCAGTCAGTACCGGATTACCACTTGGAAAGTTTATCAGTCTTAAACCAAATTTCTCGGGTATGCCAACCCTGAGTGAAAGATATTGTTAACAATAAAGTTAAAACGAAGCATAGCTAATCTATCTTTAGGGGCTTCTACGATATCTTATGAGTGGTGAGGAGCTAGCTATGGAAATCATCAACGACTTCGAAAAGAACGGGAGAGAGATAGCTGAGCGATTGGGTGCATCTCATAGGCGTGAGTATGAAGAATTTTTGATAAGAGTAAAGTTGGGAGAAAAGAAAGTACAAATGGAGCATGCTAAAATAATGGAAGCTGCTGGAAAAGATTTTTCCGAAATCACGAGGAGGTCGGAGACGTTGAAAGATGTGAGAACAAAATTAAGAAAGGAGTACGAGGTTTTAGACACCACAATATCGACTATGATGGCTAACTTGGAGGAAGACCTTGAGAAATCGGCGCTATAGATACGGTGGTTGAATTATGTTTTTCTTTGACTTCTATAGCTGTTTGAGAGCTAACATTGAACTAATCATATGGGGAGCTCAACTGTATCTATCCAAATTGCTTGAACTACTTCAAAATGAATGAGAGATAAGAGCTCTTAGTAAATAGATCGCTACATCGTGTTCAATGTGTAAGCTTCTGGGAGGTATCCTTGCGGGTTCTACGGCATAGGACATAACTTCTTCGGCAATTAACGGATCTATAGGGTCATCACATATCACTCGGTCCTCGATGACGGTAGATTTTTTTTTTAATTCATTAATTGATGACGGTAGACTGATAAGAATACTGATACTTCTTTCGATAAACAAAAAAATTTCTAAAACACTTTCTTCAGTTCTGTGTCCTCTACACTTATCTTATTTCTAGATGCATATGGTATAATGACAGCAAGTCACGATGACTGTGAAGATACTATACATGTAGTAACGATGAACCCCACCAAGAAATAACTTATGAATTTAGTGAAAATACATATATTTATCTCGATAACCCGGTGTTAGAATTACGCCATATGCAGTGGTGGTTTCGCCGACTTTGCAAGGGCTTAATGTGTGGTGCTATTATATTAATTAAGGTGCCGCATATACATACTATAGGTACGAGCTGGTATATCAACTCACGCTTTCCCCGAAATCTTTAGGGATCAGATCTCTCTAGCGGTTGTTGATGTGTGGGGCTCTGTACTATATGATCTCACTAGCTAATAGCAAGGCAAGATATACATATCCCGCTGGAAAGGACAACATCGAGGGTAACTATATTTTCCTGCCCTACGTGTTAGAATACGGCTACTATATACTTTACTTATTCCCATAGCCGGTACTACATGTATACACCTGAGACCTATTCGAATTTGCAATCATAATCTATCACTCGGTATCTTCCAGTGTCAGGTTTACACTTGCATAATGGGCTATGGCAATCACGGGCCCGTGGTAAAGCTGCTTATCACAACGACATGCAGCAAACACAAAATCTTACAAAAATTGCGATCACTGACATATCTCTACATTCGGTTATTTCACCGGCGGGGATAAGCCCGTTTATTTATCATGGGCCAGTGACTCCCTTCGTCCAGTAAGCGGGCCTATAGCTACAGATTGTATTACAAACTCATTTTGACTGGGCCACAAACCCCGACCTTTTGCTGCAGTCATGATCACAGGATCTCTTTCCAGATCCTAATTTACATGCACCAACCCGGCTTTCATAACAGAGGTGTCCCACACAAACTCTCTGCTTATCCTGAAATATATCGGGAAACTGACCGGGGTCAGCTGCGATCACGCGAGCCTGAGGAAAACTAGCCGCTCCTGTTCCATGTAGTCAGTAATTATATCACCAATTATTTTGACAAAACAGGCCATGCATTGGCCTGTCCGTTCGCAACTGATAGAACTCTTCCGCCTATGTCTTATACAAGAAATTGAAGTGATAGAGTGGTATTCTTAATAAAACTGCATGTATACGTATATTGAAACAGAAACTCTAGAATACGCACACGCAGCCCTCCACTGCCTTTAAACATTGTGGCACTAACGAAGTAATTCGTGTTAACTTTATTTGGCTAGAAAGATCTTGCGCCTACATGTAGTTCAATGTCTACATGTATGTTACACATACTCGCCAATACACCTCCTTGCATGTCGTCCCTCCATACTCTGCGTTTCTTGATATCTCCAGGTATAACTCTTAAATTTCTAATTTACCAGGAAGTAAATAACTAATCCGAAGAACATATAGTAGACTACCGGCCTAAGTGTTATTCTACATGTACATAGTCATATCACCAGAGCAGCGCAGGCCCTAAACCAGAAACAACTCGGAAACATTGCCTTCAAAGGTATCGAGGAGAGTTCCATCTTGAAAGAATATGGTCTCGCTAATGTTTCTCATCTACTAATTAGTACTCCCTGTTATTGAACAACTCACCCACGTTCAGCCAATCAACTGTTTATCCTTTACTACATGTTCTGCCGAGCCTTTATTACTCCATCAAGCTAACCACTAAGGAGCTATCTTCAATTCCAAGGGCACGTTTCTCCAATCAAACCTGCGCGGGCCCCCAAGAGCGCCTCCTAAGGTCCTAGGAGCTACTGATAACCCGCTCGCTGATAACCACCCCGCACTGTTTCTTTACCCCACTCTCCGCCTCGCCTGATAATGGCACAGCATAAAGGATGATATGTCTGGCTGTATCTATCCCCCCTTCCTCCAGAAATAGACGGTAACCCCGTGAATGAGTTAGGTATACATATTAACCTTGCATCACCTCATGCTCGGAGTCACTACGGAAGACGTTGATACCGCAATCCTTGGCAACCAGGGGTGGGTCCCCTGTAATCCAGATCGGAGGCTCAAACAAAACCATCTACACAGGTATGACTTGCTTGCACGCTTCGCTAAGCCGGGTAATTCTATCCTTTCGGCCAATTGTTTCCCCTGTAAAACAAGCATGGGAAATGATTTGGTGTCTGTTAGCTAAAGTACAAGCGAGTCAGAGCTGTAGGTAACTAACAACTAACCTTCAAAACACAACCGGGCAGTGCTTTGTGGATAGGGCTACTAGAAGAGGCTCGATTGTGGTCGAATCGTGGAATTTGATTTGAGATGTATGTTGTTGTTAGGGTGGCGTTTCTCGGGAAATGTTTGGTTAGTCGTGGTGGCGAATAAGGAAATCTATATGCGAGTGATAGGCTGTGATCAGCCTCGGACTGTGTCACGTTCATGTTCAGTTGTCCAAGGCTTGTCGGGGAACCTCGGGGCTGTGAAGAAGAGGATGGGGCTCAGAGGTGTAGCCTTTTGGCAATTGCGATTGTGATGATATCTAACCATGATTTTTTGAAATGCAGGACGTCCGGGACGGGAAAGAGTCAACCATGGTTCTGGGTAACCTCCCGTTACTCGCCGATTTGATGGATGATGGCTCAATTCATCCGGTACCTTGCGTGCAGTGAATGTTTGGGATATTATTGGGAGGAAGCAATGCTCGGGCTGGCTTCCTGGGGTTCATCAGTATCGATAGCCTATTGATTGGACTATGCCGGCAAATTGCGGTCAAATACCGAATGAGGCGCCAAGATGCCGTGCGTTTATCAAAAGCAATTCAAAAAGTGTTTCATCATTTGACATTCTTTAGAAATATTTTCGAAACATCATATATCACATCAGCTCCTGCAACGGCGGCATATTTTTGAGGGTCCTCAATCTTAATAGTCTCTAGCACCGCTTGACCCGATTGACGTAAGAAAAAGTACTATTTCTGTCTAGAAAACGGTATCTTTCTGGATTTGGCTGATCTTGTCTACAGATTTGAAATTGCAGATCTCACGCGTAGATTCAACCACACCCAATACTACGGAACCTATGTGAAATGCCACGTTTACTAGAGACACACACCTGATGCCGATTTGGGTTAGTTGTCCCAGAAACTGGTTGTTGGAACGTGCTACCAACGGCCTGGTATATATACCTATTCAGGCTACCTATGTGTCAGAAGTGATAAAGGGTTATAGAGGTTCTTTTGGCGCTGTTAACTGGGAATTTTGAGGGACGGAAATGGCAAAAGTTGTACTAACAAGGCAAATGCTTCATTTCCGCGGTGTAAGTTTTCACAGACGGTGAGGAAGTACAGCTACATCTAGGAAGTGAGGTTGAACAATGTGGGCTTTGTAGTCGAGCTTGCACACCTGCGGCACATCAATATTCCTAATAGGCTTGTGCTCCCAGTGAAACAGTTTCTAAAAGGGGACATCACGAAACGGTAAATACCGATGGTTAAGTACTGGCAGGGATGTCACCCCCCCAAGGAACATGTGCCGGGACTGCTCGATGCGCGAAAGTTGGTTGGTTGATTTGTCTCATTCTCCTATCAATCGACGAGGTTTAACACGCAGAGACCACTCAGGCTGTCGTCCTCACCTTTACAGCCTCTCTGTTTGTTTGAGGTAGTTACAGACGCGGTTTTCCTCTTTCCTTGCGTTACCGGCCACACTCACTCAATCATTCACTACTCACTCACACTCTGCATATCAGACCAGAGGGGAAAGTCTTATTTATTGCGTGTACTCTACTTGATGTGTATTCGGGAGGGTGGGGGGATACTCTAAGGGCTTTTCACGGAGGGAATAAATAAACGCAACAGGGCGCTCGATTTACATGGTTGTGAATCGAAGGTTTTGTGCATTAGAATCGCTTCACGGGAGGAAATCAATCCTTCTTTCTTCGACGCTACCGACCATCTAGAGTACTCTATCTACATACCTGCCTGCCTGCCTGCCTGCTTTCTTGCCTTCCTAGTTGCTTGCCTCCCTGCTGCGCCTGGCATACTTACATCCATACATACATACCTGTCCACTGCATAAAGTACCTACACACACCAAAACCGGTCCCGCCGATAATTGCCCGCCTTCCACTCCACACAGACTATCAATTCGTTAGATACATACAGATCCACCCGATAGCCACCAAGCCCATTTTTGTATCGCGCACCTCACCCCCCATACCTACCATCGCTGCATCGGAGCACATAATCCCTCCCACATACCTCATAGTTGCCGCCTGCTGCTTACTTGTTGGCGCGCTTTTTGAAACTGGCACTGCTGCACTGTCTTCTTAATCTAATAGCTTCATCATCATCGACCTTCTCCTCTCTTCCCCAGTACTTCCCAGTAGCTAGATAAACATCTGTTTGTATATTGCTACTTACACCCCCCCTCATCACCAAGAAACGACCCGACTTCCCCTCTCTTCCTACTACTTCTTCTCCTCCTCCACCACCACCACCACCACCACCTCCCCATAATCTACCTACCTCCACCTCATTTGGACAACGGCAACAACATCACAACACCAGTACCCGTCGCACCTAGTCTCAGATAATCCAAATAACCAAATCCCAATTTCCCAGTCCCTTACTCAGAAATGCTGCAGGTACGTTTTTTTTTTCTATCATTGAGACCTGCTGTGCGAGACACAGTGACCAGGTCGTCGCTGTGTCTTGTGCGCTCGTTCCCCCTATGCAACTGCGGCGTAATGACGTCCAGGGGGGTCCCACGAACATCCTCTTCTCAGGCTGGCTGAGGGGTTTATTCTTGCTACTGCAGGGCCTCTCTTGCTTCGTGCCTTCCCGCTTGTAACTTAGTTCCCGCTGCCCTGCCCTGCCTCATTCTCTATACTAGCAGCTGCCCTCCCTCACTCTATGTGGTGTTCCCTCTTCTTGTCCTCCTCCTCTTCTTGTACTCCTCCCTTTCTCACTCCTTAACCCCCCTCAGGGTACGAGATGCATAATATTCCCCGTCTACTTGGTTCATTGTTTTTAAACTACTCAATTTGAAGGCTAACTCGAACTGTTGGCATATTTGCTGGGAGCTACAATGCAGGTAGGATTCCGACCCGAAAACATCATGATCGCGGCCACGCAGTCCGAGGGCAGCGCGTATCATCGCTCATCACTGCCTCATGCTTCCACAACAAGTTCGGTAACGTCGTCAGAGCAATGGACGTCTGCCCGATCATCGGCTTCTGCTACCCCCACATTAATCCAACCACCTCCCACATCAGCTCGCGGGGCCACACCAACAACAACGGTATTTAGACACCACCCATCATCATCAACATCATCATCGGCATCGCATTCTTCAACGCCAATACACCAACAGAATTCCCATCCCGAACAACCACATCCCACATCCACCCCTGCCACACCTTCTCCCAGATCAAGACAATCACCAGCACGATCGGGACGAAGATCAGAGGACTCGGCACCCGTCATTCTACAGAATTTATCACAAGTAGTCGAGTTGCCTAGAGAAGAACCTTTACCGCATTCCCCGTCTCGGAGGAATCGCAACGGGGAAGAAGACAGGAAGCGGTACGAGATCAGCGGAATGCCAGTAACGGATGTAATAGAGATGGTAGCGGGTCTTTTAACAAAGATCACAACCACAAACGATCAACAACATTCACAAATGCACCGCATACCTCCGCCAGAAACCGGTGGTATGAGCAATACCACAAACAGCGTTCTAGCATTCCACGGGAAAAATGTTCCCAGCATAACAATTCTCAGCTACCTATCTCGGATACATAAATACTGCCCAACAACATACGAAGTGTTTCTATCGTTGTTAGTTTACTTTGATCGCATGACTGAAAGAGTGAACAGAAACCCACCATTGAACTGGAAGGGAGGGTCCACAGTCTCAAATGGGGAACTCAGCTCTCCTGGTGTCATTGCCTCCGACCCATACAATTTCTCACATTTTTTCGTAGTAGACAGCTTCAATATTCATAGGCTTGTCATTGCTGGCGTAACATGTGCTTCGAAGTTCTTCTCTGATGTGTTCTACACCAACTCTAGATATGCAAAAGTATAACCCCCGCTTTTTGATACATTTTTCTGCGGCTTACTAATCGATATTAAGGTTGGCGGTTTACCATTACAAGAACTAAACCATCTGGAGCTTCAATTTCTCATTCTCAATGATTTCCGACTTGCCGTGCCCGTAGAGGAGCTGGAGGCATATGGGACAATGCTGGTGCAGTTTTATGCACGAGAAGCAGTGGCCAATGCGGATCTTAGAGGGATAGGACCTCCAGCGGACCCAGCGGCGAATTGAGCTGTGAAAGCATAAAACTGTGGCGACGTATCAACCGCCACAGGTCGCTAGGAGATGTTTTTTGAGTGGCCACGTACTACACGCTTTGGTCGGCACCATCTTGAAATCAGCACTACACTTATATTTTTTTCAACGAACTCTTTGGGCGGAAGCGATCGACTTTTCTCTTCGGTTTTCTTTTTAGATTGTTTAGGCGAATATTACGAAAGATCGGCTGCCATTTTTTTTATTAGTGTTTGTTTATTGTTAAAGCGCGAGAAGGGCTCATTCAACACCTAGACCGAAGACCGAACAATTGATGCCGGGGGAAGTGGCGGATGAGGTGATTTTATTATACGAGGGGCAGGGCGTTCGTTTTTCTTATATATGGGCGCTGGTCGGATTTAGTTATGCGACTGATGTGAATGTAGAGATTTGTGGGAAATGGGGGCGTCATTGGCGTCTGCACTGGGCACTATCATTGATATGAATGGGAGACTTCTTCGAAAGCATTGGAGGTTGAAGTAGGATAGGGGAATGTGATGGCGCTTATAATCTTTTGCTTTTGTGTTTTTTTACCCTATTCATCATTTTTGTCGATTTGTTCTTTTTTGTGCTGCATATGTCTTTTTGTTGTTCGCGGGCATTGTTAACCACATCGCATTTGTTCTTTTTTGGGCTTGGAAAGTGGGGTGCGGGGACACAATCATGTCTTAAAGGGTGGAATTCTGTCACTGTTGCTCTTTTCTTCTCCCTTGGAGGTTCAATTTGTTTATCGTCTTCTTGTCTACTGGGTGGTCTTTTTATTTCTTTTCGGACGTTTGGAATTGGGATTCTTTTTTTTTTATTGTGACGGGTGTGGTTGTTTGTCTTTATCTCTCTTCGTTCATTATTCTACTCTAACATGTTAGATTTGAACTCCTTTCTTTTCATTCTCGTTTTTGATTAATCTCACGGCACATATTTTCACATCTCTTTCATCATTTTCTTCTTAAGTATTTTCCTACCTAGAGACTCTGGGTACCATTTCGATTATTTATTGGGTGGAATTCTATATTGGCCGTTGGAGTATAAATATCGGGCTGGAGTCGGCGTCGGGGATGGGGGTTGGTTTGGAGCAGGGAGAAAGGGGATTTTGATTTGTTTAACGAAGCTTTTTGCGGACTTGTAAATACATACTCTCATAACTTTTTGAGTTATTTACACCATGCCTCTCCACCGAATTAACTCGCACATACAGCATACATACATATGTACATGATGCGGCTGTTGGTTTTTGTTTGTTCCCTTCCCCACTTCCTTGACTCTGTAGACCGAGGTTTTGTCGGGAATTCGATATATTGATCCGTTTCCGCCAACTTGTTTGCTCGAAACTGAGGCTCCGCTACCACCCACCCGCCCACCCACACGCTCTCACATCCCCATATTTTCCGGTTTGCTAAGTTGGTATTTTCAATCTCTACCCCCCTTCCTTCCCTTCCCTTCCCTTCCCTTCCCTCCCTCCCTTCCCTCGTTCTGTGTCACCATCACAGTCACTCGGCATGTTGTATGTAGTCACTCACTCACACTCACACCTCACACCTCACTCACACTCACACTCACACTCACCACCGCCCCCATATAAAAGGCCGGGTCATCGTTAATCCACCACCCAATACAAACTCGTAAGCGAAAGGAGCAGCAGTTTCCATTACAAACCCGAAACCCCGTGTCATTCCCAAAGTGCAAATGGTGCGCGGTGGCTGCCCTTATCGGTTATCGATAACCTTATCAGGTCCTGTAGGCCCACGTGCTAGGGTTTGTGGATGACGGTGGGCCTTGGCGGGGCGAGCCGGCGCTGAGACATTTCGAGTTTTTGCTTTACTTGGGAAAGGGGTGGGTCCCTGGTAAGTCAGGTCTCGGTAGTTTTGCATACTGGTGCTCTTCGTTACTGGGGGGTTGGGTTGGGTTAGGGGGTGTTTTGGGGCTAGTGAAACTGGATGCGAGATGAAGCGTAATTTATGGATTGAAGAACTAGGGATATGCACCCCACACTTCTGTGGGTATTCGGACTTCCGCGAGTTAGTTCCGCTCTTTCTCTCATTTCCCATCTATATCATCACGATATCAGAAATCCCGTCTCTCCGGAGCTTGCGTAAGGGCACGGAGCGGACCGCATATTGATTCTAAAAAGCAATTCTTCCTAATAGTGTATAGTACAAAAGTATTCCAACCCCAAGTTTCGTCAAATACTCCCCGTTTTGTGCAGCGGATCATCAACCATCACCCGAATTCAGCGCCAGACACGAATATATTAAAAGAAAAAAAGAAAAAAAGAGAAAAGAGAAGGAGATAATGAAAAATGGGTTCTGATATTTCCCGGTTCCACTCAACTAATGAAATCTGGCCCGAGGTGAATAAAACCGGGAAGCTAGAAAATAGCTTCTGGTGTACGTGCCGAAAACCCGTTCCTGGGAGAAGTGAAGATAGAACAAAAGCAATGCTAGGAGACAAGAAAACAGAGCCAGACGTATGTAACATGGCGTTGTTTTTGTAGAGTCATCATGCGCAGAGTAAAGAATAAAGCAAGGTTACACATTAATCCGCGGCCGTGTTTTCCTTCTCGGCGCCAATTCTGGGCGGGCTTGTTCGGCCTTCGGAGGATTTTTTGGGGCTTTGACTACTCCAAGAAGTCAGCTTGTCAGAAACCGAATCCGTAATTTCCCTTAGTAGCAAGGGTATACGGGCACGTGGTAATTACCTTCTTGAGGCCTTCTTCCTCAAGGCTTCACAAACTTTCAACATCTCCTTCCGTACACCATTTGCATCTACCCTCTTACCCCCCAAACTCATGTTGACTTCCTTCTCTGCCTCCACAGCGAGCAATCTCCTGACGAGCAGATGCTTCATAGCCCAGCAGACATGCACCCCGCAATCACTCCCATTATCCTGCTGTGGGGTATCTTCGATATTACTCAATCTCAACTGGAACCCGAGCAATGGTTCCAGCTTGTGTACAACCATCCGGGCCTCGGTGTAATTGGCTGGTGACAACGAGTCGTAATGAAATGCAACCCTATCACGAACGCCCACCACTAGTAAGGACCAGTGGGAACCACCCTCGGGAATCGCTGGATTGCGGCAATCATTTATTGGGAGGAATATGTGGGAGGCACTGCGAACATCGGGGAGAGCTGTGCGTAGGGACATGGGGTCTTTGGGAAGGATTATCAGCTACCTCTTTAGAAATTAAGGATAAGGTTCTCACCATTAGTAGACTTGAGGAGGAATGCCATAGAAGGCCTGAGAAGTATAATCTTCGATGAAGACTGCTTTGAGAGCTTCTCGTGTTCAAGGTACCTATATTCGTAACACAGTGAGAAGCGTGGGATAACCGTTAGTGGAGGTTAATTGAATTGCATCGAACAAAAGACTGTCTACGCACTCTTCCCAGAAGGAAATATTCTATGGATGATGATCAGCAGTTGTTTTTAGAGATGATGTATTGAATCATACATTATCGGTAAGCCAGTCATTCTTCAAGCAGTCTATGTCCTCCCTAGTGACTATGCTTGGAGAAATTCAAAGCTGCTGGTCAGACCGGTGTAGTACCATATTTAAACCTCTACCACCCTTGGGAGTACACATACGGCAGATATCGTGATCTAGGGTTTAGTTAGCTTGCAACATCTTGTAGTTTAAGCTAGGGAGGGGGAGGGTCATACACGATAGATATGGATCCTCAGGTCTGAAATTCTACCACTCAGATCGCATGTTAGCATAAGCTCTCTATCTCTCACAGAGATTCAGAATATGATAGTAAAAGGGAAAGGACAAGCTTTACATCGTCCCGATGGAACCCGTTGCTAATCTCTCGAATTGCTTCACGGAAAGGCATTGTGGCTGGGTTAATTTGTTGTGCAGCTTCCTGTCTGAGCTGTAGGGGTGTCGAAGATATCACGTAAGATAAAGCAGTAATAAAGACGAAGCTCGTTTGTAGTAAAGAAGAAGTCGAGAGTGTAGGGTAGGTGCGAAGAAAAGGAGGATCGATTACTTATTTGAGGCGATGATTTCCTGGGTGTTGTCGTTTCCCTGCCCGAAACCTGTCGCTGTCCTAGGGAAGGGGATCCCAACGTCATTTGCGGGGCGGACAACCCCTCGCTAAGCTGTTTCTGATGCTTTCAAACCCCACAATTCCCATAAGGAATGTGGGAAAGGCCACTTCAGCATCAGAATTCCATTGATGGCTGGAGGTCATACGTCTTAATCATTCTACAGTTGTAAACTCTTCTTGCGCGAATAATGCCTTCTGTATAATTTGGAGGCCTCGTCATCAAAGAGCCGCATTCGGCACGACTTGGCATCAAGGGACAACCCCTGGCCCGCTGCAGCTCCACAAGTTCACATCTTTGAATACGTGTTGTACCTACGGTACCGTAGTTACATCAACCCAAAGGCTATATGCTATTGGTCGAGAAGATGCTAGGATAACAATCCGTTGGTCCTACTGACTACATATTAGACTCATCCGGGGGGGGTTTAATTCATTAGACTCATCCGGGGGAGCAAGTCTCAAACATTGCTTCAAGATTCAAATCTCTGATTTAACAAGAGATACGATGAAACCATGAAGATTTCCAATATGGGGAGCAGTGATAAGAAAAAGAGACAGGCGAAATTAAGAGATTTCAGACATATCATAAAGATGACTACCTTCAAGACGTACACCAAAACTGGAACTTATAGCTACTATATAGCTATTTTGGCTATAGCCAGCTTCTATATGAGATTTAAAGTGGACTCCGGGGGTGATTAGGAGTAAGCTATATCTGAGCTAGAGAAAACGTGGAACAGGGTAAAAGGTATGCTAGCATTCTAAGTCATCAAGGAGCACGCAGCGCCCCAGGTCACTCAAAACCATTCAGGACCAAGAATATTTGGCGCCCTACTTACTAATTAATAGAATAGATCAGGCTCTGAAACTCGCTGAGTGATGAAACTCTTTGTGCAGCGTGGCAGTGGCGTTAAAAATGCCAAGTGCTACCTCCATGAGTGACTCGCACAGCTGAGGTAGGTACTCATAGCGCGGGAGAGCCTCCATGGATTGGGTCGAGGATTTATCATATGTACCAGTCAACTGGCAATGATTCAAGCCGTGCGCTTGTATTGTTTTATTTAGAGTATCGTATCTAACTCGTTTGCGAAGGATCAACGGCTAGTTACCGCTAGTATATCCCGCAGCTGAACCCGGCTTATGGGATGCCTGAAGCTTAGCTATCTAGATAAAGCTTCGTACCCCGCCTTCTTTGTCAACCAGCTTTCTCTCCTTGACATAGCTTGCTGTTATCCTAACAAGACTTTAAAGTAAGCGATCCCATCTTCAGGTCTGTGTGAACATTCTAGATACTAAATAACACACTCGCAGCCGGAAAGAGAGGAATCTTGATTACGGGTCAAGAGGTCGGCATTCTGGAACAATTGCTTAAGACGAAAGCTGCGTTCACTCGAGCTCGAGCTTGTTATCGAGTTTGCACCAACAAACAAGCTCTTTAATTCTCATAATCCCAAACCAAGGGCCTCCCAAGAACTTCTGATATAGCTCAATTCAGGGCTACCACCTGGAATCTCTGGCCCTCACACATCCTGTGAGATAAAGGCCATTACAAGATTGCGGAATTGTCTTTTTTTATGCCTGTATACCCAGGACACTGTGACGGCTGTGATATTTTAGGATAGAGTTCAGCCTACATCGGAGGCTCCGCGAAGCTCCTATCCCAGCAGCAGCGGCTGCCAGGTGTTTTAAAAGACTGCCTTCTCGGGAACCCTCTAGTCGTCCTAACATCGGTTTTGATCGTTCCTTAACAGAAACTGACTCTATTGACCCTACGACTTTGTTTTGCGGGGAACCTCCTCCCTACGAAAACGACCAAGACGAGTGGCTTTCATTGGCGGCGCTGTGGGAAGAAAATTCAGACCTAAAAAAAGAAACTGTTATCACCACTATCCCGGTAACAGGGGAGGGCATGCCTAAAGGGTCTTCATTTTGCGAGCTTTGTTGGATGGTTAAAAGTGAACCCCACGATAACAAGGTACCTCATAAACTGGGTCCTAAATATTCTTGCAACTCCTGTCCTCGAGTCTTTAGCAGTCAGGGGGCGAGATACCGACACTTTCAACCCACGGGTTGCGTTAACACTTTCTGCACCTCACTTCGTTGCCCTGTTTGTAGTTTGCTATTTGACGCCAAAACCAACCGTGCTAACGTACGGAAACTTGAGAGCCATCTCAAGACTCATAAACATAAAGAAACCGCGACAAGCACGAACCCCGCAATTACAAACACAATTCTAACTTCAGAATCAGTGCCTTCTCAATACGCATCGCCCTCTATAAGCGCAATGCCGCCAACTTCATACTCAAACGTAATTTTATCTTTAAATGCAATACTCTCTCCAGAGACAACACCCTCTCCACAGAGAGTGCATTCTTCAAACACAGTTCCTAGGCCTAGCAATAATATGCCCGCCGCAGGTGATAACGTGCCGAGTGTATTTTGCAAACTCTGTTGGAAAGGATTTCGCGACATAGAAACACACAACAAGACCAAAACCCATCTAAAAGGACACGAAGTGAGATGCAACCGATGTGTCAGCGAGCGGTGGTTTTCTAGTAAAGGAGCGCGAAAGCGTCACATGGCTTCGAACACCTGCTCTGAGTTTGATGAGTTCCGCTGTTGCGATTGTGATATCAGCTTCCCAACCGCAAAGCTCCTTTCGAGGCACAAGGGAGACATAACGATCCATCCGCCCCGAGCGATCCCAGCACACGTCGAACACAACGGCGATATAGAAGAGCTCTCGACTTATCTGAGCACTGTGACGCTCACCCCGCATACTGGACCGATGACATGCCCAGGAGTTGGCTGCAGAAAGTCGTTTTCAAAGTCATATGCAATGCTCACCCACATCGAAAGCGGGTTCTGCCGTTCAAAGATCAACCGAGAGGTTATCGACAACATCATCATTGCGAACGACCCCACAAACATCATCACAAACCAGGCTGAAGTTGAAAAACGAAACCAGGACAGAATCTCCCTCGCCTCCTCCGAGTACTCGGAATCGATAAATGGCAGCGCGCTCTTTACGCCTAGTGATTTGGACAGCAACTTTGAGGAGTTTGATACCGATACGTTGACGGGCGATGGTGTGAGTGAGGGGACTGTCGTGCCTCTTAATCGCTCTAGAGCCTCGGATTCGGACTCCGACTCCGACTCCGACTCGGACGAGGGGTATGGTTTAGTGCCTAAGGCCGGTGCGCAGCTTCGTGGGCATCTCAATACACCAAGTGACTCTGGGGAAAGTGATGTATCTATTGCCAAGCCCAGAAACTCTGGGCAGCTCTATGAACACCACTTCATGTCTTCGGATGATGGCCAGAGTGGCAGTTATCTGCAAACCCCCGATGACTCTGATGATGGTGTTTACTTAACTCCTAGTGACTCTGAAGACGGTGTTTACTTGACGCCCAGTGACTCTACGAGTGGTGTTTACCTGACACCTTCCATATCTGATGACGACATCATGGACCAGTTAATATCCATCGGCAGCGGCTCCGTGGTATTTACACAATCTACCGACAGCATCGTCAGCCCGCCACCGCAGCCAACAAAAATCAAATGCCCCCTCTGCCCCGCCACCAGGGCCAGACATTTTATGAATCTCGAGGGGCTGCGCACCCATCTTCGGTCCGCGGTTCATCAACCGAAGATCTACCATTGCCCGTTTCCGGATACCACCGCCAGCGGTGGTAAGGCGGCCCGGAGAAAGAAAGGGGAAAAGCGGCAGAAGAAGAAGAGCTTCTCGTCGCTCAGCGCGATGGGACAGCATGTGGCTTCGGGGTCGTGTAAGAACGGGGAAGATAGATTTAAGGCGACGGTGGCGTTTTTGCATGAAAAGTTGAGGGAGATGGGGATGGCGGATGTCTGATGTCTGATGTGTGATCTTTGATGAATCGTAACTATAGGTTTAGGGACAGGAATAGTTTTTAGGCTTTTTTCTTTCTCTTTTTTCTTACTCCTTGGATGAATTGATTGATGTACTTTTATCTGTTTGATTGGATCGCATGTAGTCGATACTACGCCTTTTTCTTTTCTTTTTCTGACATCTCTCTTTTCGTTTTTATATTGCTTGTTTGCAAAGTTCAGGGCCTGCCAAGTGCCGAGTGATAAAACATGATGCACAAACCCATCCAAAAGTGAAGTCCTGCCTACTACAATCTACAATCAGAACCACGTCAAGTGGCTTTGTATAACCTCCGCTACCTACTGCGTGCAACCTCCCCGCACGACAACACCCCAACATCCTTCCCCACAACCCAACACCCCGCAACCTGCTGCCTGGAGAAGGCTGAAAACAAAAACAAAACACAAAAGTCGTCAGAATGAACCCATACGCGCGCGAGTTGGTCGCGCCTATCATAGTTTGTTCAATACCTGCCTGTCTGTCTGCCTACATACTGTACGCAGATCCCGGTAAGCCAGAAGTGTAAAAGGATCACCGGTCTACCATACGTGCATATCGAGGCCTTGTTTTGCGTGCAGTGGTGCATGATTCCACTAACTGCAGATGCAGCAGAGTGGAGCCCAAAATAAAAATAAAAAATGAGGTGATGTTGATGTCTACCTAACGGCGGGGTATGGGGTTGGGGTTGGGCATGGGGGGGGGGGGTACATATGGGGCAGCGGAGTCATCGAAGGTCACTCGGTTGCATAAGTACTCTACCTAGCTTATGTAGCCTCTCCGGTGAGCACGAGTGCTACTGCATGGAAGGATGCAGGTCCGCGGCGTGGCGGCATTCAGGGTATTATTTCCGCTATGACCAACTGGCAACGACGACACGACACGTGGAGGAGGGAGGGGGCTTAGGATCGCCGGTAGGGAAGGCGAGGGGGTTGTTGCTTGGAGTAAGCGAATTTGGGGGACGTTTCGGGCCTATGTTTATGGTAGGAAGGATGATTCACAGCTTGGGCTTAAGGAATGTCTGATGCTATTAAAGATGTTGGAGAAAACGGGAAGGCGAGTTTAAACTCATGCCATCACTGCAACCATCCAAAAACCAACCCACAAAGATCCAAGTTCCACAAGGGCCAAAATGCATAACCTTTTCAATGACTCTCTCGGACCACGCCCAAAGAGAAATTGAAAACGCCGTAGCATTCAAGACCCCCCAAAGCCCCAGATATATCCCCCCCAAATCCCACAATCATCCCACTCACACTGCCATCTGCCATGTTCTCAATTCACCAATCACCCTCTCGGCGCACGCCCAAAGGAAGCAACTGGGGAAAAAAAAGAAGGCACTGGCGAGAGGCTCTCTCTTTTTTATAAAACAAAAATTAAGCAACCCAGAAGGCCCGAAGACCTTTGGCAGAAGCTCAGCCCTCGATGTGCAATGAAGGCTCTATCGCCCCCGGAGACCTGGCCTGCATGTGCGCCGGGTCTCGTCGCCAGGTAAGTATGAGGAGACAAGAGGGGCGCGGGGGGACGGTGGATTATATAGAAAGATTTTTCTTGGCGCCGAGAGGTGTTTTTTGCCGATTCGAGGGCTTGGGGTTCAGGGTTGAGAAGGGGACGACGGGAGGGTTGATGGTGCCACATCATGGGCGCTTGCTTGCCTCCGGAGTGAGTGAGTCTGCGCATGCACGGACTGGGGTAGGGGGGTGGGGTGGGGGTTAGGGGTGGTGTTGGAGTTTCTTTGTTGGAGGTTTTGGTGCCGGGGGGCGACAAGGGTTCTGAGTCAAGGACAAAGCTTGTCTGATATCTATGGGACTCATAGAGCATCTATGTACTCAGCGTATGCCGATAGGCCTATTACATCCCGAGAGCTAAGGAGCGCCTCTTCTGTAAGTTATGGCCCGATATCGATTCCAAAAACCGATCAGGCCCTGGGCTACAAATTACCCATAATCATAGTAACAATAATAATTCCACTACATGTACTTTACTTGTTGCGACATCTTAGTAACAAGAGTGGGTTCTAATGGCCTTTAGGACACAAAATTGTTGATTCTATATAAGGTGTTCGGATACTCAAAGAACACCTTATTGTAAACTACACAACTTGATTTCTACCAGCCAACGCAACGATCGAGTTGAAACGAGTAGTACCAGAAGTTGTGAAAGAATGTATCCCCGTTAATACCAGTCTTCTTATCCTTGAGCGCCAATATTTCGTGCAGTTATATCCGGGAATTGCGGTTTAGGTGATGGAGTTACCGGGTGATAGACAGTGAATCTTAGTGATTGGCACGAGACGAGACGAGACGAGACTACCCCAAGTCCTGTCTCGTCTTGTATCGTTTGGACTAGGCCTTGAAAATCTCGAGACAATGGTCTAGTCTCGTCAAAGTCTCGAGACTTTTGGTCATGTGACCTTTTTACTATAGCCATGATGGTTAGTGCAAATTAAAAGTCGATGAAAAGTTCAACTTTTCTTGGAACTGCAGCTGGGGAGCACATTTAGGTCAGTTACCGGGCGATAGGCAGTGGGGGGTTTTGTAGTGACGGGTGATATGTAATGATTAAACGTGACGGGCGATGAGGAGTGATTAGAAGTGACGGGTGATTAACGATGACAGTGATGGGACGTGACTGCCTATGACCCATTGGGCGACGTATACACTGTCGACAGATTATACGAGAAACCGAGTCGCCATGCATGGGGCAAGAATCACCAGCGGTATATACGGTATATCGTCAAGTTCGATGCGACGCCGTTAGTGAACATTTGTAGATTGTGGGTACTGTCGGTTGGTGGGTTGGCCGTTAGTACACTCGATCTCAGAGAACGTACACGGAATTAAGAGTTTGGACACCTAAATGGAATTTGAATGAATTTGCATACTACGTGCAGATGTTTTCTTGCCAGATGGCTCCGGAACTCTTAATACAGGCCCACCGGCTTACCATGATGAGCGTGAGCGGTTGGGGGGGGGGACGCCGAGGATTTCAATGTTAGTGATATACTGATATATATTGGATGGCCATGTCGAGTTTGTGTCACGGACTTGTAGGTGTATGCATGGCCCAGATCAATATATAGAGTAGAGCTTGCAATCGATATCGCCATAATCCAATTATCATGTGGTAGCTTCTTCGCCCAATTCATCACATATATGGACCGTCATTACGATTATTATACTTCATCATCTACATACATGTAGCTCTAATTCGTAACAGTTCATTTATGCAGATACCTGCCCGCATTATATCCTATTAAATCCCCTAGGCCGATCCCCTTCCTGCAATTAATAGCTTCTAGACCCCCTAGAGAACAGAAGTACATACATATATACAAGCGTAATATCAAATTAATTCTACATACTCATCAGGTTAAACACCGCACTTTTGACCCCCTATATACCGAGGGCCCGGGGGGTCCGAAGGGTTTGGGTGATAGTCGTTGCTGATACTAGCTGTGCGCTTAATTCTTATTAATTTTCTTTCCCGGACAGTTAAATGCGATCCAGGCACACACACCTACACCTACATCTCTACCGGCCAGCCGATAGCGTATATACAATGAATGAATTATCAATCAATCAATCAATCAATTTGCAATACCGGCCGATATACACAGCACCCCCCCCCCCCCCCCAACCCCATACCGCCACCACCACCACCACCACAGACCGCAACACCTAAACGCCGCAGCACTTTACCCTATCCCCGATCATACACGCCCAACCGCACTCCTCTCCGCAGGAAAAAGGAACGAGTGATAATTCATGCTCCAATAGTCCACATTTCGGGGGCCGACGACTAATCATTAAACTCCCAGACCGAGGCTTCCTACAAATGAAAGAGTTGCCGAAAGGGAGGGAGGGGGGGGGGGGTGTGCCGGATAGCCGGCAGGGGTTGGGATGCGGTTGCGGTGGAGGAAGGGATGGATTAAGTAAGAGCTTCGGAGTTTGGATGTGGTGGAGAAGGGGATGTCGGGTTCGGGCTTGGTATTGGATGGGGGGTCAATGATTTCAGAGTCTGTAATGGTGACGGCTTGGTATTGAGCTTGAACGATATGAAAAAACAAGACCTAATTTAACAAGAGATATATTCCATTTTTCCCTCCCAATATCCATATATTACAATCTACACCCCTAGTCCCTTTTCCCGAAATACAATAATACAATCCACAAATACAATACTCCATCTACGCACCCACCACCACCACCACCACCACCACCACCACTAATCGATCCTCTCCACCTCCTCCACCAAATCCTCCACCCGAAACGCGCGATCACCACTACTAAACATCTCCAGCAGCCTCCTCCTGCGCAGCCCCGTCTCGTCGCCGCCCGCGCCGTAGAACTTCTGCAGCGCGATGAGCAGCAGCCGGGCCTCGTCCGCGCTGACGCCGGCATCGCGGTTGACGCTGCCCTGCGCGAGCACCACGCCCTTCTCGTGCGCGAGCTCGAGATGGTGTGTCAGCGTCGTGTGGGGGACGGCGAACTCGCCGTGAAGCCGGTACTGCGCGAGAGAGGTGAAGATCATGGTCGACGAGGTGGATGATGGGAAGGACCACTGTAGGAACTGCATTTCGATGCCTTGGCCTTCGCGTGGGAGGGGGAGGATGAACTGTGGAGTGTAGATGGTTAGATTAGATTAGCTAGCGGTCGATCGGCTTGAATGCGCAGGCCCCCCCGGGGCGATGTAAGTGGTACGTACCATGGGGTGCTTCTTAGCGTCCGCCTCCATCTTTGCATACTTCTCGTGTGGGATCGCGGCACACAGGCTGTCCCCATCACCGACGAAGCGCGCCCTCCAGATAAACTCAATCTCCTTCGGCCCCGGCAGCGCGCGGAGCTTCTCAACGTCCACATAGCTGCTCAGCGACTTTATCCCCGGCACCGCGTTGGCTCTCCGTGCGGCCTCGGCGACGGCGGGGGTTGGGACGGGCGGCGGGGGCTGCGCGAGGCCTGCTTCGACGGCGGCGGGCGCGCGCGGGAGCTCGATGGCGGCTTCTTTGCGCAGCTGCTCGATCTTGTCCTTGTAGGCGGCCTTGAGCTCGTCGAAGGACGAGACGCCCTCGGCTTTGAGCTTGGCGTCGAGCTTTGCGCGGTACTTTTCGAGGATGGCGGGGGAGGGGCGGGTGGTGATGTGGCGGATGTCGACGGCGCGGGCGGCGCGGCGCTGTGGGGTTGTGAGGAGGGAGGAGGAGGCGGTGGTGGTGGTGGTGGTGCGCGGGAGGTGGCGCAGGGCGAGGTGTCGGAGGGGGGAGGCCATTCTGGGTGTCGGAGGGGTGTCGGGGTTGCAATTGAGTGGAGGGCGGGTTGGTGGATTGGGTTTTTGGTGGTGGGAGTTTGAAGGTGGGAGGGTTGGTGATTATCGCGATAATCAGACTGCGGGACTGTGCCAAGAGGTAGTATCCATGTTGGGTTTAGTGTGTGCTGTAAATACATGGACTTGCAATTGGTTGAAGAGAAATTTTGGGATCATGGTGCTGGTATAGTAAAAGCACTGCGCTCATGTTTGTAAGCTGAGATAAAACACAGTTTGCTTAATATGAGCAATCCGCCAAATAAATGCACTTTGGAGTACGTGACTTGGTGAATTTCAAACATTCCAAGAGGATATACACATCAGGCCTCGAAGAATTGGTCTTCTTATGTGTCTTCCTTCATATATCAAACAACTCTCATAAGTCTAAAGAACCCATATCATTCCCAATTAATTCCCTCTCGGGCATTGCAGCTTGTGCTGTCCGAACGAATGTTTCATGGGGCCTGTAGGTATCCGTCTCCGTCTCCGTCTCCGGGCGGTCGGCGGGGAGAGCCGAAAACCGGGGCTGAACGCCCGCGCGGGGGGAACGCCAAGCTCATAGTCAACAGAGCTGTTGCTGAGCCTCAAGAGTGTCAAGATCGCTTCCCCTCCCTGCAAGGAACCAAGATTTGCACCTTGAAGAAGAAGAAGCAAATAATAATCACTTCATGTCGAGGAACGACTTTTGCGGTTCTCCGTCACAGAAAGTCATTCGACCGACTGCAAGCAAGCAGAAACGTTTGATCGACACTCAGATCTCAATCTGCCCTGGCGTGCCGGGATCCGTGGGCTACTCTACTTTACCTAGCTACAAGCTACAAGCTACCTAGGTAGAGTACTAGACAGGCAGGCGCAGGGATTCGGGAAACCCCAGACTCTGTCAATGCCCAAACCGGTTTCGACTTCCCCACACAACATTCCCGACAATATTACCCACGCTGGCAAGCCTCTCTCTCTCTCTCTCGGAGGGGACTGCGAGAAAGATAGAGCAGGTGGGTAGAGTACATACATGTGCGATGCAACTTGATGATGCTCGTGCCTGGGCACCCCCATGATTTGAAATCCTTCACAACGCGGTGATAAGGACTCCCAACTAGGCGGAGTTATCCGAGTTGTGGAATCCCCCCCCCCCCAGTTGTGAGACAGAAGAGACATCTCGGTCTCCCTCCAACCTTTATCTGCGATGTAGAGAGCTTCCCCCGCAACTAAGCGTATTAATACTCTAGCGCTATAGGGAGCCGTCCCCGGGGCCGAGGTACAGTGACGCTCGAGATGGCTTGGGAGGTCTGTCTTGCACAGATTCGTTCATCCTCGGTCTATTATCTATATCCACGTCAACATCTTTTTTTTTTTTGCTTAAACTCCACCTCTCCCACCACCACCTCTTCCTTCTTGCTCTCTAGAATATCCCGTGGAAGCAAGAATAATAATATAGTGCGAGACGTCGACAGCTACACCAAAAATATATACCCACCACAATGCCTTCAGAATCTCTACACAAGCCAGTAGTAATCCCCGACAAGGACATCTTCTCGTTCCTGTTCGAGCGGGAGAGCAAAGCGTACCCCGATAACCATGGTATGCACTCTCCTCCTCCTCCTCCTCCTCGAGAATAATAAACTCCAATTGCAAACTTTATACTGACATTGTTATGATCCACAGTAATCTACATTGACGGCAACACCAAACGCGAACTCACCTACGCCGACACCCGCCAGCAGGCCATCACCTTCGGGATAGGCCTCAAGTCGCAATGGGGCTGGCGCAAAGGGGACGTTCTAGCAGTCTTCAGGTTGGTCCACCACCACCACCACCACCACCACACAAGCTCCTTAATTGGCCAAAAATAACTAACCTCCCCCCCTCAAGTACCAACAATATTGACACACCGCCACTAATCTGGGGAACTATGTGGGCATCGGGGACAATCACACCCGCGAACCCAACATACACGGTCGAGGAGCTTGCGTTCCAGCTCAAGGCCAGCGGCGCAAAGGCAATTGCTACATTAGTGGACTTCCTACCCATAGCTACCAAAGCTGCCGCGGAGGCTGGGATTCCAAAGGACCGCATCATCTTGGTAGGAGACAAGAAGAGCTCCGAGTTCAAGCACTGGAAAGATCTAATTGACCCCTCCACGAGCGTAAAGTGGAGGCGGACAAAGATCAACCCATCCAAAGATGTTGCCTTCCTGGTCTACAGCTCCGGGACCACCGGGCTGCCAAAAGGTGTCATGCTGAGCCACACGAATCTCATCTGCAACGTAGTAAGTCCCCCCCCCCCCCCCAACCACATCTCCTCCAAAAAGCAATTGCAATGTCCAACAAAAACTAACTAACCCTACCTACCAGCTCCAAGTCGAAGCCGGCGAATCCGGCAACCTGACGCCGCAAAACGACCGCCTCATCGCCTTCCTCCCCTTCTTCCACGTCTACGGGCTGACGTGCATCATGCACGTCTCCTTCTGGGTCGGCCTCCCCACAGTCGTCATGGACCGCTTCGACCTCACAAAGTTCTGCGCGCTCGTGCAAGAGTACAGAATCACCTACTCGTACGTCGTGCCGCCCGTCGTGCTCCTTCTCGCAAAGAACCCCATCGTCGACAACTACGACCTCTCCTCCCTGCGCATGGTCAACTCTGGTGCCGCCCCGCTCACAAAGGAGCTCGTCGAGGCCTTCTACACCCGCCTCAAGATCCCGTCAAGCAGGGCTACGGCCTCTCAGAGTGCTCGCCCACCACACACACCGTGCCCTGGCACGTGTGGCGCCCAAAGATTGGCAGCGTCGGCACGCTCCTGCCAAACATGACGGCCAAATACGTGGCCGAGGACGGCACGGAGCTGGCGCCTGGCCAGACGGGCGAGCTGTGGATGAAGGGCCCGAACATCATGCTGGGCTACCACAACAACCCTGCGGCGACGGCGAACGCCATCACGCCCGATGGGTACTTCAAGACGGGCGACATTGGCCACCAGGATGAGGATGGGAACTTCTGGATCACGGACCGCATCAAGGAGCTGATCAAGTATAAGGGCTTCCAGGTGGCGCCGGCGGAGCTGGAGGGCCTGCTGCTGGGCCATGAGAAGGTGGCCGACTGCGCGGTCACGGGCGTGCATATTGAGGCGATTGCGACGGAGGTGCCGAGGGCGTATGTGGTGCTGGCGCCGGGCGCGGCGGCGACGGAGGAGGAGCTGCTGGGCTTTATTGATGAGAAGGTGGCCAACCATAAGAAGCTGCGCGGCGGGATTAGGTTTATTAGTGAGATCCCGAAGAGCGTCAGTGGGAAGATATTGAGGAGGGTGTTGAAGGAGCAGGCGGCGCAGGAGGAGGCGAAGAAGAATGCGGAGGTCAGGGCGAAGTTATAAGGGTTGGGGGGTTGGGGGGTTGGGGGGTTGGGGGGTGGGGGGCGGGGGTATTTGTTGTATGTAGATTGGAATCTTTGTCAGTGCGCTGGGTGCAGGTAGATACCGGGTTCTTGCTAGTAGTTATGTCTGTAATGAATAGCTTTGGCTGTGCAGCTTCTTGGTTCTGATCATAGTTCTGGAGTTTGGCTCATCCTAAGGAACCAACGAGTGTTATGTGTCGTAAAGTGAAAAACCCAATTCCTAAACAGAGACACCCACACTCCTTTATAACTTCTGGGCAGTTAGGGTCCCCTTATGAACAAATTTAGCGCCAGCAAAATCTACGGACGAGAAAAAAAGATGCTTAGCAGGCGTGCTGCGTGCTGCGTGTTTTGCGCATTTTCAATCATCTCCACCCCTTACCCTGGCCGCTGGCTGGTCAATCATGTAGTCTAGTCCTAGTCCCCAACAGCTACAGCGACAGCTACAGCTCTCCTCTTCGTGTTTATGTACATACATAGAGATACCTCTCGAGCTCCCTGCGCTAGCTAGCTGGGTACTCAGGCCAGGTGTGGGATAACTACATGTATGTACAGTAGGTAGGTAGTTGCTATATATTCAGGGTTCGTTCGATCGAGTCTGCGCTATGCTATGCTATGCTATGCTATGTGTCCTTCTTCTTCTTCTTCTTCTCCATACAAGAGGCCGGCGGCGAGGTTGAGGTTTCTTCTGCACGCGCAGCTAGCTAGCTGGCTGGGTTATGTTATGCACGGGGCTGGTTGGTGCGCGGGGAAATAATAACCCCATTGATAGGTATCTACGGCCACATATATTGTGACAGAACAGGCGCTGATGCGCGCCGGTCCTCAAGGTTGCGCAAGTGCTTTCTATATACCAAACCGCTCGGCACTGATCTAACTTGGCGCGGGGGTGTTGTCCTGTGTGGAGGTTGGATGCAAATGGCTATTGTGTTTGTAGCTATGTAGTCGCTGTTATGTGTATGCATGTACAATGGAGGTTAAGGATATCGTGGTATCTACATGGCCGTTGACGTTATATGAGGGAATTAAAGCCGGTGGAGTATTTCAAGGACGTCAATCCCTTCTAGGCCTCCTAATGGATAGACTAATCCTCAAAAGATACTTCCGTTAAAACAAACCTATATCAAGAGCCTTACACCATGGATATTCATAGCGAGTTGCCGTATAATAAGGGGTCATGAGATATCACTCGGTATACATAAACCCTTGTATGGGGCTTCTAGAGAAGTCCCATGATGGAGATATACTCGGGATTCTGTAGTTTCTGGATTTGAGCTTGTTCATCTTCCTTCGCCGGTGATGAGGTGACGCTTCAGGGGTCGGCGGGACTGGGCGGGTCAAAGGGGATGTGGAAATTTAATGCCCATCTCCCCTAGTTTTTTTTTTCCAGATCAAACGAGTGCCACATGTACAAAGGCACTCACCAAAAGAAGAACGAACAAGAGCATCATGGAGAACAGACTATGTAGCTGGTATGCATTTCCCACGGCTAGAAAAACCCCTCTAATTACCTCCATTTATCTCCACGAAGCTAAAAAAAAAAAGACAAAGGAAGGGTAGAAAAAAAGAAAATCAGAAAAAAAAATCGACAAACTTTTTTACCGCGCATCATAGCCGCTCACTCGATCGTCTCGGGCCACGCTAGTCAAACTTCATCTTCGTCCCCTTACTCTCCGTGATGGCGCCCGTCCTCCTCACATCATTACTGTACACCGCGCCGGGGTTCGAGTCCCTCTTATCTTGCCTCTGCCTCTTCTCCTCCCACGCCCTCTCCGCCCAATCATCCTCCTTCCTCGGCGCCCTCTTCTGCCGAGGCTCGCGCTCCTCCACCTCGACCCTCTCCCCCCTCTCCCTCTCCTTCTCCCCATCCGGCCTCTCCTTCCCAAAGCGCTTCTTGTACCTCACGCTCGAGTCCTCGCCATACTCCATCTTGATCTGCCTCGTCCCCAAGAACCTCCTCTTCCTCTGGCGCTTCGCCAGCTCCTCCTCCTCCTTCCCCTCCAGCCCCGCCTTCGCCGCCTCCTCCTCCGCCGACAGCCCCAGCATAGCGCGCTTCACAGAGTCGATGTCCTCGAAGTCGACGAAGCCAAACCCCTTGCACTTGCCCGTATCCTCGAACGTCGCCAGCCGGATCTTCTGGATGGGCCCCGCGAACGCAAAATGGCTCTTCAGGTCCTCGTCGGTCGTCGCAAAGTCCAGGTTGCCCACAAACAAGATCTTACTCGGCGGCTTACTCGCCAAGTTAGGTCCGAGCTTAACGGGGCCACCGCTGCCATCGGGGTTTGTGCCGCTGCCGCGGCCGGAGAAGTCGTTGGCGTTCTTGATGAGCACCTTGCGGCCGAGGAAGAGCGTCTCCGTGAGCGTGAGCGCGTAGTCAAGCGCCTTCTGGTTCGCAAAGTCGATGTAGGCAAAGCCCCTGTTGCGCTTCGTGTGCGGGTCCGTGGGCAGGTTGATGCGCGTGACCTCGATGCGCTGGATGGTGGACGGCGGGCGCGTGAGGAACTCCTCGAGCTGCGGGCGGGTCGTGGAGAAGCCGAGGTTGCCGATCCAGATGCCCCATTTGGAGCGCGCCTGCGAGGAGTGTTCGGGAAACTCTTCGGCGGGCTTGGGGGTGGTGCCGGGGGCGGCGACGGGGGAGGGCTTGATGAGCTTGTCGGCGAGGTCGGGGTGCTTTTTGAGTTTGCGGAGGGCCTTCTTGGAGGGTGGCTCGGGGAGGGTGACGTCGATCTCGATCTCAGAGGTGGTGGTGTCACGCTTGCGCTTTTTGGAGGGGCTGGAGGCGTCCTCAGGAGCGGCGGTGGGGGGTGCTTCAGATTCGGCGGGGGCTGCGGATTCGGCAGCTTCAGGAGCGGGCTTTTTGTCTTTCTTTTCCTTCTTTTCCTTCTTTTCCTTCTTGTCCTTTTTCTCTTTCTTTGCTTTCTTCTTGTCTTCCCCTTCCGCAGGCTCTTCTCCGGCGGTGGTGTTCTCAGCGGCAGCCAGTTTCTCTACAAGCTTCGTTGCACGGAATTTGTCCTTCTTCTCCGAACCTCGGCCCGGGCCTCTCATCTTTGTGCGTGACATCTTTTCCTTTTTTTTTTTTTTGTTGTCCTTTTCCTCCGCTGGTTCGTGATAGTGTGTAGAAGGAAAGTTTTTTGGGTTGAATTGAGTTGAGTTGAGGCTTTGGAATTATTTTCTTTCCCACGAACTCTTGGCGGGGACTCAGACAGGGCACGGGCCAACGGGCACAAACGGGCACACGGACAGCACCAAATGCATGAAACAGCTGTGTCTGCGCAGAGACGGGCTCGTGGAGATGTGGAGACTGCAATTGAGCCCTTTTGTGCAGATATTGTGCATGCGCGAGAGTGTGTGCTTTAGGCTTAATCTCAGTCCGTGCAGGGCCAAACGTCCCAGGTGGCCTCCCCGGGTTTATCCAGGGTTGGCTTTAATACTTGACACTCTGTTCTGCGACTCAAAGCTGTGATCACTCTGAGCTTCACTTCACTTCACCACTCCACTCCGATATACCGCAGCATCACACTCGCCCACTCACGCCTCCAAACATGTCCAAAACACTCAAAGACCAGCGCCGCGCGGACCTCAGTACGCCTTCCCCCACCCACTCTCTCTACTGACCACTATGTAGCAGTATACTAACCTCGCACCTCAGTAATCCCCTACGTCCCCACCGAGCCCAAAGCCGAAGAAAATGACATTACCAGTACCACTCGCCTCCCTCCCTCTCTCTACCTTCCCACACAAGACAATAACTAACTCTGCCACCCACCAGGCACAATCGGCTCCACCCTGCCCATGGCCGCAATGTTCACGCGCAACAAGATGATCGGCTGGACGGCCGTCGTGTTTGCCATCCAGGGCTGGCTCAGCGAGACACCGGGCCAGGTCGCCAGCGGGAAGCAGCCAGCGTACTTTAGTGTCGGAATGAGTGTTATGGCTTTGGCAATGGTATGTTTTTCACCCCCCCCCCCCCTTGACTTGTGCGGCGAGAGGCGGGAGAGAGAGAGGGATAGCTAATGGGTACGGTGCGGACAGAGTTACTTGCCGCTGTTTATCCCGAGCATGGGCAAGGCGGCGTCGAGTACTGCGCCGGCGCCGCCGGCTCCGGCTGCGTAGAGGGTGTTGGTGCTGAGGGGTGCTGGGTTATAGTTAGTTTAGGAATATGACTTAACTTTTAATCGATATCTACGTGGTGCTTGTAGTGGGGTGTGTGAATGAGCGCGCTCTGAAATTGAGTTCCAATAGGGGCGGGGGTTATATGTGAGGACTTGATCGCTTTAAAAAGTGATATGATATAGACCTGGAATGGCCGAAAAATATCAAGAAATTTACGCCGTGTAGTAAAAACCATATCCACCTCAATACCAATCGAACGCAATACAATATCAGAATACAATATCAATGTCTCACTCGCAGTACCGAATCAGGCCTACCAATGAACCCTCTGTCTCAAGGTCTCAAGGGGTATATAGCAGCTCAATGGAGCTTCGTGCGACTATGCTTATATGTAGCTGTAATAGAAAGGCAAACTAAGGCCGCGAATTGTAAATTACAGGAAAGACCGAACCTCTCCATCTAGATGAGCGATGAGACACAGCTACATGTAATCTAGGAATTGTTGCGTACGTCTGATTAGATTGGGCACCGGTAGTACTGCATTTCGATTCCGAAAGAGGTTTTAAACGTCGCTGTTAGACGGGACTGTTGCGACAGAAGGTGAGATTGGATGTTAATAAGGTGAGATTGGTAAATAGTAAAAAAAGGCAGAGATCGGGATTAGAGTAGAAATGGGGGTAAAAGACATACTAGTAAGGTTCAAGAACGATGAAATGGGTAGAGCTCGAGCATCAGGAATAAGAGTAGAAGGATCATGCCACTACTATCGATTCGAGCAATAACTACATGTATTATAGGAAATTCGAGTATCGGAAACACTGGCGAGAGACATGGAATAAATAGTAGCATACAGTGGAGAGCTCGGGTTTTATATCACTACATGTATTATTGGGTAATCGCTATGGTAAAGAAATTAAAGGGCAGAGCTTGGGGATTGGAAACGCTGGCAGAAGGACAAACATATAGCAGCATAGCGTGCAATTGACAGCACAGGAAGTCTCATTGATGTCGAGCAATAGCTACGGTAGAAAGGTATTTTCATCAGAAACACTTAAGGTTCAATTGGGTTATATGATAACATGTATCATTGAGCAATAGCTCTTGTAGAAAGAGCTTGGGCATCAGAAATAAGGGCAGCAAACGTAAGGCTCGATTGGATCTAAATAGTAGTGAAGAGTAAAGCTGGCATAAAAACAAGTTTAAAAGAGCTCCTATTTATGATCACTGTAATACCGACCATTCCTCTTTGGTCAGTCATGGGATATCAATCGTGGCTCTAGAGTTATCGACAGTTCGAATCACCAGAAAATTGAGATATTAGGTGGATTGATTATTTCGGGTATATCGACAAGAACCCGGCCGTAGTAGCGTACGTAGCAGCTGTAGATGAAGCCCCTGAACCTTCTCGCAAATGCCAAACCAAGTCTCCGATTCTTCCCAGGATAAAAAAAAAGAACTCCGATTGAACACTAGCGCGAGAAAAAACAACAGATAGCTGCCCATATACAAGCAGCTCACACAAGCGCAAGAACAAATCCCAAACCCCACCCCCCTCTACACTACAAGAAGCCCTGCCGGGAAAAAAACGAAGATATAACCCCCAAACTTTTTGATTTTTTGTGGTGGTGTGATTGCAGTATTTCCGTTTATTTGGTAAACTTTTTCTACACAATCCCCCCTCCTTCCAACCAACCAACCAACCGTAACCACGAAAAAAAAAAATTCCGGAAGAAAAAAAAGAAAAAATGCCCCCTGGGTGTTTTTATTTTGGGTGTTTTTTTTCGTTTATTCGACGGTGACGGTGTTTGCGATGGGGCCACGGGCACCCTTGGGAGCGCCCTGCTGGAAGCCGTTGCTGAACTTCCTGTTGACGGTCTTGAGGTACCTCATACGGCCGGTGCCGGTGGTCTTTCTCCTCTTGGCCTTCTCGGACCAGTTGTCTGCTTTCTGTTAGTTTTTCTCCGTTTCTCTCTCTCTTCTCTTGCTCCTCATATCTTGATGATGAGCTGGCGGCTGCGGAACGGTCGAGACGACGTACACTTCCTGGTCTTAGCGGCGGGGTAGGCACAGCTGGAGCAAGTGTGCTTCTGGATGTGGAAAGAGCGGCGACCACAGCGACGGCACATAGTGTGCGACTTGTTCTGTAGGTTTCCAAGGAGCTCGTCAATATCCGTCTTCTTCCCATCCTTTCACGTTTCCAACACACTCTCTCCCTCTCCCTCTACTCGCTGCTCTGCTCTGCTACCGCTACAGCCAGAACTTCCTCGGACCGTAGAGGGGGGAATTTCGGGGAGGGTGGGGGAGGGGTTGAACTAACGTGGCGCTTTCCGAACGAGCTGTGTGTAGACGACCAATTAGCCCACCATATCTCCCAGACAAAAAAAAAACCCGCCAGCAGCAGTTCCCCTTCTCGGGCCAAAACTGGGCGGGGTGAGGTATGAAGGGAAAAAAACTCACGAAGTTCCTTTCGTCATTTTCGGCTAATTTTCGGGGGGGGGGGGTTGATAGGGATTGTCGTGAAGGATTGCTGCGTAGTCAGTTGGCGTGTCGGTAAATTCTGTCGATATCACGAATTGTGAAGGTGTGGTGTTGGGATTTCGGATGTGTGGTTACGGGTCGGTCTAAGCCTATTGGGGGAGAAGCAGTCGTCTTTTCGTAAGTGTGGGGGGAGAAGAGGGTTTTGGCCCTAGTGGTGAGGCTCGTGAGGTGTGGCTGCTGCTGAGTAACCGTGGCTTGAGATATATGGTGGCTGTGTGACAACCGTCAGCCACACAGCAACGTCAAGGTACCGCATGCTAAATAGAACTAGGGCGCGCTGTGTGGCTTGGCGTGTCGTGAGAACAATTAATAACTAACAACAGTCGGGAGAGAGACGAAACGCACGACGGCATCGCCTGCCTATGACCTAAACCCACCTTGCCCCCCTCTCTTTCCATTCGTCTCACCTCACCATCCCCCTGTTTCGTACCTTTATCTCTCTAATCACCCTCACCTAGTAAACCACCATCCCTTTCTTTCCCTCACCCACGATCCAAACTCTCGCTCCCTCCTCGGCATTAACCAAACCTTCTACCCTTACCAGCAAGCAATGTCTACAGAACATGGCACCTCCGGTGGAGGTGACAAAGCTCACTATAAATCATACAAGTACAGCACTCTTGGGAAACAATGGCCTCCCCCTCGCTACGTGCGCTGACAGTGCTGCCATCATCGTCTACAGGAAGAAATACCGCAAGCTCCGCTTCAAATTCCACCAGTCCATGAAACGCTCCGACGAGCTCTTCAAGCAAGAACAGACCGCGAAAGCAGCCGTACGGCGAATACTGGAGGAAAACACGTTTGCCTCCCAATTCTACCCCCTCTGCCCCCCTTCCTATGGTGTGGTCCCGTACTGACCAATCCACTCTCTCCTCCAGTCGCCTTCTCGACCTCCTCGTTGACCTCAACTCCTCGACTCACATCCCCAAAGAGCGCCGCTTCAACCTCGGCTCACCGTCGTGTCCAACGCCAACTCGCTTCCTCTCGCCTACTCTACTTGCCACAATCCCGCAGGATGAGATCGTAGACGAGGAGGCACTTCTTCTCGACCCCCCTGTCAATGGGGCCCTGCAAGCGAAGGTGGAAGCTATGGATGCGGATACGTCCTCGACCTCGTCCGACTCTGACAACGAAGGCGACTTCAACGCCCATAACCGCCGCGACCGGGATTCAGACAACGAGGACGACGACATGGACGACGATGATGACCGCGAAGCCTATCTGGAGGAGATCCGGGAGACAAACTACAAGCGCGGGATTCCCGGGACACCCCCTCGGTACGTTCGTGATCAGATGAAAGCGGACGCGGAGCGCAAGGAGGCGGTCGAGCAGGCTCGCATGGCCGCCGAGCAGGCCAAGCAGGAGGCCATCGACTCCGCGGCTGCTGCAACTGCGGCCGCGGCGGGAGTGAAGCAGGAGCCAGTCGATGAGACCATGGAGGACCTTGACAACGCAGAACATCCGCCTCCGCAGACGCCACCAAGGAAGCCCATCTCATTGGCCGATATTTACCCGGCACCTGGACACACCCCGCCGTATCTGCGTGACCCGTCGCCGTTCCTTATGTCCCTGGAGGAGGAAGAGGCTTTCTACTATAATATTGATGAGAACCTGGGCGGCGAGATACCAACGAACCTTGAAACATCGCCGTCATCAAAGACTGAGTCCGACCCCCGTAACCCAATGAGCGTGTACTGCTGGCTCCGGAAATACCAGCCACAAGTATTCCTCCAGGAAGGCGAAGGCGAGAAGAAACCACGGGGTCGTGGCGGCCGTAAAAAGGCTGGACATGATGGAGATTCAGGGGATGAAGTGATGCCAACACCCGCTACAGCGCCGCAATCAGCTGTCAAGACCGGTGGGAAAAGACGGCGCGCCGACACAATGAAGGGTGCGGGACTTGAGGACAGTATGGAGATAGACCCTCACGCTACCACGCCTAGTCGTGGCCGCGGAGGGGGCAGGGGCCGAGGCGGCAGAAGGAGGGAGGGGGAACCCCCGGTTAAGAAACAGAGGAGGTTGGTGCAATCTAGAAACTCTTGATTTCAAAACTTTTTTATCTTTTGTTTCCTATTTGTAACAGGGACTAATGGCGGCAGTTAGTGTTGCTTAGTGAAGAGATTTGATGTTTCTCTAAACAATATATATACTCCTACATTTACCAAAATGATCCTCAGTATCAGTGGTATTTGAGGTTTAATTATATGGCACTGGAGGAAAGGGGGTTTCTTTTTTAACCTTGTGTAGATCAGCAGGAAAGATAGGCTGTCGTACAACAATTTGGGGAAAAAATAGGTGTCAGCTTTTGTTGTGGGGGAGGGGTTATCTCTGTTTCTAACGGTTTCTTTATTATTTCCTACTCTTCTTTCTTTATATCTTCTTATTCGTTGGGATGGCTTGCTTCTGTATCTTAGGCTTTCTTCCTCCTTTATCATCTGTGGAGTTTTTTTATTCATTTTTTCCCCCTTCTATTCTTTACTAAGGAGTACTATCCGGCCGTACATTACTGCCGCTGCCACTTCTGCTGCTGCTGTCACTGCCTTATCCACTACTTAGTCAGTATTACTACTATTCTTTTTTTTTTCTTGTTCCGGGAGGGGAAGGGAAGCAATTAAAGGAGGCGTTTCTTTTCTTTTCTTTTTCTTCTTTCAAACTTTGGGGTTGGGGGTTTAAGGGCGGGACTTGTACGTTAATGTGTGCTGCGCGCGTGCGGAAATAATAGTTTGCGGTCGCGGTTATGCGGCGGCACGGATATTTGGATCTGGTTAGACTGGGGTGGTGGGGAGAAATGTTGCATTTGGATCATTGACACCATATATAACTAACCTTACTCATTTGGGACATGGCATCTTGAAACTCTTTAGGGACTGGGCTGGGCTGGTCTTTGGGATTTGGTAACGTTGATGGAAATAGAATTTTTCTTCCACCTCGAGAAACCAGTAAACTACAAATACCATAATGTGTTCTTAGCTTTCCCTGTCTCCCGTCTCCCGCCCCCCGCCTCCCCAACTACCACTAACAACCACTATTCCTCCTCGACGTCTTGTATCAATCAACACATTCGTTACGGGCAGCAACACTCGCTATTTCCACCATTGTCATAAGTAGATCCTCGCAAACAAACACCCCACAAACAAACACCCCACCAACAAAAAAACAAAAACACACAAAATGCCCGTCCTAAAGTCTCTCTCTGTACACACCGCCGCAACAATTTCAACATCCCTCTTCCGCGCCCATGTCCCCGCGGCCGTTCTACGCATCAAGAGTCTCACGGCAGCAAACGTTGTATTCCCACCCCCAGAGGCTATCGAAGAGGTTACAATTTCTCAAACCTCTCTTTTTTATTATTATTTTTTGGCGGGAGGTGTTGCTGCTGACAGTTAATTGTGTGTTTAACTAGGTCGAGATGTCATTCGCAGGAACTATGGTTCGCCTGCCTGCAGTTGCTAGAGGTTTGGCTGCGACTGCGAAGGCTGCCACTGCGAAGGCTGCCGCTGTGTATGGGTGGTGATTGCTTTTGCATGAGATCCCCTGAAAACTTCAAAGTTCTCCCTAGCCCTTTTCAACCCCCATAATGACAGGCCTATTATATCGGTCTATGTCTAGCCTGTATAACACATTATATGTTAGAGTTTTAATAAAAGTTTGATTCTTTTCGTTCATTTTTAGTTCTGGCCTTTCTCTTGGCTACGTCGAGATTGTTCCGTATTTTCAATCTCTACATGCAGCCGTTGATATGGTTTTCCAGGTAATTCAATTGAAACCTAAACTATGGAATCTGCTTACCTCTTAGATTTCCACATTCCGGGTTTGGTGCTTGCTCAATTGTCCCGCTCATGGCCTCATGCTCAAAATAATAATATCAATATAGAACTCATCACATGGTCCTTCCGTAGCTTCAAACCATTGAAGCAAACACTGACCTCAGTAATTGGTATCCAGCTGATTAAAAAAAATCAGGCCGATATCTTGTGCCGTGTGACGGCTCATTGAAACATAACGCACTCACGAGCAAACGAGAGAATCTCTGGATCGAGTGGAATTACGGGCGATGGGTCATAGACCTGGACGACCCTCTGGGTTCGAAAATTAACTCGCTCCAGAATAGATTTCTTCTCGGTGAACATGTTCATTCACTGTTTGATCAGTATTTGGTCTCGGTGAACCCAGATGTAAGTATTTTGACGAGATTCATTATTTATACTCACTGTAAAAAGGATAACTACAAGATTGTGGTCTCCATGGTCGAACGCTTGATATGGTGTGTCGGAATCCGGCGGATCCTCATCGTGCCTCTAGTCAGCTTTTGCAGTAGCACTTTCGGCAGTCTGTGCTTGCGAACATGAGAGGTGCTGGGGAACCAGTATTTGAGCATGATTTTCGACCGGGAACGGATATGATGAAAGAGATACGAGAAGGGCCATGTGCGGAGGAAAGATTTGAGATGGATTTGGCAGCTAGATTGCATAGAGCTTTTATATAATCTTTAATGATAGGTAATTCGTTATTATTCTGGGGGTATGGAATTCAATACGTGGGCAAGGTGGCCTTGAAAAAGCGTTTACCGAGCAGCAGCGTCATAATAATTGCATAATATCAGGATAATAGGCGCCGCGCTATGCAGTCGTTCCCATTGGCGTGATTCATAGACAGGTCTCAGGACAATAGTGAAATTCAAAAGGCTACCCGTGGTTAATAGTAAAAGATTCCTAGTTAGTCTACATCCCTAGATATGCCAGAGCAGAATAACTAATAGTACTAACTAACGCATTTCCTACACTGATATAAATTAAAGACCTCAAGCTTGCTACCTCATGACTTTGGCAGAGCATCGGTAAGTACCGGTGTCGAGTGATATCACATGAATACAATATATATGTCCCGACACAAGAATATATACTTCGACAAACAACGAAGCGCTCAAGGCGGGTTCACAAGACATCCAGCTTTATATAAAGAGCGTTGGCTAGAGTTTAACGTTTAATAGCTGCTTGGTGTCCAGATAACCTTCGAGTGTCGATAGAAGAACGAGGGAGAGAATTGCATGCAGCGAACAGCTTGGTCGCCTTTAACGAACGGTCAAATTTGTTTAACCCCTAGCTCTACAAGGTACATGTATATATTTAGTTAGATAGATACACCCTTCAAGCACACATGAATGTAGCTAACATGTTAACACACCACAAAAGATATAGGGGTTTGTAATTGTGGTACTGCATGAAATACAGAGAGGCCGGATTAATTGACCGCATATATACGATATACTTCCCTACATATATCAGATCAGATGCTAAACACGACATTTGCACTACTAATAATACTAAAATACAGTAACCACATGCGGGTGTACCCTTCTGCACTCGAGATCCATATATTAACGTTAAACGCTTTATGAAATCGAGTGATATTTTATGACTGAACTGACCTCAAATTCTAGGATTCTTCTGAGGGGGAGACATCAACACCAAATTTCAATTCTCCGAGAAGATATTACTCTGGGAATTAGTTTACATGTAGTAGCTAGTCGTACAGTAGCGTCCATAACTTCTAACACAGTTCCCAAATCCGCAGCCTTCCTACAGTTTAGCAGTTGCGCGAAGCCACCCGACTCGATGGCAAAGTGTCAATATTGTTATACGTCTCCTAGGAACGAAAGGTTCGCTAATTCCTAAAGTATAAACTATAAGGCGGGGCATCACAACCGGATCGTTCCGATCGCTTGTATGAGAGGATATGTTCTTAATTTTATGTGCACTTTCTCACGTCAGTACGACAACACAAGGCTCAAAACTACACGTAAAATCCGGTCTACAGGTTGAAAGCCAACTAGGCCCCTGTATATTGGCCCAATAGCCGCCGTACCCCGGTGCGCAGTACTGTGGATGTGCAGATTTGTCTTAGTTAATTCCATCATGATCTACGTCGTCCTACATACTGCTTCTCCTCGCTTTATGGTGTACTTTAATACGAGGATCCAGTGGAGATAGGATTATCAGATGGATCCGAGGGAATGAAATAGTGAATCTAAGGCTGGCGCTTGCGATGGTGCTGGCTATGGATTTTGATGTTGATAACGTGTTCTCGCAGGAAACTGCCATCCACGCACACATACATATACAGCCCCCTCTGATATCCAAAACAAGTTTGGGAGAGCCATCCTAATGGTGGCATATCACGATTTATCACAATATCTTCTAGTTTCTCAGATGTCTTACAGCCTGCAGAAATTTACACGAATGGCATCCCAAGCAATTGTCCAGTATAAGCTAGGGGCATATGAGATGCTTTTTTTGAGAATTATGGGTGGAGTAAACTTTCCTGCTGACAGTTTAGTTTGTTTTAAAATCTGGTAGATCCGGATAAAGAATCTCCAAGATGATGCTGGTAATAGGTTCATATATATGATCATGGGGCGTTCATTCATATGTTAACCGTACGATACCGGCCTGTGTAGAAATTCTTTTAATACCCATCAAGGGTGTTGCTGATACAGCCTATTTAAGGACACTAACAAACGTGCATTTACCCTGTGAGAAGTTTTAGTTGTTGACCGCTGACATCTCCCTGCCTATGATGTTTAAGATAGGATAGCATGATATATGACGTCGAGTGCGTCCGCGCTGATATCGGTCTGAAAACGTATCAGATGCCCCAACTAAGCAGGAGTTGTCCATCGAAGAGCTTCGAGACAGTATCTGTGGAACATCATGGAGGAATCAATGAGACCTTTGTGATAAAGCATTAGAAAAAGTGGATCATCCAATTTGTGGGCCATAAAGCCTGGAAAAACAATCCCCAGCGTCCCTAAACTCCACCCAACTTGTGGGAAACTCAGTATCCGCATCAATCACATCTCTTGCATGACAATCCAGCCCTCAAAAAGAAAAGAACCCATGGCGACGAGTGATATATTATGACTTGATGGCATCATTCGAGAAAGAGCTCGATTTTCTGACCTAAATAGAAATATCAACCTCAAAAAAAAAAAAAAATTAGATCGACCCGCTAAGCAATACTTAACTCAGTTCACGTACTCAGCTCACCTGGCCCCCGGTGTTGGTTTATCAAGCTACCCGACTTGTGAAGAGATGACTACACAGCCTCCCGAGGAAGAAAATTTCGCTTGGTCAAACATCGCATAGATTAAAGCGATTCATCACAACCGCAACCGCAACCACCCCCGCTTCCACTTTCATCAAAGTACTTCTTCCACCTTTTTCCCCCAAGTCTACCACATCAGGTCCAATATAATATTCCACGGGCTATGCAATTCCCCACTATATAGTCAGCATCGCTATCAATTGCAACCCTTATGGTACCTTAAGACGCCGTTCCCACCCACCGGAAGGCTACCCGCAGAGAATTATGTACGTGTGCTCTCGTCACTGGAACTACTCGAGTGATGGGCTATGAGAGCCCTACGATTGCATTCAACCTGATACCGTATCGTTACGCTAGCTTATTAACTCCTGGAAAGGGGTGCATTATACATGTGCACTTCGTCGTCTCTTTACACGTCAGTACATGATACAACAATAACAAGGCGCAACCTAGGGGTTGGAATTGAATCACAAAGGCTGATCTACGCTAGGATACTAATCCTTGTCAAAGCCTCTATAAATCAATTGCGCACAAAGTTCAGATGAGTGTACCAACCATTCAATTATCTATCAGTTCTAATCATCCCCCCACTTTCAAAGGAAGATATCTACATTACGAAACGATGTAGTACGATTAGAAGGGTATAAAAATACAGAGCGAATAAAGAAAAGAGCTGTCGACAGATGAAGGGAAAATAAAAATTCTGCCAGCAGTCGGTATATACCAAGGATAAGTGCAATGCATACAATCGCCTTGTCTCCAATAGCGCCGTGAATACCGTGGAAGCTAATGGTTCAAACTTTTGCGCATATCAGGAAGTCATCATGCATGTCTTAGATCTTTTTGACATCATCTGATGCAGGCTTTATTTCATCCATAGAATGACCGGATGTAATGTCGCTGATAAAATCATAAATGTAATCGAAGTAGTTTTCTTCCGCGCAGGTGTCATTATGTGTCCCCTCGGGGAGTTCGCGCCAGAGTTTTGTGGATGTGCACACGTCGTACAGGGTTTTCATGTGAGATGGTCTGTCTCGTGTCAGCATGTTTCATCAACCTTCCAATCAAAACACCCCGTAGAAGCTCATAGATGAAACGAAATAGCCACCAAGCGGAAACATACGGAACAAGTTCGTCTTTCAAGCCGCTGAGGAACAGAACCGGCACTCCTTTGATTGCTGGAAGTGTGGCCTCGCTGGGCCAAATCTGATGGCACAGCCTCGCCAGATACTTCGCGGGAGGGAAAACGGTTGGAATAAGCGTCCGGATTGAACGGAAAGTATTCTCGAGAATAAGACCAGCGACCTTGTCTTGATTCTTTGCGACTAGTTGAATAGCGAGGGCCCCACCGAGGGACTGTCCGTAGATGAAGATCGAAGTTCCGGCGGTGGAGGGGTTAGTAAGTAAGTAATTAAGGGCTGTTTGGGCATCTATCATCAGACCCTTCTCAGAAGGACGGCCGGTAGAGTGCCCATATCTACATGTAGGTAAGTTCGCGCGCAGTGAATACGGGGGCCTTATTTATAATAAGAAGGCGAAGATCGACAGAACTTACCCTCGGTAGGATAAGATGAAGATATGGCACCCCATTTGCTCACTAAAAACACGGGCTATTGGTAGCCTGTGGCCCTGTCCAATGTCAGCCTCAGTGACACGGGAGAAGTCGTGTGGGGAGCTGGCTAAAACTTACAATATTGCCAGCATTTCCATGCATGAAGAGCACCTGCGATAACACCCGTCAACAACCCGCCATAATCACGATAAGCGCATGTAGTAGGGCCGCACAGTAACACCCAGCTGCGGCCTCCTCGAGGTGCGCAAGAGAAAGTTGCTCAACATCTCGCCATCCGGCGTCTTGAGCTTCACTGTCTCCCAGTCATCGATGCCGAATTCTTGGGGAGTCGGCACGCTTGTCCGTGCGCCAGCAGGTACTGATCGGGGATATATGATTTCTCTATCAGTGTATTTGTTAGCTTCAGTGGGGGGATTGGGGGGGAGGGGTGCTAGTCGGCCGTGTGATGACGTACGATTGCTTAAAGTACAATAATGCCGAGAGGAGCACGGCGAGACCAGTGGAAGCCACGATTGCTCCTTTCAGGTATGAGTAGAGGGAGCTGATATAGGGGAAGATGGTCTCTGAAGACGACATGAACAATGAGGAAGGAAGAGAGGAGCTCAGCTGCGTGATATTCAGATCGAGCATAAAAGTGTGTATGCGTAAATACCCACAAGGTGCAACTGGCGGCAAACAGGATTAATGCCTGTTGGAGTGTTGTTGCCTTGTGTATGGTGGGAAAGGGAAGGCGACGACGATGCCTGTTGCTTGTTTGTTTGCCGCTTGGTTGCTATGGCAGTTTACTCGAAGGGATGAGTGCCAAACAACGTCAAATTCGTTCACAGAGCAGTGGAGCATGTAAGTGCCATTGTACCGGTATGTACGTACAGAAGCGTACTCTACATATCTCGAGTGTCGTTGGAACGTCAAAATCCGGAGTAAATTCTTTAGCGAGATTCCGGGGTGCTCGGCCTGCGCGTGCAGGGAGGGTTCATGTCATACCTTTATGTTCTTACCGATTACCAGAGCCGCTGCATACAATCACGTGATTAAGTGTTTGTTTAATTTCGGTCCCGCCCAGCTGCCAGGCATATCTACATGTAGGTTTTGTGCGCACTCATACTCCGAAGCTACCTATATGTGCTGCTGCATAGTATGTCACTTTACCCTATATGATGTAGGGTGGGTATGCACAATGCACATTACTAGTCCTCGATATAGGGCTGATAGCCTTGTCCGGCCGGCGTACGTGCCACTATGATATTCAATGCGCACACGTAAAGAGAGGTCAATTGCAATTGAAACTCGGGAGTATGGGTGGAATCATGGTACCAGGTTTGGCCTTGGGCCGGTATCTAGAGAGAGTGCAGTAGTATATTCAAGTACCGGCAGAGTACGTACCGGTAGATGCTTTAATAATTATTGTATTAATTCGAGATATCTGGTGCCGCTATAGTGAAAATATTCGATATTGACAGCGAGATGTTGTGTGTATATATAGAGAACCTGAATATAGTGATCATGATATTACTGGCTTACAACTCGACCACTGTGTTGTGGGTACATGTATGTACACGAAGTAGCCGTATCTCCAATGATTGTCTTATGACTAGTGGTGTTCCTAGACCTTTGTTTCAAAGCACAGAAATCTTGCAGAGCTGATCATCAATACACACACTATCACTCGATCAGTGATCGGTACTCCCCACAAATCGCCACGATGTTTCCAAGGCTTCATAAAGCTGACCCCCGGCCAGAGTTGTTGTAAAACAATTTGAGCGATAGATAGAGACCATTGCGCGCTCTCCCGGCCCCCGCACATTTCCCTCATTCAGTTGTTGCCCCCAAACGTTTCAGTTGCATCCCAGGAAGGGGGAAATTTAACTAGGGTAAAAACTCTACAGTGCTTCTCAACGCGCCGCTTAGTTACCAGTAACAGACTTCTGCGCAGTGTAGAGCAATCTCTGCGTAGCTGTGATCTATCAAATCAACGACGTCACAGAACGATGGGAGGTTCTTTCATTCACTCTCAGTTTACTTCTTTTCCATGATAATAAAGTGGAGTAGACAGACTCGAGCTTAGAAAAATTTATTTTTTTCTTCCGGCCGATGGATGAGACACGTGGTGGTGTGGTCGTGTCATTAATTGAGCTTAAGTGCGCACTAAACACACAATAATTTTGTATTTAACCCCTCTGTATAACCTCTATGTGGGAATCTCTATCGATCGAACTCAGCGTGCTCCCACTTACTTTGTTTTTGAACTTTTCACTGTTGACCTTTGAACCCTCGATCCTCATAAATTCTATCATCTAGCTAGCTAGTCAGCCTTCATAATCCAAACCTAGACCAAACTTGCCTTTCAATCAACTACTATGTATCACTCATACAATCACCGCTCCTCAGACCCATTACTCCTAGAATTCACAAATGCCACCCCCGAGCCCGAATTTGAGGCCCCATCTTCAAGCTCATCGGATTCCATCTCTCCCCTTCTGGAAATCCCCATCGAGCTCTTGACCATGGTCGCCACGTATCTCGATTCAAGCGACCTCTTCTCTCTTCTCCTTACCGCGAAAGCTCTCCCGTTCTGGCTGCTTCCTATGGCGCTGCCGCTACGTCTTCCTCTAGACAGAACCCTTCTCCACTATGCCGCGGAGAAAGGTTCCCCAGATTGCATGCGCCACATCCTCTGCGACGACGAGTGTCTGGCGCTGCTAAACACCCCCGATAATAAGGGTGAGACTCCACTGCACATAGCCGCGAAGCGCGAGGACCAGCGTATGTGTGAGGTACTGCTAGAAGCCGGCGCAGATATCGATGCGCGTAACACTGATGATGAGACGCCGATCTTCTGCGCGGTGGAGGCAGGGCGTGCTAAGGTAGTTAGGATATTGAGGGTCCGAGGCGCTGATCTACGGGCGGTCGAGAAGAATAATAAGTTAACGGCGGAGCAGAAGGCCGTCATGTATGGGCGTGAGGACGTTATTTTAGCAATAAGGTGTGAGGAGGGTCTGAGTGGGGAGCGTGGGTATCAGCAGTTGGAAGTTGCAACTGCCCACGGGTTTGTGGAGATTGTCAATAGGATGATTAGAGAGGGAAAGAACCCATTCGAGAAGGGCGGAAGTAAGGCTCTGAGTGTGATCGCGTGCTGGAGGAGTGGCGGGAGGATTTTCGAGGAGTTGGGAGAGGAGCAGGAGACGAGCGTAGCGCCGGAGTTGCTGGTAAGGAAGAAGCGGAGGGGTAGATGGGAGGATTTGGAGGACGAGCATGTTACGAGCCCATTTGAGAAGAGGTTGAAGCTGATGAACTTCTGATGGTAAAGGTAGGTAGTAGTGCAGTGCACGTGTGGAACCGGCGCCGGGAATTTGGATAAGAAGTATTGTCGGTAAATTTCGATTTGGAATTTGGTATTCATGTTAAGAACCTAGATTTTAAACACGCAAGTAGAGTCAGCTATCTTTATGGTACTTATTTTCTTTCTTTTCCTTTCTTTTCCTTTCTTTTCCTTTCTTCTCTCCTTTCTTCGTTCCTTTACTCCTTTCTTACTTTCTTCTCCTCTTTCCTTCTTTCTTTTCCCCCTCCGTTTCTTGATTTAAGGTGTAGGGTCTGGGGCGTATGGGTGTTTTCTTCTTCTTGGTTAATAGGGTGTTTATGTCTCTGTGTCTATGTTTGTCTTTCTTTTCTCTGTTTCTCTGTTTCTTCACTGTGAAAAAAAAAATGTATTTGTTAATCCGTAATCACTCGTCAGTGTTTGTTTATATTATTAGTATTAGGATTAGGCTCAAATTGCTACTACGTGTAGTTTCTTAATTAAACTAGTGCGTTACTAGCGTGACCCATTCTGGTAGATTAGTAGGTAGGGGAGTAATTATAAATCTCGACTGAACCCACACACAGCGTAGGTAACTCTAGCCTCCCCATGAGCTCAAGACGAGCTTTGCTAGAAGAGATGCGGAACTAGAGCTCGAGACCAAAGCAAAGGGAATCCCCATAGCAGTGCGCCTTGTAGAAAGCGAAGGGAGCGCTTAAACCATAATCATCGAAGTGGTATTTCCAGATCACTAAAAATCACTCGCTAGAATAACTAGTAGCGCGACGATCTTATGAAGATCTACGGACCCGAGCAGCAGCAGATGTCCCCAAATAAGCTTTAGAAGCTAGAATAGGTGAATTCCTAGGTACTGGCCACGTGTGAGTATGATTCCAGCTCTCCGAAACATAATACTCATCTCGAGACCTCCGAGATCAGCCCACTGTTTATCAGCCCATTCTTTATCAGTCTACCCACCATCCACCATACACTATCAAGATGGACGGGAATTTTTCTCTCCCTACAGACGCAACAATATACAGTTCCCTGCCCTCACCACCCGCGGAGCCAAACGTAGTCCCCTCTACTCCAAGGATCACAGATCTACCCGTCCATGCAATATGTCCGACCATCCCGCTCCTCTCCTCGAAGAGCAATAACTCTTGCGTTCCCTGTATCCCCACACTCCACCTCGAAGTCCGCCTTCTCCCGCAGGCCTCAATTCGCCCTGACTCTATTATTCGTTACGTCCACGAATGGCTCAACGCCAACTTCATCTCCCTGCACCTCGCGCAGAATATCACAGTCTTCGAAGATGCCCCACTAATCTCGGAGAGCGTGGAGATAATCACAGTAGTTGAGGCTACGGGGTCGACAGCGGAGATACTACACCTTGACGAGGTACTGCTAGATGTGTGCGCGTATAAGCTACATGAAGGGACCGATGTACTTGGTGGGACAGGCGGCGAGGAGGGTGAAGAGGCACCGAGCTCGAGGGTGTTGGTCCTGCCGAGTAGAGCGTTGGATGGACTATGGGAGTATCTGGTTTTTGAACCAGATATTAGGAAAGGGTTGCTACATTTTATATCAAGTATTAGTAAGTGCTCCTGGGAGCCGAGGCGGGTAGCTGTGCTGATATACTGGTATGTGGGTGGTAGTTTTGTTTGCGGATAAGAAGGTCAACTTTATGTGTGTGACTTGGAACAGGCTGATATTGCTACATGGGCCTCCGGGGTCCGGGAAAACGAGTCTGTGGTGGGTACTCTATGTACCTTGCATGACTATGTATTAATACTGATCTACGAAGTCGGGCGTTAGCACAGAAGCTCTCGATTCGGCTGTCGAAACGGTTCTCGCACTGCCAGCTCGTGGAGATTAATAGCCACAGTTTATTTTCAAAGTGGTTCTCGGAGTCGGGTAAGCTCGTGGGAAGGATGTTTGATGAAATACTGCAAATGCTGGCGGACGAGGATACATTTATTGTGGTACTAATAGGTTAGTTAATGGCTAGCGGTTAGTAGTGGACAGTACTACATGTAGTAGTGCTAGCAATTGGTACTATTACTATTTAGTCAATGTTACTAACAGGTAATATTCGGAGGGACAGACGAAATCGAATCTCTCACCTCAGCCCGAAAAGGTGCCGCCAGCGGCAACGAGCCTTCCGACTCCCTCCGGGTCGTGAATGCACTGCTGACAGCACTTGATAAACTCCGTTTCAAAAATAATGTGAGAGCGGCTCTCTAAAACAAATGTCTCCCAACCAGAACCAGCAGCTGACCAAAGTCCGGCTACAATGGCGGTAGGTGATCGTGCTCACAACCTCAAACCTCTTGGAAGCCATGGATCCTGCCTTCCTCGACCGCGCAGACATAAAGCAGTACGTCGGTGCCCCTAAAACACAAGCCGTTTACACCATCCTACGGACGTGTCTCAACGAACTTATTCGTTGCGGACTGATTGATGAGCAGGTATGGCAGCGTATTTTCGAATTTCTCCCCTCAGAAAGAGGAGTGCACTGAGTTTAGATAGACAGAAATTGCCACAGCCGAAGAAGCCAGCTTGACACTTTTCTCGCAGCCCTGCTTTGCGTCGAGCAGGCTGTGGCGCATCGCAGAGGAGTGTACGGACTTTTCGGGCCGGACATTAAGGAGGCTGCCAGTGCTGATGCATGCGGCGTATATTCAGAAGGAGAGCTGTAGTCTGATGGAGGCCTTAAAGGCCCTGGAGTTGGTGGTAGAGGATGAGAAGAGGGCAAGGAAGGAGTTGGCGGTGGACTGAGGCATGCTTGCTTACTGCCACTCGTGGCAGTTTTCTTATTATGTAGGGTGATTTTTGTTGATAAGCTTGTGCCTTTTTTTTCTTTTCTTTTTTGCTGCTACGGAAATGATCGCTGGTAGGGTATGTGGCTATTTTAGATGGTGCCGGCGAGTATGTAAAGGGGTTAGGAGCTCTGTAAAGGATTCATCACTGGATCTCACTCGGCGGTTCGGCCAATGCGTGTTGTCTACCGGGGCAGGTTTGTTTGGTCGATGTATCTATCCACAGACACATACATATTAAGCACCCACCTATCTACACCCGGCACACAGATGTGCGTACATGTATGTACTACTGCTAATGCCATTCAGCAAGAAAAGAAAACAAAGAAACATAATCATCCCAAATCATCTATATAGCTAGTTATCTTAGATATTTAATTCCAAGAAGAACTCCTCTTCGTTCTTCTTCTTTTCATATTCTCCCTATTCTTCCTATTCTTCCCCTCTACAATCCTTGCCTCAGTCTATCCGCCAACTGCCTCTTGCCAAATTCCCACGCATTGAGAAGGCCCTGCTCCGAGAGGTCAATGTTCTTGACACTCGGCGCATCCTCCATGGGCTGCTTCGTCACCCGTGCTGCAATCGTCGCCGGATCCGTTTCCAATATTACGCCATCATCGACAACCTCGTCGACAGCCAGTGAGACAACATCAAAGTGCTCCAAGATGGTGCGCTTATCCACCGTATTTCTACCGGCCGCACGTCGTCAGCCCCAACCCTCGCCTCCTTGCAATTGAGCTAAGATAGTAGACGGTAAACACACACCTTAGCAGTATACTCAACGTATCCCTGAGCGCCAGTAGGGCATTCCATAACAGGAGCTCATTCTCGTCGGCGCCGCCAACAACATAGAGGACGACGTCGCCCTCGGTCTTGAAGACGACGACGCGGCCGTCATAGAGGATGATATCGTTTCCGGCGGTGGCTGTCTTTTCGGTGAGGCCCTTTTCGAATGCGGCCTGGGAGGCGGGCGTGGGGTAGGGCGGGGCGCTACTGGCGGGGGAGTGCGGGGGGTGGTAGTATTTGGCGAGGAGGCGAGTGCCCGTGTTGGTCAGGAGGAGGACCGCGTTTACCTAGGTCGAGGGGAGGCGCGGTTAGCAGCGGGTAGGGCGGGTCAAAGGTGGGTGTGCTACCGAGAAGAGGGTGAGGTTGGGGGACATTCTGGAGGTGCTTGTAGGCAGGTGCTGCGCTGGTGAGAGTGGAGGCGTGAGGAGGTTGTTACAGTGTGGTAGTAGTTGTCGCAGGAGTTAATACCTAGTTGGCCTGAACGGAAGAAGCCGTGGGGGGGGGGGGGAGCTACAGGGTACTCGATTGTGGTAGAGAGTTCCTGCCTTCTTGCCTAACCTGATATTAGGATATATATGCGGACATATGTGCTAGTGAAGATCCCCTAGGGATTTTTGAATTCTGCCCATTGGTCAAAAGGCTCCTGTCGCTCATCCAAAATCACTCGTCGAACCAACCAGTAGGCGCGCGTTCCTGCATATCTTCTTTCCTTTTTTTCTCCCTCATCTTTGTGCGTGATCAGCTTACTACATTTATCACACAAGTGCGCACTGCAGATGATGGACCACGGCCAGGTCAGCGATAGGCTCGAGTTCAACCATCACAGAAAATATTCCTGATGGCGGTGTTCATTAAGCTGGAAAAGCAAAAGCGCGAAACGAAACAAAATATCTCAAGGTAGATTCGCACTGATATCTCGAACAACTTGTTGTATTACCACTTAATGATAAAGAGACACAAGGAGGCTCCGAAGAGATACACTCTTTATAACCCACGTGAAATGTAAATCCCTTGTCCTCGGAAATACAATCATGAAAATCGAGCGACATATGTATGTAAGAATCATTGTCAACATTCCCAAATCAACCGAAAGGATAAACCTCTCTCTTTCGAAAAAGTAAAGTTATTATAGTGCGTCTGCGAAAGCAATATAACATCTTATTCTAAACAGTAGCATCGATTCATGTATCCTCACTTGGAGACTCGAGCCTGACAAGACATATTGGGAGAAATGATAGAGCAGGCACATGCACATTAGGCTATGTTCTCCCATGGAATCATTGCTGGCCTGTTTATATGCCGAATTGACGCTCCTTTTGACGAGCCTAAAAAAGAGAAAACCTGAATAAGTTTAAACCGTTTATCTTATATATTGGACAACCTATATATCCCGTCTTCTGATAACTGTAGTTTAAGTTTTGCACGGGGACCCTCACTAGACAATAGTATATATTAGACCATGATGATTTCCAAGGGGTGCTGTTTGTTTTAATTATCATTGAGCTTGCAGTAAACGTCATTTTTCTTGCTCCAGCTAGATATAGGATATAGAATGAAAGATCGGCTCCCTATTCCTATAATACGAATCTCCCTTGAGGCTTTAATGTTATCTGCGGATCCGTGGGTAACGCTCAATATGAGTTTCAATCACCAACCGCAAACTCCACGGACCGCGGCGTACCGGATAGTTTCTGGGAAGTAGGTGCTCAGTTGAAAAATAAATGAGCTTAGTAACAATCCGAGATATACTTCCATCTACTAGCCCAAGAGTCCAACTGTACCGATATCATCTCCAGAGGTGTAACCTATGTTGCGCTTAGTTAAATTATCCATGAAAAGATGTTGAAGAGTGGAACAAGACAAGCAGAGAAGAATACACTTCGGGGCTGGGCATGGTATATATAAAGATAGCGAAGCGATAATAATAATTTCGGCCGACAACGACAAGGGGGCAGACTACGGGCTCCCGGTTAGTGAGTTGATGCAAGGCAATAAATTCAAGCTAGATAGAGGACTACTGAGGGGTGACGAGGGCTATTATGCTATACGTAGGTGCTACGAAGGAAAGAAGATACTTGGGCCTAGAAAGAAAGGGGGACAAAGGGAAACCGCTTAAATTGTTTTTTAGTTACTTTTATATTTTTGTAAGTGGTGGTGGATGCAGTAGGGTAGTTCTGGGGATATTGCCATAACTGTAAGGTTGCATGCAATTAATGAATTAAACAAAAAAAAATTTATCCATGGAGTACTATGAACCCGAGTGATGCTCTATGATCCGCACACTATATCCAATACGCCCCGGCCACATGTCGCGAGGACGTAAGTTCCTGCTGCAAGCCTGAAGTCTCGCTCTGGATAGTGCCCTTCCCTTAAAATGATGTTTCTTATCCGCGCCATCTATCGAGAGTGCTTTTTATCTCTTCACCTACTCCCTCTAATTTGTTGCGTGTTTGTGGGTGCCTTTCTTCGTTTCGACTGGAAATAGTATAGCAGATAATAGGTAGATGGTCAAATCGTTAATACACTTGATATCTGTGTTTATATCCTTCTCACCGGCGGTATTTTGTCCCCATAGGCGGCGAGTTCATTTCTTAGAAAGCAGCGGTTTATAACTAAGCAGCTACGAGCCTAAGGATTAAGTCAAGCCTAAAAGTAAAAGGCTGAATTGGCACGACTGTTAGCGAGTTGGCGGTTGCTGACAATATCTCGAATAGGAAAATTTAGTTTTGTTTCTTGGTCATGTAGTATCACTCGTTTATTCATTTTCTTCAAAGGTTGTTGTTGCTGCTGCTGTTAATCGGTTTGCTGCGTCTTTCCGGGGATCCTTTTTACAAATAGAACATGGGAGTTACCATTTGACCAGCCATGGCTCCTAGATAGTAATTCTCTCAACTGGGTGAGGTACCTTCCGAACTCGTCTTTATGGCTGGGGCGGATCAGAACTACATGTAGGCAGCAGTTAAACTTTAGTGGGCTTCTGGAAGATGCAAGGGAGGCGGTGATACTCACGTGTCGTAGTATAGGGACCGCCAAAGTTTAAGACCGGTATATAGAAAGCTATATACCTCGTGGCGCCTCTGTCTTAGGGAGTGTATGTAGCGTCCTGCTCAAGCTTAAGTAGTGATACCCCCGAGCTTCTCCAATCATCAAATACCTAGAAACGTGAAGATAAGAACTAGTCACTCCTAGAGTCTGTTTCAGAAATGGGGAATGACTTGCGCCGTTGGGCTTAATGGACGAAGCAAAGCCACCAAGCTGGAACTAGGTGTACACGCATGTAAGAAATATATGTACCAGGTATGTGTACATGTAGTTCCGGGTGAGAAAATCGTCGCCGTCAGCATCCATCCTTAACCACTTCCCGTCCCCTCTACACAAAAACCCCAATCTCAGTCTCCGTAGTTATCAAGCTCCCTTTACTATCCTAACTATAATGATTTCATCCCTGATGTACTTCTGGTCGATAGCTCCCTATGCTTTAGGGTATTACTTAAACCCCTCTACAAAGCACCAAATATAGTCAGGAGATAAATTTTAGTTGAGGACTAGATGCGATCCTTTACCAATGTCAACGGCATCCTGAACTATGTTATATCTGTGGCTACATGTAGTACTTATGTGTAGGTGTTACTTATTCAGAGAATCCTTACGAGAATATGAGTGTCTACAACCAAACGTGCGTACTATCCCGATCCAACCACTTCCTACGATGAATTCTTATAGAAACAAGCAGCTTTAGTAGCTTAAAGAATAAAGTGAAGCCCCGTGATTGAGTCACGCAATATCACTCGTTTTTATTGGCACGGTATTTCGGCACCCCGGCAGCAGTGCTTCCGGGGGTGCTAGTCAACCCTCTGAGAACACTGGAGTCTTTGGGAGACAAGGTTATTGTTAACGTTAACACTCCTTGAAGTCTTCAGGCTACTGGTTAGGGGGATTCAGGATCTCATGGTTCTTGAGCGATGCGACAAAGCATGTGTTACCGATAAAAGACACCAAAAGCGATCAAGTAAAATGTACTAGGTATCTCAACAGATTCATACATGCACCGGCTGTCGAAATTGCCGGTGAAGCTTCTGGTCCAAGCGGCGCGGCGTATATACATGTATGTACTGCATACACTAGCTTATAAATTGTCGCTCACGAAAAATTTATGGTACGATTTGTAACTCATACATAATCCTTCCTGCCGCGCGTTAGTGTTTTTTCTTCTTTCTTATCCACTGCCCATTTCTTCCAGAAATTCTTTAATCGAAACCCCTGGCTTACGCAGCTTTTTGGAAGACACAACTGTTCGGTAGATCCGCGGGCCCTGATTTAATCCCAAGAAGCAGCGACTCGGAATAATCATCACAAGCAGTGGATAACTCCGTTCGGGGCGAGCCCGGGTCTGATATATTATCTTCTATCTTTCTCCTATCCAGGGGACGTCTACGGTCTATACAGGCAACACAAATATTTTGCTGTAGGAACAATATATATTTACATGGTATTAGGGATATTTAGTGACTTGTCGTTGAGTGCGCGCAGCACGAAAAGATACGGAATTACATACAGATAGCGTATCAGGATTGTTCCCACCCCCATCATTCCAGCTATCCTTGAAAATTTCATGATGGTTTTTTTTTATCTGACTTGGTTACTGATCAGAATTAGATAAAAACACCAGTTACAGATCACAAACTGAAAAAAAAAAAACTTAGAGCGACAGCCATCAACCAGACATGCCGCATACAGCGAGTAAGACGTGCATATCATGCGGCCAAGGTCTTTACCAAGGTGTTGTCAAAATGCTGCGTAAATAATGGTTTCCCTCCCCTTATTTCTCATGTTAATACTACCACGAGTGATAGAACATGACGGATTGTGTTGTTACGCGTAGTACCTTACCTATGAGTTTAAACAGGCCATACGGATAACTTTCTGGGACTTTGGGACTACACGATAAGTCCATAGTTTATATGGTACATTGATTTGAAAACCAGGTCAAGAGGTTTAATGAGATCCGTTAAAATAACGCAATTACCAGATATGAACAGATGGACAACCATCGGAAATACATACTTGCCAAAATATAGTATTCTAGAAGCCGATAAAAGATAATTAACGAAATATACTAAGATAGTTTTTCGCTATAATGATATCAACAATGATGCATCTGAATAAAAAGCATGTGGGACCATCACGCATTGTACCCTGTTCAAAATTTGGTTTCAGATCGAGTGATATGTATTTCGTTTGGTGTTAATGCCCAGCGGATAGATTCAAGATTGACAGAAATCGGCTATATCAAGGTGCTTGCATGATGTTGTCGCCCCCGAAACGAATTTTTTTTCTGGGGAAAGATCAATGCGGCACCCCCGCGAACTCAAGCGAGATGGATGTCCCAAGAAAAATTTGTCCAAGGGTCATGCTTTATCTTTTTTGGCGGCGTACATACATGAAGGAGCGAAGCCTTGTGTTGTGCCCTACAGCCCTGTGCCCCCCCTTCCAAAGCATGCAGCGAAATCCTTGGGCGGGAGTCCTGTGGGGTTTTCTTTTCTCACCGGGGGGAGTAGGACAGCGGCGTGAAATCATCTTGGCTGCTTGTTGATCTGTCGTCTGCACTTACCCAAAAATCTTCTTACGATTGGTACTGGATGTCTGAAATCGCGATGTATGAAGTAGAATTCATCATAGGCCTGACTTAGTTGGGTTTATTAACAGTTAACTAGGGTGTGGACCTACACCTCACCCGGCCTTGGCGCAGAAGTTACCAAGTAGGATATGATCTTCATCTACTGGAACTATTTTTTGAAGCTCGGCGAGGATTTGTGGGGTATGTAATATATTTTGAATTGAGGGGTGGTCTTACTCCCGATGGCCGGAGGAAAATTGAAATATTTAATTGTGATTTAGTTACTGGCGCCTGATCATGAACTTAGAGCGGTATTCGACTCTGATAGAGTTCACGATCTTTTTACGCAAACTACAACCTTAGAAGAAATATACCTTGTTTGTCGAAAGCTCTGAGCGGGGTACCCATCCTAACTACATGTATAGTTGGATTGTCATGTCAATACCCGCTGGTACACCTCCCTCAAAAGTTTGACACTACACGAAACCAATACCGATGATGCTATGGAGTTGTCTTAGGTGACGTCGGAGAGGGAATTGAGCTTGCGGCCACGGGCTTTGTCCTCAAATTGACAAGTAAGTGAGCATCATTGCAGCGAAGTGAGAACTAAGCACCTGTAGAAAATATGCCTCAGTGAAGGGACCTCCCAATACGGCAAAGCTTGTTTAATTACATCAAACAAAAGCAGTTCAGTAGGAGCAAAGATATCTAGTTTATGGATAAAGAACTGGACCCGAGATAAGATAAGTGCACAGATACATACAGTAGCATGAGTACATGTAGGTACATGATACACGATTCACACTCAATCACGTGCCAAATTGTTGGGAGAGAAGGCGCATAACTTATGTAGGTCACAGTAGGTGCTCTACCGACTCTAGGTACATGTAAGATGTAAGTATGTGCCTATTAGCTTTGTCGAAGGCAAGGCGGCCGATCTGTTGAACATGTACTTACCACTGGGTAGATTACTTACCTGCGTCGGGAGGTAACCTATCACCGCAAGCTACCAGGATTCATAGGATAGTGCTAACCGATTTTCAGCGCTACCTAAGACTTGAATATCGTTTTTGGCTGATCTCGGCTCTTGGTCGAGTAGTTTACTCTACTCTCCAGCTATGTATCAGTCCAAGTTTAAACACAGAATTTCGGGAACAACACAGAATTTCGGGGCCAACGACAGAAAAAAAAGGAGTTCTGCTACTTTTCAAGCCTTGAGCCTGATGTAGCTCGAGTGTGTACATACATCCAGTACATACGGGTGTCACACTGTATTCACTGCAGCTGGGTAAAAATTAGTATACTTCCATGTGAGAAGAAAAAAAATTTAATGATACACACGATACATTTGATACATTGTATGACGGATTTGAAGATCATGCGAGAGAAGTAGAATAGAGGGGAGTAGGGTACCGGGATGGAGGACGGGGTTCACAATTAATTGGGATACATACAGACAGGCCTCGGAGTGGAAGGTTCTGGAGTATCGAATCATATGCGGGACCTAGGGAATTTTACCGGCCGGTAGATAGGTGAAGATACCCAATGTGGATCAGGTATTTGTGGACGGCCTATTTTTCACGAGACATGTTCCTTCTGTTGCCACTCCTAGGATTCAGCGTAGGTACAGGTATGTACATCATGAGAGAAATTTTATATTGCAGTTGAGACTGTGCGTTCACCTACGTACAGCAGGAAAACGTCGTCGTAAACGTGCCAGAGCACCTCACTGGGAAATGTGGTACCTATCCATTCCCTGCCCTTTTCTTGGAAAGTACGCCAGAGACTTCAGGTTTATCATATCAGCCAAAAATATAAAAAACAAAATATCTAAATGAACAATCATGCCGAGTGCCTAGCTAGCTGCAGCAGTAGTGTCCGTGGAGTGTTCGCGTGTGAAAGAAACTCTCGGGCAAGGCGGTGAGAACGAGGAAAGCCTAGACGGTGATACCTTGCCGACATACATACTTCTCACGCATACATCCGACGAGCAAGAACGGGGCCGAAAGAAGTTTGATGTAGGCCGACTATTGGCGGGGGAAGGGAATATATGTACTTACTTTACTGTACCTACGAGAGAAGAACAGCAGATGTGCACATCCGAGCACATACAGTTCCATGTAACTAGGAGTAGAGTATGTATTAGGAGGAGGAGGTCTTACGGTCTCACAAGCAAAAAGTTCTCCGACCAAACATAATGTTCTGCTGGGATTCCTGTGACTGTCATTGCCAGTGATGGAGATGAGCATGGGTGATGATGAACGCCAGCACAACCAGTTTCTGCTTGAGGGGGGGCCCCTTAACGTGCCTGCATATATGATATGCGCCAGTTCAGCTAAAAGCCTATCGATGAGGTCCCAGAGTTAGAGGTTCGGGGTAAGAAAGTTGTTCCTGTCTGCGGGAACCACATAGGAACAAAACAAAATAAGTCCCGATCAAGTTGTGACGCGTAACTGCTGTTTAGATGAGATTTGGTTCCTGGCATCATCACGTTTCTGTTTTTTCCCCCACAGCCGCCCTCTATGATGAAACTAGGCTTTCTCTGGCTAAGAGCAATCTTGAGGGGCTTGATTCCGAGCTTGTGGTGTGTGGTCCAGCTGCTTCTGCACAGCCGAGCCCGCCTTACTGACTTTTGAAGCCGTTAGGCCGCTCAGGGTGTGCAGTTAGCGGCCCTGACACCCTGAGAGGCACTCAAACTCGAACAAGGAGAATGAGTGATGGGAACCTTATGGGTGAGTTATGCATTCTTGAGGGAGGTTACACTGCAAGGGAAAAAAAAAAACCTGTTACTGTTTCCCTCAAGTCAAGCATAAGCGACACCTGTTTTTGGTTGGATGTTTTTTCTCTGGGCACGGCGCATTGTTGGTTGGCGGGCTGGCACTGGGCGGTGGTGCAATATTAGGCATGTACATAGTAAGTAGGTGGTGGTGGTGGTGCTGATACTGGGGGTGCGTGAGAAGGGAGCACATCTTCGGCGCTGAAAGGAAGGCGACTCGTTTTGAAACCCCATACGTAACTACCGTATTTCTCACCATTGCTGTAACCTGTCGCTTGGAAGGATTTGTTCGGCCTCTGCCATAGTGTCTCCGAAGCGGTCGCCTCTCGTCTTTCTTCTTGCTAGTCGTGCCCCCCACCAATACGCTAGCGGCCCTTACCACACACCATCACTACCTTGGGTGTTTACCCAACCTCCATCGTCTACAACCATCATTCTCACTTCATTCTATCACTACAACACACCACGGCCGGTATCACGTTCCTTTCTAAAACAACTGACTACAGGACATCGAGAAGAATAAGGAAGAAGAAGACACTCACGCACAGAGGCTGGCCTGCAGTGCCCGAGCTTCGTATACCGTGAACTTGCAACCGACCTCAAAATGTCTGGCTCAGTAGGCGCCCTTTTCTGGGTGTTTTTGGTTATCTCAGCTCTTGTTGTGGCATCTGAAAGACTTCCCCCTTCAGAGATTAGGAACATAAACCAGCGACAATCGGAACCAGAGCTATCGCGTATTGTTTCCCCAGGGGCTCCAAAACAGAACATCAACGATAGCGAGAAATCCTCTAACAACTTTAACGACCTTACATCCTCGCTTAGTGCCGCCAGGGCACTAGCAACTTATTCTCCAGAAGCTACAAACGGAATTCATCAATCTGGGCTTGGAAGGGTTGGAAGTGGAGGAGGGGTAGCTCTTCAGAGGGAAAGATACATTCATGATTGGGAAGTTGAGGACTATGTGTTGTTATCCACGGTCGATGGGAGTCTCTATGCCACCGATAGGAAGACAGGGATGAAAAGATGGGATATTTCGTCGAATTATCCAGCAGTGCAAATTACTGCTCACCGGGCCAATATCTCGCACCCAGTACGAGATTGGATTCCAGACGATAATGTTGTTTGGATTGTAGAGCCAGTCAACGGGGGCCAATTGTATTATTATTCCCCAGATAGTGGGTTGAAGGTAGGTTTTTAATAAACAAGGGCTTCCTTGTTCTGTTCATAAAACAAAGCTTACCAATGCGTCTTTCAGAAATTCGGTATTTCTGTCAAGGGAATCGTCGATAACACACCTTTTTCTGCAGAAGGTAGTGATAAAGTTTATAACGGCGACAAAAAGACGACCACATTGTCTATTGATGCCCGCGCTGGAAAAGTTCAAAGAGTGTTTAGTTCCAATGGCCCGGTGAACATAATGCATAATGAAAAGTGTAAACCGAAAAAAGGACTTGAGGTTGAAGATTTGGACGATGAATGCGACTCCACTGAAAAGATCATCTTGATCGGAAGAACTGGTATGGTATTTGTGGTTGCTTTCTAAGCAACGTGCGCCTTTGGTGGTTTCTATTTGCTGATAATTTCCATAGAGTACACTGTCACTATCAGCAATGTCAATACTGGAGAGCTGCTTTGGACCATCAGATATACTGAATGGGGCCCTAACAATAGTGATCGGGATTTGGCTGAACAGCACCATCAGCCCATGGATAACCGCTATATCTATAGTAACTACTATGGTAGAATCTATGGCTTCGAGGGAGACCCAACAGGTATGTCTTTGCTATTTAATCTTTTAGGAATTACGGCCTAAAAATTCATTAGGTGTCACGAGCGAACGACGTCCAAGGTATCAGCAAGATCTGATGTCACCTGTCACTAGAATCTTCGATGTTGTCAAGTCCGCGTCGTCGTCGTCAGACACGGAGACTTCAACCTTTGTGGTTCTTCCCCAGCCAATTGTGCATGCAAAAGATGTTCCCCGTGATGACAAAATGACTTTTGTCGGCCTCGGGAAAGGTGGTCATTTTGCCTTGTCTGAGCTTAGTTACCCGTATGTAACGCATGGAGCCGATAAAGCAGGATGTTACAGCAAGGGTATCGACTGGCCATACTTGGATCACAATGAACGTCTAAAGTCCCTAGTTGGAATTCACTCAGCCCAGTTCGTATATCCAGACTCGCACCCCCACCCCGCATCGCTACCGGCTCGTTCCCAGAATGAGGACGAAAGACCAGTTCAATCTAGAAGCACCTCCCCACCATTGCCCTCATCACCTTCATTGGGAGGCAGCAAGCTACTTGGATTAGCTGTCAGCAATCCCGTAGATCTCAGCATCGTGGTTTTGCTTTTCTCTTTGGCGCTTTATGTTCTTCGTGGCGGTTCAAGAAAGGGGAAGTATAAGTTCCCAAGCGAGGGTCGTGAATTCCAACAATCCCAGTCTCAACAGGACGCCGTAAAAGAAATTGTCATCCCGGGGGTCGGCTTAGAAAAACCAGAGGAAGTCATTAAACCAGAACCAACCGTGGAGGTAGAGCAACCAAGGCAACTGGAACCGAAAGAACCCAACCCAGCACCGCCATTGGTTGAGGGAGCAACTATAATTGCTGAGGCACGGGTTCCAGAGGATGAGCCCACTATTGTCGCGGATGATGCCAAATCTCGTGAGGTGAGGTTTGATCCTAAGCCGCAGGAGATCAGGGATGAAGAAGAGACAGTTGCGCCTGCTCCACCGGTTACGCCGAAAAAGAAGAAGGCCCATAGAGGTCAACGAGGGGGGGCGAGACGACGTAAGGGAAACAGTAATTCCGAGAAGGAGGAGGATAGGATCGATAAGATTGTAAATGACGCCAAGAAGGTTGAGCAAGAGATTACTTTACAGCCAGATATGACGGATGGGTCATCTATGAACGAGGTCGAAACATCAAAAGTCGTGATAAATGGCCTTGAGGTTTACGAGGACGAAATCTTGGGTAGGTTTATCATACTAGAACGTTCAACATGGGAGAACCTGCTAATTAAATTCAAGGGAGGGGGAGCCAAGGGACAACCGTCTGTAGAGGGAAATTTGAAAATAGAGACGTTGCAGTCAAGAGGATGTTGAATGATTTTGTCGAGATTGCTGAGCATGAGGTTAAACTCCTGCAGGCCAGCGATGACCACCCCAACGTCATAAGATACCACTGCAAGCAGAAAGGGGGCAAATTCCTCTACATTGCGCTAGAACTCTGCCAAGCCTCTCTTAACGACTTTATGTTGGATCCGGTAAGGTTTCAGGAGCTCAGTTCTTCCCTGGATGCCACAGAAGTACTCCACCAGATCGCTGCGGGTGTGCACCATCTACACTCGCTGAAGATTGTACACCGAGACCTTAAACCACAAAACATCCTGGTTAGCTTTCCCAAGGCGCCACGGAACGGGGGCCGGGGAGCCGCCAAAAAGCCACGACTACTTATTTCCGATTTTGGTCTTTGCAAAACTCTTGACGATAACCAAAGTTCATTCAAGCTAACAACACATGCTTCTCCTGGAACATGTGGATGGAGAGCACCTGAATTGTTGACAATGGATGATGAAAGACGTCGGCCTTTTTCGTCGCCTGGGAATACGGAGAGCTCCGGGTCAGCCTCGTCTGAGACCGTAATCTTTGAGGTTAACAACACTCAGCGCAGAGCGACGAGGGCCATCGACATCTTTTCAATGGGCTGTGTATTCTATTTCATCTTGACGCAGGGAGAACATCCCTTCGGAGATAGATGGCACAGAGAGTTGAATATCATTAGCAACAAGAGTGATCTAAGCAGATTGAGCATTCTGGGAGGCGCAGGATATGAGGCAAGAGATTTGATCAGTAGTATGATCGATCACAATCCAAAGAAAAGGTATATTTGACATCCAATGAATGGTCATAATGAAATTTTTCTAAAGCTAACAATATTTTATTTAGACCCGATGCTACTAAAGTTATGATCCATCCCTTCTTCTGGTCAGCAGAGAAGCGTTTGAGCTTTCTTCTAGACGTATCAGACCGGTTTGAAATAGAGAAAGATAAGGAGAAGGACCCAAATTACAAGTCAGAGTGGATCCCATATATCGAAAGAAGCGGTAACAGAGTTACTGGGGGTGATTGGTTGAAACGCCTTGATCGTGGTTTTCTCGAAGAATTGGTAGTCAACAAGCGAAGAGGCTATGAGGGCGGGAAGGTTCTGGACCTGTTGAGAGCGATTCGGAACAAAAAGCACCACTACCAAGACATGAAGCCCGCAGCAAAAGCTTCTGTCGGCGCCTTACCTGGTCAATATCTTCTTTACTTCACGGGAAGATTTCCAGACCTCTTGCTACACGCGTACCACGTGATTCGAGAGACTGGGTTTTCCGAGGAACCGATGTTCCACTCATACTTCACCACCGCTGTGTCGACCTTATAGCTTTAATGTCTTGGGAATTTTCTAAACTTGCATATATACTTTGGGCATAATCTTTATTTCTGGTGTTGGGTGAGCGTTTGCTATATTTATTGATTTGCATGGGCCTGAGAGCTTTCTTGGTCTTTTTTCTTCTTGTTTATGAATTTATTCCTTTTGTTTCCTCCTCTCCTTTCCTTGCTATACTTTATGATTTGGGTTCGAAGAGGCTTTCCCCTCACCTAAATTTCGACGAAAACTAAAAAGTACCCGCTCGTTAGGCTTTTGGATACCAGTTTTGCTTTGTTATTATTTTATACTGGTTGGGTTTATGTTTTGGGGAACAGTTGGCTGGTTTGGGATGGGATTGGGGGTTCTTTTTCTCTTTTTTTATATATATTGGGCTTGAGCATGCTGTTCTTCTCAATTTCATGTTTATTTACGATGGTCACGACTTTTTTTGTCTTTCACTCGTTTTAGTTAGGAAAGGGGCGTTTTCTTTTTTTTTTTTTTTGTTGCTCCTTTTCTTTCTTTTGTTAAAATTTCAGTTTTTATCCCTTCCCTACAGCTCCCTGTGGGCTTAAGGTTATATAACCACTATCTCATGATCAATTCACAGATGTTGATCGAGGCTCCAGTTACTGTGTTTTATTTGGTAAGCGAAGAAAGATGTAAGATTATATCCTCACCTACTCGCTTTATTATACCACATGTACTAGTTTGCCTGTGAAAACAATGGAAATCAACTGTGCCGACAGTGATTACTTGCACAATTTAGTACTCTGGCCAGTATCTCTACTCCCATAAACCAAACAATCTGATTTATCTATTATAACCTTTGAAGCGTTATCTATATATAAATTAGGGATAGTATAGCAACACTGTAGTTACATGTAGTTCTGGAAATCCCGAAGACCACTGAAAACGTGTATTCGAGGGAGCTAAGGGCTTCTCGTGGTCTGCATTGGCTAATTCAATCCAGATCTTGACATGAAAATTCCGTTAATACTACTTTAACCCTGGGATTTTTAAGGAAATGATGGTATTTTGCAGGTTATACGACTAAAGGTGTCAACGAGAACATAAGCAGAGGCTAGACCTTCTATTCTGGAATCTACGTATATGGGTACATATTCTTTTTCGTCCCTTCTTTTTCCATCATGAAAAAAGCTCTGCTCTCAGAAAAAAAAAAAAGAAAAAAAAAAGACAATACGAACGGAGATTTAAAAGAAAGAAAAAAGAATAAACCGATGTTTTTACGCGTAAAAGTTAACCTGCAAATTCCTAATTAGTAATAGCCCGTGTTACAGGAGTTAAGAGTATAAACATACCGTATCCTTCTTCTTCGCCTGTACTTCACCGATAGCATCCACGTAGTGCTCGTGGCTTACTTTTGTCCTCCCACCTCTTAACGCAATCATACCAGCCTCTACACAAACAGCCTTCAGTTGAGCACCACCAAACTCATCTGTAGACCTAGCCAGCTCCATCCAGTTTACACCATCCTCAACAGTCATCTTTCTACTGTGAATACGGAGGATACCGGCTCTAGCTTCTTCATTTGGCAGCGGGAACTCAATCTTCCTGTCCAGGCGCCCGGATCGCAACAATGCAGGGTCGAGCACATCCACTCTGTTTGTCGCTGCAAGGACCTTGACTCGGTCATCCGATGAGAAACCGTCAAGCTGATTAAGAAGCTCCAACATGGTACGCTGTACCTCACGATCTCCAGATTTCTCGGAGTCGAAACGCTTGGTACCAACAGCATCTAACTCATCGATGAAGATAATGGCCGGTGCCTTTTCCTTTGCTAGCGCAAAGGCATCACGAACGAGCTTTGCACCATCACCAATGAACATCTGAACAAGCTGGGGACCGGCAATCTTCAAGAAGGTAGCGTTACTCTGAGCAGCGCAAGCACGAGCAAGCAGAGTTTTTCCAGTTCCAGGAGGGCCATACATCAAAGCTCCTATTTACCTGTTAGTAGAGCTTTTCCGTAAAGCTCATTTGACTGCTTACCCTTCGGGGGCTTAATGCCGATCTTCTTAAACCTTTCTGCCTCCTTCATTGGCATTACTACAGCTTCTACAAGCTCCTCAATCTGTTTATCCAGACCACCAATATCACCATATGTTTCTGTGGGCTTCTCATCAACTTCCATGGCCTTAACTCGCGAATCGTACTCGGCAGGTAGGGTATCAAGAACGAGATAACTGTCCTTGTTAACACCGATAAGATCACCAGGAGATAGCTTATCCGGGTCAACAAGACCGATGAGGGGCAAGAAAATTGTCTGCCGTGTGGAAGTTTTGATAACTGCGGATTTACCGGCACGAGTCGCATCAAGGTCAACATTAGCACCATCTTCGGCGGCCTCGGCAGTCGGGTCCATGTCTAGAAGCTCGACAACATTTCCGACGAGATAGGGAAGCTGTCTAGGGGATGAGAGAGATGGTTTTAGTACTCAAGATTCGATTGATGTGTGTAAGCCAGGCATTGATTGCTCAAACTAACCTATTATTCTCAATTTTATCCAAGTTATCCTTTATCCTATCCTTCATACTCGCCTTCTCATGTGTAATCCGCTGGTACTCTGTTCGCATGACTCTTAGATCGTTCTCAAGTAATCGTTTCCGGTTGATGATATCGGAGGTAGAGAGTTTCAAAATCTCCGGGTCGATACCATCCTCCTCCTTCTCTCCATCGACATCCATCTTTGCATCGCCATCTGCATCGGCGGCATCTTTCTTATCTCTCTTCTCTTGTCTTTCCTGCTCAAGATCTTCAAGGTCTTCCAAAGAGGCCATTCTGTAGTATGTGTAGGATATGGGGGGATCGGTATTCAGTCAACGAGGCTCTCAAATGTATGCTGTTTAGTGGTGTTTGCGATAAGTGGAGGGTAGTTGATGATGAACAACAGATAACGATGGCGATGTTGTAGATGGATGGGATGATCGTTGATTGAATGGAAGGTGCCTCCAGAGTTGTTGGTGACGGAGAGCGGGCTCTAAGGATACCTAGCTGCCCCGCCAGGCGTAATTTGTATCCTTGCGAATTTCTAGTCACCGCCGCTCAACAATCCTAGCCTTATTAAAACTTCAAAAAGTATCCCAGCTACAATCATCCTCTAAGAAAAACTTCACCACCAACAACCTTCCAATAATTCAAAATGGTACGTATTTTTTTTTATAGCTTCAATGGCACCCTCGAATAGAGAAAAATGCGCAAAAAAGCCTAACATAAACCTTCACAGGCCCGTCGTCGTCAAAAGAAAAGAACTCATCTCCCAGCAGACACCTCTAAAACCTCTGCCACAGGTGTCGGGCAACCTCTCAATGTCTCGGCATCCCGCACGCCAAAGACTATGGTCATTCGGATTGGCGCTGGCGAAGTTGGGCCTTCAATTTCCCAGCTCGTTACTGACGTACGAACAATGATGGAGCCACACACTGCGAGCAGGCTGAAGGAGCGTAAGTCAAACAAATTAAAGGATTATACCACCATGGCTGGCCCTCTGGGGGTTACTCAACTTCTCCTTTTCTCAAGAAACGTAAATTCCGGATCTACGACTCTACGAATAACGAGATGTCCTCGTGGTCCTACAATACACTTCCGTGTGAAGAATTACTCGCTGTGTAAGGATGTCCGGAAGAGCATGCGGAATCCCAAGACCCCCGGGAAAGAGTTTAGTACTCCGCCTTTGGTATGTTCCAAGTCTCCGTTTTTCCTTTGCGCAAAGAAAAAAGGCAAATCATGTTGTTCAAACCCCTCTGACACATCCCACAGCTTGTAATGAACGGCTTTAATACACCTCAACCGCCGAAGCCTGATGGTACACCTGGGCGCCCGCCTCCCCACGAAATGCTCCTTACCAGCATGTTCCAATCCCTCTTCCCGCCCATTTCTGCCCAGCGCACTCCTCTCGCATCGATCCGCCGTATTCTCCTCCTCAACCGCAGACCTGTCTCCGAGGCCGACCCCAAAGATGGCACCACTTCCGAATATGTAATCGACGTGCGCCATTATATCATCAACACCAAACCTGTTGGAGTCTCACGTCCAATCCGGCGCATCAATGCCGCTGAGCGAGCCTTGCGTGCAAAATCCACCGGCGAGAAGGGCAGTAAGCGTAGTGCATTGCCGAATTTGAGTGGGCTCGAAGATATTGCAGATTACATGCTCGACCCAGGTGCGGGTGGATACACATCTGAGTCTGAGGTTGAGGAGGATGCTGAGGTTGAAGTTCTTCCTGGGAATAGTCGCCACACTGTTAAAAAGAAGAGAGCCCCGAAGGGGCCGCAGAAGAGGGCTGTTAAGCTGTCTGAGATTGGGCCGAGAATGAGATTAGAGATGGTGAAAATAGAGGAAGGTTTGGCAGAAGGAAAGGTTCTCTGGCATGCCTACGAGACGAAGACGAAGCAGGAAGAACGGGAGTTGGAGGAGAGGCATAAGATCAAAAAGGCAGAGCGCGATCAAAGGAGGGCAATTCAGCAGGAAAATGTTAAGAGAAAGAAGGCAGAAAAGGAAGCGCTTAAAGGAAAGAAACGAGCGGAGGGTAAAGAAGGAGGGGAAGAAGTTGATAATGATGACGATGACGATGATGATGAGCCAGAGATGTGGGACGACGATGATTTCGAGGACGAGGATGAAGGCGAAAATGAAGAGGATGTAGAGATGGAAGATGAATAGTAATCTTTTTCTTTTCTGTATTTTATATGTTTTCTGTAAATCAAAATGTTATTCGGATTTATCAAACTGTTCTGGATCAGAGAATAGGATATTGTGATTTTAAACATAAATACATTTGACACCCATGATCGAGACTGATAGCACCATTAGAATCTGGACGAAATTAAAAAAAAAAAAACCATGAATTTGAGGATAATGGTTGTTTTGGCGCACACTGCATGTAGCTTATCTCGATGAAATGATCAGGCTTCTGGAACTTATATGAATACTGAATCTTTAAGAATCATCCGGAACTCGGTAGATTTGGTACAAGTATCTTAATACAAGTGATTTCCAAAGGCTCGTCTTCAGGAAAGGTTTTCCCTTGTTACAAAGGTATCACAGCTTACAATAGTACAAATCCTGATATTTCTATAGCATAACAGTTTACAGCCAATGAATATTGTGCTACCAGACCCTATAATAATCCATTTCTCACAAAGCCTATTAAGCCGTCACCCTGACAAATGACACCCTGTTGTCCCTATTCAACAAACTACTGCTCTCCGGGGCTCTCCAGAAAATAAACGGCCCCGATGTGCCCCTGGTGAGGAGTCCCTCCTTGCTTCTCATCCAATAACCCAGAATCATATTATTCCCAGGAAGAATAATGCCCGAATAATACCATCCGTGGTGAGTGTAAGACTTTGTAAATTCTATCTTCTTCCATCCACTAACTGTGGAGAGCCGGCCAGGTGGGGATGGGATCGGCGTTATCTCCCCAGACTTGATTGTGAAGGTATCAAAATCCTTCCCAATGCCAGTGAATACTGTAGTCGAAGTCCCAGACGTTTCCGCTTCTGACTGGGAAATAGTAAGCGTCATATCAACAAGATAGCCGTCAGATCTGTCGGAAGAGAGTTCATCGCCATCATAGGTTATGATTCGAGTTGGGTTTGAATACACTATCCAGCAATCAAATCAGTAACTGCTACTTTTCCTTTAAGAGAGGAGCAGCTCAAAAGGAGTAAAGAAACAAACTATAAGCTCCGAACCACTTCATCGGTATCTTGCCCTCATCTCCCATCCTTCCCTGCCAAAAACCCGGCAATTCACCTGGCGTCAATAAGGTCCGCTGGTGAAACAAATCACTCGGAGAATCTGGGTGTATGTGCCATGTGAATAGCCTCGCGATAGCATCTAAGAGACTTAGATTCGGGGTGCCATCAGCGTTGATGACTCGATTTATATCAGGTTTATAGACAATTCCCTGGGAACCTTTTATGAAGGCTAGTTTCGGTCGATTCAACAATGGGGCGAGCATCAAGCTGACAGCACTTAGTAGCGGATGCACATCTACGTGTGAGTGTGAGCTGAAGATAGCTCTCTCACTATGCAGGGGAAGTATGTGACTGAAGTTACGCCCATCCACCGGATCCCCCTCGGCGGGGATATTGCCACGTGCATCTGCGGCTTTCAGTATTATGCTCCTCACAGGAGAGAGCTGTTGTAAAACTTGGCTCACGAACCTACCAAGATGTCCCATAAAATCTCTAAGTCTTCTAATTCTTCCTTCGATTGGCCGTTGCGGAATGATAGCCCCGCCATTTTCTTGTGCAGGCGCTGTCTTTTCTGGTATGTGGCTTTCCAGTCATAGGAGGTTCTGTTTACGGGATCATCGTAAACACTAAGAAATCGATTTCGCCATACAACTTGATCTCCGTGAACAGCATCGTGGAAGATACTACACGTTAGAGCAAAATTGCAGAGGTCATTGTCGGAAAGACTGGTCGTTATTAGCTTAAGGAGCTGTTTAAGTCGATCGATGCGTTAGCTAATTAGTAGGAAGGATTTGGGGGCTTGAATCCAACCGACTTCAACCGGAAATCTCGTAATAGATATAGACATTTCAAAAGGCTATATACAAGCTTGACAGAGTGGGAGTTGGTGCGGGGCCGGGAGCTTGAGATGTGGTGAGAGTTGGTGGGGGCCGGGCTGAAATGTGGGGAGGGCTGACACTATATACTTCTGGCAAAGACTACAACTGATGTGGCGACCCCCCATTCAATACAAGACTATTCCAAGCTTGGGAAGAGGATTCTCGGGAGTTCAGGTTCACGGAATTAGTAGTTCGGTAAGGGTTAAGTGATATGTAGATCATTTATATGCCAACCAAAGCATATCAACATTTGGGACAATTAGTCTAGATCTATATAATAGTAGTAGTAGTAGTAGTGGTAGTGAAAGATTAAATTGAATAGACTGTAATCCAGAAAAAATATGTTTTAATTCAAGTATACACGTTTATAACCAAAGGAAGCAAGTCATATTAAGTTTGTAATACCACTATCGGCAGGCCGCTTGAATACTGCAATCTGAGATTTAGTTTCACTGCAAGATAGTGAAAAGATATGCTTAGCCTACAATTCATTAATTGCGTCATCCGGTTGAGAGGAATTAAACCGCGGGTTCCCTGATCAGTTGTGCACCTACTCCTCGCGGTTTAAAGCTCGGAAAGCATTATCGAGTGGTCCGCACGAAGTAAACTATAGTTCCGACAATTACTTCATTCCACCTGCAGGGGTCATTGCATGTTTGGCAGAGCACATACCCTACATGTATGTACCTGCTCTGCTTGCGGCGCGAGGCACGTCGAAGACCAATCTGCTTCTTTGGAAAGCTGTCCTCACAAGGATCAGTAATATGCACATACTTGGCGGGTTGCTTAAACTGACCTCATGAAGGGCATTTGGAAGATTGAAGCCTCCACTCGGGTAATGTGTAACAGGGACTTTGCGCAGCCAGTACTGCATTGACAGCTCGTGGGTCGTGGGTACGTACTCACGTAGGTACAGTGAGGTTTACGGCTAAATGGGTACATCATATCCAATTGCAATCACACTTATTGAAAAATTACGTGGTATCCAAGCAGATACATCCATTCAAATACGAAAAGTTTTAAGCAAAAAAGTAGCTAGAGGCGAAGTTTGTTTTCTAATTACATACAGATTAATATCAGAATATATATAGGTGCGCCGATATATCGCACATGTACTTTAATAGTGCTAGTGCAATAACTTAATCGTAGGTATAGATACATACATGTACTTATTTTTCTTTGACATTAACTTGCATGATAATCTGTAATTGCAATATGTACTAGTGTGCAGGAGAGTTGGGTGTTCTCGAAACTGGACCTACTAGTACAGTCCTTTTTACGTCGATAGCGAATTAGATACTTGAATTAACGACGGATGATCAAACCAGCCAAGCTACAAGGTTATGCCATATATATGCATCCCATCTAAATAGAACGACTAGCTAGAAGCCGCGATTTTGTTTGTTAGTTTTTTCTACTGGTTACTTGTACATACAGCCACTCTGCAAAAGTGTTCGTGATTCCGATTTCGGAGTGAGACATTTCTCCATATGTAACCACGGCGGACCATCAAGAACCCCCCAAGTGAAGACTTTCCCAGTAACCAATGTCGCCCAAATTAATGAAGAATAAGATCAATGACCTATCTTCTTTTTATACGTAGTCGCAAACTATATTATATATTTTTCGTTGTTTGAATCTCAACTTTAATTTAATAACATCAGTATTATGGGTGCGCCACACTGCGCACTGACATTAAAACCATATCACGAACACTTTTGATGAGTGGCTGTACTTATAGTTAATAGTGGGGATGACCCTAAAATAAATTACGCATAATTCTATTATTGAAATCACACTCTTTTCTCTACATTTGCAGTGGTTTTGGTTGGCTACATGTAATAAGTGCGTATTCGCCATTGAGTCGGTTCGCCATTGACCAAGGCTATATGCTGTCGAGTGAGAAAGGGTGATCATCATTATTCGTTTTACAGCCACTCTTAAGTGAACTCGCAACACTGTGTGTACGTGCAAAAATACCTTTCGAGCTTTTTTTGTGGCTTCAATCTTATGCTTTTAGAGAGCTCATGGGTGTGAAAGTTTATTAAGCACATGCATGGATTTCACATGTGTGTGATAGGTTCCAGCATAAAACGTACTGTGATGAACCGATTCCATATCAAAATTAAAAGGATTCAAAATATCAGGGATTTAAATACTATTATTGCGGTACTCTAGTGCCAGGAAGCTTCAGAGTTGTGAGACCTCGGGTGTGATGATCAGATAAGGAAACACGTCAATCCATTCCCAAGCCGAGGCTCTCTGGCTACTGCTCACAACGCCAACAACTCGAACCCAAGATTTCAATCACGAAAGCTTGTAAACATCCACATACATGGCTACAGAAACAACAGCCTCCGGAGCAGTAGCCGCCATCGCCAATGGACCAGCAGTGCCTACTGCCTCCTCGTCCTCGCCCCCTCCTCAGAGTCAGCGTTTAACTTCCCCTTTGCTGCCGCCCCGGACATAAGTAACGCCCCCTCTAAGCACAGGTAGCTCATACTGTGGTTAGGATCTCTAACATACCTTAGTTCGGTCGAACCAGAAGGACGCATATTACCAAGGCGTACTACTCGAGCAGATCTCCACAATCCTCCGGAAAGTCTATGGTTCGTGACCTCATTGCCTCCTTTGCAGTGCATTATGTGTTCACCCAACTTACAGCCAACCAGGAGCTCGAATCCTTCACAAATACACGCTCGAGACCAAAACACTCGCCGATATCCTTTACCTTACTCTCACGACTCTTCGCGGTGCGCGCACACTCGGCGAGGAATATTGTGATATCCTTCATGTCGAGTGCAAAACCCTCCGTCTCCCGGGGATTAAGCGTCGCGCTGGTTTCATCCTAACTACGATTCTCGTCCCATATTTCCTTACAAAATTGCTTCCGCGCTTCAGATCACGCATACGGCAGAAGCTCCAGTCCGCAACGGCGCAGCGGAATGGTGAGAAACAGGGCCCAGACTCGGTAGGTATGAAAGTGAAGAAGTACCTGCTGGAGAACCTAGACACCCTCACATCCACGGAGAGCCTCCTTGCTGTGCACTTGGGCATGTTCTACTTCACTGGCGCATACTACCACCTCTCCAAGCGCATCTGGGGGCTGAGGTATATCTTCACAAAGCGACTTGCGCCGCATGAGCAGCGAGTTGGGTATGAAGTTTTGGGCCTGCTGCTGTTGGCGCAGTTGGCTACTCAGGGGTACTTCCATATCTCGAACACATTCTCGCATACGTCAGCTATCACGGCCGATGAGGAGGCGGTCGACATTGTTGCTACGGGTGGGGTACTAAGTAACCCCGAGACACATGTCCAGGATGCGGACAGAGATCGAGCGATGTTTGATCTGGACAATGAGAAGACTATGCGCTTCATGAGTGGAGAGATGGGCAGGAAATGTACCCTGTGTTTAGAGAATATGAAGGATCCAACGGCAACGGGGTGTGGGCATGTATTTTGCTGGAGCTGTATTAGTGAGTGGTGTCGTAGCAAGGTTTGTAAACCCAAGGTCTCTTTTTTATGGATCATTATAACTAACAAACTTTAGCCTGAGTGCCCGCTTTGTCGACAATCTGCGCTTGTGCAGCATTTATTGCCGCTGAGGTGCTAATTATAAGTTTGGACTTTTCTGTTGCACGCATGGTGGTTGAGTCAGGTTGAGATATCTTTGTGATTGGCTTTTAATTTCATGGTTTTTTGTTTTCCTTTAAAGATAAATTAGCGTTGTTTCTTTCATCTTAGCATTACGAGCAATTGCGTTCTTGTATCATCATATATATCTTTATGCATCGATGGCCGACTGGGGTTAATAGAGTAGACGCGCCATTTTTGTTACGTAGTTGTTCCGTTTATGAAACCATGGAAAGCGAGTGGGTTAAAACTGGGTGGGTTATGACTCTCAGGTCTACGGCAGTAACGTAGTGTAGTTAATCAGGAGAGTTAGCCTTACCTAGTCGAACGGTAAAATAACCTATATGATTGATCACGAACATTCATGAATGGACCACTCCACCAATTAATAGACCCGTATATCCCCCTCGGTTTGGCTGTCCATGAACCGCCCGTCATCTATATTAAGCGACAACTATTCCCTAGTGTGCGGACATTCCTTCGGTATAGATTAGGTCTATTATCTTAGTAGACCAGCCAGCCAGTTATGAATGTTGCGATATTCAATCCATTCATTCATGGTTAGGCCAGGGCCTTCTGCAAAGACCCGTTCATGTCTGGACTAGCACAGCGAAACCGTGTCCGGATACAGCATGCCATGTCTATGACTATAAGTGTAGATGGCTGTATATCCTTGAATACACTCTCACATCTATCAATTATCCAAGTCTTCATGATTTCTTTCTATCAAACATCGTGTATTCTTGGCGGCCGAGTGATGCGCTATGATGCCAAAACAACATTGACAAACATCCCATTCACTAAATACAAATAATAACTATACGTTAAATAATTTTGGCGCATGTAGAATCAATAATACAAGAGCATAATCAACATAAACAACTCCGAACAGTATAAATTCTAGCCTTCCCTCCTATCCTTTTTACTAAAAATATTTTTAATCCCTCTAACCAGCCCCCAAACTCCCCATACCGAGGTCCACGACCGTCATAAATCAGCGGTACTCTCGGTGGCTTTTACAATCTCAGCAGCCTCCGCGATATCGACCGCTTTCGCTTCGGCAACCTTCACAGGTGCTGGAGTTGCGATTGATGTGGGGGGAGGCGGCGCAGGTGCGGTGGGTGTTGCTTTGGGCTCTGCGGGTAGTGTCTTCCTCTCCTTTTCGGGCTCCTCCTCCTCCTCCTCCTCCTCCTCCTCCTCCTCCTCCTCCTCCTCCTCCTCCTCTTCATCTTCTTCATCACCATCTTTTCCCCTTAGCGCATCGTTACCTTCCTCCGACTCTTCATCGTCGTCATATTCCCCGTCGGAGCCGAGGCCGGATGCATCTGATGCATAATTTCCGTCGAGACCAGTGAATGCGACGAATCGCTCATTCTTAGCTTCCGCTGTGTATAGCAAGGGATGCGGTCAGTTTACCATTTATCTACACTACCATCACCAAGAAGTGGCTAACTTACCACCCTCCTCGACGACATATCCCTCTGCTACCTCGCAGTCTTTCAAGTTTGCCTTGACACCTACGATGGCTTTTCGCCCGATTGTGCATCCCTCTAGTTTTGCCCCTTCACCAACGCTTGCGCCGTCCATGAGGACGCATCCTGTCAGCCGCACGTTCTTACCAATGCTTACACCGCTACCTAGAACTGAGCGCTTGATGAGGGCTCTTTCTCCAATAGAAACCTTGTCTGCAACAAGGCAGTCGAAACTCGTAACCTTCGCCTTCGGGTCAATCGACGACGAAGGATCAATCTTGATCATTGTGGAAGGAACAGAGGGGTCAGATTTCGCAAGATAAAGCGATGTGAAAAGATACAAATGCACTGTATCTACCCGTCTCGTGAAGCCCGTCGCCGCAGATGGTAGATACGCCGTAATCGAAGGGATCTGGACATCCCCGTTCTTCTTCCCCTGTAAGCTTGCAGTCGCAATCGCGGCCGCTTCCCCCGAGGTCGTTGGAACCCTGGATGCGAACACCCGCTCCGCCTCACTCGTCTTGTTCGAAAAGCTCCGTCTCCTTGTGGAGCTCATAGCACCCACTTGGTACCTCTCGCCGCTACCATCTTCGCTGTCATCGTCGCCACCTTCTGCACTTCCCTCCAGGATCTCTAGCAGCCCGAGTTTCCATGCCAGCCTCTGGTTCTGCCAACACGCTTTTGACCACCACGGCAACACATCCTCCCTGATAGAGTTCAGCTTTGGGTTTCTATCGATAAACTTCAGTACCCAATACGGAAAGAAGTAGATTCCACTATCCCTCCTCGTTGCCAGTAGCTGTAGATTCGGATGCTTCCTCAACAATCCTCCCCTCAGCTCTATACTCGCATTCTCTCCCCCACCTCTCAACGAGTCACCGGGCAGCGTAAAAAGCAACTGCGTCACACCATCCACCGCGCCCTCCCCCTTCACTGCGCCATCCACTGCCAAAAAGTCTGTCTCCTGCCCTTTCACCGCGCCCTCACCCCTCGTCTCATACCACACCCCGAGTCCGCCCCGCCGACCCTCATCCCCATCACCGCCCTTCTGGCTCCGCCGCGACCGCTGCCCCATATCCCCGTCAAAACCTGCCTGCTCAACCATCCATAGCTGGGCGACCTCCTGGGCATCAAGGTTCGTCACAAGGTCGCACGGCAGCACGGCAAAGTCACCCTTGATCCAACCCTTCCGGTAGGCGATACGGAGCACGTCCGCTGTTCCGAGGTTGTCGTTGAGGGACGAGGCCGGCTCGACTTGGATGTAGATTGACGATTTCTGCAACCTGTGGGAGCGCATGTAGGACTGGATTGCGGTGTGGTGCTCACTTAGCGTCAGGATAAGGATTGCTACGCAACTCACGAAGTATCAGACAAAAGTGAACTATCTATGACACACTGAGAACTAGGACTAAGGTAAGTATACACTCAAAACCGGCCTTCTCGCACCACTCGAGCGGGTAGTGCAGCATAGGCTTGTTCGCGATGGGTAGCAGGGCCTTTGGGAGGTCCTCGGCGCCTGTGAATGGGTAGAGCGAGGTGCCAGGACCGCATAGAATCACGGCCTGGAAGCCGATTGATGGGTGTGCTGAGGGCATGTTTTTTTGTTTTCAAGTTGAGTATATCGAAGAGTGACCCTTGGTGGGGTAGTGGGGTGGTTAGTATGGGATCGGGAGGGTAATGATCGATTAGGCGCTTACCCGGTTTTGAGATGAGTGATATCTTGTGATTGATACTAACTATTACTATTAGGTGATCATGTAGGTTTTCTTTGTTCTCAGGTGGTTTTGAGAATAGGTGGGATTATCTCTTAAACCAGAGCGTATCTGATTTTGTTGACTGACGCCAATAAAATGCCGTTCAATCAACTTCAACCGTGGGATAGCCAGACGCTGATAATTTCCAAATCCGGGAAAAGCACTAAACTCAATAAGAACCATCATAATCTAGCATTTACGCCTCAACGGATAGGTAATAGGTCCAAATGTACCCGTCTGTTGTGGAATTACGATTAGGACAACCTCTACGGATACAATGCATAAATCCCTGGAGCTGGACATAAGATGAATAAAATCACAATGATAAGATGATACCTGGCCCTTTGCCGCTCCATTCTTAAAGAGGGGAATGGCATTATGTGCATAATAATAGAACGAACGGAGCACTAACAAAACTCATTGGCTCGAGTTAGTCGGGACGTTTTGATTTCAATGCTTTGAGATTAGGCTATAGTGGAGTGAGAAATCATTCAATGAATGGATCATTTCAATTCTGACTATATCACTAAAGCACTAATCTACATGTACCCTACATGTATGTATCCCAGTCCAAGTAAGAGAGCTGCTATCTAAAACCAATAGGTTCTATTAGAATACATGAAAAAGCAGACTAAACTCCCCACCAAGCTCGACACAAGGTATCATTAGTTGCTTACAGTCCAACATGAAACAGGATCTGCTTCTGCTTGCCCTTCTTCTTCTTCCCTGCATTGCTGCTCCCGCCGACTTCTTCGCTCTCACTAGGATCAGCACTCTGTTCACCCCCGCTTCCTCCTCCTCCTCCCCATGCGCCTACCTGCGGAGGAGGGGCACCGTTATAAGCCGCATACGGATCCTTCTTCTTGATTGGGCCCCATCCCGGTGGTGGCGGCGGCTTCGTGGGTAGACTTGGGAACTCATCCTTACCCACCTTTCTTGAAGGTCCAGCAACAACAGAAGGACCCGACGCTGCCGGTCGAGCGGGGGCACTAGGCGCTACCCAAGGTGTTGGGGCATGTGCGCCAGGGCCTTGACGGTTCGCCGATCGCGGTGCAGGGCCAGATGCGGAAGAAGGGGCGGAAGAAAAGGATGCAGATGAAGATGATGGAACTACTGCAGCGGCTCCCCAGGCGCCCTGGCGGGCGGTGGTGGATCGCGCTGAATGAGACGTTGAGGACTTGACCTTAAGTACACGAGAGTTTTGCGTGCCTCCAGAACCAGAGGAAGAGGCGCCAGCAAAGGGGGGATAATCTTCATTAATGACTTTCCAGTCGTTCCACGCCTTGAGAAGTCCTTGGCGTTTTGGCTCGTCTTCAAAAAGATCGGCAAGTTCTTTTATCAAAATGCCAAGTTCAGAGGCGTTTGTGTCAAAAAGGGCCCAAAATTGATTGACCAGATCACTGGCTGATAAGTAATCTTGACGATACCTGCTAATGTCCGCTTTAAAGGTGTCAAGTTTTTTATCATTGTGCCGGAGCATATTGAACGCCCTGTCAATTACTGCAGCATGTCTCCTACAAAAGGTTAGCCTTGCAGAGTTTCTGGGCCTAAGGATTTATACTTACAACCTCTTAACGTCATCTGTAACCGGTGCACCCCTACCAGCATTAGTGATTGGGCCTCGAGTAGCACTAGAAGATGCAGCTGCAGTCGGTGGACTCGGCCGTGAAACGGGTGGGCTTGGTCTTGAGACGGGCAGACTCGGCCTCGCCAAAGGCGGGAACGCATCCCGGGCCACCGCCGCCGCTGCTACCGCTGGGGATGGCTCAGCGGGCCGTGCTGGAGGACGCGCGGGGGGTGCTTGGCTTGTAGTGGCAGCCACAGGCTGCGCTGCTGGTCCCGCTGCTGTAGAGGGTGGTGGTGCTCTAGCAGCGTATGCCGGCTCCGTTAATTGTCCCCCAAATGTCCTCTGGGTTGTGGACTGGGCACTCTGTACAGCCAATGTTCTATGATATGCCAATTCAGCTCTGGTCATTTGTTGTTCAGTCCTTATTGGAGCCTCCTCTCGTTCTTGTTGCCCACGACCATCATTGCGGCGGCGACGGTTCCCACCTCTATCGTTACTCCGAGGCTCCGCGAATTGACTAAGATCAATCCTCCTTGCATCCCTTTTTGCATTCTTTGAGAGTCCATTAGGGTGTACTTCAAGTTGATGTGCTTTTAGGTCAACTTCATTCTCAAAAACAATGAACTTCTTCTCCATGCACTCTTCATCTGCACACATGAAGTGGTCTTTCGTAAAATGAGCTGCGAGCGCATTGTAGTCGATGTAATACTGCTGTTGCGCCGTTGGATTTCTCCGATCACATATGTGGCAGCGCTCGTGCTTATCCCGACAATGAGTAAAGAGTTCATCGGAGGAATAAAATCGTTGCCGACAGAAACCGCACTCTGGGTGGCCTTTGAATCCACTTTGATTCTCGGAGCCTGGTTGATCATCACCTGTCCTTTCGTGCTTGCGGAGCTCTTGCTGGGTGAAAAGTGTATGCTCATGCGTAAAAACCTTTTTATTTCGAACGCAGAGATCACTGTAATAGGTTAGCAATGGCTAAAACTGGCATGGGTGTGGAACACTGAGCCAGATTGTGAGCTCGATTGGTAATTATGCTTTCAACAGAAAATAATTGTAAAATCTGGCCCCAAACAATAATCAAAGATAATTCAGTTTTGCAATGGTGGACCTACCATAGAACACTTGAATGAGCACTCCTGACATGGTGATGCAAGTCCGGCCAACCTCGACACGCTCGAGTGCAATCGTCTGCAGGACAATTGTAGTGCAATAGAAGATTTGTGTCGCTTTCAATGGCTTTATCGTCAAATTTAATTCCCAGGGCTTCGTTTGCCGAGACAATGTCTGATGCCGTGAAATCTGTGAATTTCTTTTCCTCAAGCTTTGAGAATATTACCCACTCCGCCTCTGTCTGTTGCGGTATGTTAGGGGCCCATTTTCGCTACTTTCTAAGCATGAGAAATCCTTACCCTGCAATGGGCACAAGCCCTATTCTTATATAACGCTCTCATACGCAGCGCACATATGTGGCAGGTAGTATGAGTGCACGGCGCAATGGCAGAGTAAATGACTGGATCTGCACAAATAAAGCAAACCGGAGAATCCGCGTCTGAAGCAACGTCATCGGCATCTGGCTTAACCACGGCTGTTGCTTGAGGCGCAGCAGGACCAGCCAAAACACTAGCCCTTGACTCTGGTCGCTGCTCATCCTCCGGTACACCATCTTGGGGTTTGTTTTGGTGCTGCTGGCGTCCGTCACGGCCTCCTCTTCCACTGCGGTCGCCGCGGGGTTTGCGGGAACCACCTCGACCTTCTCCTGCTCCTCCGGGGCCACTGCCACTACGCCTACCACGACCCCTATGGCCTCCACGTTGTGATGAATTTGGGCCTGTCCTTTCGGAGGAGGGCCCCGTAGGGGGAGTAACGTCTGTAGTTGTTGAGGCCATTGTTTGAGCTTGAGCTGATTGAGATTCGTAAATCAAATCCACTCAAAATTGGGAATGAGATTGAAATTCCTGATGTTGGATTTGTCCTCTTCCGAATGTTTGATGTTTCAATGCAGTTGATACTTGGCAGGAAAGACGTTGTGGGGAAGTCGAAAGGGTTGCAAGATCGAAGTCAACTCAAGAGATGAGCGATGAGGGGCCTGTCTTTTTGTAAAGAGCGAAGAGTTAGGGGATGACCGGGGGGTCTGGGAATGTGTCATTTTGTGGTTTTGTCAGCCTCATATTTGCAGCCACATGATGACGGCAAACATCATTGGTTTCAGAATCCTTTCTCAGCCTTCTAGTCTACTCCATTATGTTCCTAGGATATGTAAGATACGAAATTAGCTACGCGTAAAGAGAGATAAGCAGAGAAGATTCGTTAAAACACCAATCGCAGTGCGTCGTTTGACTTATCAGATGCGGCTCCTTACCATCTGATAATCGGGATACGTTAGTAGTCACTTGGCATCCCACTGCCACGTGATGACGGCGGGGGTCAACCCAGTCACGGCCGTCATCTGCAACCAGCTGGCCCGCCTGCTTTCACCTCTCCTCACTCGTCATCCTTCCCCTCAATACCTAGATACACGACCCCCCCATATAAACAACTTCCGAACACTCGAATAATAACCCGGAAGATGTCTGGACCTATGTCACCCCAAGAGGTGCGTGTTGCCCACATATACCCACGCTACTTCTACGATTGAGCTAAAAGGAATTCGTTGTAACATGTAGGCTTTTGCTATTAACGCAGCTGCCGCTACACGTAATTATGGGGTATATATCCGTTTTGAGGTTCATATAAGCCCCTAGCTTATAAAGATACTAGGTCAACCCAAGAATCAACTACAACACGGTAGCTGGTGTCAACGGACCTTTGGTTATTCTAGGTATTTGCACCACCAAATTTACAAATAACATCGCTCGGTGGAAACAGTGTGGCTCTGCAGTTAATCTGCAGTTGTGGGTTTACTGAGGCGTTCTGGCGATCAATTGGAATTCGAGCTAACTCGCTTGTAAAGATGGTGTCAAATTTCCTCGCTACAATGAGGTGAGCTTCATTTCCATCCAGGAATCAAGAATAAGCTCAGCTAAGCCCAAGATATTAGATTGTCAACCTCACCCTACCAGATGGAAGCAAGCGCGCCGGTCAAGTTTTGGAGGTCCGTGGTAGCAGAGCTGTCGTCCAGGTCTTCGAGGGTACCTCCGGCATCGACGTACGCAAAACAACCGTAGAATTCACAGGACAGAATCTTAAGATCCCTGTTTCGGAGGATATGCTGGGTCGTATCTTCGATGGATCTGGTAGAGCTATTGATAAGGGTCCCAAGGTTTTTGCAGAGGATTATCTAGATATCAACGGATCCCCCATCAACCCATACTCTCGTGTCTATCCCGAGGAAATGATCTCTACTGGTATCAGTACTATCGACACAATGAACTCTGTCGGTGAGCTTACCGTGTTTTGTGCAATAAATTCCCCAGTCGGAACATTTGTGGCTGACATCAGACGTAGCTCGTGGTCAGAAAATCCCTATCTTCTCTGCTGCCGGTCTTCCTCACAACGAAATCGCTGCCCAGATCTGTCGTCAAGCAGGTCTCGTGAAGCGTCCCGGAAATACCAAGGGTGTCCATGATGGTCACGACGACAACTTCTCAATTGTCTTTGCGGCCATGGGTGTCAACTTGGAGACCAGTCGTTTCTTCACACGTGACTTCGAGGAGAACGGTTCTTTGGAGAAGGTTACTTTGTTCTTGAACTTGGCAAATGATCCTACGTAAGTCCTGTATAATGGGTAGCTGGCAAGATATATATTGGGCTGACCATATTTTGCAACAGTATCGAACGTATTATCACGCCTAGATTGGCATTGACAACTGCGGAGTACTTTGCCTACCAGCTAGAGAAGCACGTCTTGGTCATTCTTACCGATCTTTCTGCCTATTGCGACGCTCTTCGTGAAGTCTCTGCTGCCCGTGAAGAGGTGCCAGGTCGTCGTGGTTACCCAGGTTACATGTACACGGATTTGTCTACCATCTACGAGCGTGCTGGTCGTGTCGAGGGAAGAAATGGATCAATCACTCAAATTCCTATCTTGACAATGCCTAACGATGGTTTGCCAGCCCTACCCTACCTAGCTCAAAGCATTGATGCAGTCCTAATATTTCACAGATATTACCCATCCCATTCCCGATTTGACTGGTTACATTACGGAGGGTCAGATCTTCGTCGACAGACAGCTACACAACCGTGGAATTTACCCCCCTATCAATGTTCTCCCCTCGCTCTCCCGTCTCATGAAATCTGCTATTGGCGAGGGTATGACACGGAAGGATCACAGTGACGTATCCAACCAGCTCTACGCGAAGTACGCCATTGGACGTGATGCTGCCGGTATGAAGGCTGTCGTCGGAGAGGAGGCCTTGTCCTCTGAGGATCGTTTGTCGCTTGAGTTCTTGGAGAAGTTTGAGAGGACCTTCGTCGCACAGGGAGCATACGAGAGCAGAACTATCTTTGAGTCTCTAGATTTGGCATGGAGCTTGCTCAGAATCTACCCCAAGGAGCTGCTCAACAGAATCCCAGCCAAGGTCATCAACGAGTTTTATGCCAGAAGTGGTGGCGACCGCAAGGGCAAGGGCAAAGCAAAGGAGAGGGAGGGCAATAAGGACACGAGAGATAATTCCGGAGAAGGTCCTGCTGAGGAGGAGAATCTTATCGAGACCTAGGTGTTGCACTGTGCGGATTGTCTTGTTACATATGAGGTGGGTTATGGGTTGCATTTTGCGATCCATTTGTGGTAGCCTGTGTTCTTATTTGATATCGATTTTTTTTCTAAAGCCTTGATTTGAGAATTGAAGTTTTCTTTTATTGTAGTTAAGTTCTTTAGGACTAGACCTTAAATTGAGTGATTATCTCGCGTTAGTGGTTGGAATCTTGGCTAGATTCTCCGGGAAGAGTTATTTGTGGACCTGGCCGAGTGACCAGCAATGTCTCACCCATACATTACAAGGGGCAGTCCAGATCACCAAAACCCCCATCCTCTAATACAGAATTGCCGTTAATATCCCTCAATTCACCCAAAATCAGTAGATCCGGCCCGCGCAACCGTTTTCTATTACCAATGCAGGTATATCCCCGAGTGATATCCCATGACGGCACCAACCAACCATAGCCCTCCAAAAAGCTGGATAAATTTACATTCCGGATTACAAGCCAAAATCTTTTCTCCTCCTTCGCACCTTGTAAATAACTGCTCAGAGGAACCCGAGGGCTCCCGGGGATAGGTCATGACCGGGAATGCTTGTAGCCGAACGCCCATGGGAACTGGAAATATCCGGAATCCGAATGGTATGGCCATGGTAGGTTGCCGATATGTCAGATCCAAGAATATGCTCTCTCTCCATCACTAGAGGTCGATTGCTGCGGGTAGGTCGTTAATGCCCGTGAAGATCACATGAGTTGTAGCGGAATATGCCGTGTCCTGCTACCCAGATGGTTCTGGTTAATCGTTTTTTGGGGGCGCGAATCGGACGGTGGTTTGTATCTACATAGATGGTCAGGTAAGTAGGCCATTTTTTATTTGGGCCTTCGTTATTTATGGTTTATAATATGAGTACATGTATTTTTATATAATATGAGTACATGTATTTTTTATATATATGCTCCAACATCAAGGGCTGTATTGTAATCCGGCGGAATATGCCGGAGAAAGAGGGGAGAGACACATCATGCGATGTTTGCACTACCTAGGTAGGTAAGTACATGTAGATATGTTGTTTTTGTTTGCCAGTCGACAATTCCAAATATCGGTATGTGAGTGGTGTGGAAACGCCTTATGTATGCCTCGACGCAGATAAGCTTATTGTTGCTGGCCCGCTTAACTGGCCGGAACGAGGCGTATGTTGTGTAACACCAGATGAGTGATCAGATTGCTGAAGAAACACATCCAACTATATACCAGGCTAGTTGCTCACATGTCGTCAGTGGCTGTCCTATCTATCATATGTCTGCCTAAATACACAGACATTCATGTTAGCCCTAGACAATGTGAACAGAGAGATACTTAAGCGACTTCTCCCGCACTCATGAGTGCGGGGAGGAGTGAGTATTGCAAATACTCAAATCCCCCCTCATCACCTCCAATATATACCAATAGCTACCACACAGCTAGCTAGCTATCTGACATTCCGCAATGTCCCACCTCTTCGACCTCCCCAATGAGCTCCTTCTCCTGATCTCCACGCACCTCCCCCCGCGCAGCTTCAGCGCCCTCCTCCGCACAAACCAGCAACTACATGCCCTCCTCGCCCCAACCCTCTCGCAATTCATCCTCCACGGGATCTGCAACGTCCACCTAGAACCCGAAGGTGCCTCCGAGCCCTACCATAAGCTCTACTGGGCCTCCCTCCGCGGGCACCCCAAGCCGCTGCAGATGCTTCTTGAGACGGGCCGTATCAACGTCAACGCGCGCACGCACCGCTACTCGGTCCTCGGATTTCAGCAGCGGGCGCAGCAGCACACGGTGACGGCGCTACACCTGGCGGCGGTGGGCGGGTGCGTGGAGGTAGCCAGGCTGCTGCTGGACTATGGTGCGGAGGTTGATGCGCGGGAAACGCGGGGGGGTTTGACGGCGCTGCTACTAGCGGCGAAAAACGGGAACGAGAGGGTGGCGGAGGTGCTTGTGCGGCGCGGCGCAGATATAAATGCGAAGACGGATCATGATCATAGAGGGGTTTTGGATTCGGCGATTTTAGGTGGCAGGTGGGAGCTGGCCCAGATGCTGGTGAGAAGGGGGGCAAAGTCGGCGTATATGGGGGTTTATAGGCAGCATATGGAGGGAGTGCAGAGGGAGAGGGGAGCGCTATATAATGTTGGGAAGGAGCTGACGGTGGCGTTGGGGTTTTTGGGGTTCTTAGTAGGGGTAGGAAGAGGTTAGTATTATTAGTAAGTTAGGCTAGTTTTAGCAAAAGAAAAAGGACTGTATATATTGGAAGTTTATAATTACGTATTGTTTGCCAGGTATTATAGGCTTCTGTAAATCGTATGAAGGTTGTGAATCTAGGCCAGCGAAGTGGTTGTGTTGAACAATCCATGGCATGAAGAACTAAAGGGTGACCGCCAAGGTAATAATTATCCACGCATAACTATCATTGACACAGGGCTAAACCCTCTACATTTCGGTGTGCGCGCCAAAACACCAGCAGGAAAATGCACTGTTTAGGAGTGAGTAGTACAGTTGAACGCGAGTTCATCGATCAAACCATGAACATAAATGTGCTGAGTACCGCACCGGCCGCCGGCTTGCCCACCGAGAGCGAGTAGTGTAATCCTGAGTGACCATGAAAACCACCCGGAACAACATCCAAAGTACATGATGGACTGACTGGCAACAGCAAATCGCAGTACTACAACCAACGATTGGCCGTTATAAGTTACAGGTGAATTTAACCATTCACGAAGAGCGGCCGCCTACCATATCGGTCCAATCATGACAATTCTCTGTACCGCAGCACCGCCCACCACTAGCCCTCAAGTCCACTGTCGATATTATGGCCAGGTAGGCACCCAAAGAGGCACTACCTTACACACGAAGTCGCCTTCCCGAGTCGACAGAAATGGTGCATCTATATATCCCCGAGGCCGAGTTACTCATATCTGTTGCAAACAGCAATAGCTGCCTTAGACATCCAGCCAGCAGTGAACACAATTGCGCAATCCTATCACCAGTACACTCAGACTCATATAGGAAGAGGCGGGTCCATGTAGAACCTAGGAATCTACAGATGTATAGCATCCACGACGAGTAGACTGTGACACTGAACAGACCAGCCGTCCCTCGAATCGTAACTAGCAGAAGCCGCTCGACCTCCAGAAGTCACAGTATAGAGATTGCAAAGGCATCGGACGTGGTATTAGCTACACACAACATCTGACACCCCCGCTAAACGCATCACCGTCATTCTCAAACCCCTCGAGAATTCGGTGCGGGAAGGCTTACCACTGGCATCAGAGATGCATGAGGTAGATCTGAGATGAGAGTGACACGGATGAGATACTGAAAATGATCGTGGAATGGGGCATGCAGGCCAGTTATGTATATCGTGGCTTCCAGCGCAGCATGTGGAGATTAAGATTTCGTAACACCCAACTTACACACTTGAGCTGGGCCCATGGGGCGGTAATTATGCGCCTGTTATATACATTTGGGAACTTCTTATATTAGTGTCTAGTGATGAGTGGTGTTTAGCGCCGTTAAAAGGTGTAATAGGCTAGCCCAGAACCTCCTAAATTATATAGCACCGATTATAGAAAGAAAAAAACCCTGAAGTTTTAAGGTAGATTCAATACCCTCTCTACAACAGTCGATAATATGAATTCCTAACCCCGTCCACAATTAGGAAGGGCTAATTATTAATGAATTAAACAAAAAAAAAAAAAAAAAAAAGGAAGGGCTAATTTTGAATGTGCGAGTGATCAGCTATGACTACAAGTACATGTATATATCGAGATCAAGTATCCACACGACTTGCCGTGCCTATTCTGTATATTATATGCGAGTGATAGTTTGTGATCTCGTATTCACTACATTCTTAAGTATGCAAGCGCAAGTAGTAAAATGTTCAGAAATACCATAAATCGCAAAGGGTTTAATAAAACCTGTAAGCATGTATAAATACCAACTACCTATTATAACTGGATGTTGTGGTTGGTTAAGGATATACTAATTGAATACATGTACATGTACATGTATGAGTCCAAAGCTAGCTCGCGCGTAGGTACCTTGGAATCAGAATCCGGAAATAAAACTTCGTCATTCTTAAATTTCTTTACAACTCCTCACGTATTGGACCAATTACCGGTGACGGAGTGTGGTGGTGACATGACATGAGTAGCAGCCCATGGGCGGGCCCTCGTGATCATCCAAGTATTTGGAGGGGTTGGGCCGAGTGATTGAGTATGATGCCCAATGATGACACATGTACATACATACATGTAGCCACACATTTAAGACCAATCAAAAGGATTTTCCTCCGACCGAACACGTGCTTAGAAAGGGGAAGTTTTGCCTTCTTCTACCGACCGCCATTCTGGGCGGCACGCTAACCGTTAATCCACAATGACAAAAGGTGCTATGTAAGAGCTCTGTGACTGATCCTATATAGCTATCATCATCAGGGGTATGCATGATCATGATAAGCTGATTGTGCTGCATGACCTATACCGGGTGATAAAAAACGTTGTGCATGCGTTCTGAGTCACGAACGCTTCGAATTTTGGAATAATGACTACTATATGCATGTACATGTATGTGTGCTATCCTATAGGCTTATGAGGATCGGTTTATACATGTATTCAATCATATTCATATAAATTAGGGTGACTTAGATGGTCAATGACCATGCCATAGTCTATGACTGCATGCAGAGTTTTGTACCTAGAAGCAATAAAACTACATGATATAATAAAAAAAAAAAAAGATGGTCAATGACCATTTATAGAAGTACTTATGAATACAGCCGCCTCTCCGAGTCGTTATAGTGATACTGCATATAGTGATATTCTCATTATAAGGATGACACCCGCCGGTCCCAACTTTTTAGTATGGGGTTTAGTGATTTTTTTATATAAGGATATCACTAGGTATTTAGTGAATTGTATGGGTATCCTTATAACAAGAGTAAATTTGGGTGTGGCAAGCGACCCAGAAAGGGGGGAGGGCCAGCATTTTCAGGCATTTTACGTGACAAAAAGCCTGGAAACAAGACTAAAATACGAACGAGACTGTACACGTACTTAAACAGTCACACGTCTATACCCTAAGAATCGCTGTCAATTTAGATTATTTTTCTTTCCAGCCTCGATCCAAAAAAACCTAACCCTCATTCTGTATAGTGATAACCTCGATATAAGGATACCATTTTTCGGTCCCGACCCCGTCACTATAACGAGAGGCGGCGGCTGTAGCTACATGTACATACTATATATACACAAACAAGAGACAGCCAGATGTAGACACATAAATGAGGGGGATGAGTCGGTCAAAAGCTACATGTATATGTCGTCGAAGAAGGAGTAATAAATGAAAGGGAATTGGTTGGGAACAGTATTTTTTTGTCATCAGGTATACCACTTACAAGTACTAGTAATATAGCTATTAAGATTTATAAAAAGAAATGTTTGCCCTGCGGTACTAAAAAGGGTTAAAATTTACCTTATCTTTCACATGCCCACAAAACAGGGGTGGATTTAGCTAGCCGTTCATGCTCTCTAATTGTATAAGTTTATGGGGCGAGAAAGCATAAGGGGTGGGTGTGTCAACTTTAGAGGAACTTTTTTTGCATGGGAATTATAAGAGAAAATTCCACCGTTGGGCTAGGCGCTAGTACCATTATGGGAGTAGTCTCCCAATTTCTATAGATTGATTGGCTGCAAACGCCGAAGTTTACACACCTACCCATCATAGCTTCTCGTGCCATATGTACTGCGAAAACTGACTATGGAATCGAATACCGCCAAAACTCGAAAAATTGGCTATCTCCGGCCAGGGATTATCGCTCGAGTGATTGCTTGAATGGCATCGATCTGCATCAGAAGTTTCCCATACAAGTAATTTTGATCTCTGGAAGCTAGCCAATTTTTTGAGATATGGCGGTACTTCCAGGGCTAGCTATAGGGCGCACGTGACGACACTACATACTTGGTACACCGTACACATATTACATGGCATATGTATACATGTAGTTAGATTTTGTACCTCGATATCAATGCTCATTTCGCGGGATTGGATCGAGATACTACGTTGCTATCCACGGTAGGTCTTATCTTTAACTACATGTAGTAGACCGGTTGACGTATGTATATAATGAGAGACATCTATATAACCCAACTTCCGAACCAAAAAATCCCTTTATCGATATTCAGGCACCTCATATTGTAGCTGATCTACCCATAACACAGAAGCGCTTAATTACGTTTCCAGAGTGGTCTGGGTCCGCATATGGGCAAAGCTCGTGCACGCAGAATAACCGGGTCCAGCACCACCCAGACATATTATTCCAGTCTAGTCTAGTCCAGCCCAGAAACACTATGAAGTGAAAAGTACGTATGTATACTATTAACCGCCGGAGGGTCATCACAGGGTATCATGCATATCGCTGTCTTTCCCATGGTTTCAACCAGCCAACCTCGAATCTAGCCCTTAATTTGGTTCTTCGGGTTCGTACATGTAGTGTTGATATATGCTATTGTTCATAATAGGCCCCGGCTTGGAGCGGAAATTTTCTCGGCCTTCGGATTGTGGATCACGAAGATTCTTTATACGAAATGGCTATATTTACATCCAGAGCACATCCAGAGAAAAATCTACTACATGTATTAGAGGGCCACCATATTCTAGACAAAATACAACGGAAAGTTACTAATGCATAACTTTGTCTATTGATAATGTATTATAGTCCAAGTGACCCTTAACTGGTAGCTTTATATGGGTATACCAGGGGTCGCCAAATAAGGCTACCCCGGAGTTTGTATTATCTGGAACCCGGGGTGGGTAGATCCGGAGAGTGTGTTTGAGGTTATGTGCCGAGAATATCTGCACAGAGGAAGGTTTAAGCAGGCACTGGAGGGATACAAATCTCATCATGATGCATATATATATAAAAGCCATAATGAAACTCAAATCTCAGCAAAGTAATTCAATACACAGCTAGAACATGTAATATGCAATTGATGCTAGTTTTCTGATCATATGGCCCTCACCCTGCAGGCATGTTGGGTAGAGGAATGATTAGTAGGTTTTCATCAATCCTCCTCCAAGACCGTATCGTCGTCCCCACCTTCCACCCCTTTACCATCATTAGTCTCACTTCCACTGTCCATGTCATCGCCCCGGTTCTGTCCAGGATCTAGGTCCAAGCAATTGGAGAGTCCATTCACACTCCCTTGACTTTCGCTTTCACTCCCATAATCATGCTCCTCGTCTCCCTCTTTTTCGTTCCCATCCATTTCACTTTCTTCATCAGCAAGGTCCTCGGACAGCCTCGACATTCTTGTAACAAACTCGTCCTGAACTTTAGTCAGCCAGGATTGCAACATCTTATCATCCATGTTTCCATCCCTGGCTTGAATTAAAGTCTCTTTTAGCTTGAGCACAAGGTTTCTTCTTCTGGAGAGATGAAATGACTTGGATTTTCGTTTCTGTTTGTCAAGCCTCCGAGAAAGAGTCTCAGACACCAACGTGGCCTTATCTAGCACATCCTGTGGAAGTCCAACAATTCTGGCTAGAGCTAAACCTGTTTATTTATACGCTGTAAGTAAGGCTTAACCCAAAATATATATTTTCTGGGTGTTGATCTAATGATTCACCGTAATATTGATCCTTTACACTTCCGTCTGCTACTTTATAAAGCATTGTCATAGTGTCTGGGTCATTCATCTAAGTTTCATGTTCATGTTAGTCATATGGTCGTAACTACAGAACAGCCCTAGTGATATTAGTTCAATGCACAGCCTGTGAAAATTCACCTCCACCTGCAAGTGCAGATTAACTACCCCAGCCCTTTCGGCAAGTATGCTCGCCAAATCTCGGAAGTGTGTTGCAAACCACACAAAGGCTCTGCTTTCAATCAGTGCCTCGCAGACCGCCAACGCTAGAGCCAACCCATCTCTGGTACTGGTGCCTCGTCCAAGCTCGTCCATGATTATCAGGCTGCCTTTGCCGAGATTGTGGAGGATGAAGGCCGTTTCCCGCATTTCAGACGCAAATGTGGAGGCATTAGCTTCAATTCCGTCGTCCATAGAGACACGAGCGAAGAGTTGTTGTGTGATAGGAAACGAGGCATACTGAGCCGGGACGCTAATTCAAAGGCAGTATTCTAGTAGGTTTGTTCAGGGCTGAAGAGGGCAGGGCACCTACTATGATCCGATTTGCGCAATTACAGCCGTGAGTGCGATCGACCGCAGATAGGTCGACTAGGGTGATAATAAATACTCAACACCCACCAATATCAATTCGTATTAAGACAACTACACACCTTTCCCGACATGTTGCAACCTATTTGGTCGAGAACGCCGTTAGATACGTTAGATACCCGAACCGCTAGTTATCCTGTGTAACAATCGCTTTGTCCAATAAAACGGTACCTACCAGTAATTATCTGAAATCTGTCAAACGAATTTTCATTAGCCACCCCCCCACACACCCAAAAAGCAAAGAAGTCGTAAATTTACTGAGTCCCAGTTTCTCGCGCTATTTTCTATATCACAGAGAATCTACCCCAAAAGGGTTTGGGATTGCGGGGTTTTCCCAGAGTTCGACCTACCTAGATTGTTGACTTGCATAGACATCGTTTGGAACGAATTTGTCCTTGTGAACTTTCTCACGAATTGGATGACGTCCGGCCTTGATTGCAAGTGTATCTGTGAACTCGGGACGAACTGCAGCACCGTTAGTAAGATGCCCCCCACGTTTTATGGATGTAATTTAATTCTTATTTGAACTGCCGAAGCCAGCCAGTCCAGGAGATGAGCCAAACCATAATCCTGAATTGTACAGAGATGTGCAAAAGAGACAATCTATGAACATATGATCTTCAGTCGTTATCCAAATTTACCAGGTAATGGCGCGCATATGGGGGTTTGGCGAACCATATCAAGCATCGCAATACCCTCGCACACTTTGTATAGCGCAGATATCTCTTTCCTAATATCTTCAACCAATTGCTGCACAGATTTATCGCCTTGAGACTGTATGTCAGTCATGCATGCCTGGTTATATCAAGAGGCCGGTGTTTTTGTGTTGTTTACTCATAAGTAAAACCTCCGTTAAAGAATCTCCGATCTGCTCCTCGGCGTTAATTAAAGTGGGTCTGTAAATATGCAAGTTCAAAAGAATATCAATATTCCCTCATAATGTAGTCAAAGAGACTATTGGTTTTTGGGGGAGTCAATATCACCTTGGCATTTCGTTTGACTAGTTCCAAAGTGGTGAACTCGACAACAACTTTTTTCTGTACCACAACGTTCACAAAAATAGGTGGCAAGGATTTATCCTCCAGATCCAACGTTGAGAGTCGGAGGTAGTATCCCCTTCCAACCTCGAACTTCAGTTCCAGGGGAAGATCATGCTCCACAGCCAGACCTGCAACTAATGAATGGATGTCTTCTGTTGCTTCCTTGTAGGTCTGACGTGCAACATCAAGTAGCCCATTCACGCCACTCTGCAGCAGGACGTGTCAATACACATTTAAATAACCGAACCCGATGGGAAATCGGACAACCAACCTTTACGGCATAGCACCTTTGATTACGGAGGTCAAGTGGGCTTTTTGAAAACGAAATGTCTTCATTTATAACATTACTGATCAGACTCATGACTGGCTCGATACGCTCTTCTCCGCAAAGCTACAACTGCCTTGTTAATTACAGCCTAAACTTACTGACATTTGAGTGGGTGCGGGCGAATGAGAGGATGCCTACATCTCTGATAGCCATCAACAGCTCACTTCTCCCGGAGACAAGACTCTCACGGACTGGGGCAATGCAAAACAATACTTGTTTAAGCACTATGATATTATTAATCGATTGTTCTGAATGTTTTAGTGAAGGCTTGACCGGTATTGTAATGAGCTTAGATCGTCAGTTCAGTTTTCTTATTCAGTCAGAATCTTATATTATATCATACTGAAGTAAGGAGCCTATCCATATCCAGAAATGGCTTCAAGGCCTGTCTTGCTTGGAAAAACATATCTTCATGCTGTGTAAACTCTTCCAACGCATCCAACCTTGCATTAAGTGTGGATACGTTAGTAAGTGGCTGTAACACGTTGGATCGAAGCAAACGTGCTCCCATAGGAGTCAATGTGTTGTTCAGTAGTCCAAATAAACATTCCGTGGATTTGGCGTTCTGGAGATTCTGGATCAATTCTAGACTGTGGACAGTACTGAAATCAATAAGCATGGAACCTGCGTGGAAAACCAACTTAGTCGATCCCTTTAGATTAAGCATGATGTCACAAGCGGCAGCAAACCGACCTTCGCTCCCCTGGTACTTGATCCTGAGGGAATTGAGGGCGAATCTTGTGTACGAAAGCTCGATATGCTTCAATGCTGCGGCAGCAGCAGAGATTGCGTAAAACTTTGCAGACACAGCAACCTTGATACCAGCTATGTCGTCCGCGAACGCTAGCTGCTGGATATAGTCATGTCCCATCTGTTCATTGTAGTATTTACGAGGTACTTGCGTGATAGTCGCGCCGGGAATATAGTGCTCCATTATGGAAAGCAGGGTAGATTTGCGTGGTATGACAGCAGTGTTTGGGACTAGTATCTGCATATCAAACTATTGAGAACTCGCCGATCAAATAGAGGATTCTTCCATCGTGTATCAACCAACCTCTGTAGGGTCAAAGACAGACAGCTTGTGCATGGTCCTAACGTAGGTCTGTGAGTCACATATCTCACTTAAAACACATTCACCTACAATTACGGTGTCAGCCACTGTTTCTGATGCACAATTTACAGCTCGGTATCAACGCGAATAGAAAATACCGGTCGTCATGTTCACGAAGCAAAGACCCACAGTGGCCGAGACCCCACGAGACTCTGCCACGGCACACACAATCTGCTGGACACCCCCAACTGTTGAGGTAGCAGTCCGTGGTCGGCCTGTTCGTGGACGACCGGTTGAGGTCGAAGGGCGGAAAGGCCCTGAGGATGTGGATTGGAGATAGAAGCTCATGATTGCAAATTTTTTATGCAAGTGTACAGATATGTATCAGCGTGTGGGAGATCACATTTAGGGAGTGGGGCGGCCACGTTAAAAGCGGCAAACCATTCGGGGTCGGTCCGTCCGTCATCCTGCAGGAAAACAAGCTTTGCAGATCACTGGTCTAAGATCGGCTCGGGGGCCGAGGGCTTCGATCCGTCTTATCTAATCTAATCTTATCAAAAGGATCTAACAGATCTTTACGACACTCATCAGGCCCGGTCAGGCTTCAATTCTTACAGTCATCTCTCTCGCCATCGACTGAAACGCCCCATCGCCAGCTTAACGTCAACAACAGCGTCGCAATGTCAGAACGTAAGGTGCTTCAGAAATAGTAAGTCTCTTCTCACGTGTTCAGGAGCTTCTACCGGCAGCTGCTAACTCGTTTCCCCTAGCTACCCCCCGGATTTCGATCCTTCGAAGATCGTCCGAAACAAGAACCCGAAGCCTACAGGTCCCAAGCAGCAAACTGTACGTCTCATGGCACCGTTCAGCATGAAATGCCGAAGCTGTGGTGAGTTTATCTACAAGGGGCGCAAGTTCAATGCTCGTAAAGAGCACTCAGGCGAAAGTAAGTACCTAGTTATCTCCTATCCCGTGAATGTTCACGAGCTAACAAATAAAACCCCAGAATACTACAACATCAGTATATTCCGATTCTATATCCGGTGTACACGATGCTCCGCGGAAATCACATTCAAGACCGACCCGAAGAACATGGATTACACCTGCGAGAAGGGCGCTGAGCGAAATTTCGAGCCCTGGCGCAACCACGATGAGAAGGAAGAGACCGAGGAGGAGCGGTTAAACAGACTGGAAGAAGAAGAGAACGAGAGTGCCATGGCCAAGCTGGAGACAAAGACTTTGGACTCTAAACGCGAGATGCAGATCGCCGACGCGCTGGACGAGATCAGAACACGCAATGCACGGAACGAGAGGGTGGATGGGGTTGACGTGTTGGAAACCTTGCTTGAAGTAAAGGATGCGGCGCAACTGGAGAGGGAAAGGCAGGATCGGGAAGATGAGGAGGCTGCCAAGAAGGCATTCAGAACCGATGAAGATAAGTTTGTCAGGAGGGTGATTGAGGGGGCCGAGGAGCCCCCAGTCCAAGCAGGGCCATCTGCTGCCGCAACCGAAGAAAAAGTAGAGATTCCAACCTTCAAAAAGACGGTTAAGAGAAAGCGGGACTTGGGAGCTGCCCTGGGCATCAAAAAGAAAGCGAAAACACTTGTATAGGGAGTGGCTTATGACATATAAGTCTGGTCCAGGTTTTATATGTGGCGTTTGCAGATCGCGGTTGCATTTGGGTTAATCGGGTCTTTGCTGTTTTATGTTGGGGATACATCTGGTGACGCACCCCGGTAATTCAACCAATTTGCTCTTCTTGCTTTCTTTTCCTTATTTTTATTTTCCTTATTTTTCCCTTTTACATAATTGCCTACTATCAATCTGATATATGACACCAAACGCCTATAAAGTACTATATGTATTTCGAATGTCTCGAGTATCTAGAGCACACAATAAATACATATATGAGAGCTCGGCTTACCATCTGCAGTGATTGTTGCATATCGGCACCTGCCGGTCACGACTATCGCGGCCCGCTGGTACCCTTGCAACTCTACTGTCTCAACACCACATGCCTTTTCGGTCAATAGAACGGGTAGTCCGCACGAGATGTTTAGCACGTACTGTGCTCATGTAACGGTTACCGGTCCCGCAGCCGCTCGGAATACTGCCATTCCATATCTGTCGGCCCGCATATGACATCAACCTTTCCAAGTAAGCCACATCATGTAGGTATTGTAGCTGTACCATGTACCCCGGTAGGATACATCTTACGGATCTTCCAACATCAACGACCTTTTAGATTCGGTTACTTTGGGGTCCACAAATGTGATTGGTCTCTTTGAACCACATCATAATGGCATCGTGGCCTTAAGGATCCATCTACCTACTTTCCATATACGCACTCTACTCTACTCTACCTAGATGCAGCGCCTTTAAGGTAGAACAACGGCGACGACAATAACAACGCTCCAAACTCCGATAGTCTCAGGATGTACCTAGGTCGCAATGTAGGCAGTTCTCACTCCAGAATCCAAATTAATGTCACGTGGTAGAATATATATTTGAACTGCCCAGGATAACATCCAAGTCTTGGATTTTTTTTTTAAAAAAATAGCCCTGAGGCCTGGATGCAAACGTTCATTTATCGGAACACGAATAGTGGCAACGGAAACCCATGATATAAGACGGGGATGACATAAATATAATGGAATAAACCGAAAACAATCATTTCAGAGGTATCGTAACGGTATCAATCGTAAATGTCCAAGAGAAAGAAAGAAAAATGAGCAAAAATAAACCATGCACCGTCCAGTTATATAAGACACCCGCAATTAAACATACTCCAACAGATATATGTCCCAAAAACCCCGAAACCTTTTCACACTTTTGAATCCCACGAGAAGTTATTTGCTTAGACCTCTGGGCCATCGCCCTTATCGCGACGTATCGGAATTTTAATACCTGAGGCAAAATTGTTAGAATGTTAACCACAAATAAATGCTAACTGAATCGAAGCTTACCCTGGGTCGCAAAGCACTTGCTAAGGTTTGTACTCTCAATGACACCTGGGAACTTTTTGGCGCTGAAGACGTGGAAAACCTCGGAGAAAGCACTCGCAAGGACTGGGGCCGATCCAGTGTTCAGGCCCGCGCCATCCCCCCGCCCGACATTGACAAAGTTCATTTTCAATCTGTCAAGACAAGATAAAATCAGAAACCACCCTAATAAGAATAACTTTTTGGCGGGATAATGGGGTTCATACCTAAATGAGCCTTCAGTTCTTACTGAAAGATCCTGAAGAATGAACCACACGCCGATCTTGTTGTCAGTGTCTGTCAACTTGAATGCGCTGGCGCTCAAGCTACCGATCAGGTTTCTGGTAAACATTCCTGACGGTGTTTGCTGAGGTGGTTGCTGCTGTTGGGGTGGCCCATGCATGCTGTTAGGGTAATAGCCTTGAGGCGCACTGTGCTGTTGACCATAATGCATCAGAGGCTGCTGTTGCATTTGTTGATGTGGAGGCTGCGCACTATATCCAGGGTATGGATTTGGTGGCTGCTGGTGCATAGGCTGCTGCGGAGGATATTGAGAGTGTTGCAGCGGCTGTTGGTGGGGATGTGATGGTGAGCCTGCGGGTGCGGGTGCGGAGGCGGGGTCGGAGGGGGAGGTGGATATGATGATGAGGTCGCTGCTGAAATTGAGGGCGAGGTAGCGGAATGTCGAACGAGGTTTACTTCGCGATTTCCATCCGAAGACCATAAATCCACGGTGAGGACATAGAAAGATGTATCAACCTCACTGCAAGCACACGGACTTTAGTTCGGGATCTTGCATACGGGAAAAATGGGACGCCGCGAACTCACTTGATGTCAACCTCCTTTCCCGTGGTCGCGTCCTTGACCACAAGCCGTACACAAGGTGGGGGAGTAATTGGCCGACGATCCTGCGGAAACCCGTTAGCACGCGATCCCTTCAACTTCACGAGAGATCACCGTACCTTGTCTCCAAAACCACACATCCTAGCCCTGATGGGCTGTTGCTTGACCTCAAGACTGTAAATACGGTTTCCATCACCTCTGCACGATTGTGAGGGCGGCTGTTGCGGTTGTTGGAGATTTTGAATCATGCCATTATTCGGTTGCGGTGGTGGACCAGATTGGGACGAAGACGAAGACGACGATACTCTAGTCATCGGGAGTGGTGGTGGGATTGAATGGTGGCTTCTTTCATGATGCTGGTTTGTAACGTACATTGCGTTCATGGATATTGTGTAATAGGTTGTGGGAAGCTCTGAATATTTCGACTTGAGGGTTGTAGGGGCTTGTTAGGCTAGGCCAAAGCTCTCTATTTGAATGTTCAAATCCCAGCGAAGGAGAGGGGAAAAAGAAAAGAAAAACGGGGAAGTGGCGTTTCTCCCAGGTTTCACGGCTCCAGGTCTCTAAATAGTTGTTGTAACGTTTTTTTCTTCTTGGATTGCTCGATCGATCCTTCTTGACTTTTTTGACTTTCTGTCTTTCTTTTCTTTGTAGTTCCGAACCTGGATCCTTATAGCACTCCCGCAGAACTCACAATGATCACCTCTGCGCCCCAAGCACCCCAATTCTGTGTGACTCGGATTCTCGGCTGGTCTGCTGACTAGGCGGCAGGAGAGAGCTGCTGGCGAAACAGTTCGAGATAACCGCAGCTGGTAATAGAGTGAGGACGAGAATCCCGAACCAGCAAGGAGGTGACTGAGGAGTACAGGGAGCTAGCGGCGGAGGAGGAGGAAGCAGTGGAGGAAAGGCACGATGCGAAGGGAAATAGGAGGATCTATCTAGGGCGTGGAGGGGCCTGGTAGAGGTGGGGAAAAGAGCAGGATGATGGAGTCGAGGTATGATGATACAGCACACGGGAAGCAGGCCGACTACTCTATCTGCGCATGAGCACGTACGGTATGGATGCATGCAATTCAGCGGCCAGGCCACAACAGCCAGCTGGGTTGTTGTGTGATTGACACGTTTGACACAGTGGCTCTGAGGACTTTTTACAGTACCTTCCGTCTACACTGGATTGTACCTTGGATCAATTGCGTTTGACAGATCGGTATGGATCAATTAGTCGATAACCTTTGGGGGTTATCATGTCTTGGAGTTCTGTACATGTACATTGGAAACAGGTGGGGAATACAAGGAACCCACATGGTGACCACCATGAGCTGCCATAAGAAGTAATGGAGGCAAAAGAGGGGGTGGGCATACAATTAAAGTTGACCCACCAGACAGAGAGTCGAAGAAGACGGTGCTTCCGGGGGTCGGGATCAATGGCCGCATGAAGTACCAGTAAATGGTGTTGATGACCTGAAAGAGTACAAAAGATCCACCGGAATGGCGTCTGGCTTCTCTTGAATGGAGATCGTTCTTATTTACCGAACTCCTTCCAACCAAATCAACCCCCAATGGAGATCAAAAAAATCATGTTTACTTTTTTTTCTCTAACACTGCCGCCTCTATGTATGGTACTCTGCTCCAAATGTCTCTCCTGACGTTGTATGTATCTACTCCTCTGGCTGCTCCTGCTGCTTGCTTGCTGCTTGCTGCTGCTAAAGGGTAGATAGAGACAACCGGCAGGAGCGCTATGTACGGCTATTTGGAATGGCAAGATAGGCCTAAGTAAGGTAAGGTATGTGGGAAGGCAAGAGAAAAAAATCGTCCAAGGATAGAGAATCCTCCAACAACTGAGCGAGCCATGCAAAGACAACGAATAAACGGTATTGAGATACATAGGCGTGTAGGTTATGTAGGTACTTTGATAGAGTGATAGATGGACCCGCCCACGTTTGAGTATAATTGTTCCGAACAAGCAAAAGAGTGGATAATTATTGACGATAAGAGGGGTAAATGCTACTAACTACTATCATACCGTATCAAGCGGTGGCTTCCTCAGTTGGGCTTGACAGAGGTCTTTCCCAAGGATTTTACCCTTACATCAAGCCCTGGAGGGGGGTTGTTATTATTAGTGTTGAGAAGACTCCACAACAGGGCTGGCTACATGATGTATCTAGAGGAGTAGAGTAGCACATGTCTAAAATATAAGCCCTTCCTTCTTCACTGCAAGTAGAATCTCAGAACGTAAGCATCACAATTGAAAGTTCTTACATCTATGTGGTTAGACACGTACCTTCTCTACCAAGTTGAGTAGAGAGCAGTAATAGTAGAGCACTTACGGTACTGGACTTGTAGTAGCTTCTTCACATGCAACCACGTCTACTCTTACTCTACATTGACTAACCAGTACCAGTAGAGTACTTGCCTACTTCCAAGTGATTGATTCCTTCTACATACCTACCTCTCGATCTCACCCCCACCTGCCATTCAGTTTTTTTCTTTTCTTTTTGGTCCCTCAAGCCTTCACTTCTTGCCCGGCAACATCTGTTTCCCCGTGGCGTTCCAAACAAATCCCTGTAAACGTGTTCCTTGCCCGCAACTGCAAGAATCAGCCCGACCATGCAAACAATCGCAAACCGTGGTTCGTCACACTCTATCGTTGCTTTTCCGGCAGTTGGCGGGGGAGGTCTGCATTTGAGCAAACATCCGACGTATCAGTAAACGTGAAAAGGCCACCTTGTCGTTGAAACTTGAGGTGGAAGGGAAAGGTTGTTGATAGGCGGGCTAACAAAGTACTAGCGCCTTCCCCTCCCCCCAAATCTCAACCCTGTGCTGGAATACTAGCTCCAAGCACGACAGATTCAACGTGTCCCAGCACACTGGATCCTCGAAACGAAACATTGTTTGACCCTCAGAAATGTCTCTAGGAACTCTCCCAATCAACCCCACGAACAGTAATAGCGTGGGCAACTACGCAACCTGTCTACCGTTTTTTGCACCGAACCCTCGGAAAGCTCCCCCCCTCCAACCCCGTGCCACCCACACGCTGCTGCACAGGAACTCGCCTTGCCATCCGATCGGTTCCAGTTTTCAGTCCTCACTTTCCAGTCGATTGGGGCATAAAAATAATGTTTGTCCATCAGGCCCACCATTACCAATTGCAAAGCACTCTACCGGCGACCGTTGACCCAAAATCCGCAAAATACACCTCCACACACACCCTCATCAATGGTCGCCCACGAGAAACAAGGTCACCCCTAGTCATGAGTGGGAGAGCACATATGGAGAACCATGTTTCCCCCCCCCCCTCTCGTCCCGACGGGACGGGCAACAGGGCCAGTCTAGGTACACTATAGGAGCATGTTCACCACACCACATCCTCGGGTGTTTTTATTTCGCCAAACGGAAACAAGCATAAATGATAAAAAAGACTCCCTTCTGGTCCAAGCCACCCGGCATAAGAGAAACATCCAGAAGGATAATTCCCGCACGCATTGCACGGCCAAACGTTCGGTACACTTACCGTAGTAACCGTACTGTCTGTACCCGCATTTGGTACTGCATAGCCAAAAAAGCTCGAACCCCATGAGTACCAAAAACGAGCGGCTGGGGGATCATTCCAGATCCGCTGACATGGGAAAAACAGAAAAGACTTCTCCTTGCATAAATAACAAATACATTTCCGATCTTTGGGTACTTCCACGCGTCGTAGTACGGATCGATATATATATATCATCCACCCATCCGTTTGATGTTCTCGATTGGGTCTGCGGGCTGACATCAGTCGGGAACTCCAATCTTCTTTTCTTTTTTTTCTCTCTTTTGTATCCTGGCTCAACACGACAAGGTTCCGGGATTAAAGAAGAAAGGTACATACGGAAATTATTGGGTTTCCTGGTTGCGAGGTATCTTGGATCTTCAGCTCGAAAAGAGGGGTACCATTGCTTTCCAAACTTAGGAATGCATTGCGGTCGAATCTGCCTGGGTGAAGTAAAACCATGGAACCACGACATCCTTGAAGTCTAATTGCACATCTTTCGCCAGCCAAACAAGATGAAGCGGATGTCATATGCGTTCGAATAATGATAAAAGGCCCAATTAAAAAAGAACATTTATATCTCAAGCCCATGCCTTTTGATCTCCAGAAACAATATTAAAAAAGAAAAAGGAGAAAAACAAAGAAGCCAAGAAAAAAAACTCCCAAAAGCCAGCATTTACAAAAGAGAGGAAAGAACAAATTAGAGAAGAATAAGAGTAACCCCGTTTACGCCGTGAATTTGAGAGCAAGAGGGTATAAAATACAGAATCCCCCAATCTATTTCGTGATCTTCTTCTTGAGACCAAACAGCTTATCCTTGCCGCGGTCCGCCCAGCCACGATAGTCAATCTTGCTGTGATCGATGGGTTCGAGGCTTTCTTTCTGGCTCTTGGTGCTGTTGGTGCCATTGGTAGGGTTGAGTCTACGCTTCTCTTCGTCCTCGCGGGCCAAGGCAGCCTCGATTTCCTCGGGGTTCATGACGTTTCCAGCTCCCTTTTGCAGAAAAAATATGTTAGTCACAATTGATTTCAAGCAAATATATTGGCCATTGGAGTCCTGAGGAGGAGCAGCAGAACAGAAGTGCAGGAATTTCGTAATACAGATGGGTGATGTCTTTCATGCATGGTTGGGTTTTCCCAAGTATGACTCGAGTGACTATGGATCTTCACCAAGCATTGTGTGCTGCGTGTCCGGGAAAAGGTCCATAGTTCCTCGAGCCATATAAAACCCAAAGCTCCATCCCAACCGCAACGAGAGACCTCCCCATCCTTGCGTAACATGCCTATCCTCCACTCTGCTGTTGCTGCTGCTCCTCTCCCTTCAATGGTAGAACACAAACATACCCCACGTCCAGCATGGAAATCTCCACTGCCGCGGGCCTTGGGAGCCTCCTCGACATCTTGCGCAATGCGCGCCTTCTCGGGATGGTTCGGATCGTTCTGGGCCATGTTTCCCTATCCAGATCCAGCCAAATGTCAATACAACTAGCACTCGAAGGAAAGCTATAAAAAAGAGTTGATGCAGTGATTCAAAAAGAAGAGAAAAACAATGAAGAATAAGAAATTGAGTAGCAGCAACAATAGTAAGAAAGCAGAAGAGAAAGCAGCAGAGAGAGGGAGGGAGGGAAGAATATAAAAAAAAGGAGAAGAAGAAGAAGAAGAAAGAGGGGGAGGTCCTTACAGTTCCACCACGACCAGTAGTATAGACAGGGCTTTTGAGAACTGGAATTTTCAAGTTCTCCTCGGTTTCGACATTATCGACAGGGCCAACATTTCCGGCTCCTCCTCTCCCTTTAAATGGGGGCCCCCGGATCGATCCCCCAAAATGTTAGTCAAAAAAAACGTAATTGTCTAGAGAACATTGCTTTTATTTTTTCCTCCTTCCCCCATTTTCTTTTATTTATTTATAATTTTTCGGAGGTAAGTGGGGGCGGTGGTGGAAGGGGAAAGGAAGAACTTGGGGAGGAGAAAAGGAAGGGAGGGCCGAACCGTGGAGAGACTAAAATTCACACAAACCACAAATTGTCAGTCTTAACAGTCAATACAGTTTGTCACGATGCCCAGCCAGACAGACAGATGTCAGGCGGGAAAGGCGGCGGCGGCGGTGGTGTTCGTCAATTGGAGATTTGAATGGGGCATTGGATTTGGATTGGATTAGAGGGAGTGTATGGGGAGTGTATGGGAGAGTACTCACAACGGAGCTGCTGTCGCGCTCTGTCGACGCATTGGTCACGACGGGAATAGTCGGGATCATGTGCATATGGGCTTTTTTTTCTTCTTTAACTTTTTGTGTTTTGCGTTATTCTTTGCAACTTTCTTTTTTTTTTTTTTTGCGTTGCTGATGCTGCTCGGATCGTTGGTGGTGATGGAGATATTCAAAAGAGAGCTGGGCAAGGAAGGAAAGGAAGCAGAGAAGAAACAACAGCTGGAAGAAGAAAAAAACTGTAACCAGCAAGGCGGCGGGCGGGGGGTAGCGTGGTGTAAAAGTAAGTTTTGTAGTAGGGTAAGTGATGTGTAGTTGTGGTGTCTGTTTTTTTTTTTAAAAAAAAAGGAAGCTATGGGTGGGATCCAGGTACCGATGTGATGCGATTTTCAGCGCTCTCCGGGGTTTCATATACCTCTACTAGTCAGGTTGTATATAGAATAGGATAAGTACGTAGGTTAAGGTAGGGAGGGTACTGTAGGTAGCCTGACCTCACATCATATCACTCAGCTTCCAAGGTGCTCGTTTTACTCTACTCTAGCTAAGCTAAATACATCATCAAACCTCGATCTAGAGCAGAGCAGCAGGGGCCGGGGGGAGGTGGAGTCTGTGGGTTTCGAGATGTGGTTTCAAGGTTGCGATTGTGTCATTTTCGTGCTTGCTTTGGCAATCCCTCTCTTTTACTCTATTTTCTGTCTGCCTCCTTCCAGTTATAATTATCTCTTGCTTACCTGCCTGCCTACATGCTTCCTGCCTACATATTCTTATCCACCACATATGCTCGCAAGCAAGCAAGGCCCGGGCCTTGGTATCCACTCGTCTACAATTTCGGACCAAAAGAGGGAAGTAATCAGGTAAGAAAAAATACTCGTAGATGCACCGAGCATAAAAGTTAGGTAATATATTTGGTTGTTGTGTTAGACATGTCGTTGTGTGGTTGCCCTCCCTGTTGGTTACATGCTCTCTCTAACCTTACTTACCCAACAAGCTAGCGGTACTGTAGCTACCTAGGCTAGAGCGCTTTTTTTTGTGTGTGCAGGGGCGGATGATTGGCTCTGCTCTACCTCATTGCAGTAGAGTATGGCTCGAGAAGCTATGGTGGGTAGGTGTGTAAACTTCGGCGTTTGTAGCCAATCAATCTATAGGAATTGGGAGATCTACTCCCATAATGGTACTAGCGCCTAGCCTGGCGGTGGAATTTTCTCTAATTCCCATACAAAAAAAAGTTCCTCTGAAGTTGACACACCCACCCCCTATGCCTTCTCGCGCCATAGATCGAGTAATTAATTGGGATGGCATGGTAAGGATGGTAAGGAAGAGGGAGAGGGAGAAAAAAGGAAATAAAAACATGTTTTACGGGAGGAAGGGGTTGATTGGGGAATGCCGAAACGAACGGTGTTTGTTTAGGAGAGACATTCTTTTTTTTTTTTTTTCTTCCTTTCTGGCTGGTTGTAGGAGGCTCAAACGGAGGAGAGGTGCTGGTGTCGATGGAAGTAAGTGCCGGCGCGGCGGCGGCGGCGGCGGCGTCGTCGGCGGTGGTGGTAGAGTACGCGTTCTCTCTCTTTTCTTTTCCTGATCGCGGGTTTGGATGGAGATGGTGTTACATAAGAAGCGTTTGTATTACTCTATATCGTGGGTTAGGGGGGAGGGTTCGGGTGTGGTGGTGATGAGGGGGTTTTATTGATTTATTGATTTATTGATTACACATATGGTTAATTGGGTCGTAGCTACACAAATGGCTTTTTTTTTTTTTTTCCCCTTTCCTTTTCCTTTTCCCTTTTCACTTTTCTTTACGGCATTAATTGTTTACGACCGCATGTTGTTTCAGGGCTATTTTGATTTTGATGGGTTACGGGCCGGCACTTGAGATGGATGGTGCGGGAAGGGAAGGGTGGTGTTTAATATAATAGCAGATGTGATATGAGACAGTTGGACGTGATGCTGTCCGGAGAGGTCCAACCTACCTAGTAGTACCAGTGACCACATACCTGGCTGGCTGGCTGGTTATCGGGGCTGGTATCCAGCTGGGATGATCTAGACGTCGGAGGTCCACGTTTTGGAAATCAGGCAGGCAATCAATCGATCAATCAATCAATGTGCCAATCTCTCTCTATCAATCAGTAGATTGTGTACATACTTATCTTGACGAGTAGAGTACTAGTCAAGATCATGACTACTACAATACCTACAGCTATCTACCTACCGCCATAACACGAAAAATTGGCTAGCTTCCAGAGATCAAAATTACTTGTGTGGGAAACTTCTGATGCAGATCGATGCCATTCAACCAATCACTCGAGCGATAATCCCTGGCCGGAGATAGCCAATTTTTCGAGTTTTGGCGGTACTCTCCAGTCTTATCCTTATCACTTGGCTCTCTCTCTGCTCGGTCATTTATTCCCTTCTGCTTCTTCCCGCAGAAGCTGAATGTTTGGTTTGCATGTGATGCGGTGCTTAGTGCGTGGTAATACTGCTGGATAGAGTAAAGACCATCACCAGGGCAGCAGCAGGGGTCCTCGCTTGCTTCCGCTAGGTTTTCCGAGAAAGGAACATGCCGAAGAGCTCGGACAGGAAGACGGACGGACGGGGACAGACCGTGGGGTGCGGGCGGCCTACGTAGAATTGGGCACTAGCTAGGGCCCTTTGTCCGTGCTCGGCTGCAGCTGGTTGCGTCATAGCTCATCCACCTGGCCATCTCGACATCGGGATATCGAAACACCACAGAACATCAACCTCAACCTCTAACCTCCACCCATCACCACCATATCATCAGTTAACCACTGCATATATCGCCAACTAATCACAATTAACCAATTCACAACCACAATGGCTCTCCCCCCCACCACCGCCATCTCCCCACCCCCCGTCCCCGCCTCCCTCGAGACCTACACCTTCCCCTCCTCCCGGCTGCAGCGCACCCTCTCCGACCCCACCAAGACCCCGCTAGTGCTCGTCGCCTGCGGCTCCTTCTCGCCAATCACCCACATGCACCTGCGCATGTTCGAGATGGCCGTCGACCACGTAAAGCAGAACATGTCCTCCACGCACGAGGTCGTCGCCGGCTACCTCTCGCCCGTCTCAGACCGCTACAACAAAGCCGGCCTCGCCAGCGCCCTACACCGGTATGCCCGCCCACCCACCCACCGCACATAGACTAACGCCCCACCGTCCCACAGCGTCCGCATGTGCGAGCTCGCATGCAACGAGGCCTCCACCTGGCTCATGGTCGACCCCTGGGAAGCCGTCCAGCCCGACTACCAGCCCACCGCCGTTGTCCTCGACCACTTTGCCCACTGCATCAACGACACCCTCGGCGGCATCTCGGGCGTCCCCGCCAAGATCATGCTCCTCGGCGGCTCGGACCTCCTGCAGACCATGTCGCAGCCCGGCGTGTGGTCCGCCGCAGACCTGGCCCACATCCTCGGCGACTACGGCCTGCTGGTGGTGGAGCGCAACGGTACGGACGTCAGTGAGGCGCTGGCGCCGCTGGCGCGCTGGCAGGATAATATTTGGATCGTTAGGCAGCTGATTGCGAATGATATCTCGAGTACGAGGATTAGGCAGCTGATTCGTCAGGGTATGAGTGTGAGGTATCTGTTGCCGGGGGTGGTGGTGGATTATATTAGAGAGCATAGGCTGTATGGGGAGCATGAGGAGTTCAAGGAGACGAGGAGTAGTAGTATGCCGCCGCTGTGTAGGGCGCATGGGAAGGGGACTTGTGTTCCTGGGGCGGCGGCGGCGGCGGCGGCGGTGGGAGGGGGTGGGGGTGGGGGAGGGGGGTTGTGCGTCCCGAGGGCGCCGCAGATGGTGAGGTGTGTTAGCGCGCAGCGGGAGAGGGCACCGAGTAAGATGAGGGAAGAGATGAGCATTGATAGTGATGATGATGGGGAGGTGGATGATGCGACGCAGAAGGTGGAGGAGGAGAATACTAGGGGCCGCAGACCGTCATCGTGAATTTGGTTGGCTTGCGTGATGACTAGGTTTTTTTTTTAATAATGCTTATAGACTAGGTAATGATGAATCATGGTATGAGGGTGGGTGTATAAAAATTGTGTTTTTATTCGTACTTGTACTTTTAGTTCTGGCTTCTGGGTGTGTTTTTTTGTTTGATATAGCAGCAGTAGCAGTAGCAGCATACACAAATCTTGAATAGCATAGGCATATGCCATGCATTCCACACATATACAACATCGTGCTTCAAACATCACTACAAGTATCTACAAGTATCTATGTATCTACATACTACTACTAAATCCCCACCCATCCATCCATCCTTACCAGAGCGAATAATCGAAATACAACCATCCACCTAGCTAGCTACCCCGTACCAATGTCAATATCAGCACCACCGCCAGCCAGCTCCAGCTCCAGCTCCACCATATAACTAATCAATATCAACACCACCACCACCACCACCACTACCACCACCACCGCGCAACAACCCAACCCAACCACGCGCACTGTCCCCATACCCACCCACCCAACCCACCCACCCGGCCAGCCGGTAATTGCTGATCTACATGCATACTCTACATAGTGGGGGGTCCCTGGCCTACCATAATTTCCTCCGATCCCGAGTGAACCCCAGCTAGCTAGCCGCGGGTTAGGGTTGGTGACGAGATAAATGGGCACAATTAAATATGGTACATAAATATTGGGTATGCACAATAGTAATTACTCCCCCCCCCCCCCCCCTTTTTTTTTCTTTCTCTTTCGCGGTCATGCGTGCGTGCGTGCGTGCGTGCGGGCGGGCGGTGAGTGGAATGGAGTGGGGTAGGGTGCAGGTTCAGTTCAGTTCAGGTGGACTGGACTGGACTATGTAGTTATGTCCAGGAGAGGTGGAAGGAAAGAGAGAGAGACAGAGTTGAATTGCAAATTTGCGAATTTGTGGATTGCAAAGCCGTATTACACACGCCAAAATGTTGTAAAGCCATTACTAGTCTCGGTTTTTCATAACAGCGTAGCTTGGATATTCTGACTACAAGTATAAAATAAAAAAATAAAAATAAAATAAAAAATAAAAAGGAAGAAAAGTTGGGGAAGGCTTGTATATATATATTTCCAATAAAGAAAGTAACGAAAGGAAAAAAAGAAAAGAAAAAAACAACCTCACTTCATATGTATGTAATGCATACATGCACGTATATCCTACACCAACCTACTCTACGTACAACGAGTAGAGCTAATACCCAGTCGATCCTGCAGTGATACAAGCTTAAGTATACACATGAGAAACGCCAAAAGAGGGGGATTGATCAATTGAGGAAGGAGGATGATGATGAGTAAAAAAAAATAAAGTTAGGAAAAGGTTTTCAACATGAAGAGAAAGAAAAATAAAGAAACAAGAAGCAAATAGACTAGAGCACTAACTACTACTACTACTACTACTACTACTACTGCTACTACTACTACTACTACTACTACTACATGTACCTACTAGAGTACTACTACTACATGTAGTGATCAATAGCGAAGGACCAAAAACGCCGCCCAACCCTGTCAGAGAAAACAAAATACAAAAGGAAAAAGAAAAAAGAAAAAAGTATACCATAATATTCACCTAGAACTATTACGACATACCCTGGTCCCTTTTTTTTTTTTTTTTACAAAGAGAAAGAAAAAAAGTAATAAAAAAAAGTAAAACAAAATGAAAAAAGAGTTGTGAACCTACCCGCCCTACCCGCTAGCCCACCCGCGTCTTCTCCTTTATATATATGTATATATCGGCTTGTCTTCATGTGATTGTTTTCAAAGGGTTTTGTACATCATCCACTCATTAACCGGGACATTAAACCTACACCCTCTCTGGAACCACCACTCTCTTGCCTGCTTCCCGCCGCCGATCGCGTCCTCCAGCGCAGCCTCAATATCGCACACACAGTACTCGACTCTAAGGCCACTCCGGCTCCACCACTCAAGAATGTCCGCACGATTAAACTTTGTCGCCTCAACAAGCACTTCTTTGTCGTAGACCAACCGCAGTCCACTTCTTTTCCACCATTCCAATACTTCGACTTCGCCACGGTAAGATGCACCTTTGAGCGCGTTGTGGTAGTTGAGCGAGAGCCCAGAGTTCTTCCACCACTCCAGCACATCAAGGTGGCCAAAGGAACTGGCAACATCCATAACAAGACCGTAACGCAAAGGGAGACCGCTGGACTTCCACCACTGGAGTACGTGGATGTGGCCTTCGCGGGATGCATCGTTGAGCGGCTCCTCATCGTAATCTCGAGGGAGCGCATTCGACTTATTGGGGTCACTGGCTGCTAACCACCAGGATAGAACCTCCGTTCTTGCAAAGTGACTAGCGAGGGTAGGAATCTTGAGTGTTGGTTCTGAGTATACTTTCATAAACTCCTTTGGAAATCGCTCGTGGAAGAAGGTAAGAAGGTCCAGATATCCAAACCGCACCATCGCCTTTGCACCGAATTTGGTAAATACTTCGCCGGGACGTGACGAAAGGAAGGAGGCAACATATGCGACGGACCCGGAAAGAATCGCGTAGTCAAGGCGTGTCCCGTTATGTTCCCAGTCCACGGAGCGCCGGAGGTTCGTACGAATTCCAAGTGCCACAGATAGTTCCCAATCGTTCAGGGTTTCGAAAATATCTGCCCAGAGTTCCGGTGGCAGAGGTGGATGGGTGGGAATCGTTGATGGGGACGTGGATTCCGCAAGGGAGTCAAGAGAGACCAATTGAGCCATGTCAACATCATCATCATAGGTGGTGGTTCCAAGAGATGGGGTGCTGTTGGTATTTGTATTGAGGGTATTGGTATTGGTGTTCGTATTTGTGTTATCATTTTGCTGTGGCCGTTCGTTAAATGATGATGCAGCGGATAGTGGTGGCGTAAAGCTGGCGGTTTGCTGGTGCGCAAGGTCGGTACGGTGAGAAAGATCGTGAACCGCCAGACGAAAGGCGAGTTCTTGGGGGTTGCCACATGTGGGGAGGGAGCGAAGTAAGAGTAGTATATGAAGCTCTTTTTCTGATAGACGAGAATATGCCGTGGTGACGGCGTTCTGGAGGAAGATGTTAGGATTGATAAACATGTAGGGGAAAAGAGGGTTACCTCTAACTCGTGACGATCCATGGAAGATATTTCGAGTGCCTTCTCAGGGCGATTACTTCTCATAAGCCTCTTCATGGTTGAGTCTTGTGGAGGCGTGAACTGCGAATGTGGTAATGGTGACGGACCTTCAGTGTCCATTGCAAATACCATATCTGCCCTCATTTCCGGATCCAAGTTGGCGACGGTACTAACAGATTTATCCCAATTTTTTAATTGCAAATTCCTAGGCGATTTGGTTCTTTGTCTGGTCTTTCCTCCCCAACAGCGTTTGAAGTGGTGGTGGGTGGTTGTGGTTGAGAATGGGTTGGCGGTGATGCCAAAGAACTGGGGGTGGATGACGGGTGATGCAAGAAGCTGAAGTGACAAGGGGTATGTGTCCAGATCAGATCAGTATGTTCCTAGCGTGTAAGGCAATGCCTCGAAAGAAATGAGAATGCTCGTACACATTTCAGGACAGGTTTGTGACTTCGGAGGCAGAAAGCACGATACATGCAAGCAAGAACGTCTCTTTTGTGAACAACCGAGTCTTGGAATAACTAACTACAACCATACTATTCTAAACCGTCTCCAACCGATAGCAACGCTTTTTAAACCAGGGATTAGCACCACCAGTCATTAATTTCAATAATAATACATATTATGGCCTTTTGAGTATTTCTGGAACTTCTCCTTGCTATTGTACTTGCTGATCTCTCGTGCGACCATCAGCCCATATTCGCGATGCAAAGGTGTTTTAATATACTAGTACTACCGCAGGTGATGTAGTTATGATGGTAGGTACAGTACAGCTACTGTATGTAGCCTTGCCCGATCCGCACTTATTAGGTCTGAGTTCTGGGTGCTTTCGGGTGTGTGGATTGTCCAAAGGAAACTATGGTACCTCACAGCTCGAAATTAATGTAGATGCCTACCCGGTTCTAGATGCACTGCAGACGCGGCAACATTCCTCGGGCAGCGTTAAAACTTCGCTCTTCAGCGAATTGTTGGTGGTTAGCCATCTCACCGGTCCGGTAGGTACTGCCACGGACAAGGAACAGCCTTCCGATTCGCCGTTCTGACTGTTTTCCGACGTGAAGCTTGAAGGGATAATGCGTTGGCCTTATCAGTCCATGTCAGCCTCTTATGTGCAGCGCACATGTTTAAATAACATCTATTAGCTGATCGCTTCTACCTCCAGTATAGTTGTTCACAGGGTGAGGACGAACACTAGGTGAAGACGAACCAGGGTTCTCAATATGGCAAGAAACAGCCAAGCTGCCCAAGTGATCTTTCTATTTGTCCAAAAATCCTACACCCAGTGTTCGTCCTCACCCTGTGAACGACTGTACTTACAGTATTGTATCTGCTCATTGTATAGCTGGGTTCATCCTTCAAGCTTCAGGCATCGAATTTCACAGCTCGTCACTTCGCCACGGTTATCCGCGGCTAGTTTTCGTCACACTGTATCACTCGCTATGCCCTTGCCTTTGTCCCGGGCGCCTTGGCTTCTCCTTGTTTGTTTGGTGTGTAAATATGTAATATTATCATTGACACCGGAATTGATCAGGCCTCCAATAATTTCCGGACTCTCCTGTGTTCCGCCCCATGTAGAGTGCGTACCTACATACCTACAGGCGGCATTAACCCCATTTTCCGGATAGACCATAGGACAAGGTCAGCCTTTTTCCCTTCCAATCGACAAGGTTCAATTTTATGATTAAGGCACCCCATGCTAACATGTATGCACAGGTAATATTTATCATCACTAACTAGGCTAGTACCAAGGATGACTCTCGACCCCAATCGCCAAGCGTGCGCAAGGCAAACAACGTGAGTCTTTGGCGTTTGATAGCCGGAAAAGGGTTGTAGGAATCTCCGTAACGGAAAAACTCGAGCAGAAAAAACTCTCTCGCCACACCAGGGTGTGATTTAACGCAAGTAGGGACGCCTGAGTGGGTGGCGCATGCAGTAGATTGCGAGTATTTGAACGCATCTCTCCCTGCATCCTTCTTCAACATCCACCACCCCTCATTCAATTCTCGAGGAGCTCTTGCATATACTATCGTGGATCCCCAAGGCCTTTGGCCTTGGGGATCCCTCTACCATTGTTTTCAGACAATTTTTTCCCTACGACCTCAAAGCTAGGTGCGGGGTCCAGCGCAAATTCAGGCATCCCGCGGTTGAAACGAATCGAAATCAATCCTATGAGAGTCGGAGGAGCAGAACTCTCTCAGGTAGATCGATGAAAAGTCTTAAATGACCGTTGAAAAATGAAAGAATCCTTGCAGTATATCTAAGCTACTCGATACACTGATCAGGGGGTGAGTCATAACATTCCTTCCATTTTACTTATTGGAATTTCCAAGTACTCATATCGATGTAGTACCTCGAACAAAAGCGATCGTGGAATATCTGGAACACTAGCTCGGGGTGTCTCGCTGCCGACTGATCGAACTCTATCATCATTCAAATGAAATTGTTGCTGGTGGGATGATGCTATGAACTCCTCTCTCCTAGGCCATAAACACATTCGAAAATAAAAACGAAACTTCTCCAAGTGGTGGTGGAGAATACGCGAGAGCTTGTGAAAGCTATTGCATCATCTGCACCAAGTCCAGATCGCTGAGACGAGGGCTGTAGACTGTCAACTTTCTGATCACATCGAACGAATCGCCGAACAAAACATGAATATTACGATCCCGGAGGACTCCCGTTCCTCTCCTAATTGAGGTTACGGGGGTGGCAGGAGGGAGGAATACGTGGTGGTGTTTGTTGAAGGACGAGGCTCTCCTGTGCCGCGCCATCCCACATCTACTTCGACTACATGGGGCTGGACTGGGAGCTGGTCAATGGGTATCCATTATAACACATTTCCAATTTTTCTTTATTTCATCAATATTCGGTTTTTCAAACACTTAATCAACGTACCTCCACAACAAAAACACTCCCATTAAATTATGAATCTCATCAGCTAAGATACTCGAACACACTAAATCCCACGACCGGCAAACCACACGTATACCCATATTATAACTATTTTTCTCTCGGAGAGCTGGACCTGGATTAATTCCTCATCCGGCAATCCACACGTATATTAGACTGCGACTTCGATGTTTCGCTTTGGAGCCGGGTTCATAGAGCTCTAAATACTCTATTTGAATCCGGGATAAGTTCAAACCCCCCGGCGGCCTTTCGCCGAATCTTCGCGCGAAAACTGGAGATCGGGCCTGGGGAGCACCTCCCTCTCCGGCGGAGGAAAAGTCCTTTGGGTCGCCTGCTTCAATTGATACCTATCCTGCGGGATAAGCATTTATAGGGTAGTTGGTAGCCTGGTGGTTGTGCCTCCCCCGGGGGTGACTTTGCATGGGGTAGTTGGTAGCCTGGTGGCTGTGCCTCTCCGTTACCCGCCTCCCCTCCTCCCCCTGCCATTCTCTCCCTAGCTTCCCTCGCGGGAATCTAGTTTCAGCTAGAATTAGTTTTGGGAGATCGCCTTACCCCATACACCGACCAACTCCATAAGCCATACCACTTCATCTAGTAAAGATAGTTAGCAAAATATTCAGAGAGCGACAACCATACGAAGGATCCGGGATCGCGGCCTGTCGGAGCTCAACACTCCTGGCATACACTCTCCCCCACACGAGGGCGTTTGTAGTGGTTCTAGTCACTGTACCCCACCTTCACCCAAAGCACATGTCAAGTCTCCCCGCGGGTGTCCTCCTGGCTGCGGCTGCCGCTCTGTTAAAGAGAGGCGGTCCGACTACTGCTTGAGAAAGGCGCCGCCCCAAACGCAGCGACTAAGAAGGACAAAAAACGAAAAGAATGAAGGAAGGAAGGAAGGAAGGAAGGAAGGAAGGAGAGAGGGATACATATAACGGAAGACACTGGGCGGGAGAATATAGAACGGAAGATGGAAGGAGAGAAGGAGGCGGTCAGGCACATATACTATTTTCGATATATCTGTACTATTAACGGTGTAAAAAAAAAAAAAAAAATTGAAAAAGAGAAAAAAAGTGGATCATGTGTGTGCAGCAACAAGATCCCACTTTAAAGTGTTGTCTTATCGAGTGATATGATGTGACTCGCACCTTCTTTCTGCTCACTATTTCGGTGGAAAAAAAACTCGTTGTAGGGCTTTAGATGGCTCTAAAAGAGCTGTAAAAAAAATCAAAACCTGCTGCCCATCTCAGACGTCTAACTCATCTGTAGTAGAATTAAGGGTCTAGGTCGACGTCAGGTCATTGATTGCAGTCCCTTGGCAGCAAGTACCCTGGTCAGGCTTGGCACCGATTCTAGGAGTTCATGCTTCAATTTTGAGCCGCAAGCCCAGCAACATCAGACCTCCAACAGCAGCTATGAATTCCGCTGCTAGAAAGCTCCAACTACAAACCGTCGTAAAGTCGGTACTTTCGCTTCGTCCACAGGGGACCGGCGCACCGCCAAGTCTCAAAGCTAGCGTGCACCAGGTTTGTTGAGTTTCTATTCCTGACGGCCAGTTCAAGTGTTTACTGAGGAGGTCTTCAGCTTCTACATGCTCCGTCGGACACAGACCACATTGACCAGCTCATTACTACTATTAAGGATGCCACTGTAGAGGGCCGTGAAGACCAGCTTATGTATGAGCTTGACAAGTTCTCTAACGAACGGGAAACTGAAATTGAGCGCTTGTGCAATAACAATCACCAGGACTTTGTCTCCTCCGTCAACCAGCTACTGAATGTCAGGAAGGGAACTGTAGATTTGACGGAGGAGATACTGAAGCTAAACCAATCGATCCAAGGGTCTACGGAGAAGCTAGTGGAGCAGAAGAAAGCCTTGGTGGACTCGCGAGATGTTAGACAAAACATTGACGAAGCGACACAGGCTTTACGGCTTTGCTTGGAGGTGCTAGGGCTGGCGAATCGTGTTGGCGACCTCTTGAGGGCAAAGAAGCACTATGCAGCTTTGCGAACGCTAGACGAGCTACAGAATGTGCACCTCAAAGAGGTGATGCAATATGAAGTTGCCGACATGATCCGGAAGTCCGTCCCAGCGATGCAAGGAATGGTCAAAGAAGCGGTCATGACGGATCTCAACAGCTGGCTTTACAGGATCCGTGAGAGTTCTGTGCTCTTAGGGCAGATAGCATTTGATCAGACTGAGCTCCGCCGACGCCGACAAAAGGACCGGATCGAGAAGTCGCCGTATTTGCGTAAGTTTTCATTCATGATGGTTGAATGTTCCCGCCTAAAACTCCCGGATATAGGATCCTTCAAGCTCAACTCCGCGATTGAACTGGTGCTTGATGAACGGGAAGAGTTCGATGTACTTGATAATGAAAATGTCAACATTGACTTTACACCATTATTCGAGTGTCTTCACATTCATGAAGCTCTCGGAGAGAGAGACGAGTTCAGAGTCACATATGCGAACGTGAGACGGCAGCAGAAAGAGCTACTTCTATCGGGGTCTTTGAACTTCATGAATGAAGATATATCCGGCTTGAACCGGCTTTTGGAAGACATAGCTGGTTTTGCTATTGTCGAGAGAGAAACAATGAAAAAGACAATAAGCTTCCGATCGGCTGTAGATGTAAATAGCTTTATCCTACCCGGATCACCTGGCTTACTTTTACTTACCCATAAATAGGTTGACGAACTATGGGACTCAATGTGCAAAAAAGCCATCAATATCATCTCACCAGCCCTGGAAAATATTACTGATGCCGATAATCTTCTCAAAGTCAAAAATGTCCTCGCATTATTTATACAAACCATGGACGTAAGTGGGTCGTTTATGAATCTTCTTTTGAGCAACTGAGTGTTAATCTTCCTACCAGAGCTGGGGATATTCTGTAGAAGCGCTTGATCAGTTCCTACTAGTGCTCTTTGAGAAATACTCGGAACGCCTAAAAAAGGAATTCAGTGCCGGCTTTAAAGAAGTATTTTTGATGCCCCCCCGCACGCCCTCCCCTTATCGGATTTCATGTGTACAGGTCTCATTGACACCACTTTATAGATTGTCACCAGTGATGACTACATGCCAATGCCGGTCAACACCCCTGAGGAATATGCCAATGTTGTCAACGTGAGTTGGTATAAGCCTGAAAAAGAAAAGGAGGAGATAGAGTATGTCAATGCCCCACTGCTGCAAGATATCACGAGCTCTAACTCACTGTTACCAGGTTCCCCATTGTGCTACCGTTCTCGCAAATGTATCCACTGTGCTGTATCGACATACGTAACTTCCTGAACAAGTATTACTTCTTCTCCGATGAGTACTTCACACACCAAAGCGCAATCGACGAGGAACTCAAAAACGTGGGTCACGCCACTCACCTCTCCTCTTAACCAAGAAGTGTACTGACATTTATCATACCTGTAGTCATTAGATGAGCTCCTATGTAACGTAGTTTGTACTGCCCTTGTGGAGCGCCTCGGCTCCAAATACCTTGGCCAAATTGTGCAAATCCTCATCAACCTCGAACAATTCGAGTACGCTTGCCAGGAGCTTGAGGTGCTCCTCGTGGAGGCACGACAGTCCAACCATGGCGGCGAAATCTCGCTCAAGGCTACTGAGCAGTTCCGCGCCGAGAAAAAGACCGCCGAGAAGCGTATCTTCGAGTTAGTCAACAGCAAGATTGACGATCTTGTGGAGACTGCAGAGTATAACTGGATGGCAACTAAAAAGCAGGGACAGCCCAGCGAGTACTTGCAGCAGATGACGCTGTTTTTGGGTAATATCATGAGCTCAACACTGCTAGGCTTACCCAAGGATATCAAAGGGTTGATCTACTTTGATGCTCTATCCCATATCGCTACTTCAATTTTGGTGCGCCACTTTCTTCCCCAATGTCTCTTATTCAAGCTAATTTATGCTCGCAGGCCCTACCACTTGCCGACTCCGTCAAGAAAATCACCAAAATTGCTGTCGCAGACCTAGACCTAGACGCACGTTATCTCCAGGACTTTGTCGCCAGCCTCAACGAGCCGCTTCTCCTGCAGATCTTCGAGGAGCTACGACAGACGATCGATCTTCTTCAGAGCGATAATGCAGATGAATTCTATAGCATTGACACTAGGATGAGGAAGTACTCTAATGTCAACCCAATGAACGGACCTATATTGCTGGAGAAGTAAGTCTTTTCTCTCTCTCGTTGTGACCAGAAATTTGGGCTTTTTCTGACTCGGATATTAGACTGGTGGTCCCATCTGCTGCAAAGACGGGGTTGGCGAGATTCAGATAGAGTACTGAAAGAGTGGGGAAAAAATGGGGGGGTAATGGTTATTGAGCGGTTTTGTAGTTACGGGGAGCTTGATTACCTTTATGTTATAGCGGACTCAGGCAAGGAAGGGGGTTTGGGGCCTTGCGATAATTTCTTTGTTCAAATGATACACTAATAAACGTAAATCATAAAATTGGCTAAATTGGAATTCTGCCATGCGATTGCGATTATGTATCGAGTGACCATCTATGACTGGGGGGGTATGTCCGTCAATGATTTAAACTAAATGCTGAAGCTCCCAAAGCCAACACAAAAGTCAACATCAGCATCAACGCAAACCAGCGGATAATCCAGCTAGATACAAGTGCATCGAGGTTATTTCTTGTCCCCTAAATATTAGCGGTTTTATCCAACATTACATGCAAGATATGTAGACTGTGAGTTTAAACCTTGGTTCAAGACCACATATAGGCTCCCGCGTGCGTGAACTGGGGCTAGTCTATATGCCCATGTGTAACTCTTCTCAGTGGTAAAACCGCCTACTTTAAGGATTGGGGGCCTGATTCTTCGCTTTAGTCGGGACCTGGTTACCACTGCCACGCTGACACAACTGCATGTAGTAGCACCGGTGCCACCATTCAAGGAGAGTTCTTCCCAACTCATGGTAGCTCGCCACACGGCATTTACGTTTATCATCCGGTTACCCATAACGTGCTAGCGGAATGAACTCGAGTACTTTCTGGCTGCTTTCGCGGAGAGCCATGACGTATTTTCTGCCAAGATTCTGGAGTTTAAACCAGTTCATTGATTGCGCCTAGAGGTGTCTGTAGGGGTATCTTTAATAAGTCTTGTAAGGTTGATATCGTTTTTGTTCTAGATGAAATAGCTGCCTTTGGCGGAGGACAATCAAAGACTTTCACGTATCTATGAGGTCGAAAGAGTAAGGGCATAGAACATTACGCCAGGCGCCGGTACTGTCGTGTTTCTATGCATAAGTTACCTACTCAGCTGAGCTGGTCTACAGTGCGTCTATATCCTATAACTAATTGTGTTTGTTTCTCGCTCCTATTACTGGCAGTTGGTTGAAAAGAACTGCCACGTCCATTCATCACGTCCAACACGGTATACATACATGTATCGGTAGCCCAAGTATCCCAGCTAGGACCTTACGGAATCACTACTAGAATCTCTATCATAATCTTGGTGAAGCTAATATAAGTTTAGGCGTTGAGGTGTCACCTCAGGATGCGGCAGGAAATGACTCCACACTCGAGTATACCAGAGCGGCTGTTTCTCTAGCCAGAGAATTTTGAGGTCACTTGTGGGTATATATATATATTACATACATTCACCTTAGATAATCACTAAAACAGCAAACAAAACCCTGACATTGGAAGGCGCCTTGAGTATCGCAAACCGCAAGCTATTCTACATTCCGTCGTTTTTCTCGTTAAAAAAAAAAATCCACAGAATGTTATGTTGAAATTTTTTAAGTGAATCAAGAGGGTGGGAGGAGGTCCGTTTGTGTGGTAGTTAAAAAATCTCTAACTGCATGTTACAGATTTTTTACCTTTGGCTAACCACTGTCCGTAAAGTACAACGGTTGATTCTGCTTGAGTTTATTATCTTAGTCCTTTGCCCGATATCAAGTGTTCATCACCTATGGACTAGATGGATTGCTGTCATGAATCAAGAGGATCAACGGTTTTCAGGCCCGAGTGATTATTTATGATTTAAATTGACAAGGTATAGATTGATTATCAACAATTACAAGAATACAGGAATAAATTTGTCGAGTCCACATGTATGTTTAATTAAACCACAATCTAGCTTCATTGGACTGCAGTTATCGTATGCCTTCACAGTGGGGAGTACTAGTGGCTACTGCATTTAACCCAATTGACAATTCTGTGAAAATAACGTCCATGACGGCCGGAGATCTAGAAGCTAAAGCGAAAGTTAAGGCACGATTGAATTTCGCAGGAACTGGGAACGCATAGAATAGGAGTTATGAGTTACAGCATGTTCTATAGTGAATCGTCCGTTATAGCTGTGTATCATTCGTTTCTTCATGTGCGACCTTTTTTTGTCTGCTACAGATCGTCTGCTACAGATCGTCTAGAAGTAGCTAGGTAAAGTACAGTACGATGCCAGTCGTGAGCGTCAGGCGCGGCGTCGCAACGCCCCCCGAACCATCACGGGTACCAGCACAGCAACCACAATTGATCCTTTGGAGAGCTGAATTTTTGTATAGTTGTTAAATATTAGATAAATAACAATGATTTGACATTTAATATCTTGTGTACCAACCCGCCGTGGAAAGGTTGTGGAAATCTGGTTGCGCGCGGCGTTGCGACGCCGCGCCTGACGCTCACGACTGGCATCGTACTGTACATACATGTAGGTACATGTAGTGCAGAAAGCCAAGCGTTGGGTTTTGGTGATGAAGATGGGCACAGTGCTTCGATTCCACCTATGCGTTCAATATAAACCAGGTATGGGCAATAAATACATGATAGATTCTTGGATTTGATTTGAGGTCCTGTGTTTGAGGTCCCAATCAGTATGCGCGCGTCTCAAACGCGTTATGGCTAAGTGACGCGTTTGCGCCACATGACTACAGGTGCCCCAAATCACTGGTGGACACGAGCCTCACCTGAAGCTCAAAACCCACAACACCTTCGTCATACACAACCCATACCTCGATAATTAGCTTGCACTCATATTTTTTCTTGTTTGACTGTACCTGGAGTTTGCATATCTTTATACCCACTTCACGCGTCTACTTTTGCTCGATCAAGGGCACAAGGGTGAGAGATAATCATGGCGTTCCAGGATTCAAACCCTTTCGGTGTTCTGGCAGACACCCAGTCCCCATCGGCGGCGGCGGCGGCGGCTGGATCACCACCCCAGGTTCAACTCGTGGGCGCTGAGGGCGAGGAGCCACTGGAGGTTGTTATTGAGGTAATTCAGAATAAACTCTAACCCGGCCAAGCAACTTGCAGATTACTGACAGAACACTATTCGTGCTAGAATGTTGGGTTTCTGGCTTTAGGCGGCGACATCAAGGTCAAAGTTCTACCAAAAGGATATGATAAGGACTCATTACCACCATCGAGCGCATCGTTATTTTCTATCGCAAATAGGAGCGGGCTGTTTGCCGCCGCAGCACATTCAGGTATGTCGCAGCATCGGAAACTTCACTAACTAGACATCAGGCGATAAACATATCTACTAACTTATTGTATAGATTTGGTCGTTGGCAGCACCTCATCTCTTCGTGAAACTTTTGCTAGCGCATCTGATGGCATTGCAGAGCATCGCCCCCAACTTTCCCTTTCGTTGCCCGCAAACATTTCGCACATCGCATTCACGGCAGATGAATCACATCTTGTAGTTGGCTCTGCTTCGGGAGGACTTGTGGTTTATTCCGTCAGCGCACTTAGTAACAGTAATGCGCAACCTCTATTTGAGCTGGGAACGGGTGGTGTTGGGCTGAGAGAGATGAAGCCTAATCCAGCAACGCCTGAATTGGTGGCAGTTGTCACCACCAACGGGGATGTTCAAATGGTAAACATAAGCACAAGAGGATGGGAGGAAGGGTCGAATGGCCCGATATTGAAGACAGGCGCATCAACTGTCTCCTGGAGTCAACGTGGAAAACAAATTGTTTGCGGAATGGGAGATGGAACTGGCTGGCAGATGACACCCCAAGGAGAAGGAAAGGCTGTTTTACCGTCAGTTCCTGGCCTGGAAAACCATTTCGTCTCATCCATTGTCTGGTTGGAAAACCATCTTTTTATCACAACTCACACCCCAGTCCCAGCAGAACCACAGAACAATGACTCTCTTTTCCATGTATTGGTTCGGACCGGCTCTTCATTCACATATACCAGGCTCCCAGACCCTGTTCCCCCATATGGCTTGGACAGTCGAACACCACCTTATTTCTTTCATGCCCTCATCAAACAATACGCCCCGAGCTTGAAGGATATGATCATATTCTCAAATACTTGCTCGTCAGACATTGGCCTTATCAGCCGCTTCTCCACGGCAGTAGCTGGCGAACCTCCTGCGCCTGCTGATGCTTGGATAACTTCGTCGATTGGTGACGATACCCGCCGTGCACAGCTGCCTTTGTCTGGGGCCGATTTCCAAGATACCTCTGTTATGGGCATGGCGCTTGATCTTAGCAACAAAGAAAATGTCAAACGCCCTGTTGGCGGAGAGGAAATTGAAGAATCCCCGGGGCCATTACCTATCCTGATGGTTCTGAATCATGAGGGTTTATTATGCGCATGGCACGTAATCTACAACGATGCTATGGAACAGCGCGAAAAGTACACCGGAATGATGGTCTATTCACCACAGGACCAGCAGCAGCAGCAGCAGCAGCAGCAACAACCTCCACGGCCGGGGACTCCCCCTAGGACATCATTTGCAGCTGCTGCGCCGACTGCAGGCACCAGCTCCCCATTTGGAGCGTTTGCCACTAAACCCGGACCTAGCGCGTTTGGTACGGCCAGACCAGCTTTTGGTGCCCCTAGTTTTGGAACGCCAAGTATGGGTTCACCTTTTGCGGGCGCTGCCTCAGCTCAGACTTCAGGGAGTGCCTTTGGTCAGCCATCGGCGCTAGGTGCATCGTCGCCATTTGCAAAGGCAGCAGCTATGGGCCCGACCACGTCTGGGAGCGCTTTCGGTCAAACCTCAGCCCTAGGACAGACTTCAGGAACTGCTTTTGGCCAACCCTCAGTATTAGGGGGGACTTCATCTCCATTTGCTAAGGCAGCGGCTTCAGGTACCACCTCCGGGAGTGCTTTTGGCCAGCCATCTGCCCTGGGAGGTTCACCATCCCCGTTTGCGGGTGCAGCGTTAGTGGGCCCTGCCACATCCACCCCAGCATTCGGAGCACCAACTTCTCTTGGGCTAGGAAAGAGCTCAACACCGGGGTTTGGTCAAACGGCGCCACTCGGGAGTACAGGGGCATTAGGAAGTTTGAGTAGCGGGTTTGGTGCATACGCAGACAAAGCTGGGTTTGGTGCATACGCAGACAAAGCTGGGTTTGCTGCTGCCGCCGCACCTTCCGCAGGTGCCACACCAGTATGGGCTAGTTCGGGCAAGGGGTTTAATACAGACCCCACACCTTCTGCATTTACGGCTTCGAATACATCTGGTTTTGGATCTCTCGCGGGCAGCGGGTTTAAAATCTCAAGCGGGTTCAAGCCTGACTCGTCAACTGCAGATGAAACGACAGCTCCCTCAAACGCTGGAAGTAGTTTTGGATTAGGTGGTGGATTCAGGGATGCCTTGGGCACTACACAGGCCACACCAAGAGGGTTCAGCGATCAAGGGCCGAAAGACGCGGACATGGATAGCGATGCCGAGCACGATAATAATGCAAGTGATGATGATGAAGATGCCCCTCCTCCGACTAGGCTTCAGGGCGGCCCATCGCAACCAACTGCTTCAACGCCTTTCTCAAGAACTGCTGGTTTACCAAGTGGAATCTTTGCGAAAGCCAGTGCCGAAGCGTCAAAATCTAGCCCGTTTGCAGCAGTTAATAAGCCCGCTGGATCAGAATCTCCATTTGCACAGTCGCCATTTGGACCTAGCAAGACTGATCCAAAGTCATCACCGTTTGGTGCGGTTGCCAGTGGTTCGCCATTTACCCATGGCAAGGCTGCGTTTGCGCCATTACCTCCCAGTAGCACACCGTCACCTTTTTCTGGCTGGGGTAGCGTGAAGCAGACCACAAGTCCTTTCACTACTGGTGCTCAACCCATGAAACCAGCGTTCGGAAGTACCGGTTTTGGTGCCTTTGCTCCGAAACCGCAGCCCTCAAGTACAGAAAGGTCGACGCCGCCAGTGACTAGTCAGCCTGAAGCTGCGCCGTTACCACCAGATTTTACCCTGTCCAAAGCGAAATCAGAGACAACTGAGAATCTTGTGCCAGATGCCCCTCTACCTCCAGATGTTACCTCTTCGAAGAAAGAGACTAAGCAGGAGCTCAATGCTGAGGACGCTCCTTTACCACCCGATTTTACATCAGTCAAGAAAGAATCCAAACAAGACTCTAACGCGGAGGATGCGCCATTGCCACCGGATTTCACTTCTCAGAAGGCTGACAAGGGAGATCGTCTTGAAAGCGCCCCTGAAGATGCACCGTTGCCACCCGATTTTACAAAGAGTAAGGAGAAGACCGCAGAGGAGGAAATCCCAAGCTTGCCTGTAGATGAATCGGAGGATGAAGGAATCGAAGCTCACGACGAGGAGACTTTTGACGATGACGAGGGCGATGATGAGCAAGATGATGAAGAAGACGATGGAGAAGGCGAAGAAGATGATGAAGAAGAGGAAGAGGAAGACGAAGACGAAGACGAAGACGAAGACGAAGACGAAGACGAAGAGGACGAAGAGGACGAAGATGAAGATGAAGACGAGGATGGTGAGGAAGACGTATGGCTCAAGGAGCAGCAAGAGCGCCCCGTGACTCCCAAAGAATTCAACTACGAACCCAAGCCAAAACTCTCAACAACAAGTCCAAGCACGTCTAACATCTTTGGGTCCAACACATCCTTCAAAGATACGATTGGCACTGTCGACAAAGCTGCTCCATTCGCTGGTCTGTTTGGCAGTAAACCAACACCTAGCAAAGAAATTGAACATGGGAAAACTCCAACCAAAACAAGTTCTTTGTTCGGAGCGCCAAAAAGCAAATCGCCAGGACATGGAGTCACTCCGCCTTCTGGGAAGGATAAATTATCCAGATCTGGCTCTGGAATGGGTGGAAGTGGGATGTTCAGCAAGGCAAAGAAGGTAGGAGCTGCAGAAATCGGGAAGTCTGTTACCACACCAGCTCCTGCATCTAGTTCGTCGCCTTTCCCTACACCTTCACCAATTCCTGCCCCTGCCCCCACAGCTTTTTCTGCTGCTATCAACAAGGCAGGATTCGCAGCGCCTTCTTCGGGGTCCCCGCCACCATCTTCATTTCCCCAAACCTCTCTGGCGCCTAAATCTCTAGGTTCTACCCCACCTGCTGCAGGCAGACCACAGCCGGGTCCATTCAACAGAACTGCATCTGCTCCTTCCCCGCTCGGCGGAACGAACTTTGGCTCACCTACAGCCCAGCTGCAAACCAGAAGTAGTCCGCTCTCAGCGCCATCATTTCAACAGGCACCGAAGGAGGCCGAGAAGATCGAAGAACCAGATAGTGATTTGGACCTAGACAAGGAATTTAATGAACTCGACGATGAAAAGGTTCGAAGGAAGCTTCAAAGAGGGACGATCAAGCCGCTTGAAAACTTGCCCAAGATTAAGAATATGGGAGAAATTCAGCTCTCAGATGTAAGCATTTTTGTTAGTCGCCGGTAAAAGCCGATTTGCTAATCTATGGTATAGGATTTTAATGAAGTCTTTGACGCTATATACCTCAATGGTAACATGATGGTCAACAGGCTTGGTCTAACAGTTAGAGGTATGGCAGCATATCACATGGCCCAGACTCAACCTACCGCCGATTGCAAGCACGAAAGTGCAAAAGACATGAAACAGCCTAAGGACTGGAAGCTCTGTGAACTCGAAAAAGTTCGAAAAATATTGGAAGAGGTATTGGATGGTGTGAAGAAAGAGAACAAGGGAAATGAAGAACTGGAAGCGCAGTATGAAGCCGCAAACAAGGGATTCATTAAGCGTTCGTTACCTATTATATCTTATTATGACGATTCTTTACTCTTTACTAACCTTAAGGTAGTGGATACCAAAGACGCGGAAATCAAGCGCTTGCTTGCAGTTCACAACGATCCCCGAGCAGCCGCCCTAGCCCGCGCCAGAACCCTGACATCTGAGCAACACCTACAGCAAATAAAGCTTCGCAAGGAGTATACCCGTGTTGAGAAACTCCTCAAAGACGCCGAAAAGGAAGTCACGCAGCTTAAGGCCAAAATAGCCTCCCGAGACAAGAACAACGCGGGCACAGTTGTCCCCCCAACTGTTGAGGCGGTTCGTAACACTATTATGAAACTCACCGGCATGGTTGAGCGTAAAAATGGAGATATCGAATATCTTGCCGATCGTCTTAACAGAGTCAAGCTGAAGAGCAGAAGCATCTCTGTGACACCTGGTGGTCGGTCTAGACTTATGTCCCCCGATATCGGCGTAAGATCTGAAGCACCATCAATGAGATTTAGTACACCCGAAAGAGGACTTGGTGGTAGTATTGGGCCATCGTTCGGAAGTGTTCCAACGCCCGTACTGACACTCACGGATCCGACTGATGTTGCTGTAGCAAGGGAGGAGAAGAAGGCTAGGAGGGAAATGGGGAATAGATTGAGGGGCGTACTAGAGAAAAATGGCCCCAGGGTCACAGGAGGACAAGGGCAAGGGAATTATTTTATGAAATAGGAGTTGTCGTTCTGTTCACGTTAAAGGAAAACTCTATATGTCGGAGGGTGCGGGCTATTTCTTTTTTGTCTCTAGCGATGCTCGAAGATTTCTGTAATTCACCTCTCAAACTGTAGTTAGGATAAGAATTATTGTTTTGAGTTATGGAAACCTATGATCTATGACTGTTCATGTCCCATCATCTGATATTGAGTAGGAGAGGGTGCATAGTGTTGCTTTTCTCTCTCCGATTTTACATTTTTAGACTGTTTTCCCATTTTTTTTACTTAAGAAAGTAATCAGAGGGATTGAATTTAGTCCGAAAACTCACTTTCAAGCTCTTATTACTTTTCTTTAATCGCGGTTTTTGGTGGTGTTCTCAACAAACGCAATAATATCATTGACACCAAGTCAAAAGTAGGGTAACCTGACTCTTATATTCAGATCACGTGCTCGGGGTGCTGTCCCTCGTTCAAGTTTCCGTCTCACCAAATTATTTCGGTACCCCGCCATACATAGTCAAAAAACAAACGAACAATGGTAAATCATTCACCGCATCCAAAAATCGTTCTATCAAAGCTAACTTGATATCTCGTAGAGTAATCCCACACAAATCTTTGGAGAGGACGTTACGGAGGAGAGGGGAGAAAATGCCAGTACGTTAACCCCCACCTCCGAATCTCATAATCGATTGAAGATAAGAGTGTGATAGGTAGTAGGGGGATACTGATTGGTATATGATAGGATTGTCCGCTTTTGTTGGTGCGATAGCTGTAGGGGATTTGGTTAAGACGACTTTAGGTCCGAAGGGGATGGACAAGATATTACAGTCAGCGTGAGTATAAACACACCCTATCAACATTTGATGCAATGAAGCTTTCCATCGAATGGAGAACAAATCTGACAATCAAATGATGGAAACAGCTCGACAGGACAGATAATGGTGACTAACGACGGTGCCACCATCCTGAAGTCGATAGCGCTCGACAATGCTGCTGCTAAGGTTCTTGTCAACATCTCAAAGGTCCAAGACGACGAAGTTGGTGATGGTACCACATCTGTAACTGTCCTTGCTGCAGAGCTCCTTCGCGAAGCAGAGAAACTTGTCGATCAAAAGATTCACCCTCAGACCATCATTGACGGATACAGGGTCGCATCTGCAGCTGCTCTTGAGGCATTAAGGAACAGTGCAGTTGATCACAGGGAGGATGCGGAGAAATTCAAGCAAGATCTTCTGAGTATCTCTAGGACAACGCTGAGCTCCAAGGTCCTGTCCCAGGACAAGGAGCACTTTTCTAAGCTTGCAGTGGACGCGGTTCTTAGGTTGAAGGGAAGTACCAATTTGAACAACATTCAGATCATCAAGAAAGCAGGAGGAAAGCTTAGTGATTCGTATTTGGATGAGGGTTTTATTTTGGATAAAAGAATTGGTGTCAACCAGCCAAAGAGACTTGAGAAAGCCAAGATCCTTGTGGCCAATACCGGTAAGTCTTCGAAACATTACCTTTCATAGCTGTTGTTACATGTCTAACAGCTCGTAGCTATGGATACCGATAAAATCAAGATATTTGGCGCTCGTGTCAAAGTTGATTCTACCGGCAAACTCGCCGAGCTTGAAAAGGCTGAACGTGAAAAGATGCGTGCCAAGGTTGAGAAGATCAAGGCTCATGGTATCAACTGTTTTGTCAACCGTCAGCTGATCTATAACTGGCCTGAACAATTGTTTGCGGATGCTGGAATCATATCTATTGAGCATGCTGACTTTGACGGCATTGAGCGCCTTGCTCTTGTTACCGGGGGTGAAATTACCTCTACTTTCGATCATCCTGAGTCTGTCAAGCTAGGCCAATGTGATCTTATCGAAGAGGTCATCATCGGAGAAGATACTTTGATCAAGTTCTCTGGTGTCGCAGCTGGCGAGGCATGCACAATAGTTCTTAGGGGAGCTACCGAGCAGCTGTTAGACGAGGCTGAGAGGTCTCTCCATGATGCTCTTTCCGTTCTCTCTCAGACTGTTGTGGAGACCAGAACTGTTCTCGGCGGAGGTTGCTCGGAGATGATCATGAGTAAAGCGGTTGAGCAGGCTGCACAGAATACCCCAGGAAAAAAGGCCCTTGCCATCGAAGCATTTGGCAGGGCACTGAGGCAACTCCCAACAATTTTGGCCGACAACGCGGGTTTTGACAGCAGTGAATTGGTTGCGAAGTTGCGTGCCGCTATCAACAACGGAATGTCCAGCTCTGGACTAGATCTGTACTACCCAGGTGGAAGAATCGGAGATATGAGAGAACTTGGCGTGGTATGTTCAGCGTGGGCGTTGTCGTTATTATTCTTAGCTAATGTGAATTATACGTAACAGATTGAAAGTTACAAACTTAAACGTGCTGTTGTCTCATCTGCATCAGAGGCTACAGAGATGTTGCTTAGAGTCGATAGTATTGTCAGATCAAAGCCAAGAATGGTAAGTCATCGGATATCTTTATAGTATTTACACCTATTATAATTGCTAATCTTATATTCTTTCTTGACAGCGTGAGCGCCATTAGTTGACTTTAGGAGAGATACCGACACAAAAGCAATAGATTCTTTTTTTTTGCAATATGGTATTCCAAATGTGTAATTAACAAAGCTTCTCAGTAAGGGACAAATTAAGAACCCCTAAGTACCGAGCAACGCGAAACATAATCATCCAATTAAACTCAAATAGAAAGTATCCATTCTACGTACATATGTGACTTATGTGAGGTGAGGTTGTTCAGTGGTATTTTTCAGCGATTTATGAAATCCCGGCCAACCCTAACCCTCAAGACAATTTTAACCCATTCGGTTATTTATATGTAGCCGAATCTAGCAATTGAAATAACCATAAGTCTTGGGTCTAGACATAATATATAAGAATTTTCACACGTGTGTAAGTATGTGTATATTAAAATAGGTAGTCCATGGAATTGACTGTTATGACCTGATAAACCCCGCCATGATCTTATCTGATCCTGCATTCTTGGCACGACCTCTAAGCATGTGGCCCTGTAACTTACGTATCCACAAGCCCAATACTTCTGCAGTTTCATATACCTACTTACTTCGTTCAATCTCTCTCTCCTGTAGCCACTGTATCTAGCCCCTTCTCTAGATTTCTTGGTATGTACCTCCCTCATCTCAAATTTCACCTGGTCGCTAACTCTTCACATAGCTATCATGTCGTATAACCCAAACTATGGAGCTAGACCTGGGCCTGGAGGTCCGCCACAAAGAGTCCCAGTTCCGCATCGAGGGACGGCGCCATCCAGAGAGTTTCAGCTCACTAAAAGCCCGAACGATGAATTTATCGTTACTAATTTGTTAACATCCCCCTCCGTACTACGAAACAAAGAGCTGGAGCTGATAGCTGCGGTATTAGTGTCGCTGTTTCACCCCAGGACTTTCAGACCGAGCAATACGTTATCTGCAACGATAAATTTGTGGTTTCAGTAAAACCCAACAACCAGATTCAGCCTGGCTACGCAGGGTTCTCCTCCGTACATAGAGACTGGGCACAATGGAGCTTGACGGAAAGGATCCGTATGGCGCCTTATGATCCGTTTTCTCAGCAAGGTGCTGCATATTTAGGGAGCTTGGATCTGGAGCTAGGCTTTGCATCAAGGAAGATCAGTGATGAGCAATATGATCAAGATGATTTGACGAAACAGTTTTTACGGGTGAGGAGTATCCATCGTTATCAAGAGATTATTATTAAGCAAATGGATTTTAGACCTTTCAAAACCAAGTTTTTGCTCCAGGGCAGCGTCTCGTTATGGACGTCCGCAATATCAAGCTTATAGTAGTCGTCAAAACTGTGCAAGTCATTAGCCTAGGCGATAAAAAGGGAGCTCTGCCCCCAGATGCGCCCACAAGTAGCAACCCATCGGACCGCGGTATTCTCACACCGCATACTTTTATAACCTTCTATAAAGATGCAAGGTCTCCGATTAAGATCAAAGGCTCCAACAAACGCCCTGCTGCCAATGCTATTATCCAACCTAACTTTAAGTTTGAGGACATGGGAATTGGTGGTCTTGATACAGAGTTCTCACAAATTTTCCGTCGTGCATTCGCTTCTAGGATCTTTCCTCCAGGTCTAGTAGACAAGCTTGGTATCCAGCACGTTAAGGGAATAATCTTGTATGGGCCACCCGGAACGGGGAAGACACTTATTGCCAGGCAGATTGGAAAAATGTTGAATGCGAGGGAACCAAAGGTTGTGAATGGTCCTGAAATCCTAAATAAGTTTGTTGGTCAATCGGAGGAGAATATCAGAAAGCTTTTCGCCGATGCAGAGAAGGAGTACAAAGAAAAGGCGGAAGAGAGCGGCTTGCACATTATCATTTTTGATGAATTAGATGCTATCTGTAAACAGAGAGGAAGCAAGAATGATGGGACCGGTGTTGGTGATTCAGTTGTCAACCAGCTTCTTTCTAAGGTTCGAACCCACTTCCTCAACTACCTTCAACTACCTTCCGAGACGAGACATTAATAGATACATCTAGCTCGATGGTGTCGACCAACTGAACAATATTCTTGTTATTGGTATGACTAACCGTCTTGACATGATCGACGAGGCTCTACTCCGTCCAGGCCGTCTCGAGGTTCATATGGAAATTTCTCTACCCGATGAGTTCGGTCGTCGTCAAATATTGAAAATCCACACAAACAAAATGCGCAAAAATAATGTCATTGACCCGGATGTAAACATTGATGAACTAGCAGCAGTTACCAAGAACTTCTCAGGAGCTGAAATTGGGGGTCTTATTAAGAGCGCATCATCATTTGCCTTCAATCGTCATGTCAAAGTTGGTACTGTTGCGGGGATCTCTGAGGATATCGAAAACATGAAAGTCAACCGCCAGGACTTTATGAATGCGCTTGAAGAAGTCCGACCAGCTTTCGGTGTGAGCGAAGAGGAGCTTGATGCATGTATCCAAGGTGGAATCATCCGTTACTCTCAGAATATCGAAAATATACTTGCAGAGGGACAGCTGTTTGTTGAGCAGGTCCGCAAATCAGAAAAGACACCTCTTGTATCAGTTCTCATGCACGGCCCACCTGGCTCTGGAAAAACCGCACTCGCTGCCTCAATTGCTATGGCATCCGAATTTCCATTCATCAAGCTTATTTCCCCGGAGGCCATGGTTGGGTTCAACGAAGCCAGTAAAGTTTCATTCTTATCTAAGATCTTCATGGACGCCTATAAATCCTCCCTCAGTGTCGTGGTGGTCGATAATATCGAGCGTATTCTCGACTGGGTCCCCATTGGACCGCGCTTCTCCAATGCTGTCCTTCAAACCCTCATGGTCCTCTTGCGTAAACAGCCACCCAAGGGCAGGCGACTCCTTATCATTGCCACCACCACTGAACGCTCTGTATTATCACAGATGGACTTATTGACGTCCTTCGATGCAGAAATCGCAGTCCCTAATGTTGCAGATCACCGTGAGCTCACATACATCTTGCGGGAGTTGCAATTCCCAGAACAGGAGCAGATGAAGACTGTAAGGGAATTGGCGGATGCTACTGGAAGGAGGGATTTGAACGTGGGTATCAAGAAGATCCTCATGGGTGTTGAGACAGCCAGGCAGGACGATGATATGTCAGGGAGGTTTGCGAGTGTCATGATTAAGGCTGTAGGAGAGTCGAGCGTTATGGGGGCCCCACCAGGCTCGTATTAGTATAGTTTTTATAAATGATGTCCGGAGAGTGTTTGTGGTTTAAATGGTTTTAGTCTATAGATATACTATACGATATATATATAGCTTGCTCCTAGATCAAACATCAGTACTATATGCCTACTTCATTTTTGTTACCGATTCGGGGGTGTAGCGTGAACACTGGCGGATACTGCCTCGCCAATTGGATGATGTGGTTGGCACTAGGAATGGAGATGTTGGTAGTCTCGCTATCACTTTTCTTGGGACTATTATTGACCTAGGAAATTTAGGTTGATAAGGATGTCTGCATTAATTGCCAATTGCATTCCCACTTTCTCCCGAATATTTAAACAAGACAGTTAGATACTGCTTGGAAACTGTAGTACTGTACCTAGTCCCATATTTTGAGAATGTACTCAACCTCCGAAGTAAACAAGTGGCGGGAAGTAAATTAAAACTACGATATCTCTCGCCTGCGCTTTTTCATACAAATCTAAGAAAACCGATTTTTCTACTTCATCACGAATAGCTCTACGGGGTTAATAAACTTAATAAAATGACACAGATTTCGGTAGACGTGTTCTGCAACACATGATGCAAGATGACACAGTTTGCTGAATAATTACCTAACATATTTTGCTACGGTAATAAAATAAAAAAAGAACAAAAGATACTGCACGGGCTTACCATAGATAAGTGCTCCGTACTATCCCCACCCCTGGTTTGAACTCAAGACCTTTGTCCAAACACTCGGTGTCTAACCCGACGAGCAGTCTAGCCATGTAACCACTAGACCACTCGCCCATGGTAGACACTGCGCTGGAAGTGATAATTGAGCCAGCTTGGCCGCGGTGTGTCAGGATGAAGAACCCCTAACCCTTCAGTGCCAATGCTCAGCCATCCATAATACTTAGTATGTACATCATTCGCTCCGGATCATAGAGAACTGTATCGTCTTGGATCATGTGTTACTATTGTAGAACGCGTCTACTGAAAACAGTGTCATTTTAGAACTTTTCCGTAAATTTAGACGACAAATATTCCGTCTACGATAGGATCTTCGCCGCTGATTTGTAGATATGGGCGCCCCCACGTTTGTAGTCAACTCTCGTGGGGATATTACCTTTCGGGCCCGGCCAGGGATATGGCTCTACAGAACGATAGTCTACGAGAAAAGGTGGGAAGAAAGGACGAAAAAAGGTGAACAGCTATACCGCCATTAGATACTTACCTAGTTGATTAGACCTTCTAAGGTCTCGATCTCGTACGTACAGAATCCAAGAAAGACTATACACCTTCATAGAGAGAACAAAGAGCTAAAGAGACAGCGAGATCACTATCAATCCCTCGGACCGCGCCCAGAAATTGATAGTGGTCTCTGCACCCTCTGCTAGGAGAGTGCAGAAGAAAAAAAAGGGGGGAGGGGGAGCAGCGATCGGAGCCACCTAACACAACTCAGGTCCCTCCTGGTCCCCAGGCCGAAGCCCAAGGACTAGAAGAGGCCGAGAAAAGAGAAGAGTGACCTAACACAACTCGGCCCCTCCCAGTTCTTTAACCGGAACTGAGACACTGGGAGATGCCAAAGAAACGTCCTAACGTAACTCAGCCCCTTCTGGATGCTTGGGGGGGGGACCCAGCAGCCAGAAAAGGCTGAAGAATTAAACGGCTCCCTTCTGTGTGGGCAGCGCAAGTCCACCCTCTCTGGGACTTGCGCTGTCCGCACAAGGGGGGTAGGTAGGGGCAAAAAGAGAGAGAGAGAGAGAGAGAGTCGACTTAGGGGGAGTTCTTGCCTCGAGGGCTACTCCCCCGTGGGTGGGGGAGAGAGCAGGCTTATATACAGTACGAAAAATGGGAATGTAATA